TTCGGCTGCTGGCTCGCAACTTTCTTTCTAAAAGCCTGGGCTTGAGCTTGCAATGACCTATTAAGGGCATCAATAAACCAATTTAATATGTATCTCGTTGCTGTTAGATTTACATTTCTGCCAAAGATGATGATAGTCGAGGTGAAAGGGAGATAAGGCAGGGGTGGTTGGTTGATTACTGGATAGATTTATTTGGTCTACAGAATTTGAGTAGATGTCAGATTATTGAGGCCAACATTCATCTCTTACTCATCCACAGCCTTTGTCTTCCTCCTCTACGGCCACCACTACCACCCACTCATCCAGTCAGAATCAAATTGAAATTGTCCGTGTGGTTATACAATACACATTTGTTAATTTAGAGAATCATTTTGTTCATTGGGATTTTAAGCGAGCGTGTCCAACTGCTGTTTCAATTGAAAAGACATGGATCGTATTTGCCAGAGGCGATAAACTTCTCCTTCTCCTCAGGAGTGTATCCACACTTGTCCTTTTGGACCTGGCTTCCTTTCTCCTTGTTTCCACTTTCTGGCTCCTTTGGTGATTCTTTTTGATTTTCCTCTGGTTGCTTTGCTGGTGTTTCTTTTTTATTATCCTCTGGCTGCTTGGATGGCTCAGATGATTCCTTGTTTTCATTACCTTCCTTCTTGCCTTCTTCTGGCTGCTTTGATTCGCCCTTGCTCTCCCCGTTGTTTGGGTAGTTACCGGCACCCCAAAGGTCTTCGATCCACTGACCGCTTTGAATAGCTTTGTCAAGAGATCCGTTTTGGTCAGCACCACGCTTGACCTGGACATTGGTGAGCACGCTTTTGCTTATTATTCAACATATACTCACCTCCATCTTGGCGGATGCGAGGACCGTTACTGCGAGAAGACCGACAATGTAAGTTAATTTCATTGCTCGATTGTAGTTGTAAGTAGAAGAGCAGTGGAAACTGATCTCCTTTAAATAGCTTAATATTTGGTAGATGCCGATTTTTTGTGGGATTTAATTTCCTTAGCCTTCCTTTTTTGGTTATCCGGCGAATTGAAGTATGTCTCACAAGACTAGATGCGTTCATACCTACCAGTATGGTAAGAGTTCTGCACAGCTGCGCCACTGAGCAGTTGCTATTAAAGTTTAAGATAAGCTTTTAATAAAGTGTCTCTGCATCAATGTTTCAAAGGTAGCGTGAAAATATTAATGAAACGCAGTACGTTCTACAATGGTATGCGATGGTATTTAGTGCTCTTCGTTGTGCATGTCTTTCTCGTCATGCTTGTTTTCCTTGTGGTCATCGTGCTCGTGTTTGTCGTCGTGGTGCTTGTGTTCACCTTTGTGTTCGCCCTTGTGGTTGATTGCCTCCTCGGAGTAGAGCTCTGGGTAGTACTCGCCGCTTGAATTGAGCTCTTTCTCCTCTTCGTGGGTCAAATGGTGGAAGTCAATGCGACCATCGTGCTGTACTGTGTGAGATAGTAAAGGTACTCAGACGCGCTACTAACCTCATCTCTGGTATGGAGAGATCTCTTGCCAGCGCCAAAACCTCTAGCACCAGCACCTCTGCTTTCGTGGTGTTTATGTTCATCGTGGCCGTGGTGCTTGTGTTCGCCCTTGTGGTTGATAGCCTCCTCGGAGTAGAGCTCTGGGTAGTACTCGCCGCTTGAATTGAGCTCTTTCTCCTCATCGTGGGTCAAGTGGTGGAAGTCAATGCGACCATCGTGCTGTACTGTGTGAGATAGTAAAGGTACTCAGACGCGCTACTAACCTCATCTCTGGTATGGAGAGATCTCTTGCCAGCGCCAAAACCTCTAGCACCAGCACCTCTGCTTTCGTGGTGTTTATGTTCATCGTGGCCGTGGTGCTTGTGTTCGCCCTTGTGGTTGATTGCCTCCTCAGAGTAGAGCTCTGGGTAGTACTCGCCGCTTGAATTGAGCTCTTTCTCCTCATCGTGGGTCAAGTGGTGGAAGTCAATGCGACCATCGTGCTGTACTGTGTGAGATAGTAAAGGTACTCAGACGCGCTACTAACCTCATCTCTGGTATGGAGAGATCTCTTGCCAGCGCCAAAACCTCTAGCACCAGCACCTCTGCTTTCGTGGTGTTTATGTTCATCGTGGCCGTGGTGCTTGTGTTCGCCCTTGTGGTTGATTGCCTCCTCAGAGTAGAGCTCTGGGTAGTACTCGCCGCTTGAATTGAGCTCTTTCTCCTCATCGTGGGTCAAGTGGTGGAAGTCAATGCGACCATCGTGCTGTACTGTGTGAGATAGTAAAGGTACTCAGACGCGCTACTAACCTCATCTCTGGTATGGAGAGATCTCTTGCCAGCGCCAAAACCTCTAGCACCAGCACCTCTGCTTTCGTGGTGTTTATGTTCATCGTGGCCGTGGTGCTTGTGTTCGCCCTTGTGGTTGATTGCCTCCTCAGAGTAGAGCTCTGGGTAGTACTCGCCGCTTGAATTGAGCTCTTTCTCCTCATCGTGGGTCAAGTGGTGGAAGTCAATGCGACCATCGTGCTGTACTGTGTGAGAGTCTAAAGACAAACAGCATAACAACCTACTTTATCTCTAACACGGAGAGCTCTCTTGCCGGCACCAAAACCTCTGACATCAAGAGGAGCAGCCGTAGAAACGGAGAGGACGGCAGCGACGACGAGGAGAGCGATTGATGATCTCATTGTTGCACGGTGTGTTGTGTTGTAGTATGAAAAGAAGCTTAAAATCCTATTTAACTTGCTCGTGCATTCCCCACATTTTAGCGTCAAACTAATTTTTTTCATCTTCAAACATGCATGACTTGAGAGGTATGAATGTCTATCTACATCATATATTGTAGTCAGTTCATGAGATATCAATCAGTGAAAGTAAAGATCATATCGATTATGTCTTGAGGAATTCCAAACCGGTAGAGAACATTCTTAAGTTTAGAGAATAAAATTTATTAAGGATGCTTAGTACAAATACTCCAATTTAATTCAGTGTGTTGAGTGATCAAGAATGCGAGAAGAGACGAGTGAGAATTGAAGAAGTCAAGACATCTACCATTGTCCATAACCTATTAAGCTTATTGTTGTTGCTGCTGCTGAATTCTTTCCCGTTGGGTTTGGATAGATTGCTGGAGCTGCTCTTGCTGGTATTGTTGTTGCTCCTTCTCCCAAGCAGTTTCTCTCTTCCATTGAGCTTGACCTTGACCTTTGCCGTGTTCGTAGTTCTCTTCACCCCATAAGCATTCGAGGTATTGACCAGATTGGACAGCGTGTTCAATCTCTTCATGGCTCATGTGGCAGTGGTTATCGCCATGACCGCCTTTCTCGCCGTGACCATGCTCGCGACCATGTTCTTCACCGTGGCCGTGGTCGTGACCGTGACCATGCTTTTGCTCTTGCTCATGTCTCTTCCATTGACCTTGAACTTGACCTTGACCTTGAACTTGACCTTGACCTTGAACTTGACCTTGACCTTGAACTTGACCTTGACCTTGAACTTGACCTTGACCTTGAACTTGACCTTGACCTTGAACTTGACCTTGACCTTGAACTTGACCTTGACCTTGAACTTGACCTTGACCTTGAACTTGACCTTGACCTTGAACTTGACCTTGACCTTGAACTTGACCTTGACCTTGAACTTGACCTTGACCTTGAACTTGACCTTGACCTTGAACTACCTTGCTCGTGACCATCGCCACGCTTGTGGTGATCATGGTGATCATCGCCTTGGTGAGCTTGCTGGTGTTCTTGTTGTTGGATACGTTCACGTTGGGTTTGGATAGATTGCTGGAGCTGCTCTTGCTGGTATTGTTGTTGCTCCTTCTCCCAAGCAGTTTCTCTCTTCCATTGAGCTTGACCTTGACCTTTGCCGTGTTCGTAGTTCTCTTCACCCCATAAGCATTCGAGGTATTGACCAGATTGGACAGCGTGTTCAATCTCTTCATGGCTCATGTGGCAGTGGTTATCGCCATGACCGCCTTTCTCACCGTGACCGTGTGTGTCACCATGCTCGCGACCGTGACCTTGCTCGTGACCATCGCCACGCTTGTGGTGATCATGGTGATCATCGCCTTGGTGAGCTTGCTGGTGTTCTTGTTGTTGGATACGTTCACGTTGGGTTTGGATAGATTGCTGGAGCTGCTCTTGCTGGTATTGTTGTTGCTCCTTCTCCCAAGCAGTTTCTCTCTTCCATTGAGCTTGACCTTGACCTTTGCCGTGTTCGTAGTTCTCTTCACCCCATAAGCACTCGAGGTATTGACCAGATTGGACGGCGTGTTCAATCTCTTCATGGCTCATGTGGCAGTGGTTATCGCCATGACCGCCTTTCTCGCCGTGACCATGCTCGCGACCATGTTCTTCACCGTGGCCGTAGTCGTGACCATGACCCTCAACTTGCTCGTGACCGTGACCACCGCCGCGTTTGTGGTGATCATGATGATCATCGCCTTGGTGAGCTTGCTGTTGTTGCTGCTGCTGAATTCTTTCACGTTGGGTTTGGATAGATTGCTGGAGCTGCTCTTGCTGGTATTGTTGTTGCTCCTTCTCCCAAGCAGTTTCTCTCTTCCATTGAGCTTGACCTTGACCTTTGCCGTGTTCGTAGTTCTCTTCACCCCATAAGCATTCGAGGTATTGACCAGATTGGACAGCGTGTTCAATCTCTTCATGGCTCATGTGGCAGTGGTTATCGCCATGACCGCCTTTCTCACCGTGACCGTGTTTGTCACCATGCTCGCGACCGTGGCCTTGCTCGTGTCTGTGCTCTTCACCGTGGCCATTTCCCTGTCCGAATCCTGAGCGTCTACCGTGCTCGCGATCCTCTTGCTCCTTCTTGTGCTCAACGACGGCGTGCTTCTTTGCTTCAAAGTCATCTTGACGCTTGTGGTGGCCTTCGTGACCGCCGTGGACATCGGCTGCAGTGATTCTGTGACCGTGACCATCTTCACCACCATGTGGACCAGCTGGTGATCCAATAGGGCCTCCGTGGCCGTGGAAAGGTGCCTTATTGCCCTGCTATAAGCGTGTTAGATGGTTGTGCAGATAGTAAGACACCACCCACCATTTCGCCGTGGCCGTGTTGCTGCTCTTCGTGACGCTTTCCTTTAGCGCCCTTTGAAGGTGCAGCTTTGGTTGCTTTTCCGCCGCCTTTACCCATGTTCTCCATGCCTTGGAGTCCCTTGGTGAGCGGGTCGGTGACTTTCTGGATGAGGCCGCGTTGCTCAAGTGGAGCAGCTGTGGAGGCTGAGAGAATAGATGCGACGAGAGCGATGAGTGTGATTGAGAACCTCATTGTTTAGTTGTGTAGGAGAGATGTGAGTGATAGTGAATCAACGAGGACAGCAGCCAGCTTAAATAGCTAATCTTAGTTGACACATACCAGCTTCACATTTCTTGTTGAAATTCCAATCGCGCTGCGTTTCTTGATTTGACAGACATGGTGGTTGGAATGCAAGGGACGTGTGGCGGTGAGAAGGCGTGATGAGCAATAAGTCAGCAACAAAATCGTGGGTTTTACTGTCTCCACCTGGCTCACCACGCTCACACCACTCAATCCCTTCCCCCGGTGTCACCAGATAACAGTGCTGCCTAATGACGTAATGACGTAATGAGATATGCGCGACAAGGCATTTCATCCACCCCAACGGAAGGCATGAGGGGAAGTAGGCATGAGGGAGAGAATGCTGGTTACCAGAAACGATAAACCTGAGTTTTGAACGACGACGATAGGTTGGTCAGTAGAGTACAAAGCAATAACACAGCAATGTCTTTACTTTCGAGAGCCGCTGAAATGCTACCAGTGAGTTTTGATCTGCTAAAAAGTACCGATTAGGCGTCTGACAAGTGGACATTAGAGCGCATTGTCAACGCCCTCAAACACATCAAACTCACCGCAACCACACAAACCCAATGACGGTATCACTAATGGCGTTATAGCGGCTGTGACTATCGCATCCGTTATCCTCGTCGCTGCACTGCTCGCTATCATCACCTACGTTATCCGCACACGCAGGGACATAATGGAAGAACGCAAGTCGACGCGTTTTGCCAATTCGGTCGGTAAGAGGAATGTCTCACCCACGCTTGAGAGTGCTAGGGCCAAGCTGCGTGAGAAGCTGTCGATAGATGTTCCAATAAGCAGATCTAACACCACGTCTTCATTCGGCGACAAAGATAAAGATAAGGATGGCATCAGCGTTAGTGAAAGCTACGACGAAGAAGCAGATTTCGGCAACTGGAGGGAATCTGCACCACAACTGCTGCGTGGGTTTAGTAGCAACTCGGAGACCTACACGAAGCGTCAATCTACAGCACCTTCGGCAACCTCACCAATATCACCATTCTCAGAGAAGAAGACTGGTTCATTCATTTTCCCGCCAATGCCATCGACACCGACATACATTGACGATCTACCTCAATCACCACTTGAAAGCCCCACGGCAGACGTCCGCACGGTGAAACTGGCATTCATGCCGACCATGTCGGACGAGATAGCAGTGGTGACGGGCGACACAGTACTCCTTCTCAAAGAGTGGGACGACGGGTGGGCATACGTTGTCAAGCTGAATAAGGAGGGCGAATTCAAAGAAGAGGGAGTAATCCCGCTCGAAAGCCTAGTCGACAACTCACCACAGTCGCGTAACTTTGCACAAAGTGTTAAGCAGATACCCTCGAGAATGTCGCTGGTCAAACCATCTAAATCGAGCATTGGCTCGCGCAGAAGCGGCGTGAGGAACAGCAGCATTAGGGTATGAATGTTAGTCAGCAAGCACATTACCAACAAAATGGACACTACTAAGATATCACTCTCACTTGATCCCTGGAGGAACCTCTATCTCTTCTATATTCAATCTCACTGGCCTTTTCTACACCGACTAATACACTCCACGTTCGTTTAATTTCGTTGTATCATATGCGAATAACATTTATACTTTGTGATGAATGACGAGTGATTGAGTGATATAAGTTGAGTTGAGTTGATTTTCAAGATGAATGCAAAATCCACTAGTTAGATTCGAGTAAAAAGACACTAGTGGCGACGTTTTGAATGCTAAGAGGGTCGCTTGACTGTGTGGGCTGATAAGTGGGGTAAACGACGAGGCCATCGTCGCTGAGGCGCCAGTTGAGTTTTTTGAGGACTGTAGCGGGGATTGGTTGAGTGAGTGAATAAGTGAGTGCACAAAGCAAAAACTCACCACCGACGAGCTCTTTCTGCCCCACAAACCATCCAACACTCTCACCGACCGTGGTCAAAGGCAGAGCTGAGCAAGTTTTAGCCAAAACGTTCAAAATTCTCGAGAAAGTGGAATCCTGCAATGCTCCTACCGCGTCGGCAAAGACGCGCGTAGTAGACTCGTTGATGAGTGGTGCATAGCCATCCACTTTCACTTCCATCTCTTTCTTCAACTGAGACAATGCCTTGAGCGCGTCTGTGTAGCATCTGGCGGAGTAGTGATGCGCAACGATGCGGAGCCCTTCGATTGCCCCCGCTTTTTGCGCAGACGGTGAAGCAGGTGCTGGGCATCTATCCAAAGTATTCAGCGCCACTGGACTGTGTGCAACTTGAGAATCAAGGATTTCGCGCTACAAAACACGAAGACTCACACTTCACTCTCTGCCATAAGTTGAGCTAGTGCCCCAAATGCATGAACGCCTTCCCACAGTGCATCTTGGGCGGATACAGCGTATACAGTCTCTATTGTGAATGCTGCATGGGAGAGTGCACCCCAGTGGGAATGGCGCGCTAGATCGAGCAGCGAAGCGAACGGTGAAGCCAGTGGACTATCCTCAGTAATGTTGTTTCCAGTCCCACTACCACCCACGGGAGATGGCGCAGCAGGTGTCACTGGCCCTGCTTCAAGAGGCGACTGCTGCGGCGAGTTGGCGCGTGAGAGCGCAGGCGTCGGCGGAATTAACCCGGGTACAGTTGTAGCTGATATCTCTGTGTCGTCCATTATCTTTTTTTGGTTTGTGCAATGATGGGTGTTTGTGATAACGAGATAGATGGCGCAATGACATGATGAGACGATAACGATAACGCAGTAATGCAAGTGCAGTCTATCAATGCTATCTAATAAAGTTACAATTAAAGTATTCATCACAACACAACGGGCCGTTCAACCTCTTTAAGCCACTCATCCCATGCTCTACCTGGGCCTTCTGTGATGATAGACAATTTTCCATTCAGCCACCTATGTACGCGCTCTTGGTCGTGTTTTTCCGCGTCCTCATCGAGTACACTCAAGTCGCCGTGCTCGCCATGCAGAGAAAGGATGGACCACCCGACGACAATCATCCCAGGAGGGCGTTGATCGCCAGCGCCTTCATAAGCCTTAACTATCCCGTCCAGTGTGCTCATCACGACGCGCTGCGACGGTGACGAAGCCTGCTCGATTACAGCTACGGGTACGAAAGGCGGGTAACTGAGCTGAGCGAGGCTTTCGACCAGCTCCCGCAATCTCGCTACGCCCATGAGGATAGTCAGTGTGCGAGCGCGCGCGTATTCCGGCACACTCAGCACCCGACCTCCTCTTCCGACGCCCGTGCACAGCAGAAACGAGTCAGAAGCCCCGCGCTGTGTCACCGGTATGCCACCCATAAGCGGCGCCGCCATGGCGGACGAAAGGCCGGGTACTACCACTGCCTCGTAGCCTTCGCGACGGAAATGAATCACTTCCTCTCCTCCTCGCCCGTAGACGAATGGGTCGCCCTGCTTTACTGCTGAATGTTAGTAGGTGGCTTTGGATGCAATTGGGATGGTACACTCACACCGCACTACGACTTGGCCAGATCGAGCTCCGTCAACGGCCCACTGCATGAGCTCCGCCTGGGCTCCCTCAGCATTACCTGGAAATTTGCGTGCGATGCGCACCTCTGTCGACTGCGGAACTACCTTGAGCACAGCTGCGGGGACAAGCTTGTCGGAGAGAACTAGGTCGGCTGTCTTGAGTGCGCGGTAGGCAGCTATTGTGAGAAGCTCTGGCGAGCCAAGACCTGCGCCTACGAGTACAATGTGGCCTTTGCGCGGTTTGGGTGATTGAGGGGGTGCTAGTGATAGCGCGTGTCTATCGTGTGGAGGTGGAAGGGGCCACTGAGGGACAAATTCCGTCTTGGGAGTGCGCGGCTGGTGAGGCTCCCCGTAAGCGTCAAGTAAACTGTCTATATCAGCCTCATCCATCTTGGCGAGATGTTCAAGTGGCCAGTACTCAGAAATCTGTGCGACCCAGCGCATTCTCCGCAGAGCTTTATCGGAGGCATGTTCAGTGGTATTATCCCGACTCAACTGAGGCACGGCTGCGTTGAGATTGTCGAAATCAGCCAATTCTTCACTCAGACTGGATTGCGACGTTGTTCGCTCGAGTTTCATCCGGGAGAGGTATCGCTTGGCACGGGAACGGAGGAGACCAATGTTGTGTACAGCTGAGCCAATATTTTTAGGGAGGAGAGCAATAGTCTCGCGCTTAATACGAGAAGCGAGTCTGCAGCCCTTGGAGTTTGTTGTAACGGCGAGCTGGAGCGGAGAAGGAGAGCCATCAGGGAGGCTGAATCTGTGCGAAGTAGGAAAAGAGAAGTCACAGAGAAGAGGATGATCGGTTACGTTGATTGGGATGTTGAGTGAGTGTGATAACTGGACGAGTGAGTGGATTGAAGGTGAATTGTCGTGGCTATCGTTGATGCCACAGTCCGTTATAGTGGCTATAGTGGTGGATGTGCGTGTACAGCAGCTTCTAAAGGCCGCCTCAAGCTGAGAATGGCTTGTGGCTGTTAAATACTCAATTTGATCAGCAGAAACACGAAATTTGATCTCATCGCAGGCAGAATCTAATCCACAGCCAATCACAACGACGTTACATCCAGCGTCTAATCCAGCGAAAGATCTCGACGCAGCCAATGAGTTGTGACCGATGACAATGAGAGATTTATTGGTAGAATTGAGTGCGATTAAGAGAGATCCATGGCCAGCGGGTGATTTGTACATGCCCAAGTACAGCAATTTGATGATGAACGTTGGTGATCAACCGACAGCCACAGCCATTACCTTATCTTCGAACCACCAAGGCTCATTCAACAAGGAAATGAGAAAATGTTGTACAAGCAACGTTTGCTGCTGTGGTGGGTGATATACGCGTCTAAAATATACATTCCAATGAAGCACAGCAATTCCAATGGTTAACATCGGCGTATACGCAATGCTATTCGAGTTTATAGTGCGGTGATCAGCAGACTTTTCAGAACAAACTGTAACTCCCCACCAGATCCTTGGTCTTGCCACTGCTATCGTTACTTTCGCTACCCAGCGAGGTCGGTGCACTGCAATAAACTGCGCAATCACTGACGCAATCCCCAGTGATGGCTGCGACTGCAATCCCTGAATGGCCTTCTTACATTCTCGGTGTTCTATGTCTCCTTGTTGTCGTCATCCAGCCCATCGGCTTCATTGGCGTGTTCAAGGAGAAGTTCAGGCTTTTCCGCCGCTTCCATTGGTTAAACACTGCTTTAACGTTAGTTGGGGTGTTTGCTTGAGGTGCTCCACTCACTCTACATCTAGCCTCGCTGCATTTGCCTGCGCCCTCGCTATTATCATCGCTATCGCTGCTAAGCAGAGCGACGCCGTAAGCCAGTGTAGGTAGTATGAATCTAACTATCTACTATCTAATCCATTTCAGGCCAATCCGATTACTACCCACCCTTCCCCCAGGCTTCCTTCTCCTTATCACAGTATTCAGACGACATTTGCAATATTCTTTCATGGGTTGATGTCGGCTTGATGGGTCTTATCTGGCTAATTATGATTCTCGTACAGGTGCGTACAATGTCATTATTACAGATTTATACTCATCCACACTCCTCCTCAGGGCTATTTCCTCTTCATCCAACGCCGGTACTCCTCAGCTCAGCGCAGTGACCATAGCAAATACGAATCGCTTTACAACGCCCCGGACAACTACATGATGGCCACGCGCGAGAATGCCTGGGACGCGCGCAACTCCAACGACGCATACGCCCTCCAAAGTCTACCCTCGCACAAGCACTCTTACACCCCCACTTCCACTCACTCTCCACCACCTCAAGAGAGCCACCAAGCATACAACGCATACGACTCATATTCCCCTCATTACGCCGACAAACCAACTCCTCCGCTGCCATATGGTGCGCGTGAGTAGCCCTTATCCTTAACCTAATTTATCACTTGTACTTGTTCAAAATGAAGAATATATTACTAGCTATACAAAATGTTTCGGAAAGTGTCTCAAAATTACGTAGAATTTTCGTCAATCTGCATCGGGAACTGTAAAATACGCTCTACGTCAGGCTATCACCACGAGGCGGTGGCTGAGGCATGGAGTCCATACGCTTGTTTATATTTAGTGGCGCTGTACTGTCGCTTGATGGGCTGTCGCTGACTCTGTCTCGATTGCCTCTCTTGAAAGCGCCCGCGGTGAGTGTGCGAGGGCTGGTTCCACCATGGTGCATTGGAGGGGAGAAAGTGACGTGGGGCGAGTTGTTCTGTGAATGTGTGTATGTGTACGTGTGTGCATTTGCATTCGCATACGGCGAATCATACATCTGCATTGGTGCATTCGCAACTCCTCCTGGTGGTGTATCATACGGGTTGATCAGTGGGGAAGTGATTTCCGACGGTGCAAATGTGCGGTATGAGTGGGAATTCTCCATACCACCATCTTCCTTAGGTGGGGCTGGCGGGGCTGGCAGGGCTGCTCTCTCTACCTCTGCGTCTCTCTCCACCTCCCTCTTTATCCCACTCCCGTCAACTCTCTCATCTAAGGTATATGGCGCCTCGTTGAGCTGATATCTCGGTATGTCGTCCGCCAAGTGTGTTTGCGCGTGTGAGGATGCGTCTGAGAGAGCAAAAGCAGGAGCAGGAGCAGGAGCACTGTCTTCATACTGGTCGTTGTATTGGTTGTTGTAGTTCGAGTCACCTCTGTGAGTGTGCCCCTCGTTATAGTTGTAACCGTAGTTATAAGCAGGAGGCAGCGGTGACGCCTCGCGCGACTCCCCTTCCTCCTCCTCTTCCAGCCCGATTCCATGTATGGCTCCTTCTCGCCTGTCTACTTGGGGGCTGTCTGGCTGGGCGAAGTGCACCTGTGGAGTGTGTGCGGTGTGTGGTTGTGATACCTCGTATGAGTGCGGGTGTAAGTGTGGATGTGTGTGTGGGTGTGTGTGTGAGTATCCCGGTGCATCAACACCACTCTCCCTCTCCCCTTCACCACCTACATCCACACTCGACAGATTAGGCGGCGTTACATTCTCGGCTTCGGGAGCATTGGGCTGCACATACTCACTCTCACGCTCACTTTCCCCACCTACGAGTATGACGCTCGGTTTAGTGTTGAGTATAGGTGCGGGAGTGACGCTGCTCGCGCCGACGCCCCCGCCTACACTTTCGCCTGTGCCTCCCCACACAGGTGCATCATTGTATCCTCCGGCGTGGTTACGCGCAAAGAAAGCGCTGCTGTCGTAGTCATACTGTGCGTTCTCGCCGCGCGCGCGTCTAAGAGAGTTAGCTGAGGGGACTGGGGAACTGTGTGTGTGGTGGTGGTAGAGGGGTGTGTCGTCTTTTTCGGAGCTAAAGCTGCCACGCGGCTTTTGATCCATGTGCAACAGCGGTGGTGGCTGTGGGGGTGACTGAGACTTGGCTTCATCATACGCATTACTGTATGCGTTGGGGTTGTTGCTGGTGCGGAAATCGCCATTGCTGTCAACAGAGTTGAGTGATGCCGATGCTGTGTGGTAACCCATCCACGGCTTGGTTTCTGGTGCAACTTGCGGCAAGTCGTCAACAGCCGCGGCAGCTTCTACATCCGCTTTCAAAGCGGAATCTACTGTGTCTGCGAGGTTTACATCGCGGCTGTCGATGCGTGGTGCAAAGTCGTTGGCTGAGACATCCAGCTCAGGTGGTCGAGATGTAAGAGGAAGTGGTCCAAAGGAAACTTGAGCAAGAGCCTTCTCTGCCTCTTCTATTATATGAGCCGTTTGCTCACTCCCGCTATAAACAGGATGTGGCTGTCCCGGGGAGGACGATTCGAGCTGTATCTCCTACAGAGGTCTGTTAGCCGCACAAACACACCCACTAAACAATGTCCACTCACCTCTAAAAGCAACTTTCCCATTTCACCAACGATCGACACTTTCTCAGCATATTCGACGAGGCTGCAGAATTTGTATCCTAGTGCCGTCTTTGTTGTTGCGCGTTTGTAGTCCCAAAGCACCGCCTCGGAGTTAAGCACTTCTACGTCAAGCTCCGACGCCTGCTGACGGAAACTCTCGAGAAGCTGCGTCTGCTGCGGGAGGTTCTTATTCTCAGTGTTCATCTTTGCGAGTTTCTTCTCGGCCGACTCGATTTTGCCAGCGAGAGCCTTCCTGCGCTTCTTGACGTCGTCGAGCTCCTCCTCGCGCGTGCGGATGCGCTTGAACTGCTCGCGTATCTTTGACTGGTAGGACGCGGCAGTGGAGGTGGCAGCAGCCAAGTGGTGAATGAGGGTGGAAGCAGCCCCGCAGACATCCTGAGAGGGATAATTAGGCGTTGGTCACGGGAAAAGAGGGAAATCACCTTGAGATCATCACCCTCTCCCCATCCCCAGCTCTTGAGATTCTCAGCCACCTTCTCAACTTCCCTGGATGCGTGCATTGTACTGAGGCTGTTAGCTGCGGTTATCGCCCACTGAGATTGCCCGCGTACCTCGCCATGGAAACTTTCTCGGATGTGATGACGTCCTGGAGCACCTTGATATCTTTGTTGCCAAGCGCAGACAGGAACTGGTTGTGCGCCATCTGCGTCTTAAGGCTGCCGAGTTTACCTGACATGGACATCTTTCGTCCGTGGTGGTGATTGTAGTTGTGAAAGCGGTGCTGGCGCAGAACCAAGTCAAATCACAACAAAAATATAAAGATATACACAGATTTGAATACTTATTGTACATGTTGTAATGTGTTCTACGCGTCTTATCAATTACCCGCTGCAAACAAACCATTACGCGAATCACTTTAATCTACGTCTGGATCACTACCACTGCCACTGCCACTGCCACCACTACCCAATCCCCGCTCACTTTCCCTTCTCCTCGGAAACTCCCGTCTCTTATCGCGCTTGGTCATCTCCTTGTCCTGCAATCACATGACGAATAAACATTCCAGTGAATATTTGAATGAATCAACCCACTTTCTTAACCAGTTGGCGCTCTTTTGCAGACAGCTCCAATTCAAGCTGGCGTATTCTCTTCAACAACGCGTGCGTGGCGGTGTTACCGTTGCTGTTGCTGTTGCTGGCTGGATTCGTGAGCCAAAGAGATGAAAATTGGTCAAAACACACCTGCAACACTCCTATCCATCCTGCTCAACTCCAAACTAGCCATATCACGCCTGTGTGCCTGTGAGTGTGTAAGTGGGCGTGTGGTGAGTGAAAACTTTCCCACTTTATACTCTGAACCGAATTTGATGATACTGCCTTTTATAGCGTCATGCATTCTATCCCGCCTTTCAAAATCAGCCACTTTGTTTTTCAGAACTGCATTCTCATCCATTAGCTGCTTAATGACGTTACTGGCGTTGTCTAGAGTATCACGTGTACCACGTGTCTCAGATGAGAATTGTGGAGATTGAGGCGATTGAGCGAATGGCGTGAAATTTAGAGAATAAGATTTGAAATTACTCAGCAAGTTTGTTGCTGTTTGTATAAACGAGGGCTTGTCAGTGTCATCGAGCAATTCATATGAACCCGCCAAGTCGTTGGTAGTGCTGTACTCCCCGTCCAAAGGAGCAGACGCAAATGCTACTGGATTGCTCATATCACGTATTAGACCCTCAATGTTATCAAAGTATTTGTTAAATCGATCATCGTAGACGCTGCTTATTTCCTGTTGTGATGGCTCTGGTAATGGCTCTTGTTCTGGCTCTGGCAGTGGCTGCCGCTGCTGCCTAATCTCCAACGATTCCGCCTGCAACTTATGCTGCACAGACAAACTCCTCAACTGCTTTGATAGCTTGTTATCGCTCGATTGATTCGCAGCCAATTCAAATCCCCGTTTTGCCTTGTTGTGTGAAATAATTGCCATTTCATAATTATTCGACTTCAGATAATTGATTGCCAGCTCAGATTCTATTTGCGCATTCACTACGGGTGAAATACTCGAGTTTTCCATCGTTCAAGTCGACGGCCATCTCCTAAAGCACAGAATGGGCAGGAAATCAAGTAATAAAATAACCAAATGTAATCTCAGCCTTTTCTAACACGCTACACAGAGCAGAAGCAACAGGATCCAGTCCCTCACCAGCCTAGACAAGCTCACGGCACACGAGTCACAAAGAGGAAGGCAAAAGACGCTGCACTTGACACCTCAAATAAGAAATCAAAGCAGGTGAACCAGGCCAAGCAGCCAAGAAAACCAAAGCAACCTTCTTCTTCTCCTTCGATCCACTCTGAGGATGAGCAAGATGAGCAAGATGCCTCTGATGATGCCTCCGAAGCCTCCGAATCAGCCTCCGATAACCTCCAGGACTTACAAGGCTCTGATGATGACGACGAATTTGATCTCGACGCCAGTGACGCTGATGCTCCTCAAAATCCTCCCCAGCAACTCGTCTTCTCTGATCAAGATGATAGCGAGGATGGCTCACAAGACTCAGACGCAGATTCAGACTCAGACGAGCAATCTGATGTTCAAGGCGCTGAGCCTAGAAGAGAGAAACTCTCCGCCAAAAAATCCAAAAAATTGGATCAAGAAGCCCTCCTTGAAGCTGCAGACGCAGAAGCAGAAATGATTAGAACTAACATTGCTGGTCTCGAGCCTAACGAGATGGGTGAGGTCGATGATGATATGGTTCTCCCCACTCAAGAGGATAAGGAGAGAGAGGCTACTGAGGGTGCTGACGCCCAAACCGTTTACGGTCGTATAGGCGATATTGTCCGCATTCTAGGCGACTTTCATCGCTTTAAGGCTGCTAACAGGAGCAGAGCTGATTACACTGATCAGCTTGTTGCTGATATTGCTAGTTACTATGGCTACACTCCGTTCCTCGCTGAGAAACTTTTCTCCATGTTCAGTCCTGATGAAGTGAGTAGAGAGTTGTGCATTCGTATCACCTCTCACTCCCTTCTCTCCAGTCTATTGCCTTTTTTGACGCTAACGAAACTCCACGTCCTGTTACCATTAGAGCTAACACCCTTAAAACCCGCAGGAGGGATCTCGCCCAAGCACTCATTAACAGAGGTGTCTCTCTAGAGCCAATCGGTAAATGGACCAAAGTTGGTCTACAGATATTCGACTCTAGTGTTCCTGTCGGTGCAACGCCAGAGTATTTGGCTGGTCACTACATGCTCCAATCTCCATCATCATTCCTTCCCGTTATGGCACTCGATCCGAAAACAAATGAGCGTGTACTTGACATGGCTAGTGCTCCAGGTGGTAAAACAAGCTACATGTCCGCTTTGATGCAGAACACGGGTGTCGTTTTCGCCAATGATGCCAACGCTTCAAGGACCAAGAGTCTTAGTGCGAATGTGCACAGGCTTGGCTGCAAGAATGTAGTCGTCTGCAGCTACGATGGTAGACAATTCCCCAAGGTTATTGGAGGGTTTGATAGGGTGTGAGTTGGATGGTTGTGTGTTGACGTATTATTCTGACGCTTTTCTAGATTGTTAGATGCACCATGCAGTGGTACGGGTGTCGTATCTAAAGACCAGTCGGTAAAGGTGAACAAGGTGAGTGAATGTCTTGAAGATAGAAGCAAGCTAAAAAGACCCCAGACTGAACGCGACTTTGCACTACTCTCGCATCTTCAGAAACAACTTATTCTCTGTGCGATAGACTCTATTAACACAAAATCATCAACTGGCGGATACGTAGTGTATTCGACGTGTTCAGTGACGGTAGAGGAGGATGAGGGAGTGGTAGATTACGCGCTGAAAAAGAGACCAAATGTGAAACTTGTTCATACTGGGCTCGAATTCGGTGTAGAGGGATTCACAAACATTGGCGGAAAGAAGTTCCATAAGGATATGCACCTCACTAGGCGCTTCTATCCACACGTGCACAACATGGAAGGATTCTTTGTGTCCAAGCTGCACGTACTGCCGAGAGCCGTAGTGAAGAACAAGCTGGCGCAGCAGGAGAAGAATGACGCTGACGATACTGGAGTTCTCGTTGATGACGATGAGGATGAAAAGGAAGCGGGAGATGTCACCTTCAATGATGATGAGGATAAGCAGTTGATGCAGAAAAATCAACGCCGCCAACAGAAAGCGAAGGGTATTAAGCCATCTAAGCCAACAACCAAGTAATTTATTAAGTCTCTTTGTTATCCGATATACATATTTAGACATGGAATAGACCTGGGAGGATGAATGGGCGGTTGAAATAGAAATAAAATAATGTTGAGACAGCTGTAGATATTTTAAACAACCTTACGCAGCTCACTGTGCCACTCAAGAAATTTAGTGATATCCAACATATGATTCGCCGCCTCGCCTCATCTCTTCTCATCCATCATCATGCTTAGATTGAGAAATATCCGCGGCTGTGGGTTTTAAAGGGAAACACAGATATAAACCTCTTACATAACTCAGCGCCGCTTTCTAGACGTGCTTTCTCGACTTCGGCCGTTGTTTCGAGAGTTGTGGCCACCGACCCAGTCAAGGCGAAGCACGCAGAGAACAATGTGAGTGCTGTGGCCGGAATTGCTGTAAAATAGCTCACGCTGCCATTCGAGGGATTTGCTGCTTCCAACTACCCAGTAATCGATCATGAATACGATGCAGTCGTCGTCGGTGCCGGCGGTTCTGGTCTTCGTGCCGCTTTCGGTTTGGCAGAGGCTGGCCACAAGACAGCTTGTATCACTAAGCTGTTCCCAACGCGCTCGCATACTGTCGCTGCTCAGGTAACGTTACTTGATGCACGCCACACCCATCTCACTTAAAGACAGGGCGGTATCAACGCTGCACTTGGCAATATGACAAAGGACGACTGGAGATGGCACATGTACGATACTGTGAGTGGTATTAACGCGTTTTAGCCCGTTTTCCCCACTCACATCCGATAGGTCAAAGGCTCTGATTGGCTCGGTGACCAAGACGCAATCCATTACATGTGTCGTGAAGCGCCACGCACCGTCGTCGAGCTGGAGCACTACGGTGTTCCTTTCTCTCGTACCGCCGATGGAAAAATCTACCAGCGTGCATTTGGTGGTCAATCACTTGAGTACGGTAAGGGTGGCCAGGCGTACAGGTGTGCAGCTGCTGCAGACCGTACTGGGCACGCTCTCTTGCACACGCTCTACGGTCAATCACTTCGCCACGACACAAACTTCTTCATCGAATATTTTGCACTCGACTTGATCATGGAAGATGGCGAGTGTGTCGGTGTAATGGCGCTCAATATGGAGGATGGCACTCTGCATCGTTTCAGATCACACAACACGGTTCTCGCTACCGGTGGTTACGGTCGCTCATACTTCTCGTGCACCTCTGCACACACCTGCACAGGTGATGGTAATGCGATGGTTTCTAGAGCTGGCTTGCCGCTCCAGGATCTTGAGTTTGTGCAGTTCCACCCTACTGGTATTTATGGTGCGGGCTGTCTCATCACGGAGGGATCACGTGGTGAGGGTGGTTACCTTCTCAACTCTGAGGGTGAAAGATTCATGGAACGTTACGCACCAACTGCAAAAGATTTGGCTTCACGTGATGTCGTCTCTCGTTCGATGACGATAGAAATACGTGAAGGAAGAGGTGTGGGTCCGGAGAAGGACCACTGTTACCTCCAACTGTCTCACTTGCCACCTGATGTGTTGCACGAGCGACTTCCAGGTATTTCAGAGACAGCAGCCATCTTCTCTGGTGTAGATGTCACCAAAGAGCCAATCCCAGTATTGCCAACGGTGCACTACAACATGGGTGGTATACCAACGAAATGGACAGGAGAGGTTTTGTCAATCGATGAGCAAGGCAAGGACAAGGTGGTACCTGGATTGTATGCGGCAGGAGAAGCAGCTTGTGTATCTGTCCACGGAGCCAACAGATTGGGAGCCAACTCACTCCTTGATATCGTTGTGTTCGGTAGGGCGTGCGCTAACCACATTCGTGACAACAACGAAGCTGGAAAGCCACACAAGAAGATTAGCGAAAATGCCGGGATGGGTAGTATAGAGAATCTTGACAAGGTGCGCAACTCTACTGGTCCAAAATCTACAGCGGATATACGTCTTGATATGCAGAAGGTTATGCAATCAGACGCAGCTGTATTCAGAACCGATCAGAGTTTGCAAGAGGGAGTGGAGAAGATGAAGAAGGTTTACGACTCGTATGCTCAAATTGGATTGAGCGATAGAAGCATGATATGGAACACAGACTTGGTGGAGAGCCTCGAATTGACAAATTTGCTCCAGTGCGCTATGCAGACTATCGTGGCTGCTGCTAATCGTAAAGAGAGCCGTGGTGCTCATGCAAGAGAGGACTTTAGCGAGCGCGATGATGAAAAGTGGATGAAACACACACTCACATTCCAGCCAGACGTAGAGAGCAATAACGTTGATCTTACGTACAGGGCTGTTGAGGGCGAGACGCTGGATGAAAGTGAGTGCAAGTCGGTACCGCCATTCCAGCGTTCATACTAGATGGGCTGAATTTGTAGCTGAATTTCATTGATAATATTGATAAGTATAAATAAATACATAATTTCTCCCGGGAAATCCCGGCTAACTTATGGTATTTCCACGCCGGCAATTCGGTTGAAAGCGTCTTATCGCACAACAACCATGACAAAAAACACAGAATTATTTAAAGATAAAGTGGCAATCATCACTGGCGCTGGTGGTGGACTTGGGAGATGGTAAGATGGTGATGTAGTTCGCGTATGCCACGCTGAAAGATTCAAAGCTACGCACGCCTCCTCGCACAGCACGGTGCTAAAGTCGTCGTCAACGATGTATCTCTCGACGCAGCTGACAAGGTTGTCGCGGAGATTAAGCAGAGTGGGTGAAGTTGGCAGTGGAAGTGGCAGATGGCTCAACGCACCCAACACAGCCGGTGGAGTGGCTATAGCCGATTCACACTCAGTGACAGATGGCGCGAACGTTATCCAGTCTGCGCTGTCTGCGTTTGGTACTCTGCACATACTTATCAATAACGCTGGTCTGTTTTCATTGTGATTGCGTCATTGCGATTTCTTATCACACCACAGGCATCCTCAGAGACCGCTCATTCGCCAAAATGTCAGATAAAGTGGGGTTTTATGAGTCCACAGCTACTCAACTCACATTTTACCCCAGGAATGGGACCAGGTCATCGATATCCACCTCACAGGCTCTTTCTCCTGCTCTAAAGCTGCTTGGCCTGTCTTTAGGAAGCAGAAGTTTGGCCGTATCATTAATACAGCCTCAGCCGCTGGTTTATAGTGGGTGCTGGTAGTGTACACAACCACGCAGTCTTCTAACTCCCCTTCAGCGGTAACAGAGGCCAAGCTGTATGCCGAGATCTGTCATATAATATCCACTAACAGCTTCACAGAACTATAGCGCTGCTAAAATGGGTCTCACCGCATTCTCCAAGACTTTGGCCAGTGCGTGTACCTTAGCTTAACCCACTCAATCCCTTACTCATTGCCTTCACTCCAGTCGAAGGCGCGAAATACAACATTCGTGCTAATACAGTCGTCCCAGTAAGTGGCTTTACAAATATTTGCACGCAGAAGAAATGACAAGAGGTAGATGGCCAAAAGCGCAATGGTGAGCGTGTTGTTGGCGTTATTTCATCTATTCTAACAATCAACTCACAGACTGAAACAGTCCTTCCAGTTGATATTCTTGAAAAGTTGCTGCCTGAGGCTGTCGCACCTTTCGTAGCGTTCCTTTGCTTGCCCGATGAAGCAGGCTCGCCCGAATCAGGGCCTATAACAGGGAGAGTCTTTGAAGTTGGTGCGGGTTACTGCACTGAATTGCGCTGGGAGCGTGCTAAAGGTGGGTTTATTGAGTTGAAAAGTCAAAACTGTCTCAGAACACTCTCTTACGTTTGCTGCAGGCCACATCTTCAAGCCAGATGACTCATTCACGCCGTCGGCTGTCAAGGCACAATGGCACAACGTCATGGATTTCAACCAAGGCAGAGAATACCCAAAGCGTGTCGAAGATTCCCACGGCAAGATAGAGGAAGTAACTAAAATGTCTCCTAAGATGCCCTCAAACACACAAGCAGAACCTGCAGTGCGTTTCGACAAACAGACTGTCATTATTACTGGCAGTGGGGCTGGTCTCGGACGCATCTACGCGCTCATGTTTGCCAGTCTGGGTGGGAATGTCGTTGTGAATGATGTCTCAGAGCAAGCAGCTCAGGGGGTAGTCAACGAAATTAAGGGTGGTGGGAAGGGCGATGCGGTTGCTGTTGTTACGAGTGCTGAAGATGGTGATGCACTCGTCAACGCTGCTATCAACTCGTTCGGCAGGATCGACGCACTCGTAGCTAACGCTGGTATTCTGCGCGATAAGAGTTTCGCAGGCATGACCAAACCTGAATGGGATGCAGTCCTCGCTGTTCATCTAAGAGGTACTTATAAGGTTGTATTGGTTTGGGTGTGGTGAGATGAAGCCTTCTGACAATGTTTTGCTAGTCAATTAAGGCCGTTTACCCGCTTTTCCAGAAACAAGGTTATGGGCGTATCGTCACTACGGCATCAGGTGTCTCGCTGCATGGTAACTTTGGACAGGCTGTGTGTATGCGGTGTGTAGACGATATTCACTCATTCAAAATCCTCGCAGAACTACTCCTCGGCCAAAGCTGCGATTATAGGCCTCACTCGCTCCGTTGCTATCGAGGGTGAGAAGTACGGGTAAGTGTTGAACCGGGTCCTCGGATCTCCGCCGCTGATGACATGTCGGTATTAGTATTCTCGCGAATGCGATAGTCCCGACGGCGGGAACTGCGGTGAGTGTGAAGTGTCTACACAAATGTGTGGAAGAAGAGCGATTGTACTAATGCGCCTATTTCAGATGACAGCGACAGTATGGCCAGAGGAGATGATAAAAATCTTCAAGGTGGGTTGAATGTGGTGTATTGCTAGCATTCACACGAACACTAACATATTTGCAGCCCGATTACGTTGCGCCGATAGTCGGCTATCTCGTCTCGAAAGGTGGGTATGAGTAAACAAATAAGCGGGGCACATCTAATAAACCCCACAGACAACGGGGATACGGGGCTAGTGGTGGAAGTTGCGGCGGGATGGTCAGCTGCCATACGTTACCAGAGAGGCGGCGGGCATCGCTTCGACGGGGCGAGATACGCGCCCGAGGATGTCGCGATGAATTGGAAGCGTATTGCAGGGTTTGAAGATGGCAGGGCACATTACCCGACGTCGACAGCTGACTCACTGATGAAGGTATGTGGGGTGTTTGCGTGGAGATGGTGTGCTGACCGCTGCTCGGCTGCAGTTCCTCGAGAGTGCCAAGGAAGCGAAGCTGTGATAGTAAACAAATGAACGTAGCTATTAAGCAACTTAACAACTGAATAAGTAACTTGGAATGATGAATTTTAAATTTACAAATTTTATGCGTCCACCGAGCAACCATATGACCTAGTGAGTCGGATGTGATGGGCGAGGGAGTGCGAGGGGATATCGGTAGCGGAGGAAGCGGAATGAATTGGGAGGCGTGAGTGATGGCTAAATACATAGCTCACTCCACGCTCACTTGAATTACCGCTGTGTTCCTGAGTGTTTAAAACCCGGGGTTCTCCGCAAAACTGGTTGGTGGAGTCAGTGTCGCGTGTGTGGTTGTAGAGGTACGATGAACACGCAGACGACGCAAACGGATGTGCATAGGCAGAGGTTTGTAGAGGGGAATGGGGGGAATAATAGGAGTGGAAGAGGGAGTGGGAGTGGTGCCGCTCACTTACCAAGCAGTGCGCCTACCAAGTTATTCCCGCTGCAGCTTCCAAGCAGAGAGAATTCAAGGCCCGTGAATCAGGTGCAATCACAGTCTCAGTCGCATCCACAGCAGCCCAAGTCCCAGTCACGCCATTTACAACTCCACCCACCTCCGCCACCACCACCACCAATCAAATCAGTCTACAGCGGTCCTATTCCACCACCATCACTGTTCAGACGGAGTAATGAGGATCTTAAAGCCCAGACGTCGCATACGGGGCACTCTAAGCACCCCGCACACCCCGCAAACAACTCCTTCCCCACTCTACCGCCGATCAGCAGCGTTGAGGGCGTCGTTGAGGAGAATGATGCAGGCACACGCAAGCGCAAATCACAGGATACAAGTGGCAGTTTTTCAGATGAGACACATGGTAAGCATCAGATGCAGATGCCGACGCAACAGACGCAACAGACGCAACAGTCACAGTACACTCACACACAACGCACCAAGAATGGCAGCGGTAACGGTAAAGCCAAAAGCGCGCGCAGACGTGCGTGCGAGGAGTGCGCACGCGCCAAAGCACGCTGTAAAGTGGAGCCAGGTGATGGAGTAACACCGCCAATGTGCACGAGGTGCAAGATGTACGGCCATTCGTGCCTCTTACCGGAGGGATATGTGATCGATAGCGACTGGATGGATGAGGATGTACAGACGCCGCGGAAGAGGGCGAGACGTAACACGGCCAACAGCAACAGTAACAGCAGTGGAGATGATAGAGGTAGGGAGAGGGATTGTGAGAGGGAGGGATATCTCGATGGTGTTGGTGTTAGGGATAAAGAAAGAGACACAAGTAGAGATAGGGATAGAGAGGTCGACTGGCATATGCATAGACGTCTCAGCGAAGCGTGGCAGTATCACCACGGCCACCCTTCACCTTCAAGTTATAACTTGATACCACCCGGTTTTGAACAACGCGAACAACGCGAACAACGCGAACAACGCGAACAACGGGATCAATGGGATCTTTACTCGCAATACTCACATTACCCTCAATATACCCAGCACACTCCTCACACCACTCAACAACCCCCTCAACCACCTAATAGATATGGATATCCTCAGATGCACTACTCACCAACAGTACCATCAGCACCTTCAGCACCTTCAGCACCGTCGATGGATGTAGCCTTCTTGCGTGGGTGGTATTAAACATACAAAATTCTCCCTAACACAAACACACACACAGAAGCTGAAATGGCTAGCTACCCTTTTCTCAGACACATTGCTGGCTATGATCTCAGCAGGTTGTCCTTGTTTCTTTCCGCGGCTGTACGTGTCGGTATTACGGGGATATACGCAGGCGAGCAGACGACGCAGGGGCACTCGCAGGGGCACTCACAGTCACAGCAATCCCAGCAGTCATCACAGCCAGCACAAGAGCCACGAGAGTAATTTGAAATATTCAAGAGAAAGATGTAAGACATGTAAGACATGTAGAATTAATTAAGTTATTACTTTATTTCGACGGCGATGGATCGACGGGTGAACCAAATTCAGTAGTCTTGTTGTCAATACCACGGCGAATGTGGTCGTCGTCGAGGTGATCGAGACGGTGCAGTTCGCTGCGAGTGTAATGCACGAGGCTGTTGAGGTGGATAGGGATAGCGACTTCCATAGCCTCGCCATGTACGCCCTCTTCCTCCCTAACGGCTCTACCAGAAGGGGACAACTCCATGTCACCCGAGTCAATCTCCTCCTTGACGCCTCTACCTGAGTAGATATTCCTCCAGAACGCAGCAGCGAGTACAGCATCACCGCGGACGAGTCCCTCGTCATACGCCACACCTGAACCACGCCACATATCCAAATAAGCCATCATGTAACCTCTAACAGTGCGCTCCTGGGTGATTTTAAACTTGTGACGAATACGCGATTCAATGTCGATGAAAAAGTGATTAATGAGCTCCTGTATATAGAGACGTGCGAGTGGTTCTGGGAGAGCTCTGAACCTGACGGTAAGCAACCAAATGTGGAGGTTAGTGAGGTGGAACCACGTGTTGAAGGTGGGCGGGAGGTTAGCAGTTTTAAGGAATTCACCGTGGCCTTCTTCCCACTCGGCACACCTATCGTAGTAGTCGGAGGTGGTGCGTATTGCGGTGGAGGTGTCGCTGTTGTATCCAAATAACTTGGCTATGGAGAAGACGATTTTCTTGGTTAGTTCGGAATGCTGCTTGGGCGGGCGTGCCTTTGGTGAGAGCGGGGTGGCGGAAAGGAGAGGTTTCTTGTGCGGTGGCTGTGGCTGCGACTGCGAGTGGTTCGACTGAGTGGATAACAAACTCCTAGTGGGATTGCGGGCTATGGCGCGTACAATACACCGCTGGTTCGCTTTAATAGCATTCGTTATTAGTGGCATGGTGGTTGTGGTGCTAGAGCCATTCGTCTTCTCTTCTCGCTCCGGACAATGACGACGACTAGGCAACTCGACCAGGAAGAGGTGATCCTCGCAGGCAGATTGAATGAAGTGGATCAAGTGGTTGAGGCCATCGATGAATTTGGAATCCACGCACTCCTCACCGCCAGAGACGACAGAAGCAACTCAATTCTGCACATGTTATCAGCGAATAATCATTTAGAGCTGCTCAAGAGGGTTATCGGTGGCTGTGGTGGATGTAAGGACGCACTCGCTGCCACTCTCCTCCATCAAAATCAGTCAAAATCCACAGCACTTCATTGGGCAGCTACAAATGGGAACAAAGAGCTGGCTATTTACTTGTGTGAACAGGCAAGGGATGTGGGTGACGACACAGAGCACAAACTCACTTTCTCCACAAACCAATCTGGGCTCAGTGCTGCTTCTGAAGCTGAGAGAGGTGGTCATGACGATTTGGTGGTCGAGTTGCTCGCCCGGATGGATGCACTCGATAAGGGAAGCAGAGGTGGTGACGGTGAGGGTGCTGAGGGCGCACAGGAGCCACTCTCTCAACCTGAAGACTCGCAACCTGAAAACCCACAAGAAGACGTGGTTGTACAAGTAGGCGATACATCCACAATCACAAATAAAGTGGATGAAATAAACCTGTAATATTGTAGCCTGATTCATACTCTTTCTCTATTTTTATCGACTTGGTTTCTGCGGGTGATTGGTTTTCAAACTCAGATCCGACGGTGCCGAGGACCCAACTGAGTAGGAAGCAGCCCACTTGCATTCGACTATCAAACATCCATGGACCATAACAAGAAGAGGAAGAGGCTTACCAAGGTGTGTTCTCTGTGTGGGTGTGTGGGTGTATTTCTTATCAAACGCTAGGCCTGCGATAATTGCCATAAAGTGGGTGGATTACTTATATCCACGCTATTCTTACAGCTGTGCAGAACAAACGCCGCTGCGATGGGTTCCTCCCGTGTTCAAATTGGTGTGTTCTCCACTCAACTACACCCCACCTAACACAGCCCACAGCGACTTCTCAGGTAAACAATGCTCTTATTCAGATAACAATGGCCACTCTATCCCGCCGCCCAAGTCCAGATCAGAGAAAGAGCACGAGTCTCACCTCAAGATAAAAACTGAGTACAACCTTTTCTCGAGTGATCTGCACGGCGAGAACAGCAAGGCTGTACTCAATGATCCTCTCCTTAAGAAAGAGCTCGTCCTGCTCTTCCTCGATCACATGTACCCATTCAACCTCATCTTCCACAAGCCAAGCCTCCTCTATGCCCTCGAGAAGGACAGACTAACCCCGATGCTCCTCAACTCCATCTTCGCCCTCTCTGCCAGGCTCAGCCCCCACCCCCGCTTCCAGCACATCGAACCTTGGAAGACCGGCGTCGACTTTGCTGCCATTGCCCGGCGTATTCTCTTCGATCCCGATGATTTGGGCGCTTGTGCCCTCGACGACAGCAAGCTGGAGGTTGTCCAAACATCTTTACTTCTCGCTGCCCACGATTTCGGCATTGGTCTGTTTAACAGGGCATACACTTATCTAGGTGGGAGTGTACCACTTTACTTTTTTTATAGATGGCTGACACCTGATAATTACCCCTAGGCATCGCCATCTCCCAGCTTAAAATATTGGGTCTTAATCACGACGATTTCGTCACCCCCGCCCCAGAAAATACCCGCGAGAAGTGGATCTCCAGGGAGGAACGCAGACGGACAGGCTGGTGCGTCATTATGTTAGACTCCGTCGCTGCCGCTATCAACGGCCGCGCCAAGCCATTCGAAGAGCATGATTTGAAGATGTTCCTGCCCTCTGACGATGTGGCATTTGAGTTGGCAGTGGGCAATGTCGGCAACAGAGGTGAGTTGACTGTGTATTAGGCTGTCAATGCTAAATACATGTCTTGCAATCCTCAGAATTCATAAACACCCCTCCGTCAACAGACAACGCGACCACCGAATTCGGCTATCTGATCAGGATAGTGAATGTGTTTTCCAATGTGAGTGGTTTGTGTCTTTGAGTTAAATACCCATCTAAAGCACTCCAGGTAATGGGATACATATACTTTCACGAAAAGGAGCGTATGGCAAATGCGTCGCAGAGGAGCACAAACACAACCACTCAATCACCCTACTCAAGTCATTCATGCAAGCAGGATCTAGCACAGTGGTCGCAGTCACTACCCCCGCATCTCGAACTAAGCAGTATCAACCTGAACCTGGCCATGATGTCGATGCAAGCTGGTGCAAATTCGTCTGGCTGGTGCTACGCACTGATGCATGCCTTCGCAGAGTGCAGCGTCTTTTACTTGCACTCGACAGTCGAGCAGGGAGCAAGTGAAGAGAGCATGCGAACCAGCGCCGACAGACAGAATCAGAGTGTCGGGAACATGCGCGCGGTAATAGACGCACTGGGAAGAAGCGGACGCAAGAGTCCACTGCTCATCTACTTTGTCTATGTCGTATCGAAATGGCAGTTGCATGTACAGGGTGCACTCGACGCTGTTGTCGCTGATATTTGGGATGAAGAGCTGGCCGAGTTGTGGAGAATGGACAAGACACTGCTCACTGGCGATGGCAATTCACCCCCTGTGCTTGAAGAAGAGGGCAGCGAGAATGAGAATGAGAGTGAGAGTGATAAGGCACATGACACTCATAGCACTCACGCTCACACTAACACCCACACTAACACCATGGAAACTATCGCTAAACTCCTCGAAAACGCTAACCAACCCGCAGCCACACTCAACACCAGCGTCAATCCAGTGGATCTTAACCTTCTACCCTCTCGTAACCTCCTCTTGTCACCGTCTTTACCGGATTTATTCGCACCTTCAACCACCACAAGCACTCCGAGCGATCAGCAGCAGCAGCACACGCAAGAAAACGCGGTATTTGGTTTAGGATTGAGCTAGCTTATTAATGTAATATAAAATAACAAATTAACATATTTTGCCAGATATTTTTAAATGACATAATCTTCTAATCTAATCGTTCTTCTGCCTGCACCACCATCTTCACATGACGAGTCCATACTGGAAATTCTTTCAGCGCACCATTGATCAACTAGCGCAGCGGTCAAAAATAAGTGGGTGGAATTAGTGCACAAGCTTGTACGATTCTCACACGTCCACAGTCGCCAACGCCTCACCAACACCGACGACGCCCCCAATACGTCTAGCCACGCTGAGGAGCAGCTCCGATATCTCCAACTGGGCTGTTGGCTGCGATGGTGATATGGGCGGGCGCAGTCGGGCGCAGCTTGAATACGTGGGCGGTGTGAATGTGAGTGGGGGCGAGGAGAAGCATGCGAAATTCAGTGGCGTTCTCGATCCATACGTCCCCGAACAATGGAAGAAAACTCTCGAGGATGGCGTTAAGGCTAAGAGCGGTTATGCTGGTCTGCGCACTAAAACTCGCACTACACTCTTCGGTACAGCGTGTTGGGACCTGTCGCTGCACCCGTACCTCGCTATGCGTGTTAGGAATAACATGGCTAAAGGTGGAGGTGCAAGTAGTGGTAGTGTTAGCAACAGCAGCGGCTACTTTATCAACATTCAGACAGAAGGCGCTGTACGCAGCGATCTGTTTCAGCATCGCCTCTTCACTCCCCCTAACTCTCACTGGCATACCCTTGTCGTTCCCCTTAGCTCATTTGTCCTCACTAACGCGGGTGAGACTTCGGATCAGCAACTGCCTATGCTCAGAGAGAAAATTCGCACCGTCGGTATCAGTCTCCTCGCTAATCCTGATGGTAATAGCACAGGTAGAGTTGAAAATAGCGAACGCTTTGATCTCGATATCGAATGGATTGAGGCGTGGAACGATAGCAATCCAGATGTTGTAGCTAGACAGAGTCAAGATGGTAATGATAGTGAGAAGAAGGAAAGTCTATAAGTTTTGTTGATACATTTTATTCTAATCATTCATTTCTATATATTGGTGTCTATACTTGAGTATCTATAAGTGCCTTGTCTATAAGTGCCGTGTCTATTCAATACTGCAATAAATATTAATCATGTCGTCATTATATGATGCCGTCTATATTTCTCTCTGAAAAGCTCTAAAAATGTCTTGATACGAAGGTGCAGCGTGGTGATGCGATTGCGATTGATTCTGCGACTGTGACTGCAACTGACTCACACCCCCAACCCCACTCTTACCACTCTCATACAGGTAGTCGTTGATGAGTTTCTTGGTTCCGTCGGTGATATGCGTCTCGTCCAACCCATTGCTGAGGTTTGTAACACTGTCGATGGTATCTGGCAGCGCGTGTGTGTAAGGCTGGACGCTGCTGGCTGATGAGAAGGTGGATGTAGATGTCGACGAGCAGCTCGAGCCTAATCCCGCCCCAACAATCACTCCATGACTGCTTGATTCCTGCGTTGTTCCCGGCAGTGCTTCCATATAACTGAACATCTGTGCCTCTGTTTCTGCTTCTGCCTTGGGTATGTCGATAGGTACACTCTGGGTATGTTGTGAAGGGATATCGCCGAAGACCTGGTTGATGTAGTTGAAATTGTCGTTGTGATAGTAGGTATCGCCAATATCGCCAATGCCACCAGCACCACTACCGTCAACACCCTCACTGCCATCTACATCCCCCAACACCATATCGAAATCGAAATCCATCCTTGCGTCACCCAAGTCGTCACCATACCCATGCCGCGTGAAATCAAGACCATATTCAAGACATGTGTTGTCTATAGCAGCCCATTCGTTAGCCAGATTTGCCGCTGTTGCCGGTGCGAGCATTACCGCTGGATCGTAAGCCAGATTGGAGAGTGAGGAGGCTTGCGGGTTTGCGTCTGAGTTTGACACGTCTAGTGCGGAATCTGACACCCATCCACTCCCACTCCCATTCCCACTCACTTCCTTCTCTTCCATATTGATGTAGTGGTCCATTTCCAGTCGCAGGTAGGGCGGTATGGCGGACATGTACATGTCTTCTGGGTGTGTTGGGTGCGCGTAGTGCTTGCACTGCGTGTAGCTGCTCGATGGCTCTGACTGTAAGAATGAGGGTGGTGATGACAGTGACTGTGAGTACGAGTGTGGATATGAACGTGAAGACGCCGATGCTGTGTCGCTGAATGTGAATGCTGGTAGCTGATTCTCACTCTCATCTATTTCTCGCTTCACTTGTGCCTCGTCAAAGCTGAGATCAACCGCGAGAGTATTACCAGCGTGTAAGGTTGTTTTCTTGTCATCCTCATGGTTTCTGCTCGCCTCCTCTCTCCTTCTAAGGCTGTTTCTACTTTTGGTTTGTGCGTTCGCTCTCCCGCGGCGTTGGCCGATGTAGCTAGTGTCCTGTTCGTTGTCGCTGTCATTCTTCTCATACATTTCCGTTTCCATCTCCTTTTCGCGCGCCACTTCTGCTTCTTGTTTCTCCCTAATAAGCTCCTCCAGCTCTCTGTGCGCGTCTGTCTCTTTCCTACGTGCGCTCTGCGCACCCCGCCCGCTCTTCACCGGCCGCTGTCCCCTCGCGGCGGACTTGGAGCGCACACCTCCACTCTCTTTCCTGCGCGGCTTGTATTGGTATTCGGGATACATGAGCTTATGCTCCCGCTTCACCTGCTCAGATTTGGCGAGGTAGTGCTCGCGCACCTCCTCCGTCTCATTCAGCCAGCGCGCAGACAGATTTTTCGACAACTCCGTCTGTGACTCCCTCAGACACTGTGCCGGCTTCGCGGCCGCTTGCTCCTGTCTGTCGCAGTCGTGAGGTGTGACGTGTGCGTGTTGACATTTGCTACTCACTTGATCTTCGCTAGACTTTCCGACCGGTAGAGTATCCATGCACTGGTTGGGTGTGAGGCGATGCCGTGTGGTGCGCTGCTGCTCCAACTCACTTGGCTGGACGCGGCACTTTGGATTTGTTTCTTGATCTCGATTTCTTCGCCGGTTGTGGTGGGTTGATGTGGCTGTGGATGTGGATGTGTTTCGGATTCTCATTCTGACTCTGCCTCTGATCCAAAGACCCAACACAGATGAACTGTACATCTCCCTCCTTTATTTCGCTCATCTCGCTCATCGGTTTATATTCTGAGACCTGTTCGCTTTCGAACATATGTAACACGTTGGAAGCCGTACTAAACGGTGACGACTAAGCTCCTTTTCGGCCATCGTTTTCAGTATTCATCCGCGTTATCGCAATGTACCTTATTTGAGAGAACAATGACTTTTACGCATGGCTGACTAAGGCGGCCTAGCCGGTATCTTCTAAAACGAGTGAAACACACCATGCATGTCAATAAAAGTGCGCTGTATATTGTGATTTATTTATGCGCCATTTTGTTTCATTTTGAGGTGGATTAATCGATATTTCTCAATTTTTGCACATGCAGGCACACCCCACCGCCTTGAGACAACCCTTTTTTGAGAGATGCATGACGAGTATTCAGATGGTGTGGAGGTGTGCGTAAGTGTAACGAGTTGTAAGGCTAGTACATCCTGGCTAATGCGTGTCGTGAGCGTGTCGAGTACACCTCTTTATACCCTCCTCAGGGCGATAAAGTGGTGATGTACCTCAGGTCTGTGCACCGCTCTACCATCTCCATCGCTTGATGTTGCATCTTGTGCGCGTATCGACCACCGCTTCTCAATCCGCCAGGCGGGGCACTCGGCAAGGACCTCGAACCTGAATGGCGAGTAGGAGCAGAGTAACCACCATCCGCCGCATCTAACGACACGTGCTAGATTCAACGCAAGCGCATATACCGGACTATGGAGTGTCCCTGGGGAATCCGTAGTGGTCGAAATGGTCCAAGTGTCCTCAACCATGACATCTGCGCCGGTGCTCATCGAATCGGCACAGCACTTGTCAACGACAATGTCTACGGGTGGTAGTATCTTCTCTAACTGGCGTGCGTCAAGAAGGTCTGCAGTGTGGTATATTTGGTGGTCTTCGCCGTTCAACTGTCTAGCCCGGTTTATGGCTTCAAGGGAGTAATCAATATTGTATATTTGAGCAGCACTGTTGATGCTGTGGATAGATTTCGATAGCCTGCTGTTCCCGCAACCGATATGTGCTATAGCTTTAGCGTGACTATCATCGATCCACGCAGCCGTCTGCTCAATGAACACATCCCCGCCTATCAACCACTCAAATTCATTCTCTTGCTTAAATCGCCTATCCCAATACGAAGATTTCCAAAATTCTGTCATTTTAACTCCTTCAACCGCGTCTGCAACGAGGAAGACGTGAAAAATGGCAGAATCATTCGCTAAATTTGATCATTTACTCGATAAGCGTTTACTGCGCTCACTCGCGGATATGGGATTCGCAACACCCACGCTCATACAAGCCAAAGCAGTCCCAATCGGCGTTGACGGCAAGGATATTCTTGCTCGTGCAAAGACAGGATCTGGGAAAACGCTGGCGTATTTGCTGCCAATTGTTCAGAATCTACTCCGTGATAAGGAGAAAGAGAGCGAAGATGTTCATAAACCTGCTTGCAGAGCTTTGATTTTGGTTCCTACGAGAGAATTGAGTGAACAGATAAGCTCACATCTTAAATCACTCGTTAAATATTCATCCAATGAAATATCTCATGTGAACCTCGCTGGGTCCGGAACAGACAACAAATTTCAACGTTTACTCCTCAGTGACAAACCTGATATAGTTATAAGCACGCCATCGAGACTTATTGGTCATCTCCAATCAAAGGCTATTACCCTTGATAGCTTGAAATGCTTGACTATCGATGAGGCTGATTTGATTCTGTCGTACGGTCACGCAGATGACGTTAAGGCGCTACTTAAAGGTGGTTATCTGCCAAAAATCTACCAATCCTTCCTCATGTCTGCAACTATGACTAGTGATGTTGATAAATTGCGCGGAATGGTCCTCAGAAACCCTGCTATCCTAACTCTCAGAGACGACGAAGATGGCAGCAGCAACCTCAAACAATACTACGTAAAATGTCCAGAGAATGACAAATACCTCCTCACTTATGTTATACTCAAGCTCAAGCTGATCAAAGGAAAGGTTATCATGTTTGTCAATAGTGTTGAGAGAGGTTTCAAATTGAGGCTGTTCCTTGAGGCTTTCGGTATTAGAGCCGTTGTCCTGAATAGGGAGTTACCCATCAATTCACGTTTTCATATCGTTCAAGAATTTAACAAAGGAGTGTATGATTACATGATTGCTACAGATGAGGCTGGTGCTTTCGATCAACAGGAGGAAGATGATGAGGAGAGCGATGAAAGTGAAGATGATGAAAACAGCTCATCAGACGAGGATGACGACGTGGACAAGGAGATTGACGCTGTGCTTTCTTCCGCAGATGAAGAAGATGCAGCTGTCGCCATTCCGTCAGCAGCTGCGCCTAAGAAACGCAAAAGAGAGAAAGGTAAAGAGAAAGAGGACAGCAAAGACACCAAGGAAAGTAAGAAAGCCAAAACTACCAAGAAGGGTGAAAAAGAGTTTGGTGTTTCTCGTGGTATTGATTTCGTCGATGTTGCATGCGTCGTCAACTTTGATTTACCAAAGAACATGTCGTCATATGTACACAGAGTTGGTAGGACTGCAAGAGCTGGTCGCACAGGTATCAGTTTGTCATTCGTCGTTGACAACGAGAAGAAGAGCAAGAGAAATGAGGAGAAATTTTGGAAGAGAATAGCTAAGAGACAGGAGAGCAAAGGAGGTGTGCATAACTGGGATTTTGATTGGAAACAAGTTGAAGGATTCAAGTATAGAGTTAGTGATGCACTCAGGATGGTGACACCACATGCTGTCAGAGAGGCTAGAGTGAAGGAGTTGAAGAATGAGATATTGAATAACGACAAGTTAAAGGTATGTTGAGTGGATATTTCACTAGACGTTCTAACAAAAAAAAAAGGCGCACTTTGAAGATAATCCAAATGATTATGAATTCTTAAAGCATGATAAGCCATTACATCCAATGAGACAGCAGCCACATCTCAAACATGTTCCTGGATACTTGATGCCACGTATAGCAGGAGTCAAGCAGCCAACGACACCGAATCTTAACCCAGACAAGATTGGATTTAACAAGCGTAACAAGAACAAGCAAAAGAAGAAGGATCCGCTTAAAAAGTTTTCTAGAAAGTAGATGTACATGTAAAGATTTATTTTATCTGTAAATTCACATAAATAACTCAATTGCCAAGCGAAATAGAATTCTTTGTCTGGAATGTCTTCGCGACTGAAGGGATATGCGGAGTGAATCAGATATGAATGCAGGTGAATATTCAAAGGAAAAGGCTAAAATTTAGTGCAAATGCTAAAGTTTAGTAGCAAATTCAAATAAAGAGTTATAATTCTGTTTGTTTTATTGAGATTTATTTTGAATGAAAATTTACAAGAAAAGAGCGAGAATTCTATTGGTTATGCAGAATGAAAAGCGTAGGCAGAGATGAATATGCATGCCAGTCCAAAGTTTGATCACCTACAATCACCAGAATATTAGCAGTCCTTTAATAAAAACCAAAACAAAACATCTTGTTAAATGTGAGTGTTTGAGGGTTATAAAGTGAATTGAAACTAATAAGATATCAAGCAGTTGGCCTTGAATGTTTAGTGTACAATCACCGTCATCTTTTCATCAATCCTCAACCCAACATAATCATCAAAGTGATTTCACTATCAATCCATTCGATAGTATTCTCCCTCTACACGACGCGATACTTGACTTTAACGGGAATAAGATTTTCAATGATCTCGACTTTATCAATAATCTACCAAAGGCTGTGTCTCCAGTGACGACAACACCACTACTCACACCTCAGCCGCATATACCACCGACTATAAACATACCAGCGCCAGAGCCTCGACCATCCACAAGTGAAGGTGTCGTTCGTAAGCCATTGGAAAGGTCAAACACTAATGTTAGACCAAACAACAAACACAATCAGACACTCAGTTTGAAGACACTTGATGGCAGAAGGGGTAGCAATCAACCAAAGACTAAAAGACAGAGAAGACGACACGATGAGATTGAAAGGTTTTATCATTGTGGTTTCAATGGCTGCACAAAGTCTTATGGAACTCTGAATCATCTTAATGCACACGTGATATTTCAAAAACACGGTCCAAAAAGGTTACCAAGTGAATTCAAGGAAATACGTGAATACCAGAGAAACAGAAAAAAGGAAGAGTTGAAGCTGAAGAAGATGTTTGAAGATGAAGCTACGAGTGTTAGTGTTGGTGGTACATCTACCAATACACCATTAACAACGCCGTATGATGAGACGCTGCCAGCATTACCCAGCTCAGCACCACCAACACAAACATCATTCAGTGATAATGTTCAGGATATAAATCACGATGATCTGTTGATCAAGTTGAGCGAGAGTGGAGGAGTTGGATATGGTGATGTGGGCGTGGGCGTCGGTGTAAGTGAATTAAATGGAGGTGATTTGGGTACAGGTGATATAAGTACAGGTGATGTAGGCATGCCATTCAGTGCACCAGTAACCAAGACATCATTCTTTGGTGGAGAAGAGGTGAGCAACGATGATAATGACAATGGCATGGACTTCAGTGAAGCAATCGAGAGAAACCTGAGCACGCTCACACTCCCTGAAAATCTTTCAGAAGCGTTAAGCTTGATGGACAGGCAATCTAGCAGTGTAAGCAGTGAAGATGAAACGGTCAGCACAGTTGATAACATGATGACGCCATTGCCACTATCGCTCTCGGTTGATAACAACTTTATGAATATGATGAATTGAAAAGAATGTTAATCTCATTGATAGCTTCTTCCTGATTGGATGAACCGTGAAAAGTGTTGCGCGTGTCTGTTAAGCCATATAGGGATCTTAGAGTGTGTGGCTGTGTGTACTTGGAAAGATAAACTTTATTTGGACCAATTAAGTTACGCCATTTCTGGATTGCGTCTTGGCCCGATAAGACATAGCAATGTATCGAACCTGAGGACATGGAGAGAAGGAGTCTTCGAAAGTAGAATTTGTTAGCGTGTTCATTATAAAACGCGTCAAGTTGAGCGTGAGTTGGATTGAAGTGTTTGTACTGGATGATATCCAAGCCTGAATTTCTCATGTGTTGCTCAATTTTGCTCAAAATTTGAGAATTAATGGAAATCGAAGGTTTTACGATGGCTAGCGTTGTTGAATGCATTATAAACAAGCGAATACACCTTTGCTTTCAACGTTGAGGATGAACCACGAGCAGCCCACGCTGAATAGGACAGGATCACTGCCAAATAAGCAATTTCATGTAAATTCGCTTAATGATATTGATCCACATCAATCTATCGATGATCTTGAGAGGGAAATTGAATACACGAGGCTATCTAATCAGGGAATTAGACGCCATCAGTCTTTAACATATGGACATAAGAACTATCCAATCAAATTAGAGCACTACGATCAGCCTAGCAGGCGCAATAACAAGAAACTAAACCTGATCACTGACTTTAACGACTTGTCCATCCCCGCACAACCTGCATCGGCATCTGCTTACGTTCCTCCAATTGGACACAGCTCAGGCATGCACCAGCATCCTACGCATATACACCAACCACCGCCACCACCGCTCTCTGCCACTGCGGCTCTTTGGAACAACCAAGATAGACAGTCTGTGGTGGGTATGGCACCTTCTTCTCAATGGAGGTGTGTTCATTCGCATACCCTCGCTTTCTCTGCTTACATGCCTTTAGATTCGATCCTATCACTGGTCAACCTCTCACTCCTCCACCACCACCCCCCAAGAAATCCTTACACTCGAGACTACGCCAACAACATCAACCTATCAACACCCCTCTCCCTCCTTCTCCTCCAGCCACCGACATTCATTCGATGATCGCAATGAACGGCTACAACCCAACTCAGTTCGATCTCAATCCAAAACACGCCAGATTTTTCGTCATCAAATCCTACACTGAAGACGACGTTCACAAATCTCTCAAGTACAACATTTGGGCTTCCACTGAACTCGGCAATCAGAGGTTGGATAAAGCATTCAATGAGAGTGCCAATAAAGGTCCTATTTACCTCTTCTTCAGTGTAAACGCTTCTGGTCACTTTTGCGGTATGGCTCAGATGCTCACACACGTCGATTACGCCACTTCATCCTCTGTCTGGTCTCAGAATGATAAATGGAAGGGTGTCTTCAAACTCAGATGGATCTTCATTAAAGACATTCCAAATTCTACTCTCAGACATATAAAACTACTCAACACGAATGAAAAGAAACCTGTGACTAACAGTAGAGACACTACCGAGCTGCTTGATGACGCCGGTAAAGAAATGCTAAATATCTTCTTCCAATTTAACTCTAGGACTAGTTTGTTACAAGACTTTGACTTTTATGAAATTCAGTCGATTCAAAAGGGCGGCAGCGGTGGCAGTGGTGGTGTCGGGGGTATTGGCGGTGTCAGTAGTGGAGTCAGTGTTGGCAGCGGTAGTAGTACAACCCCTACATTTAGCCCACCAAATCAACCACTTCATCCAGCTTATCAATTCCAGCCTTCAAACCCATACTCATTTGCTAATCTCGGTCAACAAGGATGGTGATCTCTCTTTCTCTCTGTTCACATTACACTACATTTACTTATAGACATAGCTCAAACTGCGATCCTTTAATCCTCTTGAATAGCTGAATATTGCTTATATTTCACTCCGTATCTCCACTGCTATACACTCTAATTTGCTACTGTTAAGTATTATTGATAACATGAAACATATTATTTAAGACGGTATATAAATAAATCAATCTGATTTTGCGTTGGGTTGGTTCCAGCTGAGCAGGCCAAGATCGCCCACTCGGCGTGGTCTAATGAGTTGCCTGAGGGTAAATACCATTCCTACAGCAACGCAGAAAGCTGCAATGGAAATATAAGCTATACCCAGAAAGTTATTTCTACCACCAGCCCATGTCACAGTAGTGAATACGATACTCTTCTTCCCACCAAATTGTTTCACGGGGTAATTCATATGTGCCGTCAATTCGTAAGTACCCGTTTCCATAACCTCGTCGTCATTCCTGAAGTACAGTTTCGCAAAGTCCGGGAAGGCAGCGGGACGCATCCACACCATGAAATGCTCATCTTGGGACAAATGCGGCAGAGGGTGTTCGTTACTGTACACACCGCCCGGAAAGCGTTCTACCCAATTAGGTGGAGGCACATAAGGTTCGTTTCCTGGCGGAGCATTTTCTGGATATTCGTATTTCTTACCCTCGTGCGACCATGTAATACCTTTGTCAGTCATGTTGTAATTCCTATCCACATCCCCGCTAACGCCATTGAGCTGTCTGGGGAGTGTAAACGTGTCATTGAAGACGCTGTTCGCTATCAGCCCGCAAGGATAGATAGGCTTGTTATCTGCGGTCCGTCCGAGCGGCTTGCAGTCCCCGTCGTGCAGCTCCTTCGCGGTGCGGTACTGACCCTGGAACTGCTTCTGATCGAACGACTTGACATACCGCCGGTGATTCTGGTAGTATCTGTTCAGCTTGTAGTACATGAACACCCCTGGCTGCATATCGCCCGGCACGTCGTATCTGATTGTGCATCCGCGCCGCTCGAGTGGGTTCTCGGCGCTGTCATTCGCACTGTACTGCCAGCGCGGCGGCGCGGCCCCTTCAAATGTAGGATAGGAGTATGCCGTCGCTGGCATGTCCCCGAATGTACCATCGCGTGGTGCGAGTGTGTCGCAATCGGTGTACGTCAGCGTGAACTCGTGTACCTGTGCAACGTCAATAAAGATTCAACTTAGTCCGCACACTCTACCCACTCTATTCGAGTACGACAGCAGGACTGCACCGATAGGCGCAAAGATAAGGCCGATCAGGAAGAGCGTCGGCAGGACCTGCTTCGGTGTAAGGATGGGCTGCCATGCACGCAGCCGCTGCTGTTTGAATGCTGTGTCTGCAACGTGCGTCAGCGCTGGCCTTGGTCTTCGTTATGGGCTAGTAAGCCTTGACATACTCCCGGGCATACGCATCTTCTTCTTCTTGGGTTCTCCTCCTCCCGTTTCTTTGTTAGCTCCTCTTTCTCCATCATCTTCACCCTGCCTCTCGCCCGCTCCGCCGCGGTCGCCCTCGTCGGTCCCGCTTACTGCGTCCAACTCGTGCTCATTCTCATTCTCATTAGAATCGGTGTGCTTGTGTGCATTACGTGAGTGTCTGCGATGTAAAGTCATGCTTGTATCCTTTGCGCTCGCTATTTCCCGCCCCTCGCTTGCTGATCGCCGTTATCGCGAGAGCTGTAATGCACACTGCTGCGAAACCAGCTTACGTCAGCAAGTGGGATTTAAAATGAGCATATGGGTATGTGAGCTCAGAATTATTTAATGCACCACACATTTACAAACAAACACCTCTCCTTACCCCTTCCCACATGAATTGCTCCAGTGGATTGTTGGATATGAGTTTAGCAAATGGTATACAAAATGCCAAAACTGTTAAAAATATGCAGATAAAGTTAAAAGTCAGAAACTGACTGTACGAGTGCAAAAAATGCGAGGTATGGGAATCGAACCCATAGCCTCTCGCTACCACTCATGGAAGGCGAGAATCATAACCATTAGACCAACCACGCTTGATGGGGATTAATAGTTTTATAATTTATATAAATGTCAAAACAAAATATTTTCAACTACCCTTACCATGTTTGGAGAAGCTTTCTTATAATTTTGGCTGTTTTCGTCTGTGTACTTTATCCGTGATTTCGATATTATCTTCTCATCTGATACCAAAAGAATTAGGGAGGATAAATATACACCAAGACTTAGATATACCTGCAATACTTAAAGCAAACCCTTATAAGTTAGCCGCTACGTCACAGCACAATTTCTGGGGAATGCAAGCATTGAGTATGAATAGGGGTAGACTTTTGGTATTAAATGAGTGTGAAATTATTAAAAAGGGTTCCCGTTTAGTATTAGCGCTTTATCGTGCTGTTGATGGCCCATTGTCTAGTCAACTTTGGCTTGTTGTTCGACTTCTACTTTTGGTTGTCCATTGCCCCACCCCCTCCAACTTGTGTCTTGCGAGGTTTGGTATTACTCTAGGGACCTATAGGATAAGAGAAGTAGTTTTCAAACCACAGAGGGTGTAAGAGATAGCTACTTAGGAAGTAGACCTTCATCACTAGTCCCAATTCTTTGAAATGAACTAGCAAAATTATCGTGTTGACAGCCAATGAAGCAACCAACAAGATAAAGCCAAGAAGATTCATTCTGGTAGCGCTGTTGGCAGTTGACCTAAAAGAAGGAAAGGGCAGGGAGATGGTAAAGGATAAGGTACAATGTTAGAGAAGGTGTTTTGGTTATGGCTACAGCTTCACATTAAAATCACAGGAATGTAAGAGATCATAATAAAGTTGTACATATTACTCTGTGTCAATTTAGTTAGATATTCAACTTGATATTGCTCTAGTTACATCTATTAGGAGCATATAAAACCATATGAGCGAGCTATGATGATGAAATTTGCACTCTATTCATACCCTACATGTTGACCTCACTCTCGCAATCATATTGCTCAATAACTGGTACTCTGGTCGATAATGCGTGCATCTTCGTTGTAATAGCTTATTTTGAATGCTTCAAAAAATAACCATTACGATAGTGCTATTTATAGCTTCAATATTGCAACAAAAGTGCAAAGCGCTTTGGTATCGCTCAGTGTTTCTGACAAACTGGTAGCGCAGCCATACAACCCGTTTTAAAATGAAGAAATACAGCCTTGAGCTATATTGACCTATAAGAAAAGTCCTTCCTCCAATATACGACTTGTCGAAATTCACTGATCAGAACTAGACACTCGATTTCACAGTTAGGCTGATACCAACTTTTCTTTGGGTAATTCGCTTATTATAAACTTGAAGTGAGGCAGATTGATGTTTTCCTTTTACTCCAGCCAGATTGATTCTTGTGGAAGCCGCCTAAGTCTAAGCAGCTGATGACGCAACACACGTTTGAAGACTTAGTACTTATGCTATTAGGGTAATTGCAGAATTCGTATTTTTTTTTATGCGTATGCGCCTAGTGGAGTCCGCGAGTGCCTCCGTCGGAGCACATATGAGGGAGTTGAGATGACACTGTGGCCAAAGAATGGAATGCTCAATGACGATTTCGTCATAACACCGTAAAGATTGTAACATAAAGATTGTAACCCTGGGCAATGCTGACATCATTCTATCTAAGGTGCGCGTGGGAGCGCTTGATATCCTCCGCATTTACCTTATTGTGCGCTACAGAGCGATATCGAATTGCATCTTCCGAGCGGTGCGCTGGGCGCGATGGGAGCCGTAGGGATATAGTATTGCGACATGGCTTAGATCCTTCACATAGCTATCCATAAAACCTTGGAGCAATTTCAAAGCTGTGGATATTGGGTGGGTGGAGGACATAGTAGAAGACTAGAGATGCTGCAGATGCTGCGAAAATCACGGGTGTATATTGCCCATATAAATAATCGTTGTTGCCCCTTGTGACCATTTGCAGGGTAGGTTTAGCAAAATAAATTCGATGGAGTTACTGTCGCTTATGAGCGCCTCCCAGCGTATCATCTGAACATTCAAACGCATCCGCTAACTCCCACTCGCCTGAGGTCATCATTGGTGTAGAGCCGAGTCACAAATTGAGTGATTTCTATATTCAACAGGGGAGTAAATATTAAGAGACAAACATAATAAATCTATAAACGCATCAGACCTGTCCATTAGTCCTCTTCATCCATCTATCGCACGTAATTTTCAGGCCGAGCGGAGAGAAGACAAGGACCGAGAAACGCAAGAAACGGGTATGAATAGGGTAAAATGACATCAGATGGTTTCAAGATATGCGAGAAATTTCTATTCCAAATTTAAAGCATTTACCGCGCAAATTATGTCCGTCTAGATGTCTTTGGATTTGTTTGGCGTCTGACTTTGTTGCGTATCTACGCTATACGAGTGAATTTTGACGCGTTCAGGATTTATGAAAATGTACCAAAAACACATGGGCCAAGTGATAAAACTGCCGACGATGAGGAGCTTAATAGAGTATTCCAGATGTGATGCGCAATTTATCAGTACTATCATGCTAAAAAGTAAAGAAAAGACTGCTATAATTGTAAAACATACTACGTGCTCAAATCGGTCCATAGTTGTAGAACTGCGTTGATGGCGGCTGTGAGGATTGGAGATGAGCTGGAGATAAATAGGAAGAATGAAATATTTCAGTTACGGTGATATACTTGGGATCTGCTGCCACATTACCATTGATATAGGCTTCGAGCACTAACGCGATGGCTAATTGGAAATACAAAGCCACAGCGAGTTTAATAGCACCTCAGCAACCCCATGCTATATTATATAATGCAATGAATGTGCTAATGAATGTGTCTGATAGTACAGATTGCTGTTTTGTTCTATAAATCTACAAATCTACAGCGGTACTCAATACCAAGTCACACCAGGTGATATAATCGTGAAAGTGCTCCAGGCAGTGCAGATATCAGGCTAGCTGATATCTACTTGGACTAGGGAAACCTTAGTTGTACCAGTAGGTGATTGGAAGGGTGCCTTGAGCAGCGTTACCAAGCTGGTTGAAGACAGATGGAGAGAGGTCCAAGCCGCCTGAACCACAGCCTGGGCAAGTGTCCTGTACGGTTGCGGTGGCAGTTTGGCCATTGTTCAAGTTCTGGATGGTGACTTGCTGGCCACAAAGACCTTGGTTCATGTCTGCTTGGGAGACAGCGACAATTGAGTCGCTGTCGTTGAGGTAGCTCCCACAGCTTCCACGGTTGCCGGTTGCACTGCATTTTTGTCAGTTGTAAGCACAAACATAGTGCACCTCACTCACGTGTAGTAGAAGGTGGCAGTGCCGGATCTCTTGAGTGGAGCAGCAGTGACTGAGGCAGCAGCTGCGACGATTGTAGCGAGAGCGAGTGTGAATTGCATCGTGTTCCTTTTTGTGTTTTTAAAGAGTGTCGAACCGGTCGATGTCTTGTCTTGAACTAAACTAAGTTGTTGAGGAAGCTAAAGAGTATATTAAACCTTTTATATGCTCTACATGAGACAGAAAGATTTGACCGCAGTTCAGCTCGTTCGAGACGCTGGCGTCATACTATCAGTCTCAGGAACCACTTAAGCGAGGAGCCGGAGTGGCTGTTTCACAGAGAAAACCCGGGCCTGGAGTTGTAAGAAAGGGCGAGTGGCTGATAGTATTGCTAAATCTAGCACTTGCTGCACAAATATGCCATCCTGTAGACGACAAATCGGAAAGTCTCGTAAGGGTATTTGTCGTAGACATGGTCTTAGACCAATGACGTCAGCGCCATTATTGGGTTTTGATTCACCGTTAATAAGCTGTGCTGGGTGTACAGGAACTCATGTGTTTATCGTGTTCCAGAACTTTATCGCTGTCTCACAACCATCCTCCGAAAGAATCCGCGCTATCGCTGACAATATAACAAAATGCATAAATAAAATTACAAATACTTTTTAAGCCGCCCAAACATCACATCACATCCTCGCAGTCTGTTTGGCCATCTTCCTCAATTCGGCAGCTTCAGGTAGTACAGCTATGTTATCTACCAGCATATGACTGTGTTCAGGGTTAGAGTCAAGATTTCCGTAGTACTGCGCCATTTCGCCCTTTGGATGAAGGCGGCGTAGTTGATCTGTGCTGCAATATTGCCATGGCGGTTCATGTACGAGAATTTCTGTGAATGAATGTGTGAGTTTGAGCGCGATACTCTCTTCTTCTTTTGATGGGGTGTATGGTGTGGTTGATCTCAGTCTGTGTGCTTCGAGTGACTTTAGTTTCGCTAGGAGGAAGGCGTTACGTTTTAGCTTGGTTTGTGTCTCTAAGTGACTCTTGTTTAGGCTGTCGTAGGCTGCTGGGAGATCTTCAATACCCGTGTTATCCACTTGTTCGTTTGTAATCTCTTTATTTTCCTGAATTGGTACGCGTTGTCCTTTGAAATGTATCATTGTTGGATCTTCAACACCCTTCATTTTGGACGTCGTAGCTATGTTCAGGGACGTAGAGTAAGGTATTGTAGCAAGTGTCGAGTCATGGCTTGGACCGAACGAATAGTTGGTGCCGTAGTACAGATGCGATACGTCTTTGTTCCTGAACGTGCCATAAGTCAACGATTTAACGTTGGTGTGGGGACTGGGCAGCGATATGTCCTTGAGTTTAGGAGAGTCAATCACTTTTGGAGCACACTGGACAGGGACGCGGGCCAAGGATGCCTCACCGAGGGCAAGTTTCGACGCTACCTGCGGGTCTAATTCACTGGCCTGAGTGAAATAGTTGGCGTCGGGCCAAGATTGGTGCAATGCATATCGAGGTTTACTGTGTTCCAACTTGTCTAGTTCAGAGTGGACTGGAAGTTGTTAGGGGAGAAAAAATCGCAAGAGCAAGTCTCACCAGATGATGTTGGCAAGACTACGCTTTCTGCTGGTGGTAATTTGGCCTTCCTCTGTGCGACAATCGAGTTGATGACGGAAATGGCCAATTCACAATCACCATCGATTGTGCACCTGCGGAGAGCATCGTGCAGGGCGAACAACGAGCCCTGACTGTCATTCAAATACCCAGAAAGCGTAGACTGGCTTGTCTTCTTGGGTGAGTCTGCTTCGATAGGAATATCGAGGAGAAATGGATTAATCTTTTCCAGCAGCCTTCTAATGAGGGCGCCGTCGTCGCCAACGACAGTCGAAGCATCGTCATCGTGTACGCCGTCTGACTTGCGCTTCCTCGACGCGTCCAGCTGATCGCCCAATTTTACTGCAGAAAATCAGCAGCGAAGCGGGGGAAAGAGGGCACGCACGGCTCTCAGTATTAAGCTTTACTTTGAGCGACATTTAAAATATTTTGATAAATAAACGAAATTCGTAGGTGACCGTCTCTTGGAAGGAGCTGATGACGACGACAAGGGATCAAGGGGATGCAGATGAGGCGTATATAATACGGTCTGAGCAGAAGGATGCGTACCATTTGGCGCAGCTGGCGTCGCTCGCCGAGCCCGTGGCCAGGGGAGTGCTGGGTGAGCGAGGCGCTGACGATAGCGCGATAAACTAAGTTGAGAAAAAGGCTCGCGGTTTATGGATACGCGTGGTGGCTCAATCAGCGTCGCATTGCTGACTATATACACGGCAATCACGACTGGCTTTGGGAGAAGGACGCTTGGAGAGGAGTACACAAACGTACAGCAGTGGAAAGGGCACAAGATGTTGAGCTGGAAGATGCGGGCGCTTCTCGTGCTCTCTATCCCTGCGCCGCACATACTCAAGTATCTGATAGGCAGGAGTGGCGTAATCAGTAGACTGAGCCCAACACTGCGGCGATTGCTTTCGATATTAAGCAGCAGCACCACCTGGGACATTGCACGCACGCTCAACCTCATTGCATTCTACTGCGGTAGCAAATACCACACCATCAAGCAGCGCATTTTTCAGATAAGATATATCGATACATCGCCAGCCACGCAGCAGCACACAGACAAGCCATTCGAGGTGCTGGGATACATGCTGTGCGTGCGCCTGGCACTGCAGCTGGGCGCGCTGGCAAAGCCATATCTGCCGCAGGTGCCGCTGGGTGCGGTGGAGGTGCCTGCGGTGGAGATGGACGGACGCAGAGTGAGTCTGATCGGAGAGAAAGAGGAACCTGTGGAAGACACGCGCGAGACTGCACAGCATAATTGCGCAGACGCCCACTCGTGCCTTGCTCCTCGGGATCGAGAAATGGCGGACGGGGCTGGACACAGAAAGTGCACGCTGTGTTTGGAAAACCGCACAGCGACGGCAGCAATGCTTTGCGGACATCTGTATTGCTGGAGCTGTGTGGATAGCTGGCTCAGAGAAAAGGTGGGCCAACTCCGAAGTCCGAAAACACCTACTAAATGCGTAACAGAACGAATGCCCGCTGTGCAGACAGCACACGACACAGAAAGATGTAATACCAATCTACAACTTGTAAAAAATTTATTAATAAACCAACTATGACTCGTATCGATGCCGATCAGGCTGGAGTGCAGGGATATCGAGGGGAGTGAGAGGGGGCGTTAGCGCAAATAAGGCTGCAGATAAGCGTGCGAGTCGCGCGGAATACTCTTATCTTTGTACATTTTTTAGATAAGAATTTTACCGATTCCGTCAACGCGCTTGACGAATAAAATCTCTATCTCCAACAACCACCGACAAAGAAACATAAATACAAATCATGGCTAAACTACCACCATCCAGACCAGATCTGCTTGCTCATTACATGTCCCTTGACCAGGGCGACAGCATCCAAGCTGAGTGTAGGTGGCAGTGCACAGTGCACACGCTTCACCGTGGCTGACAGCGCAATCCAGATATCTGGATCGATGGCGACGGCGAGCTCCGTAGCAAAACCACGGTACGCATCTTGCTAGCCATGTCCGTCCGCCCCTTACCATGTATCCACAGACTGTAAACCACAAGGTCGAATCGATACAAGAGCTCAAGGAATGGAACTTTGACGGATCCAGTACAAATCAGTCGGTTTCTGATTCAGTCGCTCGGCCACTACTCACTCCCCTTTAGAGCCCCTGGACACGACAGCGACATCTACCTCCGCCCAGCCGCTTTCTTCAGGGATCCTTTCCGCAAGGGCAACAACATCCTTGTTATCGCTGAGTGCTACAACAGCGACGGTACCCCTAACAAGACCAACTACCGTCATTACGCCAAGAAAGCCATGGACCTTGCCAAGGACGAGGATCCTTGGTTCGGTATCGAACAAGAGTACACTCTTTTTGACGCTGATGGCTCCCCTTACGGCTGGCCTAAAGGCGGTTTCCCTGCCCCACAAGGTCCTTACTACTGTGGTGTCGGTGCCGGCAAGGTCTTTGCCCGTGACTTGATCGAGTCCCACTACCGTGCATGTCTCTACGCTGGTGTAAATATCTCCGGAATCAACGCTGAGGTTATGCCTTCTCAATGGGAGTACCAGGTTGGTCCTTGCGCCGGTATCGACATGGGTGATCACCTCACCCTTGCCCGTTTCCTTCTTGCAAGGATCGCTGAGGACTTTGGTATCGTCGTCAGTCTCCATCCTAAGCCATTCGCTACTGGTGAGTGGAACGGCGCTGGTGCCCACACCAACTTGAGTACTACCTCTACCCGTACCCCTGGCAAGGGTATGAAGGCCATTGAGGATATGATCATGAAGCTCGAGAAGAAACATGCCGAGCACATTGCTGCTTACGGTGATGACAATGAATTACGTCTTACCGGAAAGCACGAAACCGGAAATATCGCAGACTTCTCTTCTGGCGTTGCCAACAGAGGCTGCTCGATTAGAGTACCACGTCATGTTGCTGAGCAAGGTGAGTTTTCTTATTCCTAAATCAAAGTTCACTAACACCCTTCTTCAGGCTACGGTTACTTTGAAGATCGTCGTCCAGCTTCCAACATCGATCCATACCGTGTCACAGGTCTCTGTGTCAACACTATGCTCTTGGATTAGATTCGCTCATCGAGCATGTATTGGGTTTTTATCCTCTAGCAAATCTCATTCATCTGCCATTTAATACGGCTGATTCTCACTTTCCTTGTCTTTTTTCTCTAAACACTTTGTCGATATAAGAATAACACACAAGAATTTGAATAAATAACGATCTGTATATTGATTGCAATTGCGTGTCTTAATTGGTGTACTTCTTTGTGCATGGCTGATTGACTCAGACTGCGCTGGTCTTCTCTGTCTCTGCTCGGGCATAAGACTACCGGAAATGGATACATGAAGAAGATTGAGCTACAGATATGATGCCTTTTTAAACCTTTAATAGTTCCTGACATATCTCCCTCTGTTGAACACTGCTATCAACTGATCTTCGAGTCGGCTTTACGTCATTGGTGACTTCAAGAAGAGCTCACTTGATAGGATGGGTTTGAAGACTCATATTAAAATTTAGGCACGGCTTATAAGCCACAGTGACTCGATAGATTTGTTTCAATAAACTCACCCTGCAAACGGCCAAAGGGGGGCAGCAGTGATGGGTTAAACAAGCAATAAACACAAATTAAAGATACTATTATTCGAATGGTATCTTCAGCATCAAAAATCTACTTTTATATCCTCCACCAATACAATAACCATCGACTTGAACTTTCACCCTGGCAGCTATCTCAGCGACTGGCTGATTTACGACTTTTAATGATCTCCAAATAAAAAAGATTCATGGATTGCTACATTAAGGATCTAAGTCAAGTTGCAATATTATATTTCTGCGGCTCCAATCGCGCCAAACACGCCCCTAGGAAGATGCAGTTCGACATCGCTCTGTAGCACGCAATAGAGTAGATAGGGAGGATTTAACGCGTTATACGAACGCGTTACATGTTTTTGGTTTGATTCAGACCAAAATATACCCAAGTCTTACAACTTGTTCGCCGCTATAACCGCGAAATAACTATTACGTCGCTTGGCGTCCACAGCTCTAAAGACTGGCTCCAGGAAGTAATTAAGATCACTTTCATCCATCAAGCACCTAGTAAAAATGCTTTATGCATAGAAAGGCGGTGGTCAGGCTCGACCAGGTTCATTTCGAGATTTAAATAATGGGCGTGGAAGGATGTTCAAGGCTGCTTTGGAATCGCAGAAGTCATGATAGTAGGAAGGCGTATCCATATATAACAAATTACTCTCCCGGTAATACGCCAAATCTAGCTAACGGGTACAGAGAGCTGCAAGTGCTATTTCAAAAGAAGGGCGACCAAGAATATCTCGAGGAGGTGTTTAAGTGCCTTCTAAGTCTCTCAAGCACGAGCTGGGAGGAGGACAATCACACGCCAATCAGGAACGTAAGATTCACAGATGCTCATCGCAGAGCTCAAAAGTTGGAGAGTTTGTTTGAAATGTAATAAGAGCCCTGAGTTTATGCATTTCGCTCTATCCATGTCGATGTCCAGTTCACTGCGTGCTGCTTACCTTCTGAAACCACTAAAGAAGAAGCAATAGCATCCTTGTTTATACTGTACATTTATCAAATACATTCTCAGCTCACACCACTCCATCTCATTCATCAACATCTTCATCAGTTACCCCCAGCATAGATGCCGGAATCCAAGTATTATGGGCTGGGCCTGGAGGACTACGTTGATGGGGACTCGCGGAGTCGGAAGAATGAGTGCGTGATCCAGTGGACTGATTCGTATTCTTCATTTGCTCAACTGCGCATAGATCGATAAGCTACAGAGGCTGGACTCAGGGCTACGAGACAGACGACTTGATACAGTGAGCAGGCGCAGTATTTGGTAAATCACTCGCTCACGCCACCCAAGCGATCCCAACCAAAGCAAAGTCTGGTCAGTCTCCGATAAGCGCTGTGAAATGCCTTCTTACGATGCTTCGACAGGGATAGGAGCTACAATTTGGGAAATGTATTCAATAGCCGTGCATTCTTCAATGTCGGTTTGCTGGTTCTTACTGTCGTTGGTCTCTTCACACTGTTGTATGTCGTGGTTGCTCTTCGCCGGTGAATACTGACGCACGATCAGCGCTGGCTATCCTGTCTATTCATTCTACCAGCTATCTCGGCCTATCTACCACCACGGCCAGCACGCTCACTACAACAAGACTGGCCAGATTCCGTGGACGATGCCTCGACGTGGTTTGATAGATCCAGACACACCCGCAGACAACAGAACGCGAATTGGCACCGATGGCCACATCTATGAGCTTGTCTTCTCGGACGAGTTCAACGAGGACGGCAGGTCGTTCTGGTCGGGCGATGATCCTTATTGGGAGGCTGGCGATCTGCACTACTGGTCTACTCGCAATTTGGAGGTTAGTGTTGATCATATCAAGTCGGCGTTACTGATTGTGTTTGCTAGTGGTACTCGCCTAGACAAGTCACGACCAGCGACGGCAGTCTGAGACTAACCCTGAATGAAACAAGCTCACATAACCTCGATTTTGAGGGATCCATGTTGACTACTTGTAAGATAGTGTTTATGGCGTCAAAACCTACCCTCTCAAGCGTCCACAGGGAACAAGTTCTGCTTCACAGGCGGCTACATCTCAGCTAGCGTACAGCTGCCTGGCACGAACGATGTGTGGGGTATTTGGCCGGCATTCTGGATCATGGGAAATCTCGGTAGGGCTGGCTTTGGCGCAACCTTAGATGGGATGTGGCCTTATACATACGACTCGTGCGATGTGGGAACATTGCAGAACCAGACAATGGGTAACTATCCAGAGCTGGCCTATACATCAGGTATCGAAGGCAAGGCCCTTTCTTTCCTGCCTGGACAACGCTTGTCTAGGTGCTCATGCGCTAACGAGATCCATCCTGGTCCAATGCATGAAGACGGCACTTTCGTCGGACGGTCAGCCGCAGAGATCGACGTCTTCGAGGCTCTGGTTGACCCTGCTATGGAAATGGCACTGTCATCAATGTCGGGCCAGTTCGCTCCGTTCAATGCCCACTACGACTGGAGAAATGATACTGAGATGTGGCTTAAATACCCTGAACAGGACAAGTATAATGAATTCCAGGGCGGTGAATGGCAGCAGTCAACATCTATGAGATTGGTTAACAATCAGAATGCATATGAGAAGTCTGGTGGTGAATATGAGACATATGGTTTGGAGTATAATCCTGGATACGGCCGGGAGGGCTACATAGCCTGGCATATGGCGAATGAGAACAGATATACAATCTTCGCTGACACTATGAGAGCCGTGCCCGAGCTAGGTATCAGCGATAGGCATATCTCAGGTGAACCTATGTACATCATTCTCAACAATGGTATATCAAACAATTTCGGTGGTATCAACTGGGAAAAGCTTAATGGAAGCTGGCCAAACGTTATGTCTATTGATTGGGTTAGAGTGTATCAAAGGCGGGATAGAATTAACCTGGGTTGTGATCCTCCTAGTATGCCCACGGCATCTTACATCAATTACTACAAAGAGGCATATACCAATCCAAACTTAACGACCTGGGATCAAATGGGAGAGGCGCCAGTGAAGAATGCCATTTTGAATCAGGATGATCCAGAGTGCGAAGCTGCGATGCGATTGGTTCCGGAGGAGCTCATTGGACATGACAACATTAAACCTATTCTTCCTGCCACGCTTAGACCTCCTATACCAGCGCCGGAAAATCCTGGCCCTCATATTATGCCGCCGATACCACCAACGCCGGACTTCAGCGAGTTACCTCCCGAGGAAAGGCCGGTTGTTTACGAATATTTCACGAATCCTCCTCCAATACGCAGACCTGTACACAATCTGGGTCCTCCAGCTCCTCCAAGTATGCCTGATGCACCTCCATTCAGAGTAGAGAGAGGGGCGGACACAGGGTCAACAATGAAGATATAGAGCAAGTCAATAACGGTGAACCTCACTAACTCCTTTACATTGGTATATCATATAGGATATATACGAGTTTTAAGCATCCCTATCAATCTACAAGCAACATGCATAAGTTTACAACAATAATTTAGCGCTAGCTTCGACTTTACACGACCATGGCGTTTGTTTTGGATTTGTGCTGGTGTTGAAACCCAGCTCGGAAGCCACGATGAATTCATTCTCAATGTGGATGCAGTCTTGAGCTACCAGAGCATCTTCCAATGGTAATGAGATGAGTGGATGCCTGGATGACACTGCGTTGATGGTGGGTGATTTAGTTACAGCTGGCGTCGGATCAACTTGGACTTGTGTTGATGTGGTTTGGCGTTTCATGAACTGAATGCCATGGGCAAGGGTCAAATCATCCGTTGTGTCAAGCGCTATAGCCCCTCTAGAAGGATCGCCGCTGGTTATTCTGTGGATGGTTTTGATACTGCCGTTGTCATTATACGCCGCAACGTAGTATTCGTCCTCCTTATCTATTCTGTTCTTGTTGAGGAGCTCTAGCAGCTGTCTACACGCGTTGGCGTTGTTGAGCATGAGTATGATATTGCCAGATGCGTTTGTCACCTTGAGGACATCTGAGAAAGGTGAGTAACCCTCAAAATTGATATTCGGAGCATCTGTTTTGTTTTCCTCCGTGCTTCCAAAACCAACCAAACCACCGCCAACTATTGCACCACCTGGGAAGGACAATGTATGTACGAAACCAGTCTCGAAAGGCGTATGAGGGAGAGCAAGGCCTAACTTCTTTGCATGTGGGAATCGCTGGTGGATGGTATGTACGAAATCCTCACTGTTTGGCTCAGTGAAGTAGATGAGAGACTTTATAGAGTCTTGACTGAGGTAAGAGTAAGTCTTTGGTCTTTTTATCACGCAACACCCACTTCAAAGGGTCGCCGTCGAGTTGTTGAGGCAGTGCAACACTTCTCGAACGTCTGCCTGACCAAATACCTACACTTGGATCCGAATTCTTGTCCCATTTGCTGAAATCGGGCAATTCACCCAGCTCATCGTCGTCTATAACGTGCTTTCTGATCCAGCGGCCGACAGTAGGTGCATTGCGACCGCTGATGGGTGCGTGAAAAGGTATAGCTGTGCTTGGTAATTCAGCGTACGAGAGTGAATATACGTCGTCTACGGAACGCGCTTTGAATGGGTCTGTGAGACAACCTATGGTGTTATCTGATGAGAGAATGGTAGCGAAATTGGGCGTATTCTTGGATATTGATAGGAGTTTGTTGCTGCTGCTGCTCTTTAATCCTGTTGCTTGCTTGTGTAGCTGCTCCGCGGACTTTGTGAAGAAGGTTCCAAGTCTCATGTTACTGTGGCGAATGGTTTGTGAGTATAGTTTGGCTGAGTACCGCTTCTACTTACAACCGCGTATATATCTGCTGGCTTAAATCTGTGCCGATATGCACTCGCTAATCCTTCAGAGTACAGCGGTTCCCGTGGAAGACAGAGTGCAACGACGGCAACGACGACAACAGCAGGAAGACGCATTGAGAAGAATTGAATAGTTTTACAAGAGGTTAAATCCAAAAAGTATCACCATTGCTGCTAAATTAGTCTCAGGAATGTGCATTTCGTCATAACGCAGGTGCAATGTGAGATGGGGGAATCGATATTGCTATTGCTAGACAGACTGTACCGTCAACACAGCCACTCTGCCATCCTGAGGTATGTGATGGTTGATGCCGTTGCTGCCAGGCTCAATCAGTCCATCGATCCACTCGATAGAGGTCCTAAACGAATATCCATTCCCAGATCCTCCAAGCAGGGCTTTGCTGGCCAAGTCGTCGCGTCCCACTGCGAGTATGTTAGATTTATGAGTTCAAAACACTCATTCTCATTCTCAGACGCACAATTATATCCATCTTCAAGGATCTTGTGTCTCTCCTTTATCTTCTTCTCTTTACTGACAGCAAGGAACCAGGCACCTGTGGATGATTGCCTGAATGCTCTAAAATGGTTACCGCCCTGGTACGACTCCCAACACGTACCAAAGTAAGGGAAATAACTCTGTCTCAGCTCAATGTTTTCCTTAAACCATCCGTGTCCATCCAGGTTAGCAAACTGTTTGCCGCCTATGTGCAAATTTAGGCATTCAGCCGCAAATCCGACAGACTTGGCGAAATCTAGCAGCCCCTGATTAGATAACACGTGTGGATCCGAATTTGCGGAAATAATAACATTTAGGGGCTCTCCAAAGAACGGTGTAGCTTGCTGGGCGCTTGTTGAGTCGTGTATCCCTCAAATCGAGCACAGACTCACATCGAGCATCGATCCGCCGAGTGGCCTGGGATCTAAATAACCGACACTGTCTTCGTCTGGAATTTTCGCGTAGCTGGTAAAGCTGTATAATTGCTCATAATCCAAAACAAACGACCGCGCAATTTGGCTTATCAAGGTTAGAAGCAGCACAAGTTTGATCATGGTAAGCCGGAAAGAGAAGCGCGGAGTATAATGGGGCTATGAGATGAATATTACTGCAGTATGTTCTATCATACACAGTCTGCGCTTGAGAATTACGCTTGCTCCTTAAAGCCAAACCATCAATGCTGAGAACTTTGGTCAGAGGCGCAGGCAGAGGCAGCACGAAGCCGTTGGTGATTGGTGACGAGACTATTGATCTGAGGGCCTTTAGAAATACGCCTGGAAAAGGATACGTGCCAGGTAAGCAGGATTTGTGAGGATGCAGCAGCGATGGCTCATACGCACGCGAATCTAGACAGAAGCAACTTGCAGGGCGAGTCTGCTCTATCAAGTAAGCTGCGCAACAGAACACAGCAGCGTCCTCAACAGAAGAAGCCAGTCCAACAGGAATCTGGTCAGTTCGACGACGCAGATCACCACGAGCTGCTTAAAACGCTTGGGGATCGCAAGCAGCGTGGTGGCTTAGACAGCAAAGACAGCAAACCACAAGGGAAGCCACAAAGGCGAGCCAACAACAAGCAAAAAGAGAGACACGAAGAAGAGGGCAAGGATGTGCAAAGGCGAGCAGCTAAGCAACACAACAAGTCTGATAGACTGCCTGTCGATATCCCGACGAGAAAGAAGAAAGAAGAACGGAAACCAAAGCTCAAGGAGATTGAAATTGATAGAATGGACTTGTCCGCGTTGGTATTCGAAAATCACCAATCAGGTCCTCTGCCAACGATCAAGAGGGATGCTAGGCCTACAGAAGTGAGTGAGGACGAGCGTCGTAAGCTGCATATGGAGGCTGTCGGCGGTGAATACGACAGATATGCCAGATACGACACTCCAGCTCAGAGAGCAATGAGTGCACAGAAGATGATTTCGCTTGACCAAAGACAAGAGATGATGGACAACATCAATAGAATTACAAAAGCAGCCTAATTTCGCTGCTCTGCTACGACAAAAGCTGAAATGTAGTCACCGTCGTGGGATATCGATAAATGTAGAAAGATAGATGGATTGATACTGTTGTGAATAATTGTTGGCTTGCTGTCCTGCTTGGAAACCTCCAACTGATGCCATGTAGAGCGATACTGAGGGTAAAGGGACTTGTACGCTGCCTCTTTTGCGGACCATCTGTGCATTGAATGAGATGTGTAAAGCTGAGTAGATCAGACGAACCGGACTCCCAAATACCGCAGCTGTGTGTCTATACTGCTATGCGCTGGAAACGAAGACAACTCGCCTGGTGTGAGAATACGTCTGCCGAGCCTCTCGATACCCGCTTTTCTCCTTCCGAGAAGCGTCTCCAGCCTCGGAAGACACAGCAGATCGACCCCAATGCCCCTTATCATCGCCTGCCTTCTTGACAACGATTCGTCAACAAGACAGCATGTCACGATTTGCAGCCCAAAACTTTAATGCTAAGGTATATGCAGAGGCGAGACCGAGCTATGTGCCAAAGATATACGAATTGATCCGCGATTTCCACCAAGGGGGGTATGATGCAGTTGTCGACGCCGGCTGCGGGCCAGGCATGGGGACAGAGGGATTGCTCGATATGGGCTTTAGGGATGTTTACGCTATAGATCCGAGTGAGGTAATGCTCAATGAAGGCAAGAAAACCCGCTCTCGAGCTGATGACATCCAATGGATTGTCGGATCCAGCGAGGTTCTCTCCCAGAGGCTGCCGCAGAAGGTGGACATGGTGACTTCTTTTGAAGCCGCTCATTGGATGGACCACGCCAAGGTGGGTGCGTACTGTTTCACTTTATTCAGCTTATGATGTCAGACTTGGGAGGAGTGCTTCAATGTTCTCAATCCAGGTGGCACAGTTGCACACGTTGTGAGTAAAACGAAACTACGTTGATCACTCTGTGGTATGCTGACGGCGCGCAGATGTACGGTCACATACAGCTACTCGGTAACGAAAAGGCCTCTGAACTCATCCTCGACCTAGCCTTCAACAAACTCAAAGCATACTTCAAACCACAGCACAAAGTCGCTTACGAGCTCATGGACGATATTAGTCCCCCAGCATGGGCATCGCGGGTGGAGAGACACAAGTTCTTAGTGAATCCCAAGGAAGATGAGAACGGCTGTATAATGAAAAGAGATACTACTCTCGCGGCTCTCGCTAGCCATGTGAACAGCTGGAGTCCAATGGATCAATACAAGGAAGAACACCCCGGAACAACCATCGTGTCTGACTTTATGGAGGATATGATGCGCGCTTACAACGCTAAAGACGTCGATCATCCGATCACTATGGCTTGGTCAATGGCAGTCTTGCTTGTGTCCAGATAACTATGTATGCGTTTACATCAGCGATTTACCTTGTCGTGAGCGAGATGAATGTCCGCTACATCCTGCACTTCTTTTCTGTGGTGTTGAGCTTAAATTATGCTACTAAAGTCTTCTATATTCCTTGTTGAACACTGCTATCAACTGATCTGCGTATCGGCTCCACATTTTTGGTGACCTTAAGACAACTTTGAGAGACATGAAAGGGGTTCAAATGCTCAGTAAGGTGTAATGTAGCACTTCAGAGCTCCGAGGATTACATGGAATTTACTATCGTCAGCCCACCCAGAAAATGGCCAATGAAGTGTCAAGATGAACACAGCCAAGTCGAATACCGGCAATATATACGAATTAAAAGCATCATTATCTTCGGTGTTTCAGGAGCATCTCAAAGCTACTTCTTTAATGTCCAATCACCCAAAATACACCGACTTGGAATTAGCACTCTGGCAGCGATCTCCAGCGACTGGCTCAATTACAACTTTGGTGATCTCCAAAACGAAAGAATTGATAATAAGCCTTGACTTTACTCTATAAGGCTAGGCTAAAACTAATTCTTTGGGCAGCTATCCCTCCCTAATAGGCATCCGGCCGTTTTTATTCGGCATTGCTCTGGAGCACGAAATAGAACAAATACCGAGTTTGTCACTAATTTAATCGATGAAAGTCCCTTTATTGAGCTGTTAGAGACTGTAAGAACTCAAATACTCAAGTATTCGTTGATATGAACGCGAAATACGTTTTCCTTCGCGCGGCGTCCACAGCTCTAAATGTGGCTCCAGGGAGAGAGCAAGGTCACTTTCGTCCATCAAGCATCTATTGAGATTGATTTTTTGCTTAGAAAAGCGGGAGTAAGCTCGACTCTGAAATCAGCTGTCTGGCTCGACCAGGTGCATTTCGAGATTTGAAATAGTGGGCGTGGAAGAATTTTCAAGGCTGCTTTGGAATCGCAGAAGTCAGGATTGTAGGAAGGCCTATCCATATATACCAAATTACTCTCCTCGCAAAACGCCAAATCTAGCTAAACGATTACAAAGCGCTAAAAAAAGCTAGTAATCGCAATAACACCTAATTTCCTCTCTCACACCCAATTTCTACAGGATGGTATCAAGATCGCTTAACTTTGCAGTCGTCACAGGCTTATGACGTACTCGTCTTTGATATGCCGTATTCAATGAGCGATTTTGTGTGAGTTATTTAAGATTCCAGCTGGAACAGCATGTTGTAAGCATTTTTAACTCATCAATGACATGAATGTTGGAGATTGTGAGTGACTTTAAGCTGCTGCTGCTAAGATTTTCTAGCTGCTCGCCATAGTAGTTACAGCTAATTGAACAGTTGCACACATTATGAGTTTTGTCACAAACTAATACACACAGACAGACAGATTTACCTCAACAAACTCTCTTTTTTATGGTACAATCAAATCAACAGAACTCCGAGTGAAGTGTTCACATACATGCAATTGTTTTAAACATCCCAGCACAGCTTATTAACGGTGAATCAAAACCCAATAATGGCGCTGACGTCATTGGTCTAAGACCATGTCTACGACAAATACCCTTACGAGACTTTCCGATTTTTCGTCTACAGGATGGCATATTTGTGCAGCAAGTGCTAGATTTAGCAATACTATCAGTCATTCGCCCTTTCTTACAACTCCAGGCCCGGGTTTTCTCTGTGAAACAGCCACTCCGGCTCCTCGCTTAAGTGGTTCCTGAGACTGACAGTATGACGCCAGCGTCTCGAACGAGCTGAACTGCGGTCAAATCTTTCTGTCTCATGTAGAGCATATAAAAGGTTTAATATACTCTTTAGCTTCCTCAACAACTTAGTTTAGTTCAAGACAAGACATCGACCGGTTCGACACTCTTTAAAAACACAAAAAGGAACACGATGCAATTCACACTCGCTCTCGCTACAATCGTCGCAGCTGCTGCCTCAGTCACTGCTGCTCCACTCAAGAGATCCGGCACTGCCACCTTCTACTACACGTGAGTGAGGTGCACTATGTTTGTGCTTACAACTGACAAAAATGCAGTGCAACCGGCAACCGTGGAAGCTGTGGGAGCTACCTCAACGACAGCGACTCAATTGTCGCTGTCTCCCAAGCAGACATGAACCAAGGTCTTTGTGGCCAGCAAGTCACCATCCAGAACTTGAACAATGGCCAAACTGCCACCGCAACCGTACAGGACACTTGCCCAGGCTGTGGTTCAGGCGGCTTGGACCTCTCTCCATCTGTCTTCAACCAGCTTGGTAACGCTGCTCAAGGCACCCTTCCAATCACCTACTGGTACAACTAAGGTTTCCCTAGTCCAAGTAGATATCAGCTAGCCTGATATCTGCACTGCCTGGAGCACTTTCACGATTATATCACCTGGTGTGACTTGGTATTGAGTACCGCTGTAGATTTGTAGATTTATAGAACAAAACAGCAATCTGTACTATCAGACACATTCATTAGCACATTCATTGCATTATATAATATAGCATGGGGTTGCTGAGGTGCTATTAAACTCGCTGTGGCTTTGTATTTCCAATTAGCCATCGCGTTAGTGCTCGAAGCCTATATCAATGGTAATGTGGCAGCAGATCCCAAGTATATCACCGTAACTGAAATATTTCATTCTTCCTATTTATCTCCAGCTCATCTCCAATCCTCACAGCCGCCATCAACGCAGTTCTACAACTATGGACCGATTTGAGCACGTAGTATGTTTTACAATTATAGCAGTCTTTTCTTTACTTTTTAGCATGATAGTACTGATAAATTGCGCATCACATCTGGAATACTCTATTAAGCTCCTCATCGTCGGCAGTTTTATCACTTGGCCCATGTGTTTTTGGTACATTTTCATAAATCCTGAACGCGTCAAAATTCACTCGTATAGCGTAGATACGCAACAAAGTCAGACGCCAAACAAATCCAAAGACATCTAGACGGACATAATTTGCGCGGTAAATGCTTTAAATTTGGAATAGAAATTTCTCGCATATCTTGAAACCATCTGATGTCATTTTACCCTATTCATACCCGTTTCTTGCGTTTCTCGGTCCTTGTCTTCTCTCCGCTCGGCCTGAAAATTACGTGCGATAGATGGATGAAGAGGACTAATGGACAGGTCTGATGCGTTTATAGATTTATTATGTTTGTCTCTTAATATTTACTCCCCTGTTGAATATAGAAATCACTCAATTTGTGACTCGGCTCTACACCAATGATGACCTCAGGCGAGTGGGAGTTAGCGGATGCGTTTGAATGTTCAGATGATACGCTGGGAGGCGCTCATAAGCGACAGTAACTCCATCGAATTTATTCTGCTAAACCTATCCTGCAAATGGTCACAAGGGGCAACAACGATGATTAATAGTACACTATTGAAAGGACATTATTTTACGGTATCTTCTGCATCTCAAATCTATTTTTATATCCTCCACCAATACACTGACCACCAAATTGAACTTTCTCCCTGGCAGCTATCTCAGCGACTGGCTGATTTACGGCTTTTAATGATCTCCAAATAAAAACGATTCATGGATAGCTCGCAAATTCTCTAAGCCAAGTCGCAATATTATATCCCTGCGACTGCAATCGCGCCAAACACGGTGCTCAGAAGGTGCAACTCGATATCGCTCAGTAGCGCGCAATAGGGTAGATACGGAAGATGTAACGCGTTATACGAACGCGTTACATGTTTTTGGTTTGATTCAGACCAAAATATTCTCTATATATCGAGTCTTCCTGCTATAAAGACGAAACACGGGTTTCGTCGCGTGGCGCCCACAGCTCTAAAATCGGCTCCCGAGAGAAAGTAAGATCATTTACATTCATCACACATCTATTGAAAACGATCAACGCAGAGAAAAAGGGGAATCAGCTCAACTCTGAAATCGGGGGTCTGGCTCGAACAGGTGCATTTCAGTATTTGAAATAATGGGCATGGAAGGGTGAACAGGACTGCTTTGAATCGTTGAAATCAGGATAATAGGAATGTGTCCATATATACCAAATACTTACCTGGACACATGTCACAACTGTATGGATGAGCACACATCGCTACGAAATTCTAGGTACGGCAAAATAACTACCGAACTCTCCAAAACCGCATTCAGTTAATATTCATACTAAAATCGCTCTTGTTTGCAGTACTTAATAAACAAGTAAACGAGAAAGCTCAAGTTCTACGCGAGAAAAGTTTAAAGTCTCCTTCAAATGAGCCCTTCTCACACTCTGGACACCGGCTAGAGTTGGCAGTATTTGTAGGTCTGCTGGGGCTATTGCGGCTACCTGTCGTGACAGCGGTACACTCAAATTGATAGTGTTTTAATAATTATACATGTCATCGGTTTGGAATCGTTAGGCATCGCTCAAGCATCCTTTGTGCTGTATTTGAGGAATTGTGGCCTTTTGAGGGAGTTTAAAATGGAAATGGCGTTACAGAGGATGATTTTGTCTAGGTTCATGATGCGGTATGGGTGCTCGTCGGGTATCGCTTGTCTGCATTCGGGACTGTCGCACAACCTGAGCCCGTCAATTATTCCATACGCATCAGGGTCATTGCAGTCAACCTTAAAAGTGCTTCGGTCTTGTCGTGTTGCCCAGCAAGTTTTAAAAACGCTATGGCAGATGTTGCACCTCGTCGCGGTCTTGTAGCCGTTTATTTCGACGAGTTCGTAGCCAATTTTGCTAATTGCGCGCGGTACGTTTACGTCCTGAGTAGCGTGATTAATTTGGTTTTGATGTGACGATAAAAGAAAAACACCCACCTTGGCCCACGGAGGTTTGGTCTGGGGGGCAGAAGCGCTGTCATCATCCCCCACCCAAGCGAACACGAGTCGCTTGCCCTGCATCTTTGCCCTAGGGAGGTACTTGTTATAGCAGAGCCTGAGGGCATCAGCGAGCGCTTGGCGGGATATGTAGAGATACTTTTTGTCCATCCTTTTACAATCCCTGTTGTAGGCTTGTAGCGTGTAGTCACTGTCGTACGGACGTTTGGACAGGGCATAGCTGACGTCCTCGCGCAACTGCTGCTGCTCATCTGCATACCTCTTATCGCCCGACCTGTGGGCATACTCTTTGTAAGTGTAGTGGAAGTAGTCGTAGCTTGCACGTGGATCGCCGTCTTGAGGGAGCGCATAAAGCAGATCGGCAATACCGCTTTTGAGGGCCACGAAATACCTTTTGCTGCGTTGGTATGGAGTGAGATCGTAGAATTGGGTGATAGGGGTCATAAGAGTGCATTTCTAACGATATTAGGCCTTTTTATGCTATTTTCATTACAATGCACCCGGGCAAGCATTGAGCGTTCGCCGACCGACCAATGAGATTCGAGGAGGGGCTGGATAGGGGCGGTTGGAGTGGGGCAGGTGTGATAGTTGTGCAGTGTGTTGCGCTGATGCTAAGTTTATTTCCCGCTGTGTTTGCTTCAAACTGCTTTTCTTCGGCGCCCCGAGTGATTCACCCATCGGATACGATAGCGCATCGCACAAAGACAAACAAGGTCACACAAAATGACAAGCATTGTGGAATTGTATAACCGCACAATAAGAAATATCGTATCGATTACGTACAGCGCTTACGAAGTTTAGATTCCGCAAACGATCTTGGCCTTTTTCGGACGAGACGCAGCAGCGAGCCAAGTAGCCAGGGGAGCAAGCCAGCAATGGTCAGCTCAGCAGCAGCATCTCAGCGCTGCGTGCCAAATCCACCTTCCGGAAAGAGCAAAATAGTATCATCAGCTGACTCGGGTAGTTCCCGGGGCTACGTGTCGAGTATTTTTTGATGCGCGCATTCCGCTGTTGCTCCATAGCGTTGAGGTTTGTGAAGAGCGAGTACAGCGCAGCACCCACGCTAACGCATCCACAGCTAGTTTATGTTCTCGAGAGGACTCGTATCGATACACAACGCACACGCCGGTGACCACACAGAAGTAGGATCAATAATAAAGCTCTAAAATGGAATTCAACGATCAAGATATAAAGAATCTTCCAATTCATCCCACAGCCGCCAGACTCGATGGCGGGTTTAAAGTCGACTCACCTCATGTCAGGTACGATGACGCGGGAATACACACGACATACACCCAGACCACATCCTCCGTCCAGCAGACTCCCCACGGTGTCCGCGTTACTCCACAATCCAAGGCCTGGAAGTTTGACACTTGCACAAAGCCAAAGAAGACCGGGTGAGTGATTTTTGTTGGTGTCTGCTGGATATCTGTGGTGACAGGCGCTAACACGCACTAGACTCATGATGGTTGGTATTGGCGGCAACAACGGCACGAGTCTCGTTGCAACCATCCTCGCAAACCGTCATAACATTTCTTGGCACACTAAGACAGGCGTCCAGTCTCCGAACTACATCGGCTCACTTACTATGGCATCTACTGTTCGTGTGGGTACCGATGACAAAGGCAAGGACGTCAACCTCCCTTGGGGTGAAATTCTTCCTCTCGTACACCCAAATGACATTGTTTTGGGCGGGTGGGACATTTCAAGTGCTCCACTCGATCAAGCTATGCGCAGAGCAAGTGTTCTCGACTGGGACCTCCAAAGACAGGTTGCGCCTTACATGAAAGATTTCAAGCCGTTGCCCTCTATCTACTACCCAGAGTACATAGCTACAAACCAGTCTTCGCGCGCAGACAACGTAATTAACAAGGATGCATTCCCCAACAAGAAGGACCACCTTGAGAAGATCAGAACGGACATACGCCAATTCAAGGCTGAGAACGATTTGGACACAGTTATTGTCTGTTGGACAGCCAACACTGAACGCTTCTCTAGCATTGTCAAGGGCAAGAACGACACTGCAGACAATCTCCTCAAGAGTGTTGATGAGAATTATGAAGAGATCAGTCCATCGACCATCTTCGCACTGGCATCTATTCTCGAGGATGCACCATTCATCAACGGAGCACCACAAAACACACTCATCCCATCAGTTGTAGAGTTTGCTGAGCGCAAAGGGGCCTTCCTTGGCGGCGATGACTTGAAGACAGGCCAAACTAAAGTCAAGTCAGTCCTTGCTGAGTATCTCGTCAACGCTGGTCTCAAGCCGCTTTCGATAGCCTCATACAACCACCTTGGCAACAACGACGGGCATAATCTATCTGAAGATCCGCAATTCAAATCCAAGGAGATCTCCAAGAGGAGTGTGGTTGATGATATGGTGGATGCTAACGGTCTGCTCTACCAGCAAGGCGAGCATCCGGATCACATAGTAGTGATCAAGTATCTCCCCGCCGTCGGCGATGACAAGCGTGCGGTTGATGAGTACAACAGCGAGATCATGATGGGTGGTCGCAACGTAATCTCACTATTCAATGTGTGCGAGGATAGTTTGTTGGCTACGCCGCTCTTGCTCGACCTTGCTATCTGGACTGAGCTCTTCACGCGCGTCAAGGTGACACCACCTGGTAAAGACCAAGGACAGCGCATGCATTCCGTTCTCAGCCTCCTGTCATACATGCTCAAGGCCCCGCTGACTAAACCGGGCCACGACGTCGTTAACGCGCTAGGAAGACAGAGAGGCAGCCTCGAAGCCTTCGTGTTGGCTCTGGTGGGACTCAACTCTTTCAATCTCAACTTGGATGCTGTTGTCTAACTGTACACGTTCCCATCTTGTAGCTAAAGCTGTTTCTGTTTCTAAAAAATTCAATTCACTTCGTGCGTCGATATCGAAAGGTGCGCGAGTGTGCATTAGAGCAAAGACAGGTGTCTCATATATACGACCGTATGTTAATGTGGTAGAAGCACATGCACGAGCATTATAAATGAATAAGACAGATTGTATAAATATATATAAATACATGGGATACGGCTAGTGCTTGCGTGTTGCTTAGAGTAGAAGCAGGAGTGAAAAAGAGAGCCCGAATAAGAAATGAAATAACGTAACGAGTTGCTCGAGTAAGGCAGGAAATGGATGGATTCAGAGAGCCTGTGAGTCTAGCAGCCGTGCTCGCGGTCGCAAAAACCCCAAGTGATCGGCACGCGACCAAGACCCAGCTGACCACCGCAAATGCTGGAGAAGAGGGCAGGAGACATATCTAAGCTACCCCAGAGGCATTCCGGGCACTACTCGGCGTGTCAGCGTGAGTGGAGGTGGGGAATGAGTATGAGTACATACCTTGTCAACGACTCTAGCCACTTGAGTCTCACCATTGGTGATATTCGTAACCCAGACTTGACGGTTACATTCGGCTGTGTCGCCCATCTGGGGCGCGTTGAGGGCAACAACCATCATGCCGTCATTAAGCCACTCCCCGCACGAACCTGGACGACCTGTCTCAGTGGTGTACCAGGTGCCATCACCGAGGAAATTTCCACGGGTTTCCAATTGAGAGACTTGGTTGTCTGCTGGCTTGGTTATGGCGGCAGAGGACGCGTACGTAGCGAGCAATGTGATTGTTGCGAGGAATAGCTTGTACATGTTGTTGCCTTGTTGAGACTGTAGAAAGTAGTTGAGTAAGTTGAGATTGTATGTAAATTAACTTTTTAGTACAAATTTGAATTATTCGCGTCTTGAAGATTATAATCTTTGAATATGAAATTTTTATTCCCTTCAATTATTCCCTTATTCGGCAGCTGGTTTTGCCTTTAAAGGATATTGGAAGAATATAGAATGGCATGGACTTCAATAATATTTGAATGCATATTATATCATGTACTTTGCTTTGTTTGCTTTGTGAAGATTGGAATGTTAAAGGCAATAAAGCTGTCATAACCATACCGAGCTAAAACATGCATAACACACGCACAACGCACGCACAACATTCCAATATTTTATTTTGGAATGTCCGCTGTCATACGCATATCTCACAATGACATATGCTCAGCCACAATGGGTTCCCTTGGACTCAATCAACGATGGGAGATACGCAATTGAAGCTGAAAATTAATTTGATTGGCCAGCAGTCAGTTGTGAGGAAATGCCTATTCAATTCAATACCCGAATATGATTATCTCAAGAGAGTTGTAAGTCTATTCACGGCATGTTGTTGAGATCTGATAACGGCGATTAAGATTCGGAATCTATTCGAAATCGACAGCAATGTGGATATCGACATTTTCGACGTTAAATTGTCTGTTGTCGATAAAATTGGTTACCCCACTTTCAAAACGATCGACGAGTCTATCTGGAACTTAATCAAGAATGACCTCGTAAACCAGAAATCTGAAATGAAATGCAATCTCATTATACAATACTTGCACTACGCTACGATACCACAGCAGCAGGTGCAGCAGCAGCCACAACCACAACAACCACAACAACCACAGCCACCACCTGCTCAGCCTCAACAACAACCACCACAACCACAACAGCCTCTCGACAGGAGAAACTCAAAGAAGCTCAAGAAGAATCAAAAAAACAGAGAAAGCAATCGTTTCTCCTTCCTAAATGTCTTAACTGCTGCAAAGGAGGCTCCGAGATCGGCATCAATTGATAATCTCAAGCAATACGACATCAATCACAATCCAGTTGAGCAAATTAGACAGTCTGAGAGTCTTATTCCGCCTTCTCAGCAGTTCCTCAGACCTCCTTCACCCTCACTTCCTCCGCAACCTCAACAAATCCCTTCACATCAATCTTTACCTCAATTAAACTCTCAGTATTCAAACTCTTACCTCGGGCCTGATGTCAGCCAGCAACCGCTGACTCCTGCACCCCCTCTGCCCTCAAAATCTCCCTCCGCTCCCTGGTACACAAACCTTGACGCTCGTTTGGAAACAAAAAATGAACTCAAGTCTCTTATGGAGGGCTTTCTATCAAAACTCACCGGTACTATGAATTCTTTCGATCAAGACGCTCACTTGGATGGTCTTGCCACCTTGGCAAAGTCTCAGACAGCTTTGGCTGTTCATGAAGCAGTTTGCGATGGCTGTGCTAATCGTATTCAAGGCGTAAGAATCAAGTGCACTACTTGCAGGGACTACGATTTGTGCGTTGGCTGTTTCTCCGTTGGCACACACGAACATGACACCTTCCATCGCATACGCGATCCTTCACAACCACTACCTGCTGTCCCAAAGGCAACTGATACAACAAAAACTCCTGTCCTCTCTTCAATACCAAGCCTGCACTCTTCAAACACAAAGCAAAACGTTCAGCACTCTGCTAGTTGTGACATGTGCAAGTCTAACATAGTAGGTACTCGTCATAAATGCACTATATGTCCTGATTACGTGAGTGCTCGTTAATCATGCGCATCATTCTCACACTCCCTCCCCAGGACGTCTGCGATAACTGCTTTGACCGTACACGCCTAGAGCATCCACTACACGAGTTTGCAGATCTCACAGATCCAAAGCTGATCAGAGTACCTGAGGAGTTGCAGACAGTACACCCAGGCGTTGTCTGCGATGGTTGTCAGAATGATGTTGTTGGATACAGGTTCAAGTGCAGCCACGCCGAATGTTTCGATCTCGATCTATGCGGTAACTGTGAATCCCATCCAATTGCGAAACACGACAAATCGCATATCATGCTGAAAATAAGACACCCAGTTATGCAACCTGAGGCTTTGAATCAAGCTTTTGCCGGTGGTATTAATCAAGAGTCGCTACCTTACGTCGATCAGCCACATCACACCAATGTCGAAAGGCAGAAGTCTGCAACAAATTTGACGACGATCAGTGAACGCTCCTTTGAAACTTCGAAACTTGATATGCACGGAACGCCTGAGTTTAATGTGCCTCCTTTGCATGAAGCAATCAATCAAAATGACGTTACAAGCTACATAAAAGCTAATCACGACAATCCAAAGTCGAGGATAATCGAGAACTTTAACGGCGGTGAAGAGAAAGAGAAAGATTCAATTCTCAAGATGGCAGGTGGTACTCAGTTTAGTCATATCTTTGAATTCAATGGGTCGTCCAAGATATCAGCATCAAATCTATCGAGGCTGACACCACAAGCAATATTTGGAAACAGCCTAACGATATCCCAACCAAACCATCATCTTATAAGGGTTGATGGCTTCCGCGCACCTGAAGAAAGAGGAATTCACTCAGAGACATGGTCATACATTGATAACATGATTGAAAAGACATTCAAGCTGGTGTTGTTTGTGGAAGATCTCATCAACGCGTCTGGAGATACATTGCCAAGCTCAGCGTTGATGATACCAGCAAAAGCCCAATCTTCGCAAGGAGCAAGTGAATTTAAGGATTATGAAACAGAATTTGGCACAGAATCTGCTAATGCTGCAGATGACTATGATTTTGAACTGGCTAAGAGGAATGCTTGATTTTTATCTTTTGGATCTTCATCTCGACAATACCGCGACTCTCATTCACATCTTAGAATAGTTTAGGTATTTTAATAGTGACAACCACCCTCGTTTTTTTTTGTTTCTTTTTAATTTTCTCTTTCAATCTTTGTCGAATCCACGCAATAATACATATATTTATCAATTACGCTATCTCGATCACCTGTGTGGTATCTCTCCCGCCAATCGCTTCTTGGACAGCGACGATCATCCACGCGTCCACTTGAAGCATCTTACAGGCTTAATTTTGTTATCAACCATGGCCTCAGATAACGATGACGACGATATCGGCTTTGATATATCAGATGATGAAATCTACGTGCCGGTAGCTCAGAGACGAGCGGCGCTATTCAACAAGCAGAAAACCAACACCAAAGGTGAACCGGGTCCTGTGGCTGTGTCTGTGACAGCGACTGCTCCAGCGTCTCAATCTCTCCCCGAAGAAGTAAAGACGCAGAGCAGCAAGACGTTGCTTGAAGAGGCGCAGCACGTGATTACCGAGAAGGCTGAGCAAGGTGAGTGAAGAATGAGCGTAGCGATATGGCTACTGTAGCTTATATCACTCTCAGACTCTCACAAGTCCGATGCTCAGCGAAGAGAAGAAGAAGACGCAGACATTGTATCAGCGCACGCTAAGCAGCAGCGCAAATTACTTTCTGCCGGTGAACTAGCACATGGCGTGTCGTATTCTAAGAGACTCGAAACTACGTTAGTCAGCCTCTTGCGTTGTACCCTACTCTCACTCATCGCTCTCGGCGCAGTTGGACACCCCCGCATTACATCAGACAGCGGTCAATGGAGGAAAACGTGCATGTGTGGCGCAGAAACCATATTATCGTAGATGGTAATGAACTCCCTCCTCCTGTTGAAGAATTTGAGGTGTGTCCGTCGCACTTATTACAACTGTCGCTAATTAAGCTTACTCGGCACAGGACATGAAATTGCCAAACGGTATTCTCAAGTATCTTTACAATAAGGGTATTCATTCACCAACGCCTATCCAAATGCAAGGTATTCCTACTGCGTATGTACACCTCTCAAAGTTATTACCCCGCTTATGTCTCAGATTCTCAGGTAGAGATATGATAGGAATCGCATTTACAGGGTCCGGAAAGACGCTGTCTTTCTCACTGCCGCTGTTGATGTTTGCGTTAGAGGAAGAGACCAAGCTGAGTTTTGGTAGGGGTGAGGGACCTGTTGGTATGATAGTGTGTCCGTCTGTGAGTATGATTAACCCGCGTATGGCTATAAACTAACTTCTTATAGCGTGAGCTTGCCAGACAGACCCATGACGGTCTACTGCAGTTGAGCGAGGCGCTGCAGGACGACGGTTATCCGGAGATACGAAGTCTGTTGTGCATTGGTGGTATTAGCATGGCAGAGCAGAATGAGGTGCTACAGAAAGGTTATCACGCTATTGTTGCAACACCGGGAAGGCTGATGGATATGCTCGAGAGAGGCAAGGTGATGCTTTCGAGTTGCAAGTAAGCGCACCTCTAACAGCACCTAGTAAAACCAAGCTGACGCGAGAGTAGGTACCTGTGCCTTGACGAGGCTGACAGAATGATCGATATGGGATTCGAAGAGGATGTTAGGACTATCATGTCGTATTTCAAAGTGAGTGGGTAGACTTATTTTGTAGAAGCAAACTCACAGTAGCTCAGCACCAGAGACAAACTCTGCTCTTCTCGGCTACGATGCCAAAAAAAATACAGGACTTCGCTTGGCAATCCCTCGTAGAACCTGTTGTAGTTAATGTCGGACGTGCTGGTGCGGCCAATTCGGATGTAGTACAAGTAGGAGACTTATTAGACTTTAAGCACACTACTAACAATACGCTACTGCTGCTCAGGAAGTTGAATATATTGAGCCAGAGGCGAGAATGTTATACCTACTCGAATGCCTCCAAAAGACACCACCTCCAGTGTTGATATTTAGTGATATCAAGAATGACGTAGATGAGATCCAAGAGTATTTGTTATTGAAAGGGGTCGAAGCTGTTGCGATACATGGGTCCAAGTCTCAAGAAGAGCGTGAGTATGCTATCAAGTCGTTCAAATCAGGAAGAAAGGATGTTATGGTCGCGTCAGGTGTGGCATCCAAGGGATTGGACTTTAGTGAAATACAGCATGTTATCAATTTCACCATGCCCAAGGAGATTGAAGACTACGTTCACCAGATAGGTAGAACAGGCCGAAGCGGGAATCGAGGAGTGGCGACTACATTTGTCAACCAGAATGTTCAGCAGCAAACATTACTCGATTTGAAGTATCTCCTTAGAGAAGCTAAGCAGAAGTGAGTAGATTGGAGGTGCAAAATTTTCATTTTAACGAAAATGCAAAGGGTACCACAATTCCTCAAAGACATAGAAGATCCATTTGAGGGAAAACCATCTGGATGTCCAATATGCGGTGGTGAGTAGGATAGTTGGATGTTTGAGTGGTGCTAACAGCCGCAGGACTTGGACACAGCGCAGCCAATTGCCCTAAGCTTGAAGATGTACAGAGACGGATACCGAGAGAGAGTGACGCTGGGGGCTATTGAAGAGTATTAGATATGAATATTGTTGTTGACGTAAGCATTGAGTTGATAGCGTGGTGAAGGTGTGTTTGTGTGCGTGGTAGTGATGGATTCTACAGAGTAAAACTTTGTTTTGCACCGATAAGCCGACTCGAACATATTTTCAAGTGCTGACATCATGAGCGATTTCCAAGTGCAAGTAGATCCAAAAAACAAAGTACGTCGATCATCTAACCTACGCAAACCTAATAGAAATTCAGATACTCAACGAGGATGGAGAGCCAGTCGTCGAAATACGAGAAGATGTCGCAGAGCCCAAGAAGAAGATAAAGACAGGGGTGACAGAGCCACTGGATTACGATAGAGACGATGAGAAAGTCAGCAGGCAGCGTATAGAGCGGCTGAAGGGAGTTTTGGGTGATGATTTTCAGGTGAATTCAGAACCGGAGAAGACGAGTAGAAAGAGCGTACGCTTCAATGAGTCTGTAGAATTAAATGAGGGGGATTCTGAAGCACGCGAGAAGCCATCCAACAAGACAAGCGCATATAAAGGCGCTGTTGGTGATAATGTGATTGAGAGAGAAGCCCAGCCACAGCCACAGCCACAGCCATCTAGGCGGAGTAAAGAGCCAGACGAAGAAACCTCAACGAGTGACGAAGACTTGGATTTCTACGAGGATGACGATGACGCGCTTGATATCGAAGCAGATCTCATCCATCAGCAGCTAGCGGTGGCTTATCACAGTAAGCGAAATAGTATGATGGATTATAGTAGCGATGCTTGGAACCAGGAAGTGGGTTTGTGTGGATAGCGGCTATCACTCAGCTCACACCTCCCAGGTTGTCCCCGATAACGCCAATTTGGTTGGAAATGCACCGCCAAAATCAAGATTTGAGCCATATTCAAGGCGATCTTACAGCGATAAGATGATAAATGAGCAAGGCGATGAGGAGCAGGTGTCGATAATGATACCAAGGCTCATTCCAGGCATGAAGATGGGCAAGTATCAGCATGATCAAGGTGTGATTACAGCAGACGAGCCAGATGACTGGGATGAGCATACAGAGGAGGCTAAGCAGATGCTTGAGCAGTTGAGAATGGGCAATAGAGAAGAATTGCCGCAGATCGTCAAGCCTGAGTCGAGGGAGCGTGCGCAGGTGGAGAATAGACCACCGGTAGTTGAAACCACAGCAGAGAAGTCAGAGAATTCACAGCCAAAGATATCACGCTTCAAAGCAGCTAGAATGCAGAAAATGTAAAATGAAATGTAATTTCATATCTAAACGCGATACATTCCCCTTCCCCTTGTCCACCAGCAGCCATCAGTTGCCTCACTAAAGTCACAAACTCCGAATATAAATATTAATGTCTGGTGGGTGATATTTTACGCGTGATAAACCCTAGCCAACCAGTACTAGCTGTTTATTCAGGTAATTGGCCGCTATCAAGTACGCGTCCATCTAACGCGTAGCAGTCTACACGAATCGTACGCACCAGGCAGCTCCAAAGCATTTACCAACGATATCAATAACCCCACATGGCCATCCTCACCGCGTTTTATACAACTTTGTTCACACTCAGCTTGTTAGTTGACGCGGGGTAATTGTTTGGAAATCACTAACGCGCCAGCAGAACGCCGAGAACTATCTCTTGACCCCTTCAAAAAATGGCGATCTTTGCGTGGCTAAATTGAGCCTCGGAAGCGACAACAGAAGCGTCAGCTGCGAGGCCAGTAGAAACCTCAAATGGTTCATTTCAAACGCAGGTGTTATGAACCCTGTATACAAAGTCAGCCTTCCAAACCCCAGTTTAGACGGCGATGACTTACCCTTGTTCCAAATAAGCAAGCCTAGTATGTCTACTTGTCGTCATTAGCCTCAGCTAATTGAGTTCCAGATCCCAATGCAAACTTTTGGTCTCTTTTCTATTTTGTCTTTGGTGGCTATCAAATACCTCCGAAAAGAATCGAGGTGAGTCTCTTTTCCTGCGGCAGACATCATTTTAAGTTTTAGTTTGGCAAAATTACGAAATCCACCAACAAAGATAAGCAAAATGAGTTCAAGATTGCAATCACAGGTAAGACATCCGAGGAGAAAGCTGTGTGGCAGACACTCGGTGAAGGAAACGAGGATGCCGTTGAATGGGTTATTCTCTGCACCATTCTCAATCTATTAGACGATGAGATCAAGAAGTCTCCTTCCGAGATTCCAATTATGCAACCGCAATCCAAGACAAGTTCGCTTAACAGGAAGCCATCGCAGGCACCTTCGGCTGCGTCTACAACATCTGCAACGTCTGCTGCTTCGGCCACTTCTTACATGGGAGCACCAGGTCATTATCAGCAACCAGGAGCACCTTCAGTTATGACGCCTCCAAGACCAGTCGTATCTCCACGACCAATGGTATCTGCAAGGCCAGTAGCTCCCAGGCCAGTAGCTCCAGTTGTAGCAGCCGCGCCTCCACAAAACTCACGCATGGTATCACAAAGGACGCCACAGCTTGCACCAATTGGATTTGCACCAGGAGGAATGCCTATGCCGATTCCAATGCAAATGCCGGTATCAAATCATTCAAAACATTCACAGCATTCACAGCATTCACACCATCCACACCATCAGAACCCCCCGCATCCACACCCCCAGCAACCCCATAGGATGCCACAACAAGCAATGCCACCGAGAATGCCTTCTAGGGAACTCTACAAATCGAGATAAATGAACAAGTGTATATATTTGTATTTTAGTCGTCCTATTTATTGTTATCTCCAACACTCGTCTTTTATGCAGAATGGGATCGTTAACGAAGCTGCCTTCCGAGCTGTGGTCTTGTGTACTAGAGCAGCTGGAGCCACGTGACCAATCATCGAGCACGGCTGCGCTAATGATTGCGTTCCCGAAGGCTCCCGTTGACTTCAAGCACGTGTGGACGCATATACACTTGAGGAATGAGCTACAAGTGAAGGCGCTCAATTTGAAGCTTGTAAATGATAAGGAGATGAAGATCAGTCTACAGCGCGAGCCGTTCCTCGGCCAGTCTCTGCGTCATTCGGCTCTTTTGGGCGATCCGTACTATCTGATTAATGTATACGAGGTGCTCAAGCAGGCGCACTTGCTTTCTTTATTCGTTGGACCAGCATTCGCACCCGAGCATCTCGCAGAGTTGTTTCGCAAACCGCGTCGTAATCTCAAGACGCTCAATATACACTTCCGCCCTTATTTGAAGCGGAGGTCTTACTACCAGTGGGTTTGGCCATCTGTGTGAGTCGTGGCGTTCCTCACATGCGCACAGATTCCTCAAAGGCGCTTACTTCGACTCGACGTTGGAAGAGCTAGCGAGAAGGTGGCCAATCAATGCGAATCTCACGCGAGTGTCATTTATACAGGATAACCCACCTAGCATTGAGTACAAGGCTAGTAAAGAGCGGCTTCCAATTGAGGAAGAAGAATCGGTGGAGCTCGTCGATCACTCGACATACCTCAACAGTTACTCAGGTGGCCCATCGACTATGTTTAGGAATAAACTTCTAACTGAAGATTTACCAAAGAAGTTCGCACATCCTATCGTTTTCTTTAACCTTAGTCACTGTCTCACTCAATTTGCTTCGAGTGACTTTGCATCGAGCGTGGAGCATTTCAGACTACGAGTACCGCAAAGAGATGTGAGTGGAGTGTTTAATTGATTTGGTGGTAGCTAATGAAATATTTTGTTTTCGCTATCGCTAGGTCGCGACTTCACTATCAGTGCAAGGGTCACTACCGCGCGTAACCAGTCTCGATCTGTCAACAACAACCATCAGAGTTGGTGGACCTGATGCTAACCTCGCCAGTCTGCTCAGAAGACTCAGCAAATTGCAGTATCTCGTACTCGACCAGACGGATGTTCTCGGTGCGGATAGGAAGTTCATCAACTTGGTCGCTAGAGATAGGGCGAAGAAGGCAGCGCGAGCAATTGGACAGCTGTGTGCAACGACGGGGCTGGTACGTGCAAAGCTACTTCAGGCTCGGATCAATGAATGGGTTGCTGAACAGAGGGCAACGTTTGTCGGTATGAATGAGGCTATGATGAGACAGGTAAATATTCAAGATATTCAAGAAAATCAAGGCAGACGCGACCAGATACCAGAGCAAAGTACTTCATCTAGACGGAGAATTAACACAGGGAGGAGAGCATTCCAGGCAAATTTCTCTTTAAGAGAACAGACAGAGACTGGGAGCGCACCAAGGCTGTCCAGTGCTGCTAGAGCTTACTTGAAACATGCCCCAGTGGAATATGTCGTCCTGGCTGAGTTGCCTTGCTTGAAGGCTATCACAGTTGGTGTGCGCGACTGCGTCAAGCAGGCCAGACGCGATGAATGGCAGCGCGATTTCGAAAAAGGCTGGAAAGAAGGTTGCAGCAAGGTTGTTGAGAGTATCAACAGTTCGTACAGAGGCTGGATCAAGAGCCGCGAGGATGAAGACAGAGCGAGGGATTTGAGAGAGAGGAGAGAAGGTAGAGAAGGTAGAGAGACAGATAGCCACAGAGACAGAGGAAAACAGCAGCAGAAGTACAAGAAGTATGGTAAATCTAGCAACAACGTTTCCCAGAATAGAGGAGACAGAGGAGAAGAGAGGAGGAAGAAGGTCGAGTTGATCAGGATTGACGAAGAGGGGGACATAGTGACCAGTGAAGATAGGATAAGAGGTTCAACCCTACCTAATGGGTTTGCAGAGGAGTTCCAAGGCATGAGAGCGTGTCTGAGCGAGGAAGAAGTGCTCAAGATGATATCACGCGGATCAGACAAGATGTTCCAAGTGCCCAAGTTCTGCAGCGTAGGCAAATGCGAGCATCCTGCCGAAATGAACGACAGCGACAGCGATGAGGATGAAGATGATGACGATGATAATGATGTCGATGATGTCGATGATGTCATGGGGTGTCCTCGAGGGTGTGCCCACGAGTACATACGCAGAGTCTGGAGTGATATTTAGAGCCAGTCTTTATACATACATTTGCTTTATTCAAAGGAAGAAATAAAATGAAAAAACAAAATTTTGAGATAAATTAAACTGCTCAAGCTCTTCAATGTTCGCTACCTCACTGAGAAACACAGCAAAAATGAGCAACGTATTCTTCGATGTTAGCGCGGGCGGTAGCCCATTAGGTGGGTTGGCTTGTGTGTGCGTTTACGACAGCTAAACGCGACAGGCCGTATTGTATTCCAACTCGCGGACAATGTCGTACCAAAGACAGCAAGAAACTTCCGTGAATTGTGTACCGGCCAAAATGGATTTGGATATGCGGGATCAGGATTCCACAGAGTAATCCCATCATTCATGTGAGTGGGAGTATTTGTGTTTACCTGAATGGGTTTATTAACAAATATAGGTTACAAGGTGGTGATTTCACCAACCACAACGGCACTGGCGGTAAATCCATCTACGGCCAAAAGTTCGAGGACGAGAACTTCACGCTGAAGCACACCAAGCCAGGTCAATTGTCAATGGCTAACGCAGGTAAGAACACCAATGGATCTCAATTCTTCATCACCACCGTTCCTTGCTCTTGGTTGGACGGCGCTCACGTCGTCTTCGGTGAGGTCGTCGAGGGATTGGACATTGTCAAGAAGGTTGAATCATTGGGCTCTGGCTCTGGTAAGCCAAAGACTGAGATCAAGATTACCAACTCTGGCACTGTCTAAGACTATTCAATTGGAAATGTATGAATGAAAATTTGATGAATTCAATTATAAAAGATACAAGAGACTTGTATGAGTGTGGGTCAGCGATATACGTGAAAAGATTATGTATAATGTTTAAATAAAATTTTGATAGATTTTGTTGAAATTTGAATGAATGATAACAGCGTCTCGTATCACAAGACAGAAGAAATTGAAAATGCATTTAATGTTCACAACGAATGATGAAGGGAAGAGGGTTTATTCTTTGAAGGTTTGTCCTGTGCTTCTGGTATATTCTCAGTCTAACATATTTACGCAGAAGATAACCACATCAGGCAAGATAACCAAATCCGCACATCCAGCTAGATTCAGCCCAGATGACAAGTTCTCCCGTCACAGGTAAATTGATTTTTAATTAAAATACCGCTCACATACTCATTCTCCTTAGGGTGACAATAAAGAAGAGATATGGTATCCTGCCAACGCAATTACCAAGGAATAGAGCATTTTGATTGGTTAATTAGTTTAATTGCTGTTTACCTGATTAATTTATATATATTTTATTAAAATTACTATTTACGGTTCGAATTAAATGCCTTAACTGAGTTATCTGCAATGTCTGTATACCAACTACGACCACACATTTATAACGCATTTTACGCGTTTTATATTCTATTGAACCAATTTTAATCTTCTATCGACTTATATTGGTTATATATTCACTCTCCTCTCTTCATTCCCCGCTTTTCACCTCTTTTCAGCCTAAAACATTCTCTTAAATGGCTGATAACTCGAGGCCACCATTGAAGCACCTGTCTTCTTCTTTCAAGTCTGGTGATGACAGCGATCCCAATCTCAATATCAACGATCAGCCCATCCTCGCTCCTACTGTCAGCTTTCAATACACCAACGATCAAGACCCTGAAGCTGCCTATAAAATACACACCGATTCAGCCTTCAAAAGGAAACGCTCCCTCGTCAAGCCTGAACGCGAACGCCCTGATCCCAACCACAGACTGTTTCACTATCGTAACAGAGCCGCACATCTAGATCAGTCTGGTCACGGTGGCGTTAAAGCTTCTTGTGAGCTCTGTTTCTCTTTCTCAATCACTTCCCTCTGACTTACACTTTCAGCCACCGGCGCTTACCCCCAGCAATCCTCCTCTCCAGGCGTACGCCGAGGCAAATCCGTTCTAGGCAGACAAGACCCCGGTCCTGGTCTCTTGCGGAGGCAGACTAAAAAGTACAACTCTATTATTGCTCCCGTCGAAGCTGAGAATGCCCCGACTGGAAAAGAACCCACGTCAACCTCCACCTTCGGCTACGCTTCTATACCTGGCCCAAAAGGTCCGTGGATGCTTTATTGCTTCATTATCACATGCTTCATTCCCAATTTCCTTCTCAAATTATGCGGTATCAACACTCCAGAGCGTCAAAGGGCTTGGCGTGAAAAAATTGGCTTGTTGGGTGTTATTGGTTGTTTGATGGCTTTAGTTGGTTTTATTACTTTCGGGTTCACTCAGACTGTTTGTGGTGTACCTCCTCATCGTTATCAAGTTGGTCACATCGATAATGGTAACCTCGTTGTGAACGGTATATCGTACAGTCTCAATACCTGGAAGCATCCTCAAGTTAATGGCTGGTTTGATAGTGATGAGAATTCAAACGTTCTCTTTAATGGTCCCATGCCTGCTTCTGGAATGGACGCCTCCTTTCTCTTTCAAAGAGTGAATGAAAACTGCAAAGATATCATTACTCCAGCAGATAATACTGGCATTGATCACTCCGGTAATGATATGTCATGGTATTTCCCTTGTCAACTTTTCAGCCCTAATGGGACAACCACCCCCAATCTTTCCAACTATACCGATGATACTCTTTGTCATACTTCTTCCACGGCTAGAGACGCTTTCGACTCCCTTGGTTCAAATGAAGATGTTACCACTGGTCAAATTTACTTTACTTGGGATGATTTACGCGATCCAAACAGAAATTTAATCGTTTATGAGCAAGATGTTTTAGATTTAAGTTTGTTAAATTGGTTGGACAGTGCTCAAGTCAATTGGCCTTCGGAGTTTGATGAGTTAAAATCTCCCACACCGGAAGACAAGTTTAAAGGCAAAGATATAACGATGACAATGCAAAGAACTGGCAGAGATGATATCGGTAAATGTCTGCGTGACATTGTTAGAGTTGGTTTCATCGATACTGACACTGTTGGATGTGTTGCTTCTAACGTGGTGTTATACTTATCTCTGATATTTATTATCGGGGTTGTTTCGTATGTTTATTTACTGCGTTGTTTATCCTTCTGACAAATGATTTTAAGCATCAAATGGGCTATGGCGGTCTTCTTTGGTTGGTTCTTATCCTGGAGACTCGGTGTAGGATTCAAAGAAACAAGAGAAGAAAGACACGCGCGAATGAATGCCATTGAGAACTGGTCAGATGATATTTACAAACCAGCTCCAAATAAATACAGGCCTTCAGCACCTCCTAACAACTCCAAATCCAATCCTTTTAGTAAAACTACAGCAAAGTTATTACCAAAGTCTAGCAGATTCACTCCTGCGCAAGAGAAACCAACATTCGTACCTGAGTTGAACAAACGCGCGAATAACTTTACTACATCAAATTCAAAAAGTTTTCTTGGCTCTTCAATCTATAGCCCTCCAGACTCTCCAAACATACGAGGCACACAAAGCTCAAGTAGTTTGCCATTCGCTAGCTCAAAAGAGTTTGTTGACTGGAACAGATCTTCGTCATTAGCTTCTGGCAGTTCAGGTGGATGTCCTTATCCTTTGGTTCAGAATGTTGTCCCACAACCACCATCAGACTATGAACCTCACAACTTCCCGTTAGCTCATACTATATGTCTAGTCACCGCTTATTCTGAAAGTGTTGAAGGTTTGAGAACTACTTTGGATTCCTTAGCTACGACAGATTATCCTAACAGTCACAAGCTTCTGTTGATTATTGCAGATGGTATTGTCAAAGGATCTGGAAACGACATGTCGACACCAGACATATGTCTTAGTATGATGAAAGATTTGGTTTTACCCAAGGATCAAGTTGAAGCCAACTCTTTTGTTTCAATAGCTGATGGACATAAAAGACACAACATGGCTAAAGTTTTTGCAGGATTTTACGATTATGATGAGTCAACAGTCGAGCAAAACAAACAACAACGTGTACCGATTATTCTCGTCGCAAAAACTGGTAATCCACTTGAAGCTAAGGAGGCTAAACCTGGTAATCGTGGTAAACGTGATTCACAAGTATTGCTCATGTCTTTCCTTCAAAAAGTCATGTTCGACGAACGCATGACGACATTTGATTTCGATTTCTTTAACACTATTTGGAGACTTACAGGTGTTTGTCCCGACAGATATGAAACTTGCTTGATGGTTGATGCTGATACGAAAGTTTTCCCTGATTCACTCACAAGAATGATGGCATGTATGGTAGTCGATCCCGAAATCATGGGTTTATGTGGTGAAACTAAGATTGCAAACAAAGCACAAAGCTGGGTTACTATGATACAAGTATTTGAGTATCACATTTCTCATCACTTGGCAAAGGCTTTCGAATCAGTTTTCGGTGGTGTTACTTGTTTACCTGGTTGCTTTTCTATGTACAGGATTAAGGCTCCAAAGGGTGGTCAAGGCTATTGGGTACCAGTTATCTGTAACCCGGATATTGTTGAGCACTACTCTGAAAACATCGTCGATACACTTCACAAGAAAAATTTACTGCTCCTCGGTGAAGATAGATTCTTGACAACGTTAATGCTTAGAACTTTACCAAAGCGCAAGATGATGTTCTGTCCACAAGCAGTTTGTAAAACTGTTGTACCGGATGAGTTCAAGGTCTTATTATCACAAAGAAGGAGATGGATTAACTCAACCGTTCATAATCTGTTTGAGCTCATATTGGTTAGGGATTTATGCGGAACGTTTTGTTTCTCCATGCAATTCGTCGTCTTTATGGAAATGGTCGGTACGATGGTTTTACCAGCTGCTATTACGTTCACCGTTTACATCATTGTCCTCGGAATGTGGGTGAGGACTCATTAGATTTGCATTACTGACACTTTTTAGTATTCCATCTGAACGTACCCCAACGATCTCACTTATTTTGCTCTTGATCATTCTCGGTTTACCAGGTCTTCTTATTGTTCTGACATCGCGAAGACTAGCCTACGTTGGATGGATGATAATCTATCTTTTCTCGTTGCCAATATGGAACGCTATCTTACCAGCTTACTCGTTCTGGCATTTTGATGACTTTTCGTGGGGTGCAACTAGACAAATTGAGGGTGAAGGTGCCGAAGAGTCGCACGGAGATAAAGAAGGAGAATTTGATCCATCACATATCATTATGAAACGTTGGGCAGAATTCGAACGTGACAGAAGATATAGAACTGGTACAAACTCGAGAGATTCTACAGATGATGTCAGTAGATCTGCAAGGAGGCATGATTATAGAAGATCGGTGAACAGTAATCACGATGGTGGTGGGTTGACGTTGGATGCTTTGAGAAATCCGCCATCTTCAGCATCAAGAGGTAGTTTGACTGGACCTCCTCTAATTGAATTACCTCAACCACTTTCGACACATTTGAATGAAGCATCTGGTTCTACACCGCCACCCGTATCAAGAATTCCAGAAAATTTAGCAAATTTTGACGAATCAAGTGGAGCAAACAGTGTAGAACAGAAGCCAATGTTATCTTTGAGTCATATTGATTCACCTTTACACGATCAAGATAGTCATCAAAGACTAGCTTCAATACCTCAAAGCGAGTTCTATCAACCACAAGCACAGTCAAATGAAAAGGAATCATTCTTAGAGGATAACAGCCATCTCAACAGACCAGCACTCGGGATTACTCTAATGGATCAAGGGCCTATTGGCGAATCACCCCGAAGAGTAGTCAAACCAGCTCACAAAAGGAGACAGCCAAGCTCGTCATTGGCGCTTGAACAATTGAATCAATATAGTCAACAAAGACGAGATGAAAGGGTGGGTAGCTCGGAGGATATTGATTTAGACGAATCAACTCGTGCATCACAATCTTAATCGACAAATGCAAAGCAATATGATTTGTGAGTCGTCGTATGTGGTTAATGAGCTGAGATAACTTAACTTACGAAACAGACTTCTACTTTATTTAATACTGACAATGTACCACTACTTCTAGTCAGATTTTGCACTCTATTAGCGATTATTTTACAATTTCATCTGGCGTTTTGAACATTAGTCAGGCAAACAGGCTACTTTTGTATTTTTGTTAAATTATGTATCTTCTCAGATATGGCGGAGTATTGCTAAGCTGCGTTGATCATCTCCAATGCTTGATGACTTCAAGATGTGATTAGAGATGGCAAGACAATTTCGCAAGACGATAGTGTCCGAAATCGCTCAAGCATTAAAAATACATCCTCATATCAACCCTCCGCTCTCTATCCACCGAGTTGGATTTCTCTCTTAACACCTATCTCATTTCAGATGGTGATTTGCGACTTTTGATGATCTCCATATAAAAGAGCTTGAATGATAGCTCTGACAGAAACGAATATGATTCTACCTGATTTGTATCCCTGGCGCTCCAGAATTGAGCCCTGCACGCTGATCGGAAGCAATTATCCGAAATCGCTCAAGAGCACGCTATAGGATGAACATCGACATTTAAGCGCTTAATCCATGAAAGTAAAATTTCCGCGATTTATAGAGATCCTAAGTACCTAAGATAATCAATTTTCCGGGCTCTATAAACACGTAAAACATTTTACGTTGCGTGTCGTCTACAGGACTTACTTTTGGTATTAGGGAAAAATATCACTACTCAGCATCACTTTACACTTGAAAGAAGCGATTTGGGTATAGAAAAGGAGGGGTCAGCATAACTCTGAAATCGCGACTTTGGCTTCACTTGATGCATTTCGAGATTTTAAGTAATTGGGGATTTGAAGGCACTTAAGGGTCCTTTGTAATCGTTGAAGTCAAGATAATAGGAGTTTGTGTTTTTAATACCGAATTGCACTCTTTGCAGCATCTAACATTTAGGTGGATGAATGCCGAGTACATGCTGCGTTATCCATGAAAATCGTACCTGCAAACGTCTCAATTAGCTGATGATTACAGAATTTTGATAAGTGTGCTCGAATTGGCAGCATTCACTGTGCTATAGCGAACTTAAGCACGTCATTTTATAAGATTGCAGCGTCATTCCAACTCTAAAAGCTTAACTATTGTACCCAATAATACATCAGAAAAGATATCACACCCAAATTATATACGTTTGGATTCACCTCCCTATAAACCCAACTACCACATGTCTTTTATCAAGTACGAAACCAATTTCAACGAGAACGAATTGAAGGGGAAGACGTTGATTTTGCCATCGATCAGTATAGCGAATGTACCGCAATTAGCTATCGAGCTGCTGCTGAACAACCATTCGAATGAGTTAATTGGTAGGTTCAACAACGACGGCTTCATCCAAGTTGCGGGTGGATCTGCTAGTGGCTTGGTAACTCCCTTGGAATTGCGTAGGCTGCAAAAGTGCAGCGATGTCTTCATAATCGACCAGCGATCACCGATACTCAAAGTAAGCACTCATTATCTGTTAAACGGAGCTGACGAGTACAGAGCCATAAGAGTACATTCGTAGATAATCTTAAGGTTTGGGCAGAGAGGCTGGAGCTCGACGTAGTCGTTCTATCTTCTGCAGATTCAGCTGCGAGAAGCGACAATGAGATCATGTCAAGCCAGCTGAAGCAACTGTCTAATAAGGAAGCGAAATACGATAGCAGGATAAGCGTTTTCGAGCCGCTTGAATTAGGCAGCGCTAATGGATCTGGCCTGCTCAAGTCTTACTATACCAACATGAAGAAAGCGTGTGCGTTGTGTCTGTTCACAACTGAAGGAGACAACAGGCCTGATGCCCATCTCCTCGTAAAGGCGATTTCAAACGTACTTGGCTTGGAAGGTATGTGAGCTCAGCGATAACGTCAGATTTGTGTTAACGCAGCTACAGCGGTTGAATTAAAGGATCCTGGGCATTGGGATGGGCTTTTTGGACGCTTATATGATATTAAATTATTTGGCTGAGATGTTTGTTCCTTGTATTTTCCATGTCTTCTCTTTTGCTTGAGAACTACGAATATTACGATATGCCCAAAAAGCGCTCGCTGAAACCAGTGAACCGTGGCTTTGCAACTACATCCGTACAAAAGAAGCCTGAAGATCCTAAACCTGTCGTTGAGGCCCCGCAAGCTCCCGCGCCCGAAGACAGGCCGTCGACACCGCTTTCAACGAGCCAGCAACCCATCAACGACGATATCGTGCAGCAGTACTACTCCAAGGTACTCAAGGATGTTGAGAGGAACGTTAAAGGTATTGATTATGATAGAAAGCTCGCGAAACAGCTCCCAACTCTTCAGCTTAATGATATCAACTACAAAGAATTCGTACCGACATTCAGCTGCGACGATAGCCACATAGACAGTAATGACAAGATATTTCACAAGCTTGGAGTTACTTACAATACTTTGAAGAGGCTGGGATTCACCCATTCGCTAGTAGTTGACTCTTTTAACGCTACAAACTCATTTGACCTGCAAAACGCTTTGGTATGGGTGAGTACTACGTGCTGCAATTACAATAACTTCTCACTAATCTCCGCAGCTTGCATTCAACGTCTCTGATGAGCAACTCAACGATACTGCGTACACGACAATTCCGCCTTCTCCTCCGAAACCACTCCCAACGCCTACTCCGCCAGCCTCTTCAACGCCCAAAAAGACTTCTGGTACTGCTAGTCCCTCGTTGACCCCTTCCAAGCCCAGCAAACCCGCCTTCGATGTTCCTCAAATTACCCTGTCCGATGACGACCAACTCGAGCCTACACAAGCATACGTCCGCTTCAAGCTGGAGCTCGACGATGCAGAGCGGGCTGCAGGTATCGTCAAGAAGAAGAAAAAGTCTAAGGCCGATGACTGTTCTGATCCGCAAGTGATAGCTTTAAGGGCAGTTGTCGATCAGTTGCAAGGAATGTATCTATTTGATAAGAAAGACGCCGACAATGCTTACAGGGAACAAAGAAATGAGCTCGACAAGGAGCTTCTCCAAGAACGACTGAAACAACCGCAACCACAGCATCAACAGCAACCACCTTCACCCACGCAGGAGAATAAAAAATCTGCTGATCCTGTTGAAGAAGACATGGGCGATCTCTTCAAGGAAGAAGAACAAGAAGAGCTCACACCTAGCGGTAATCCTATGCCTGTCATTGACATGACTCTTCCAAGACAAATATCTGCGCGCTCAATGCCAAAGACTATCGTTGAAGAAACAATCATCAAGATCGACAAGTCTGCTCAGTCTTACTTTTTGATCGTATCTAAGGGATCTCGTGCTATCAGAGCATCAGGTTTTGTTCAATGGGGTTTAGAGTTTCAATACGCACGTGATGAGCACGAGATGGTTGACGTCGGCTGCCAGAATGACACACAGGCTATTAATTACGTCGCGTTGATGCTACTTCACAAGGTTTATCTCAAGCATCCAGCGGCATGTACTTTCAAGCACTCACAATTCCCACTTTCATTCCAGGAGCTGTGGGCAGAAGTTGAGAACAAGCGTAAAACTGAGGAAAGCGCTAAACAGAGCGAGGAATACCTAATGCTGAAGCAATACTTTGATGAAAAGATGGAAAGTGCACCATCTAAATACAAATCGACACCAAAAGCGACCAAAACCAACGCAACTGATGGAGAATCTCTTTCACACTCCCAAAAGAACTCTGTATCGAGAAAAGACAGCAAGTTGCAGGAAATCTTTGAACAAAGGCAGCGAACAGAAGCTTATCAAACCATGTTACAGTCGAGAAATACACTTCCAATAGCTTCCTATCGTGAGGAGATCCTTAACACAATCAACTCCTCACAGGTCATGGTCCTCAGTGGTGAAACTGGCTGTGGCAAGTCTACCCAACTTCCTGCGTTCATTTTAGAGGATGCTCTGAGCAAGGGCGAAAAATGCAAGATCTACTGTACCGAGCCTAGGCGTATATCTGCCATATCCCTTGGATCTAGAGTTTCTGCTGAGTTGGGTGAAAAGCCGGGTACTTTAGGTGGACCGGAGTCTCTTGTCGGTTATGCCGTACGATTGGAGAGCCATATTGGTAAATCGACGCGACTGGTATATGCCACGAACGGTATTGCATTGCGTATGCTTGAATCAAGCAATGGTCCAGACGGAAAGAGTGCCTTTGATGATCTCACTCATATTGTCATTGACGAAGTACACGAGCGCTCTATTGAGTCAGACTTTTTGCTCATCGTGCTGAAGTCTTTACTTCAGCAACGCAAAAACCTCAAGATTATTCTCATGAGTGCGACTGTTGATTCCAAAAAAATTAGCTCGTACTTTGGTGGATGTCCTGTTATTAGCGTACCAGGACGTACTTTCCCCGTAGATGTTTGCTATCTCGAGGATGCCATCGAATTTAGTGGTTTCAGAATCGATGAAACCTCGCAGTATGCTCGTAACCAATATGACCGAATTGCTAACAAGGGAAAATCACAAATAGCGGAGTGGAACGAGGATGAAGACGATGAAGAGAATAACAGTGGAACATCTACACCAAAGGATCAAAGCGTTTCATCGGCTTTGCCTAAGCTGAGCCCAGACACATTCACGACTCTCAATCTTCTCAACGAGTATTTGATTCCGTATGATCTGATATTAAAGACTTTGGAAAGGCTCAGTACGGATGCTCAATGGATTCATTATTCTAGCGCAACACTCATTTTCATGTCTGGTATGGCAGAAATAAGACGTATGAATGATATGCTGCAAGAGCATCCGCTGTTTGGTGATAGCTCACAGTTTAACATTTACCCGTTACATTCCAGTATTGCCTCTGACAAGCAGGGTGCAGTTTTTGACATACCACCACCAGGAGTTCGTAAAATTGTCATTGCTACAAACATTGCCGAGACTGGTATCACCATTCCAGACGTGACATGTGTCATTGATACTGGTAGACATCGCGAAATGAGATTCGACGAGAAGAGACAGATCTCACGTCTTCTGGATTGCTTCATCGCCAAGTCGAATGCTAAGCAGAGAAGAGGTAGAGCCGGTAGAGTAAGAGAAGGTCTTTGTTTCCACCTTTTTACTCGTGATAGGTTTGAGAATGGGCTTTCCGATCATCCTTTGCCCGAAATGACTCGTCTTTCATTGCAAGATCTCGCTCTCAGGATTAAAATAATGAATGTTCAGATAGGATCATCGATTGAGGACGTACTTATGCGCGCACTGGATCCACCTACCTCGATCAATATCCAAAGAGCGATTTCGTCCCTTATTGAAGTCAAGGCGCTTAAGTCCAATGAAGAAATCACTCCGATGGGTCGCATATTGTCAAGACTGCCAGTCGATGTTCATATTGGAAAGTTTTTATTATTTGCGGTTATATTCGGTTGCCTCGACTCTGCGCTTACAATTGCTGCAACTCTTAACTCGAAGTCACCATTTGTTACGCCGTTTGGTCATGAAACTGAGGCTATGAATGCCAAGAAGGCTTACAACGAAGGTAGTCAGTGATTGAGCTTGCTGTAGCTTTTGCTGACGAACTTTGACCAGGTAACTCTGACTTTGTTATTATTGTCAAGGCATACAATGGTTGGAGACAGGCATTAAAAAATCAAGGATGGGCATTTATGAAGAGGTATTGCGATCAAAATTACCTGAGTTTGCAGGTGAGTGTTGATTTTTCATCATGATTACAACTAACGTGTACCTCAGAACCTCCAATCAATCGAAGAATTAAGAATACAATTAATGTCTTATTTGATTGACGCAAACTTTGTTAGTCTGAATCATAAGCAAATGCGAGAGCTTAATGCGTAAGTAGGATCAGATAAAGTAATTCGCCTCTAACAGCACAGTGCTCGCATGGTTCGCACAGGAAGAGGGTCATTAAAGTTTTTCGATATCCCCGAGGAGCTTGACTATAATGCAGGAGATTATTCCATTCTCCATGCAGCCATTGCGGCTGGACTATTCCCCAAGATGATATCATTAGACTGGTATACGAAGACGATGAAGACGATTCAAAACAATGCGGTAGTTTCTATACACCCTTCATCGCCTAATTTCAAAGTAAAGTGAGTGAGGTAAAAGAAATATCTCAATGAAACTAACTGGGAACAGATGGCAAGAATTTGGGTCGACATTCCTTTGCTATTTCACACTTTTGCAATCGAGGAAGCTTTACGCTCATGAGGTTGCACCTATAGATATCATGGCATTGATACTGTTGTGCGGAGATATAGATTTGAAGGTGAGGAGGGATCAGAGCATGTGAAGAAATCAACTGATAATGTACAGATGACTTCAAACACGATACAAGTACATAACAAAGTGAAAGTATCACTTGATCTACGCACTTGTGCGCTTCTTGCAAGTCTGCGTGAAGGGTTGCAGTCGGCAGCAAACGCAACGATCAGAGGAAAGGAGTGGACGTCGTATCAAACGCACGCATTTAGAACTGCATTAGACGTTTTGAAAGGCACACATTGATGTATTTATCGAGCACAATTTACATATAGATGGTATTTATAATATAAATTGCGTATGAGACCTATCGGTGAGCAAATTTTAAAAAGCAAAGATAGCAAATGAAAGATAGAGGGATGCTAGAATGAGTACCATAGAATGTATTCGGAGCGCCGCTATTGACATATTCAAGCAATTTTTACTCGGAAAAAGAAGAGCCCGCGACTTGAACTTGCACCATCATAAGGAATTGGACATGTGCGGTATAATTGGTCTGGTATTACAAGATACCAACGTAGCTGTGTCACCAGAGCTGTAGGGTGCTTATACTTATTCCGCCTCAGCTGACGGACTCAGTGCTGAAGGCTTGTCGCTGTTACAGCACAGAGGACAAGACGCATGTGGAATAATAACATGTGGACCACGCGGTAGACTCAACCAAGTCAAGTCGAATGGCATGGTACGTGATGTCTTTGACAACCAAGCCATTTCAACTCTCCGCGGATGTATGGGCATTGGTCATGGTGAGTTTTATGGAATTGGCAGTCTCAATTGCTCATTACCGCTATTACAGTTAGATACCCTACTGCAGGATCATCTGCTCAAGCTGAAGCTCAGCCTTTCTACGTCAACAGCCCATACGGTATCACATTCGCTCATAACGGCAATTTAATCAACACAGAAGAACTTAAAGAATTTCTTGATCAAGATGCACACAGGCATATTAACACAGATTCTGATTCTGAGATGTTGCTCAACATATTCGCTGACAACCTCCAACAAACTGGCAAATTCCGTATCAACGAGGAAGATATTTTCACTGCCGTCAGAGACCTCACTCGTACATGCAAAGGTGCATACGCTTGCGTTGCGATGATCGCTGGTTTCGGTATCGTTGCTTTTAGAGATCCAAACGGTATTAGGCCCCTTGGTTACGGTGTTAGAGCTGCTGGAGAGCCAGTCGATGGAATGAAATCACCTCAAGGCGATAAACAAAAGACTGGTCTTGATTATGTCTTTGCTTCTGAATCTGTCGTTTGTGATGCGTTAGGATTCACTGATTGGGTGGATGTTAAGCCAGGTGAATGTATGATCGTTACTAGACATTCAGTATCTAGAAGGCAAGTTGCCGAACCAGCAACATTCGCACCAGATATATTTGAATACGTTTACTTTGCCAGACCTGATTCTGTACTCGATGGTATCAGTGTCTATCGTAGTAGAATGGGCATGGGAGACACACTTGCGGATGGGGTCAGAAAGCAACTTCTCGATAAATCTTTGCCAGACAGTAGTTCAGTAGATGTCGTCATACCTGTTCCAGATACATCGAGAGTAGCAGCATTGCAATTGGCACAGAACCTTCGCATCCCTTACAGAGAAGGTTTCGTCAAGAATCGCTACGTAGGTCGTACTTTTATCATGCCAGGACAGCAACAACGTCGTAAGAACGTTCGTCGTAAATTGAACGCTATGGCACTCGAGTTCTCTGGAAAGAATGTTTTGCTTGTTGATGATTCGATAGTGAGAGGAACAACATCAAAGGAAATTATTCAAATGGCGCGTGATGCGGGTGCAAAGAACGTGTTCATGGCATCTTGTGCACCAGCTATCAGATATTCCAACGTATACGGAATAGACATGCCAAACCGTAAAGAGTTGGTTGCACATGGCCGTACAGAGGAGCAAGTGGCAGAATACATTGGTGCAGACAAGGTAATATTCCAGACACTGGATGGACTGGTAAAGTCATGCAGCAGTCTAAATGAAGATATTCAACACTTCGATTGCTCAGTATTTACGGGCAAATATATCACGGGTGGTGTTGATGTTGCCTACTTGGAGCATCTCGAGAACTTGCGCGCGGATAATGTGAAGAATAAGGTTACGACAGAGGAGGCAGTATCACCAGCCTGTTCTGGACCAATGAATGGAGCGGATGATAACATAGGGCTTGCGAATCAACGTCGTTAAAATTTGCATCTTTTGGGAAATTAAAAAAAAACCTAGAGATATAGAAAAGGCCATTGATTGTAGTGATAGTATTGATTTGTATAAAAAGTAAAATTGATTAAATCCAATTGCCGATTTTCAATTTTCACTGGCTGCGTGCCTTGTTCAGCACTGCCAAGTTGGAGATATGAAGATAGCGCTGCTTCCGCTGATAGCGCATACGCTTGTACACGGCTACAATATACCAGCGCAGAAGAACTATCAGACGCATGATTACTACGTGGTACAAAGTCATCTCGACAGCTCAGAGATGTCGTCGGCGTTGGAAGCGTTCGGAGAAGAATATGGGATGAAATTCGTAGAGAATGTTGGGGAACTGGACAACCACCACTTGTTTAAGGTTGATAAGGGACGCTCGCTCGATGATTTGCACTCTTCATTATCAAAGAGGGATCATTATCCATTCAGATCACTCACATATCAGCAACCACGCCAGAAACTACACAAGCGTGCCCCGTTACACCCAGATACAGATTCTGCCCGTGTGGCTCAGTCGCTCGGTATCAATGATCCAATTTTCGCAGATCAGTGGCATTTGGTTAATGATAAAAAGCCTGAACACTCGATAAACGTTGCCCCGGTTTGGCAGCAAGGTATCAAAGGTCAGGGTGTTAGAGTCGCTGTCGTCGATGACGGTCTCGATATCCATTCAGAGGATCTGTCTCCTTCTTTCGTAAGCTGATTCACTCGCTATTATCCAACTAATTCCTCCACTTTCAAAGTTCCCCGAAGGTTCCTGGGATTTCAACGACCACACCGCCTTACCTATACCCCGCCTGAGAGAAGACTCCCATGGTACTCGATGTGCGGGTGAAATAGCTGCTGCCAGCAATGACGTCTGTGGTGTTGGTGTCGCATATGAATCCAAAGTCGCTGGTATCCGTATCCTATCAACTCCCATCTCAGACGCAGATGAAGCCACTGCATTGAATTATGCCTACCAGCTAAATGATATTTACTCCTGCTCGTGGGGACCTCCAGACGATGGTAGATCAGTTGAAGCTCCCAGTGATCTCATCGCCAAAGCGTTCGTTAATGGTGTACAAAGGGGTAGATCAGGAAAAGGCTCCCTCTTCGTCTTCGCTTCTGGAAATGGTGCTGCTAGTGACGATCAGTGTAACTTTGACGGTTACACAAATAGTATTTATTCAATAACTGTTGCTGCTATTAGCAGAGACGGCACACATCCTTATTACTCGGAAGCATGCACAGCAAATTTGGTTGTCACATATAGCTCTGGTAGCAATGACAGCATTCATACCACAGATGTAGGTGCGAACGCTTGTACATCTAGACATGGAGGTACGTCAGCCGCTGCACCAATAGCAGCTGGTATCTATGCCTTGGTTCTTCAGGTAAGACCAGATTTGGGTTGGAGAGATCTTCAGCATCTCTCTGTTAATACTGCTGAACCTATTAATCTTGAAGAGGATGGTTGGGCTCCTACCGCTGCTGGTAGGATGTACAATAACCGCTACGGTTACGGTAAACTCAACACTGAAAAGATCGTTGACGCAGCGCATAATCACAAATTAGTCAAACCTCAAGCCTGGTATGAAGCTCCAATCGTTAAAATACCGAATGGAGTGAATATTGTCGGTCAACCGCTAAATGGTCAGTGGTACGAAAGCAATTTCCACTTGTCAGCCAATCGTATGCGTCATCACAACATTGAACGACTAGAGCATATTACTGCGACTGTTTGGATTGATCATGACAGAAGGGGTGACATTGAAGTAGAACTAATTAGTCCAAACAATGTGAAGAGCGTTTTAGCTAAACCAAGGAGGTATGATGGCTCTACTGAGGGACTGAATGGATGGAAGTTTATGTCGACGAAACATTGGGATGAGAATCCCGTCGGTGACTGGAAAATTAGGGTTAAGGATGGATTCCACCCAAAGAAGCGTGGTAACTTTAAAGCTTGGTCTATAGGATTCTGGGGTGAAGCCGCAGATGCAACAAAGGCCGTTGATTATGTTTTACCTTTTGAAAGACCAGAAGGGGATTCAGATAACGGCGATGATGATGATGATGATGATGATGATAATTCTAGCTCAGATATGCCAGAGTATCTCGGACCAAGTACAACTTACCAAAGACCAAAGCCAACAGATCATCTTCCTGAAGATCATCATGAAGCAGGCGATGAAATTCCAGAGTCATCATATACCCCGACACCTGATGAAGGATATCTGGACAACTCAACATTCCTACTAAATCATCAAAGTTGGTTGATAGGCGCTGCACTTGCGGGACTTTCACTCGTTGCAGCAGTTGGTACAGTGTGGGTGATTAGAAGAAAGAAAGCACAAGAGTTGGCACGTGCTGATGAAGATAGCCGCGGAGTGTATGCATCACTGAATCAAGGAGGTGGTGATAGTCATAGAATGACAGAATTTTCATCGAATAACGGTGGAAGGACGAGAGAACTGTACGATGCATTCAAACTCGCGGATAGCGATTCGGAGGAAAGTGATGAGGATAATGGTAAAAATGAGGAGTACAAGGATGAGGATGAGACGGAGCGGGGTGATGAATCACAGGTGCTGTATGACAAAGACGATGGCACTGGAAATGTACACAATGAAGCCCAAACTAGCTCAAAACCGTGGAATGAAGAAGAACGGTAATAAACCAAACTTAAAGATAAATTTCTTGTATTAGATGATTTAAATGTGGATTTTACAAACTAATTACAAGTCAGTTAACTTCTTCCATGGCTAGTGGTGTAAAGTACTATTTAGCGGTATTCAACGCAGTTTCAACTGCTGGATGGGCATTAGTGTTGTTCTTGACAATAAAGCACCTCAATGATGGCAGAGTAACAGTTCCTATAACTGAATCACCTGTAACTTATTTTAAGAGTACTTGGAACAGCCAATTTTCATCCAATTTAGTCTCAAAAGCACGTACGACATACTTTGATATTGGAAATGTTGTTCAGATTGTTCAATCAATTGCAATTCTCGAGGTTGTACACGTCGTGATTGGGTTAGTGCGCTCACCACTGCCAACAACAGCGATGCAGGTTGCTAGTAGACTTTACATAGTTTATTATATTGCACCGTTATTCGTACAAGTGAGTCAATTAGTCATATGGCGCTATAAATTGAAAACAAGGTAATAGGCACAATATAACTTTATTTACACGACAATGATAATTGCGTGGTCATTGACTGAGATTATAAGATATTCATTTTACGCTACTTCACTCGTTGGACGCAAATCAAGCGTTTTGAATTGGCTGCGATACACGACGTTCTACGTGCTTTATCCACTTGGCGCAGGATCAGAGGCGACGTTGATAGCGTCTACACTGCCTAAAGGATTACCAAGTAATATAAACTGGCCAGCTTCAGATATTATCAGATCTTGGTTTTTCCTTGGGTGGTGGCCAGGTGCGTTTATATGAGTGGTGGCCAATGCGCGACTAATGAAATAGTAGGACTGTATACTATGTATACGCATATGATTAGCCAGCGCTCTAAAGCCTTATCGAAGGAAAAAACGAAATAAAATGATATTTTGTATTTGCAAGACATAATGCTATGCACCGGGCTAACCTCTTTAAGGCGGACGATCAGCAACCTTGATGGATTTATTATTTAATAGCAATTTGATACCACAGTCAGTAGCTAGCACTCTTCCTGCCGGCTACAGCCTCAGACCCCTTTCATCTGCAGACTACGACAAGGGCCATATCAACCTCTTAAGCGTACTGAGCAAAGCAACAGATCCAGGGCGTCAAGCGTACGTGCAAAGATTCAATTTCCTTAAGAGTATCCCAGACACGTACTATACAATCATTATAACTGATAACGCAGATAAAGTCGTTGGTTGCGGTACCGTTTTACTGGAAAGGAAGTTTTTGAGAGGATTAGGGGTTGTTGGACATATTGAGGATATTGCGGTTGATAAGAACCAGCAAGGGAAGAGCTTAGGGAAGAAGATAATTCTTAGTCTTACGGAAATAGCCCAAAGCCGCGGTGCATATAAGGTAATACTTGACTGCTCTAAGGAGAATATACGTGAGTAGAGATAACGTGGTTTTAAAATATATAATAACTTTGAATAGCATTCTATGAAAAATGCGGGTAAGAAATCGATCAATACGTATTTTTTACTTGCTGATATCACAAACAGATATCAACATAAGGAGTACGAGATGGTTTGTGGTGTTTGATTAGTTGAATCACAATAATAAAACCAATAAGGTACATTACACGTCCCCAGTCACAGCTTACCAGTCAACTTCCGCGTCAAAGCTTTAAATTTATCTTGATTTGTACTTGCACTCGAACAGTCATGAACTTCTTCAAAGCGAGGCCTAAAACGCCTGGCGATATAGCTAAATCTTTGAAAGATTGTTTAAACAAATTAGATTCAAACTTGGATAATCGTAGAAGGGTTCGTTAACCACGTTGGTCGCGTGTATCACGTGTGTCCCTTGGCTCTTTCTCACTTTGAATCAGAACCCGGATGACATTGGAAAGCTATTACAGCAAATGAAACACGTTCTAAACGGTGATGGCGGTGAGTTTTTTGGTATTCTACACTTTAAACGCGCTAATTGAATCAATAGATTCACATCCTCAACCAGAAGCTATTGCTCAATTAGCACAGGAAGTTTATGCCTTGGATTTGTTACAACTTCTTATAAAGAAGATTGGCAAATTAGAATTCGAGGCTAGAAAGGAAGTTACTACGGTTTTCAATTGTTTGCTTAGACGTCAAATTGGTCTGAGGTATCCAACCGTCGAATACATCTTAACAAAACCTCAAGTGCTTTTCTTGACTTTGGATGGTTACAATGATGAAGACGTTTCTCTTAATACTGGTATGATTTTAAGGGAAATGCTCAGACACGAAGCTTTGGTCAAACTGTTACTTTACGATGAGCAGCACTTTTACACCTTCCCTAAGTATATAGAAACTACCACTTTTGGCGTTAGTTGCGACGCTTTTAGTAATTTCAAGGTATGTTATCATGTTTCATCCCTATTCTTACACTTTAACTTTCTTAAAGGAATGCCTCACTCGTCACAAAGCTTTAGTGGCTGAGTACTTGGAACTCAACTATGATAGAGTTAGTACTTGAACTCCAATTCCTTCTCTCCTAACACACCGCAGTTCTTCTCAAATGATCCTCATCAATTATCCTACAACACCCTGATAAACTCAAATAACTATGTCACTAAGCGTCAATCACTCAAGCTACTCGGTGAAATTCTTCTTGACAGATCCAATTTCAACGTTATGACGCGATATATTTCATACGAGAACAATCTCAAGGTCATGATGAATTTACTTAGAGATAAGAGTCGCAACATACAATTTGAAGCATTTCACGTTTTTAAAGTGGGTGTGGTTAGACTAATTTTACTCTCTAACAGTCATTTCATTAGGTTTTCGTCGCCAATCCAAAGAAAGCTCCCACTATAGCAGCAATATTACGTCGAAATAGAGAGAAGCTGATAGTCTTCCTCAAGGAATTCCATAACGATAAAGATGACGAAGTGTTCACTGTAAGCCTTTCGCTGGACACCAACACCACGCTAACCCAAGCACAGGATGAGAAAATGTTTTTGATTCACAACATAAACGAACTGTAAGCAACTATCACATGATTAAACGATCCACAACTGCATTTATACACATTTAATATATCAATAAATTCCACTCCGGCGGGTTTTTTTTTTATAATGTCATTCCGATACTGTGAACATTGTGAGCATCATGGCCCATGCCGATGCAGCTAGTATAGACACAAACAAATCAAAACAAGAAATATATGATAGCATTATAGAAAATCTAGCTAGTCTGTTGGCTGGGAGAAGCAACTGGGTGCGTTGATTGCGCTGCCGAGGTTCTATTGCAAGTTGACGCTACTTTAAGATCAGTAATCTTTCAAACGCTGCTTCAATACTCTTCTGGACATTAAAAGAAATCAACCAGGTCAATTGGGCAGGTTAGCTAAACACAAAATTCCACCAATACCTGCCACTCACCCAGTACAGGCTTCTACATTCACAACAAGTCAACAAACATCTTAGAGCTCGGTCCTTTCCACGGATTACCTGCGTGCCAAACTATCAAAGCTGAAGTCAATAAGGGCATTTGTGCAGATACGTTCTGCAATGCTAATCCGATCTTAGTACCAAACGTGGACGAATATCCCGGTAAACACATTGCATGCGACTCAACAACTAAATCTGAACTAGTCGTACCTCTATTTGCATCATCTGGTACTTGTGTCGGCGTTATGGACTTTGACAGTCTCACTCTCAATGGCTTTGAAGAGGTTGATAAGGTCAACATGGTCAAAATAGCATCATTACTCGCAAATCATTGCGATTTTACTAGTTTATTATAAATTAATCTAAATTAAGTTATCATTATGTATTGGAATTTGGATCTGATTGCGTTTCTGGTTGCTGCTTGCGTAAAGGTTTGCTCACATCTCCAATGTCGTCCTCATCACTAGCTTCACCAATATCCCAAACGACATCATCATCGTTATAGTCCTCATCATCGCTCTTGTTACCTCGAGATGCTTCGACGTCTATTTCTCCATCTGCCCTCGTTGCGTTCAGCGGTATCTCATCATTCGTTGATTCTTCTTTCGGTTTCTCACTTGACGGCTTCTTGGCGGAAAGCAGGAACACTCCACCTAGGAGAAGCATTGTTGACAGCCCAATACACCACAGAACCCATGCTCTAAATGCCATCAGTTGATTCATAAAAACTATTTTGGGTTAGATGACTAGAGTGGACAAATCAGCACCTACTTAGTGTATTAATAAATCCAATTGAAGTATATAAACCGTACTGCACACTAGTAAGATGATGTTCTTCTTCAGATTCATTCTTACGAAAATAGGGACGACCATAGTAGTGTCAAATAACGCTAAAGCTTTGTTTAGGCAAATAATTTGACCAATTGCCGTCATCGCCAGTAACAGAACAGTCAAAATAAAGAGTGGATGGGCAAACTGCTGTGATATTAGATGGAGACTTGTGAAGCAATTACCGCACCTGATTAGAGGCATCATTGTGAGCAAGCTGAGTGGATACAAGCTTCACAGTAGCTTTTGCGAGAATGAGGCATTCACTAGCCATTATTCCACCTTCAATAGCCCAAACTAAACCGACGAGTCGTTTAAGTGATGCGTCCGGCACACTACCGACCAAGTTTTCCAGTGAATTGAAAACTTTAGCTCTGATACCAGTGAAAAAGCCTCTGCAATTGTAGAGCAATGATTTAAGATGCCCTAAGTTTGGTGGGTGATTTGAAGTAGGTGTTTTGTTACCGCTTTCATCAGCTCTTCTAACAGAGACCTTCTCTAAATCTAAACCAATAACATAGACACTAACCGTAACGAAAACGAGGAAAAAGAACCACAAAAGCCAAGCCACACGACCCCAAAGGTCAATCAAGACGTTTATATCGAGCATATCGCTGATACCATCGTTGACGCTACCGAAGCTAACGATACCAATAACGCCAAGGACGATGAGAAGGGTACCTTGAATATCACGCTTTGTGATAGGAATATTGAGCATGTAATTTGCTATCAAAAAGTTGAAAATGAGATTGCTAGAACCCAAAGGAGCAACGAATTCTGCTCTCATGTACTGCAGCGCAAGAGTTGATCCAAGTAGCTGAGATATGATATACAGCGACATACCAAGAATCCAAAGAGGACGCTTCAAATCACGCCTTTGAGAGACTTTTGGGAGAGATTGGTTGTGTAAATGATCCTTTTGAACGATATTTAGACCAATTGAGTTCATCAATGATGCTATGAAGATAATGGTCAAACCAATAAAGAATGATCCAACTTGTGATCCTGTTGAAGGTTGTTTAGGTGTATCGTCTGTAACGTCTGCACCGTCTGTAACATTTACACCATCTGTAACATCTGCACCATCTGTACCACTAATATCCTCCGCAGATGAAATCCCATCTGTCAATTGATCTACATTACCGCTCAAATCCTTCAAATCACTCTCATCCTGCGCTGACATCAGTTGATCGTTTGTGAACAAGATTTGGCATTGTCAATATCCGTGGATTCAACCTGAAATTTCCCAATTATAATCGAATACACGCGTAGCTGTCAGAGTTTACTATTTCTCCTTAAATTCTACCATCATGGTATCAGCCAGTATACCTTCCTCACCTGTATCCACAAGGCAGTCACTTGACTCTGGCGCTGAATCTTTGACTTTATCTCGGGCTTCAACAAGAGGAGATGTCCCTTTGAGCTGGTCTCTCGACAGATACAGAAGCAGCCCAACGATATCCACACACTCAACTGGATTTAATGCACTATCCACTGTAATGAATCACCCAAACAAGAGACCAAAAGCTTTACGTGCTTCTAGATACCCTTTACCTGCAATTCCCTCCGTTGATTTCCGTTTACCTTCGTCGAGCGCTGTGGATACCTATTTGCACGATATTCAAGGCGAATATGATGAATTTATCGATAATGTAGAGAAATCCTCTGCCTCTACTTCTGCGCAACCAGAAACTGAGTTGCCAACCCTCGAAGAAGTTCCGCGGTTATTCTTTAAACAAGACTTCGATTTGGGAGACCCATCCACGTTTGATGCAGTAACTAAAAGCATCGGTGATTCTGTTGGTTTAGATAATCTCGATTCTCCAGAAGATATCGGCATCAATGAGATTTTACATGCCCGGTTAGAACACCACGCTAATGCTGTCGATAAGATCTTGGTACATGAGTTAACTGAAAGAGCACCATCGCTATTCTCAGCATTGGACAATTTACATCATTTAGGAGATTATGCCAAAGATGCGATGGATAAGTTTGTTGACTTGAAGGAATCACTCGAGGAAATTTCAAACAATAAGTTACAGATCAAGTTTGATACTATTAATGGTATTGTCAAAGGGCAGGAAGTGGAGGATTTACTCACAGTGATCTGCGACATCGAAAACATTAATCATGCTTTGCTAGCCCTGCAGCAAATGACAGAGCTTGGACACTACTTTGACGCATTAGAATTAGTTGAAAACATATCAAAGACTGTTGTTGAAAACATTAGATCCAAGGATGTCGATAATGTTCTCAAGATCGAATCAGATACTGACTTCACTTCGCTCAGTGTCTTCGCAAATGTTGCTTCCGATCTTCATAAGCATACAAATGCTATCTTAGAATACATATCAAAAGACCTGACGGAGTTACTATTCATTGACTACATCAAATCACTTAAGAGTTCCGATCACAATCACAGCGACTTGTCAAAGGACGTTGAACAATCAATTTGCGTGTTAGATAGAGCTGACATGCTAAGAAGTTCTCTTCAGTCATATGAAAACAAGTTGCTTAGACACGTACTTCAGTTCTTCTTCGAATTACTACCTGCCGATATACAATCAAAGCCGCTCGATCTTGAAGTAAACTTTAATGGCAGTTTGTATGCTAGCCAGTTTGCTAAAGAGCTGCGACAGATGCAGCAAATTGAATACTGTCGTTACCTAAACAAATGTAGAGAACACCTCCACATCATTAATTCCTCAATTGTGGGACAAAAGGAGGTACTTGAGGGCATTTCACAGTGAGTATCTTGATTTTATTATTATTATCTCTAACACTTTCATTTAGAAACGAGACTATAACCACCAAGCTCTCTAGTTTATCAGGTCAAATCATGGAATTACTGTACTCAGAACTCGCTAGTCTAATAAGACTGCGCAAAGACATAGAAGCGGAATTACCACTAAGCGAATACCTTCAGTTTGACCATGTAGTGTGGAAGCTTATTAGTGAGACCGAAATAGATGGCAGCTCGTCGAACAGTGCATTGTTCTTATTACCAGCAGCAGCATCAAATCAATTACAAGAGTTCTTAGAGCTATTCCATGCAAACTATACCACACAATCGGCTAAGCTGGTTGAAATGGAAGTATGGTCTCAGGCTGAAGTTACGCCACTGGTACAAAAAGTCATCAATACCATCGTAAGATCAGCTGTTGAAGATATTCCCGAGTTGTTACAAACCACACCCATCATAACCGAAGGAGATGAGAATCATGAAAATCAAATCAACGTTGAAGGTTTGAAGTTTTACACTGTCGAAGCTCTCAATAAGGTTCTTGTCTTGCTCATTGATTACCTTCGCATTATGCTTCAGGTACCTAATTCTGCTACAGAGATTATGACCCGTATGATAGAAGTATTGAAGGTGAGTGAAATGCACTATCACTCTGCCTGACTGACAATCCTTAAAGCAATTCAACTCCAGAACTTGCCAAGTTGTTTTAGGTGCAGGCGCAATGAAATCTGCTGGCTTAAAGAACATCACGGCCAAACATTTAGCACTCGCATCTCAATCGCTTTCTGTGATGATATCACTCATTCCATACATCAGAGAGGCTGTTAGAAGGCAGCTCAAAAGCAACCAAGCAACGCTTTTGATTGAGTTTGATAGGTTGAGAAGAGTGTGTCTTGTCTTTCACTATTAGTATTTACTAAATATCACTCTAGGACTATCAAGAGCATCAATATGAAATTCATGCTAAGCTTGTGTCGATTTTGGGTGATCGCCTCACTGCACACTCTAAATCTTTAGCTGTACGTCGATGATCGGAGTAACTATCCCTACTTACACACTATTAGGCTACGAAGTTCGAAAAGACGAAGGAAGAAGATATAAAGAAACCTAATTCATACGCCGAAGGACTTGTGAAAGAGACGGCTACTTTGCATAGAGTTTTAAACAAATACTTACCAGAGGCTACCGTCAAGTTTGTGTTCAAACAGGTCTTTGACGCTATAAATAAGCGTATTGGTGACTATTATCAGCGTCTTACTGTAAAAACAGAGCTTGGAAAAGAAAAGTAGGTACTTGATTATTGATAAGGGTTCAGAGGACTAACCGACATCAGACTGCTAACTGATGCTCACTTTTTATGCAATCGCTTGAATGCTTTACAGGGTACTGATGAACTTGGTAGTGTGAGTCATTATATCATTAGTTATTATCTGATTAATCGTTTGCAGTCGCTGATAAGTGTGGCCGAAAGTCGTCAAGTTAGTAAGACGCCCACGGAATCACCTAGACCAAGTATTGCTACAGAAAACGATACAGCTGAACGGCGATCGTTGAGTTTTGACGTTCAGTCTCGGAATACTACGGAGCTACATCGTATGACTATCGGTGCAGTCAATCAGGATATCATTCCACAGATCGACGAAGGAACAGAGCAGAAGAGAGTAACTGAAAACCAACAAGCTGATGCCGACAAATCATTACCTGAAGTACCTCAAGAGATGCTTCAGAGTGGCAGCCAAGAGGTAAAATCAAGTGGTGATGAAGATAAGGCCAACCAAAATCAAGAAACTGTTGATGTTCAGCAATGGGAGGGCGTTGATGGACTTGAAAATAAAGATCTTGGCCTGCAAGAGAATAAAGTTAACTGTCAGTCAATTATTGAAGAGGAAGTAAGGCACCAAGAATACCAGCCTGATCAGCCAGAAAAAAACCATTCTGAGGTGATGATTCAGGCTCAAGGGGACGCACAACGGGAAAATGAACAGGCTGTGATTGACGACGGCGAAAAACGCCAAAGTACAGAAAAGCCGACTGACAATGCGGACAAACCGCCATCATCGCAACATATCAATCAGACAGAAGAAGAAGCCGGAAATAAAGAACATATCGAAGATAAAGATCTTATATCTGGTGAAAAGGAATGTGACACATACGCCATAAAACCTGGTGAAACCGAAGAATCCGCTGCGTTTACGCCAAGTTCTGCTGTTAAATCAGAAGCAGAAAAGTTTGCTAACGAGAAACTTGAAGATACGGCTGTGGATTCAGAGACTACTGAAGGAAAGAGTGATAAGCATATCGACCAGGAAGAACATCATAGAACGGAAGCTGACGGGGAGAAAGTTGATAAAAACCAAGACGCCTCACATGTCAACAATGAGATCTTACCCGTAGCTTACTTAGATGAGGATCACAAATCTGATTCTGATGTGAACGCCAAGAAGTCGGATCAAGTCACCGAAGTGGGAGCAAAAAGTGACAAGCAGGAAAAGAGTGAAAGAGAGGGAGTTGAGAAGACCGACACAAGTGAAAGCGCACAACTCCAGCCAAAAGAAACCGCAGTTGAAAATTCAAGTAAAACACCATCAACATCAAACAAAACAAAGACAAAGAATCAGAAAAAGAAGAATAAGAAGGGCAAAAAATAAAATGTAGTCTTAAATAAAAAATAAAAAATATTTGAAGATTCATACCAAACTTGTGGCAGGCATCCACTAAAAACATTTGATCACCGTTTTGAGATAACCCGCCACTTGATACTGAATTGTAATTATAGATCAGAAAATCCCAAATTATATTCAATGTGGGTGATTTAGCTACGATGGGAATAAAGTTGAAGCACGTCTAGGGGTTTTCTTCGCCAAGCTACGACGGGTACAGTCCTATCAATCGCAGCAATGTAAGCAATATCACGTAATAAAAGCGCGTAAAGCTTAAGCGTTTTAGTGTCATATTTGCTATAGTGTCTTTTAATGCCCCACTGATCAAGCAGCTCTACTTTATTCGAGTCACGACTAACATCGATATGTTCGACGCTAGGATAGAGCTAGGTACTCTAGGCTACTGCGTATACCTTGAAGATGGAAAAAGCTGCATAGAGCCTACGCTCGGATATACCATCGGTCAGTCACATGTTTGATTCAAATCACGCGACTGAAGGCTGAACGCTGGTGCAGACCTTGAAGAAGTCGGCCTAGGAGAATTCCTACAGCTTTCACAAGTACAAGACTTTATGAATTCGATCCCTGATGATGTTATCAACTGGGTTACCTACGTAAGTTTCATCGGAATGCATTGATATGTGCCCGTTTGACTAATTTATCTAGGTTTTCGTATTACATTTCATGTGCGGAGGTTTTTTAAGCGTACATTAATAAGCTTATGCACTACAGCTCTCTCGGGCTTTCATTCTTAACAGTTTTGGTCGGAATTTTTTCACATATTCGAGAGCTTGGCAGATCTTACTGGAGCAGCTTAATCTCGATTCTAGCATGCGTGTAGGTGTTTAGGTTACCAGCTAGCTATCACGCTTATGCAACACTAGCGTTGCCCTAATCACATTTGCTTTCGATATGGCATTCGCAGTGAAAACACGTAACAGGTTGAACGATACAAATGTAGCAACAGCTCAGATTGGACAGTCTGTCTGGCTTGTACTTGCTGCAGCTATTGTTGTGAGTTAGATCACATATACAAGGGCGATTATTGACAGTGCACAGCTTGTAATATCAGTCTTCATGTTTTTAGCTGGAATTGCAATGTCTCGCCGTCAACATAAGACAAGAGACTTATTTGACAATGAGAAGGTTAATAGTGATAGTCACCAACATAATCAGAATGATACCTACGGTATGGGCGAGAGACGTAAGCTTAATAAGCAAGATAGAGATAAACCAGACGATAGTTCATCAGCATCATTCTCACCATTACCAGGGTCATATACATCAGACCAACAGCCATTAACACCAAATGCTGGTAGACCTTACGAATCTAATCATTGGGATGATACACGATCGACAGTACATAACTCACAGGGTTACGGACAAACGCCACAAATGCAACATCTGCAGCCTCATATGCAGCCTCAGATTCAGCCTCATATGCAGTCTCAGATGTATCAGAACCAAGGACAACCTCAATTAGATTCAGGAAGGCCGACATCACCATTCGAACAGCAGATGATGACGCAACCAATGCTGGCACCTTACATGCCACAACCATCGATATCACCATTGCCATTTGCACGCTCACCTCAACCATCAGTGTCATATGTATCATCACCACCACCTAGCTCAATGTCACCACCACCGATGCCATATGCGCGGTCGCCGCCACCTCAAATGGCAACAAATCAAATGTTCGCAGCACCGCAAATGTCTTGGTACTATAATCCAGCAGCGCAGGGTGGACAATATGGGCAACTCGCACCATCAGAGATATCTAATGATCAAAGCGGTGGATCATACTGGCCGAACCCTAACGGATTGGTGCCAAATCACGGTAATAATGCAAGTGAGTGATATTTTAAAGAAAAGATGAGAACTAAAGATAATTAGTAATAAGTAGAGTAACGAGCCCTGTGAATACAGGACAATTTCATATGACGAATAATGTTGCACAGCAAGCAGCGGCTGGAGCACTTTCAACATACCAAGCCAATCCTAATGAAGAGAAGGGATCTGAAGAGAAAAACGATACATTGACTTCACCACCGGCATCGTCACCGTTGACACAGACCAGCGCAGTGCCACTTACAGCGAGAAAGCCAAAGAAGCAGCAGCAACAGCAATGGTCAGCACCGTTTATAAAATCACCGCCACCTCCAGAGACATACGCAGAACCAGAAGGTGATCCATACCGTTCAGCCAGGGCTATGCCTCGAAGGATGGATAACGAAGACTCAAAGGAGCCACCACCATATCAATGAAAGACAAACTGTAATAAACGATTTATAATGCTTTTAATTTAATAAAAATTTTGATATTCTTGGGAATTTTTCATTGGTTTGAGTAGACAGTTAAAGTAAACGATCATGTCATTTTTCAGGTGAATAAGAATGAAATAGAGACAAGATGATATTAACGGAGATTATTTTTATAGACGCGCAGGCAGCTCATCGGAAAGCGATTCATCATCTGAGGAAGAAGAACTTTTATCTTCATCTGGGTCTGAAGATGAGGAAGCACCAGTGAGTTATGAGGAGATTTGAATAGGGGCTGAATTAACTCAAATTTAGCCACAAAAGCAAGAATCAAAGCCAATGTCTAGATTCTTAAAGACAGCTGGCGGCGATAGCTCCTCATCCTCAGAATCATCCGATGAAGAAGATTCTGATGATTCTGACGACGATGAAGCTCCAAAGAAATCAAAGTTCCTTAAAGGCGCTCAATCTGATGATTCAGATCAAGAGGAAGATACGAAGAAGATTGTTAAATCAGCAAAAGATAAGAGAGTTGAGGAAATGGAATCTATCATAAAATCTCTCGATAATGCCCACAAGATCAGTGACTGGGCTGCTATCAACACGGAATTTGACAAATTGACGCGTCTTATCATTCGTTTACAAACACTTCATGAACCAATTCCTGCCATGTTCATTAAAACTTTAGTTACGCTCGATGATGACTTGAAGAGCGACAAGGGCGATACAAAGAAGAAGTTGAATGCTACCAACAACCGTGCAATGAACGGTATGCGTCAAAAGATTAAAAAGAGTATAAGGGATTGGGAAAAGGACGTTGAAAGCTACCGCGTGAATCCTGAAGAGTACGAGTCAAACGCTGCTGCCGTTTCTGCCGCTCATGCTCCAGGTGTTGCCCCAACCAAACCAAGAGCTGAAAAAGCTGAAAAAGCTGCAGATGAAAATGGTCTTGGATTCTCAACCATCGGTAAAGCCGGTAAAGCTACAGATGAACCAACTATTACACCTGAAACTTTATTCAGGCACTTATCTGGTATCCTAGAAGCTCGTGGTAAGAAGAACACTGATAGAAGTGAACAAGTTCGTACACTTGAGAAGCTTCTTAAGGTTGCGTCAACTCCTTACTCAAAGATTCGGGTTCTTTTGGCTTTGATTTCCTCAAGATTTGACTACAACGCCACCAACCAAGCACACATCCCGCCTCCATCATGGGTTTTGGCCAGAGCTGAATTTGATAGCCTGGTTGATCTTCTGATTAGTCAACCACAATACATTGTCAGAGAAGAGACTGTAGAATATGAAGACTCCGTTGAAAGAAAACCACAGGGCACTGATGATGTCGTGCAAGTTCGTGGTTCATTGGTATCTTTCATTGAGAGACTTGATGATGAATTTACCAAGACACTTCAAAATTCTGATCCTCACTCACTTGAATACGTCGAAAGGCTCTCTGCTCAGAAGAGTTTGTATCAAACAACGGTCAAGACACAAGCTTACTTCGAGCTGATAAAGGCGGAATTACCAATTTCAAGAACTGTAATGCGCAGACTTGAACATATATACTCCAAGCCAGATGCTGTTGTTGAAGTATTAGAAAAGTCAGCAAACCAAGCCCTTGGTCAATTGAAGTCAACCATTACACCACTACAGTCTACATTCTCATCAACTAAGTTAGTTCATCAACTCTGTACTTATCTCTACGGTGCCTCCGATGGCTTATTACGTACGAGAGCAATGCTTTCTCATATTTATCATCACAGTTTACACAACAACTTTCACACAGCTCGTGATATGTTCTTAATGTCCCACTTACAAGAAAGCATCAGCAGGGCCGATGTTGCAACTCAGATATTGTTCAATCGTACAGTAGTTCAATTAGGTCTTTGTGCATTTAGATCAGGTTTGATTAGAGAGGCTAGAGATTCGTTGAGAGAAATATTCCAATCAGGTAGACCAAAGGAATTGTTAGCACAGGGAGTAACGCAACAAAGATACATGACTATGACACCTGAACAAGAACGTGCAGAGAAGTCAAGACAAGTTCCCTTCCATATGCACATCAACTTAGAATTATTAGAGGCTGCATACTTAGTCAGCTGCATGCTGATCGAAATACCAAAGTTGGCTTCAGCTGCTGAAGATCCAGATGCTAAGAGGAAGATTTTATCAAAGGCTTTCAAGAGGCAATTAGATTTCGCAGAAAGGCAAGCATTCAATGGACCACCGGAGAACACACGTGATTATATCATGCAAGCTTCAAAAGCTTTGCAACAAAGTGATTGGGAAAAGTGTCGTGATTTGATTCATGGTATAAAGATCTGGTCATTAATGCAAGGTGAAAGTCAAACGAAGGAGATGTTGACAAGGTGAGTATTATAAATTATAGTAGAAAATTTATTTTAACGAAAAAATAGCAAAATACAAGAAGAAGCAATGAGAACATACTTGTTCGCAAATTCATCATTCTATGAGAACATATCAATCTCCATACTGTCCTCTGCGATGGAATTGGATGAGAAACATGTGAACTCGATAATCTCAAAAATGATATGGTCTGAAGAATTATCAGCAACAATTGATCAATCCAACAACGTTGTAGTGTTCTCAAAGGTCGAACCAACAAGACTGCAGTCATTATCAAACCAATTGCTTGATCGCGCAAATAGCTTAGTAGAGTTGAATGAGAAAGCATGGCAATTGAAGTTTGATGATGGTACTAATAAGTCAGATGATTTGAGCGCAAGAATTCGTCGTGGTAACCGAGGACAGGGTCAACAAAAAAGCAGTAGGCCACAGTTCTCCAATCAGACGAGAAAAGTACCTGTATAAAAATTTCTGTTTATATATTTCTGCATTATCACATTATGTTTAGATTATAGGGAGAAACTCACGCCAGTGACAAATTCGCCAAGAGCTGGTTCATCTTACGCATATGAAAGAATGGCAATGATTAGAATTACAAGGTACATTGATGAATGAGCGCTGTTGGGAAGTATAGATTATTTGCGTAAAAAGAAATTCTTGAAATCAGAGAACATGGGTACTGCAGGGGAAATATTCTTGCTATCAGCTTTATTAGGGTTATTATTGTAATCTGTTGGTGAACAGTTATCACCCTCTGATTTATTGTTGATTGTTGGGACTGGTATGAGTGGTCGATTTGGAGGATCCATGTCTAATTCTGTCAAGAACGAATTTGATTGTTTTTCAGATTGCGATTCAGTGGCTGTAACTGCTCTGAATATTTCATGTATTTGACTTTGATCCTTTTTGGGTAAACCTTTCATTTCAAGTACCTAAATCGTAAAGTCAATTGTTTTATAGACTTTGAAACATCATGTGGCATACTTTTTGAAAGTTTTGGGAGGAGCTGTCGGCAATTAATGTCGTGTAAGATTGAACAAACGCCTCTGCTGGTACTGATGGTGCAAGCACTACCTTGAGAAGAGTTTCCAATGGAATTAACGCTCTATTGACATGTCTAGCGTATCTATAATAATTAGGTGAGTTATTTCAACATTCACGATTAATTTGCCTACGCAGATGTTGTCGATCCTGTTTCACGAGGACTTTCCATTGAATCTAGGAATGCTTGACGAAAAGACTGTAAATCAAGTAGTAGCTAATTAAATGTCAATTTAGTTAATCATATTAACATATTACTTACTTGCTCAACTCCGAGTGAAGATAATGGACGAGACTTAACGATGTTTCTCGTTAGCAATGCAACTGATAATGAAACAGCTTTATCAAGGAAGCTGCGATAGTATTTACGCTGATCAATGGATTTTGTAACATTTGAGCTTAGGTTGAGAATACACTGAGATAAATCGATGACGTATTGACTGGGATTACTAACAGATGTGATATTGTTCGACTTCTTTTTTGAATTACCCAATTGTGACCATTGAATACGTGACATGTCATTAAGCGGTGTTTCGATCCCAAGCTCAAAGTTGTGTAAACAACGTTGTAAGCAATTTGAAATGATAGAGTTAAAGATTTCGCCTTCTTTTTCAAAGGAGATATCGCCTTTAAATGGGATGTAGACATATTCTTTTAGCTTTTCTTCAAGTTGAATGGCAGTTGATAAGCAATAATCAGCAGTATTAATGATAAGACCAGAAATTTTAATTTCATTGTAGTTGACTTTTGAGTCAAGGGATCTACGTGAGTTTATGCCATGAATCAGCTGAGCTTTGAGGATGTCGTTAGCGTAAATCTTCAACCACTTGCTGTAAAGTTTTGATAAATCAACAATAGGTTTACCATTTGTCAATGTAGCGCATTGACTGAGAATTTGACGGTAGTTTAGGAAGAGCTCGCTTGAAGATTCCAAAACTGAAGCAGTACTACTTTCTTCAACGAATTGATGAGAGCTTGAATCAGAGAACTTTGTGAATAGATCAGCGAGAGATTTATCTTGATGGGAGATGTAGACGTGAAAGACATTTTGATAAACAAGTGAAATTGATTTGAAACCACCTTGATCGTTAAACTGGGGAATTATTAGTGGGGATAGAATTATGGAAGTGAATCTACGCACATGAAGATTAAGTTTCTTTTGCATTTGAGATTCAAAGTCCTTGGTGATTCTGATAGCTTCTATCAGACTGTCAACGTTTAAGTTTGAGTTTTTTAGGACAATCTGAATATCTTGACTTGTATAATCGTTGAACTTGGCTAACAATTGAGATTTAATATTCCAATGAATAGGCCAAATATTTGATAAATCTTGTTGATGTTGGAATTGCTTTAGAATGCGATTGAACCAAGCGAATCTAGTTGATAAATTATCAAGTTGACCAGCTTCATCTGAAGGGCTAAAAATGCGTCTATAGTCGCGTAAAATGAAAGCGATGAACCAATCAATAATGTTAAGTTTCACTTGAAGACCCAATTTGTCAATTAAAAGGGCAGAATCTTTAATGGTTTTACGTTGACGTTCACCTCCCATATCAATAGTAGTAGGTAAAGAGGAAGACCAATAAGATTTGAATTCTCGAACTAATTGATCACGTAGCTTAGCTTGAGACATTTGAGCTTGAGTCAAAATATCAGCAATTTTAGGAACTCTAGCTAAAGGAGATAAGGAGTTAGATAGAGAGATTAAATCTTGTAAGGGCTTAATGATAGTAGAGTAAGAGTGAATAGATAGTTGATAATCCAATTGATTTGTGAGGTTAACAAGAAGTTGAAATTGTTTCAGCGTAGACATTGAGTTGGACAAATTGGATTTGACTAAATTTAAGTTTTTAATATCATCAGTGATAGATCTGATGGTGTATTCTGAATTAACAGCGTGATGATGAATGTTTGATAGGTTGATGAATGTACTATCATTTAAATTGATCTGATTGGACGAGTTCAAGTATTGGATATTCTGATAGAGGTTTTTGAGGTTAATGAGTAATCTATATCTCTCTAAAGCCAATTTACTGTGTTTGATAGAATCAGGGCTATTGAATAATTTATCTATATTTTCAATTTTACTTGAATCCCCTATAGTCATTTCTTTCTTTCAATAAACTTGGTTTCGAATTACTTGTTTGCGACCAAGACCAACCGCCCCCAGAAATTTCCACGTGTTAAATTATTGTCGAGTGAAATGGAGTGTAGTAGCGTTGACAATAATTTGAACAAGTTTTTATCAAATGATAATCAGGTTGTTAATGATCAATTCACTCGTAGAAGGACAGCTCATAATCATTTCAAATCCACACACTATCAAAACTTGAAAGAAATCAACCAATTGGAACACAATGATAGATTCAAGTTCGATAAAGTCGGCCATCAACTTGATAACATTTCAAATGAATGGATTACTCAGTTTAATCATTCAAATCACTCCCCTATTGAAAGAGTTAACAGTCAGTTCAATAATAATTGGTCAAATGAATTCATTCGGTCAAATGAATTCAAAATGTCTTCTTCTTCCCCTTCAACTTCCTCCTTCAAACAAAATTACGTCAATTTCAATCATCCTTATCAATATGATAGAAATTTGAATATTTTGAATGATTACAGTCAATTAAATGAAAAATCTAATTGGGATAAGCAATTTGATCAATTCAATAATCATCAACCTGTTGACATTCAACCTTCTTCACCAAATGATGATTTAGCTAAAACTGCTGCAGATTTAATTGACACTGTTCAGCCTCATAAACTCGAAAAATTCAAAAATTCAAACTTTTTCTCCTTGATGAATGGTTTAGCAACAGGTAAGACTCAATTAGATCAAGATCAATTTGTTGATAACAACATATCTGACTGGTCAACTTCATTCATCGATAGTCAACAAACTAATCAACACGCTCATCATAATCAACAAATTCAACAAACTCAAACCTCTCAAAATCAGCAGTTCAACCCCTCCATCTTAAACGCACCTCCTCCTTACCACAAACTTTTCGGTATGTTCGACTCACCTTCGCCTACATCTGCAACCAACAAGGAATCTCTTCAAGATGGTAGCCTTGAGCAAGGTAGTGGTTCTGCCACTGGTGTGAGAGGTCCACAAGAAATTGAATGGGATAACTTTATTACTACTTTGGATTCTTTGGATTCTACTAACTCGCAGTATCTCACCTCAAATCATGTTAGCAGTGCACATTCTGATCTAAACCATTCACTTCAAAACCCTAAACAATGGTATCAACTTGGTATGTCTCAACAAGAAAATGAAAATGAACATGAAGCTATACCCGCACTACTCAAAGCTGTTGAATTGGATGACAAGTTTGAGAATGCTTGGCTAGCTCTCTCGATTAGTTACACAAATGAATCAAATAAAGTTGAAGCTATCAATGCAATTAAGAAATGGTTAATTGCCAAAAAAATTAATCTCAACTCAATTGATTACTCAGATAAAGATCATTTCCATTTAATTCAAATACTCTGCCAAATGATCAGAGACAATATCAATCAAGACCAAATTCAACCAGATCTACAAGTAGCACTGGGTGTACTCTTCAGTCTCAATGAAGAATATGACAAATCCGTTGATTGCTTTAGTACTGCTTTATCAATCAAACCAAACGCACGTCTTTATTTTGTTGACGACCTTAACTAACATACGTAATCAGGACTGGTTATTGCTTAATAGATTAGGTGCAACCCTCTCAAATAGTGGTAAATGTCAATCCTCACTTGAATACTATTATCGTGCATTGGAATTACATCCAACTTACGTTAGAGCAAAGTTCAATCTTGGTATAGCATTGATGAACATCAGGGTTCGTTCACTTGACTATTTCAGGTCTTTGCTAATTCTATTCGCTCTTCTAGGACTTTGAAGAAGCTATTCAACAAATACTCTCTGCTGTTGATATACAATCTCAAGGTAATCAAGCCGATAAGAGTAGCCAATTTAATAATAATATGTGGGATACCCTTAAGAATTGCTTGCTGCAGTGAGTATTTTCTTGAAAGGACGTTAATTTTAATTGACAAAATGATTAGAATGCGCAAAAGTGAATTAATTCAATTGTGCAACGAGAAAGACATTGATGGTGAGTACATAATGATACAACAATTATATCTGACAAATTGAGCAAAGGATTTAGAAGACATTTCAATTTCTAAACCTTTTCACCTTCTTGGCTTTTTGGGTAAGAATATTGAAGGCTGTGATGACATGGGTGGATTTAGAGGAGATTGGATTGTGTTTGATAGTGTTTTTAATGATGTATTTTTATCTGTTTTGCTTTTGATTGATGTACTATTGTTTCTATCATTCGGCTTCTTAATAACCTTGATAGAGGTTGAAACAGATGGTGATTTTGTTCGCTTTGTTGATGATGACGTGAATGAAGTAGGCTTACTGATATTTGATAGGGTTGAAGGAGAGTTTGATACCTCAGGAGCTTTCGATGTAACTTTTCTTTTAAAGGGTTTTAAAAACCTATTATTTTTACCTGCGGAGGTCATTTTGGCTTCATTCATTGACTTTTGATAGAGTGATGAATCTTATTTTGGTTGTAAGTGATGAATAGGGTTTATGTTAGTGAAACACTTACTAGAAGACTTGTGACGTTTAGATGGAATATCATTTGTGAACATAGTTTGACGTTTTAGCCTCTCGTTTTGAACGTCTTGTTGTTTGAGTCTTAGTCTTTGTGCAGCAGTGTTCAACAAAGAGGACTGATTAGATTCAACTTGTAGGAAGAGCTGCCTCCAAGAATCAGGTGAGTGAGATAAGTCCTGATAATGCTTAGGGAAGGATTGCTTGAATACTTTAAACCAAATTTCATCATCATGGTGAATCAATGAAGGAGTATTAGATTCTAGTGTCTTTAATTGATTGCTATTGCAGTTGATCAGGATATGTTTGATGAGATCATACGGAGTATCGCCAATGTCAGATAGAGTGTGCAGGTAATTCAGAATGCATTTTGACGAATAAAATTTTAAGCTTTTCATTTGATTGATTTCTTAATTTTGTCCAGAGATGGTGGTTGGGATATTGTAGAGTTATCACCTAATTCAGTATAAGGAGTAAAGTGTAAATTAAAATTATTGTTGTCCTGTAGCTCAGCTTGAACAATGTTCTTCCGTAAGATATCGCTGACTTCGGATAGTTGATTTAATTGAGATTGTTGCTGTGAAGCGTCTAAATGTGGTAGATTGTAGAACTTATCCCTAATGACCAACTTGGATTGACGTATTGCTTGATTGTCGCCTGTGAAGGAATGGGCTGAGTTATGCAGCACCGGAGTGAGACCAACACACACACCTTTAAAAGTTATATTTATAGATTTCAATAAATTTTTGTAGATGGCTTTGAAATTACTTGACATTGATATTTATTTAAATTTTATATTTTTTATTTAGCCCAACGCAACGCAACGGTTGATTAAATGTCGATTGCTTAGTCTGTTTCTCTTAAACTAAAAATGTCAAATACGTCTAATCTACAACGGTTGAATAACAAGACTATTAGGCTTACTGGTGAGCGATACTGTATACTCACGTTACTCACGTTACTCACGCTTCCCTCACTCCACAGTCGTCGCAGCCGATGGCGTTGTCAAGAGAGACGTCTTCAAGCTCCCTGATCCATTCGCAGTGATCACCGTCGATGGCTCACAAACACATACAACTTCAGTTATCAAGAAAACTCTCAACCCGTACTGGAATGAGAGTTTCGATATTCAAGTCAAAGACTCCTCAGTTATCGCTGTACAGGTATTCGACCAAAGAAAGTTTAAACGTCGCGACCAAGGCTTTCTAGGCGTTATTAATTTAAAAGTTACGGATGTTTTGGACCTTGATATCGGTGGAACTGAAATGAGAACTTTTGAATTGAAAAAGTCAAATGATAACCTAATCGTTCATGGAAAGCTTATTCTTTACTTGAGCTCAAACGTTTCAAACCCTATACCCCCTGCAAATATCAATAGCACTAACAACTCTACCAACAATACAAATACTTCAGGTACTTCTACTCCTCCAACTTCTACTAACCCCCCTCCTATCAATTCCTCCAACTCTGCTACTTCTCTTGCAGGTCCTTCAAACAATCTCGATTCTTCTCTTCCAACTCACTCTCAAGCTACTTCTCCCGTTGATCCTTCAAGGCAATTACCTCCAAACATTTCCTCAAACGTTGGTAGACAATTCGATCCGCATGAGGATCAATATGGCTCTTTACCCTCCGGTTGGGAACGTAGAACTGATCACTTAGGTAGAACTTATTACGTCGATCATAATACTAGAACCACCACTTGGAATAGGCCTAATAATCTCTCTACGTCTGTAAATAATCAATCTGCTGAGCGCAGAGCTATGGATTCAAGGGCTCTACCTGACGACGTTTTAAATGCTACCAGTAGACCTGCTCCTTCAAATTCTAATCTAGCTGCTATGCTTAACAATGGCCCTTCAAATACTCAATCTGGCCAAGGTCCTCTACCTGCTGGTTGGGAGCAACGTTTCACAGCTGAAGGTAGACCTTACTTCGTTGATCATAACACAAGAACTACTACTTGGGTTGATCCAAGACGCCAACAATTACTAAGAGTTCTAGGTCCAAATGGTAATAATCTCTCTGTACAACAGCATACTGTTTCTCAACTTGGCCCTCTACCATCTGGTTGGGAAATGAGGTTAACTTCAACTGCTAGAGTTTATTTCGTTGATCACAATACTAAAACTACTACCTGGGATGACCCAAGGTTGCCTTCTTCCCTCGATCAAAACGTTCCTCAATACAAACGTGATTTCAGAAGAAAATTAATTTACTTTAGATCGCAACCTGCACTTAGGCCAATTCCAAATCAATGTCACATCAAGGTTAGACGTAATCACATCTTTGAAGATAGTTATGCTGAAATAATGCGTCAAACTCCAAATGATTTGAAGAAGAGACTTATGATAAAGTTTGAAGGCGAAGATGGTTTAGATTATGGTGGTGTTTCGAGAGAATTCTTCTTCTTACTTTCACATGAGCTCTTCTCTCCATTATATTGCTTATTTGAGTACAGTGCTCATGACAATTATACTCTACAGATTAATCCAAACTCTTCAATTAATCCTGAGCATCTCAATTACTTTAAATTCATTGGTCGTTGTGTTGGTTTAGCTATCTTCCATAGAAGGTTTTTAGATGCTTACTTTATCACATCATTATATAAGATGATTTTGAACAAACGTATCGGATTACAGGATTTGGAATCCGTTGATGCCGAATTACACAGATCAATGTCATGGATACTCGATAATGATATCACTGACATTTTAGATAACAACTTTGTCGCAGACGTCGAAACTTTTGGTGAAATTCAATCTGTTCCTCTTAAAGAAGGTGGTGAAGATGTTGAATTAAACGAATCAAATAAGAAAGAATATGTTGATCTCATGGTTCAATTCAGAATCGTTACAAGGGTTAAAGATCAATTCGAAGCTTTTATGTCTGGATTCAAAGAGTTAATACCACAAGATTTAATCAATGTTTTCGATGAGAGAGAATTAGAATTACTGATTGGTGGTATGGCGGAAATTGATATAGAAGATTGGAAGAAGCATACTGACTACCGTGGTTATACCGAGTCAGATCAGGTTGTTCAGTGGTTTTGGAATGTCGTGAAAAATTGGCCAACTGAAAAGAAATCTAGATTGTTACAATTCACTACTGGTACTTCAAGAATACCTGTCAATGGTTTCAAAGATTTACAAGGATCCGATGGTCCTCGTAGATTTACTATTGAAAAGGCTGGTGAAATTAATCATTTACCAAAATCACATACCTGTTTCAATAGAGTGCGTTTTCTTATTGATTCTCAAATGCGAATTAACCGCTCTGTAGATTGACTTGCCTCCTTATCGGAATTTTGAAGCATTAGATCAAAAGCTAAGTACGGCTGTTGAAGAAACTCTTGGATTTGCAGTCGAATAGATTATCATAACGTTATAATATCAATGATATTTTATGTCCTTAACGCATCTAAATTACTTTCAACTTTCAACTCATATTCTTGTATTCACATTTAAATCATCTATCTCATTGTAACTGGTTTTAGCAAACTCATTGTGCTTCTTAGGGTTACATGACTGCAAAGATGGAGATTGACTAGTACACTATTGAGTCAAACATGATAAGAGTATGGCATTAGGCAATCTCTCAAAGTAAAACTGAAATGTTATAAGCAGCTCCATCACGCGCAAAGCTGAGTAGTTCGGATTATGATTAAAGTGAACGCCAGATGGGTCTGCCATCTCAAAAACCACGCTGGGATCACATCAATCGAGGCGTTCCATGTGAAGGCAAAACGTCATGAATGTGGACAATTATGTAAAGCAAAGGACTTTTTTGACCACAGCAAAATGCTTCTCTCCTGGCATACGCATGTGTTATTATCGCATATATTATGCGCACATCATCAAGGCTGTCGCACTAGGTGCTAAGGCGGTCGTTATAAGCAGACCGTTCATCTACGCTTACTCGGCGTATGGAGAGGAAGGAATGGATCGGGCAATGGAGATAGTGGGCGATGAGTTTGAGACGTGCTTGAGATTGCTCGGCGCTAGGTCACACCGGATATGGTAATTGATCTCATCTCGGAAGCGCTGATATACCCAAATATTACCTCTTTACTGGAAATTACGAGAGATTGAGTGGATCAAATGGTAAGATGAGCAAGCTGTATGGAATTAATTATATTTATACATTATAATTGGTTCATGAGGTCTTGATGACTGCTTCCGATGCTAATGATGTCATATGTATATGGGGATTTTATCCATTTAAAGCGTCCTCAGCAATCTCAAAATCAGCCAAAATAAACGCAGTATCGAATTGCTTGACTTTCCCTGATACCACCAGTTACAGCCATCTAATAACTGTGCGTACGCAATCAGCCGCGTAACTAGGAGCGAGGGTAGTCGAGTTTGTGAAACACGAAAAGCAAGCCGCAAGCCAAGTATTTTTCGGTCGCCGCTGCGGTATTTAAGTGGACCACACTCTTTTCCTCTTTTCCTTGCGGTAAAACTTCTTGGGGGCCATAGTAAGTCGGGATAATCCTTTCCTTGTAAATAATTTGCGCAACTCCTAGTAAGCTTCATCTCACTCGTTCAAAATCTCTCTGACCTTCAACTTAGACGTGGCAGTCCGTTTAAAGTCCACTTCGAGCGATACTCCTGGTATGTTTGCTATCATCACCAGGTCTATCTAACATCAACTATCAAGGAGAGGCAGTCCGCAGATAAGCGTATCGACAGATATTACAGAATCATCATTATGTTTTGGGATTACCAGGCATCCTAGCTCCATCATTGTACTACTCATTAATTCAATATTCAATATTGTGCTTTTGGTCTGCAAAGCTAAGTGAACACCACGCAAAGCGATAAGCGAGACATTTACGTGCACAAGGAAATGAAAATATTTCGAAAATTTCTTTTTACCGTTAAATTATCGCAATTTACGTGTTTGTTATACAACTCAATAACCAAAATGAGCGATAAAAAAAGAAAGCAAAGGTGTCAAAAATGGTTGAGCAGAGTTAATTCAGGTCAAATTACGTAAAAACAGGAAAGTGATATACTGAATCACTATCCGAAGTGCCTGCAAAAGGTTCAGTGAAAAGTGGGCGGGAGAAGAAAGCGTTCTTAGCTAGCTTGTAAGCTTAAGTACATATTAGAAGTATTTCGGTTGCACAGGCTACCTTAAAAAGTCTTTCCGACGGAAAACCGCTCGCTCATTTCGTCAGCGGCTTTCGGACAACATTAAATCAAATTTCAAGCATTCTTTGCAAATCTGTCCGAAAGACTTGCTCAAAGAAATGGCCAGAAATGAAAATGTAAAACTTTTAACGTGAACCTCTAGACCAGAAAAGATTGTTTCATAACATGACAAATTAAGCCTAAAGTTTACTTTAACTTCTGAAAACATTGTACTGGTTCCCAAAAACACGTAGAAATCAATTACGGAAAGTATATTATATGGCAATTATGTTGAAATCAAAGAGTCGAAAACGGCTTTCACTTTAGATATTCAATCTGACGGCCAAATGTATCATGTAAAATAATCTGATTACCCGAAGGTCATTAATCTGAAGGTGAGCTGAAGAGTACCTCGTTTAGACCCCTAATTTTATGCACTTCATGAGGACTTCAACTAATTCAACATGGCAATGGACCAAGTAATCCAAAAAGTGCGTCAGATCAGTCCGAAAAAAATTATAAGAAAGTGAGTCATAAATATCATTCATTTGGGCTTTTCTCAACATATTAGTATAATGATGCAGGTCCGATCATTGTAAGATTATTAATACTGAGATGTTTTGGCATGTCGAACTGCAGACGAGTGATCGTCAAAGCTCGCAGACCTACACTGTTACATGGAAGACATAGCCTTCGTCGAGAAATGTTGAATCATAACAATTTTAAGTTTGACTTTTTTAATTCATTAAGCAAACAGAAATGATCAGAATGAAAACACACATCATTATCACCTCGCATGTGGGTACCCAACTATGAAACAACCCATGGATGAAACAATATGTCAGGAAGGTAAATCTCACGTCAAAATGGTTGTTTCAACCGTACCTCAACGGTAAACCTTATACAGAACCAACATTTTGGGAACGGTATATGTAACAAGTGGTTGATTAGATTAAAAGAGTACAATGTGTAACGCAAAGCAAATAGGGTAATAAACGCTTTACAATGTTTCCTGGGATTTCCTGAAATCACGAAAGAAATATTGAAACACAAAACTTAAAAGTTAAATTTGAGGTAGGCATTCGTTGTTTTGAAGTAGCATTAAAATGGTAAGGGATGGATAGTTGTATTTGCATTGTTAATTCCGATAACGTTTTTATGCATGATAATTTCAGTTCAAGCAGTTATTTAATGATTGTAAACCTAACATGCTGTTTACGGGTAAATTAGCCTTTTCTTTACCTCATTTGAAATTGATGATAAGGAATATCTGGATCTTCAAAGAACAGAATTTTAATATGTCGTTTCAGCAGGAACCTTCAATGAAACGATAATACTAACTTTCCTTGAACAGCAACATGTCGTTCCTGTCACGTGTTACAAAATTAGAAATACTGTCTACGAACGTAATGTTATGGGTAGTCAAAGTTGTGTAAAGTTTGCATTAAAATAAGCAGAAAATACGACCGAAACGGATATCATGTTAGACGAATCATGATGATTCCTTCAAGAAATGGTATGACATTGATATGCTAAGATTCACAACATTTATTGATGTAATTGGAGATCAATGTAAGCTACCATCAGATTCTTTATTACAATGCAGCGAGACTATTTTTCAAAATGTCACTCTTAGAAACAGATAGTCGATTAGCTAAATTCGGAGAATGGATAAATTAAGATATCTGTTGGCTCTATTGATTGTTTCTCTTGCATTGCTGTTCATCTCGAATTTAGAATCTTCGTGGTAATTAAATTTGCTGTAAAATGAAACTTTAAGCATATCTAAATTTAATGTGGATTATTTATTTGTTGGTTTTCTTAAGAGTCGTACTTTAAATGCTATATTGAAATCTTAAAATACTTGTTTTCGTGAAGATCCTTTTACGCGTGGCTTCGAAAGAATTGAAACAAACGTTTTATTTATCTACAAAAGTCGTTTTATATCAGTTTTTTGTTTTTTTTGAATGGACTGTTTTGAATTTTAACTTTAAAGTCGAGTCAATCTGTCAAATTGGAATGTTTTTCAAACAGAACACCCCACCTTTCACTGCCAGGGCTTTTTATGTGTCACATTTCGAATACAATTTCATTAATAAAGCCGCAGCCTAAAGCTTAGGTTAATATACCTAATTTTCATGCACGGTATCAATGGAAGTATAACTAGCTCTATCTGATAGATCATTCCTATGATTCACTTTCTTTTTCAACAGTTTGGGTGTTTTGTACCAACTATACCTTTGTCCCGTTTTTACTAATGCATTTGAATCTGTTTAGCTATATAATTTAACAAAATTTTGTCTTAATAATGAATACATTTTAAAAAACTCTTTTACTGAAGATTCTGAAATTCTAAACAAATAGGGACATAGACGCTTTATCGAGATGACACAGATGAATGTATTAAATAAAGCTTTTTCGCCCACTTTATCTGCGGGATTCAAAACTTATTTAATGCTGTTCTTTCTCAATCGCGGTTTGAGATACTTATGTTTATTGGTTGTTCAACGTAAAGTTAACAAACTTACCTGAAATTTCAAGTCATCAGCATAGAAACACAAAAACCGAATACTATATTTACTGCCTGTGCGAACTTTCCGCAAAAGCCAATTACACTGAAACTCACGTTATTATGATGCCTTTCTGTCATTCTTAGTTGTTCAATAAATAATTTACTGGTTTATGTCATTTGCCTTTTGACAAGTGTCTATATGTACTCAACATACAAGTCAATTAACTCTTGCGGCTTTTCAGGAATTGATCTTGCTTTTCCACTGATTAAATTACAATACAATTGTTCGAAATCACCAGCGCCATTGACGTTTAAGTTGGTGTTATTTGTTGCACCAAACCTCAGTCTATCATGTGTTGAAAGTTGTTGTGTTCACCGCAGCTTTAGTTTCCGAATTGGTGACCTGGTTAATAAGAAGCGAGAAATGCGTACAGGTAAAGGCGTTTATGTATATTGGATTCTTCATGACAAAAAATAGTATGTGGACAAATATCCCAAGCATACTCTTTTGGGCCTCTTTACTATCTTACAACAGCTTTATACACGAGTTTGGAAACCGGTTTTTTTGTTCCATTTCCGTATGCCCTTTTTGATCAATACAATCAAGTTTACCATTTAATTTCCGTACTCTTCAGCCCACTTTTTAGATTCCTTACGTCAACTTGATTGAAATGCATTGAACTTTATACGTGATGGTTTTCAATAGTGGGATGCAGTGCGGTAATTCGTAGCTCTAAAACATTATTTCTTTGGTGTTAGGGATGCGAAACTAATGCTACACTCTCTATGTTCGAAGTATTTGATTACATGTATTGGTTTTATGATATCGTGATGAAGACGATAAGGATTTTAGCGGATTTGTGATTATTTTAATAAATAGCTAAAATTACTTCCAACAATGTGCTTAATGTGAAGCAACATTAATTATAAGACATGACTTTAAGATCTCCAATATTGCTGTGCGCGACGAATTCAGTAAGAATTATATCCTTAAGGTCTTTCTTACCGCGATGTTGTGGATTTGATCAAATACAACACTCAAGTAAGAGGTTTCATTTAGCAATGCTTCAAAATGTTTGATAGCATCCTCTTCGCTCAAATCCAACCTAAACTTTTCTTGAACCTAAACGTGGGTTAATGCTGCAGCAAAATTGCTCAAATCGCCAAACCTTCAAGACTGCTTTGTCAGGTTCTATTTGTATGTCAGGAATGTTAGCATCAACCATGAGAGATATCAAATTCAAGATGAGGTTAGAGTTTTTTCTCAAAGTAATGTATGCCGTAAAGCAAAGACTTTTGAATTTATGGTAATGTGCTGATGTTGGTCCACCCATGCCATCAACCATTTCTTTGCTGATTTTAAGTAACGGAGGAAATGGCTTCGGATCACGCCCCAAAATATATCCGAAATCAACTTTGTTGAAGCTTTCAGTGCATTCAAAAATATTAAATATGACTCACCATGAAAGAAATGACCATCCGGACAAACGAGTAAATTGTCTAAGTGTCGGTCGCCAACACCAAGTAAGAAAGTCATAACACAGTATCCGGCTATTTTAGATTAGTCAACCATTTGGAACCAAAAGACGTGAGCTCACCACAACTTCTAACAAAGTTATCAAGAATAGCTGGCTCAACACCAAAAGTCATTAAGCTCGACTCATTGGGGAAGCTATTTTTAAAGTACTCTAGTAAGCTACCGTGGTCGTTCACGGCTGTTGAAAGAGTTTTGTTAGGGATATACTGGACCATACCAGCTGTAGTATCCGTTGCTAATACCTTAAACAGCTTCAAACGAAGATCGAGATTCTCTTTGCGTAACAGTCTATCCATAAGCGTAAATAATTGAACAACGAGTTGATCCTGTCTAAGATCGTCACCATCTTTGAAAATTATAGGAAATTCATTAGTTGAAGTTGCATTATTATTTTGGAAATAAAGCAGCATTGGAAAAAGATTTGACTTGAATACTGATGACTTTTCAGCGTTTATTCCATTGACTGTCGTGCGTGCATCAACGGGTAGGGGCAATGGTATAGGTAAAGTTGATAAGTGATTTCGAGAATCATTTATTGCATTCCTGAGATTGTCTATCTTTCTTGGACGTGGATCTTTAGATGATCTTAATCTTTTTGCAACTTTACTCAGGCATTCAACCAACTCCGCTTGCTTTTTTAGGATATCTCTTTTCTCGTTACCATTCGGAGTTTGCACTAGACTTTGCAGGAATGAATGAGTTACTCTTGCGTAAAGCTTTTCGTAACGAGATCCAGAGCACTCTACCATGAGATACCAGTAAAGATTATTACCAAGAACGTCATTTTGTACAGCTCTTCTAATTAATAAATCTACCAAGCCAGAGTTGAAGTGATTGAATTTATTTTGAGAGTGTTTATATTTTGAGGTCTCAAACTTAATTGCTTGGACTAGCTGTAACAAATAAAGCAACAATTCCTCATTGTCTGCTCTAGATAGTAGCTTAACACCATAAGATCTTACTTTAGGGTGTATAAAACCTGGTCCAAGTAGTTCGAGTGCGTCCTCAGTATCAGGTTCAGTCCACAACGGTAAAAGAATGTCCACGGCTTGGTGAACCTCCGAAGCATCAGTCCAGGTAACGCTTTTCAAGAATTTAGTAAGGGCTCGCTTATCCCTAGCTAAATAAAATCTAAACTTCCACATTAAGTTCTTTTCTGAGGGAGAAAGTTCTTTAGTTGGTGGGTAATTGAGAATAATCTTTAAAGTAATCAGCATGGAGTATGAGTCGTATAATCAAAGATATACCTTCAAATCGTCGCGTATTCTTGGATTAGGTTTGAGCTCCCTGTCTAGCAAGCCTGAACGATGAGATCGTATCAACCTTCGGTATTTAGCTTCGGCAGGATTTTCTCGATCGTAGTCAGGATCGACGATAATGGAAGCCAATGGTTCAGATATGGAAGTTAAAGTATGATTCATAGACTCTACCTGTGTTAACTGATTGAATGGTTGTATATTCTTTTCAAGCTTAGATGGTATTTTGGACTCCTTCATGTTTTGTTAATGCAAATGGTTGGAAAAGAAGCATACTTTACGATTTCATGGTATACGATAGGAAAATCGAATTGAGGAAGCTTTATGTATAAGAATATATCATCTTTCTCCATAGCGGTCGACTGCGCGATTGATAAGCTTAACGATTACGAAAGCTAATTAGATTAACCTTATGAATCTGTTGTATAGTATTGAGAGTAAGATTGTCTAGCCAGTCAAGGCTTTGCATTTCTGCGGTTTTTAGCTTGTGAGAAAGCTGTATGATAAAGTAAGGAAAATGAAACTGTAAGACGAGGTGAGTATCCTACGTTTTCAAGGGAATTTATTGATTTGTAAGAATCTTTGAGATTAGTGTGATTGCGAGTATGATTTGATCGCTGAATCAAAACTTTGTGTTGTGCTACGGCTAAAGTGCTATGAGGTGTGATGAGATAGTGCTAGAGCAAGAAGAAGACACTGACCAAGAGTCGTTATATAAATTAAATGTAGTTGTACCAAACAAAGTGTTATCAGAGAATAGTTCTATTATCAATTGAGTGTCTAAAGGTAATGATGCAAGTGAAATTGGGAATGTGATCAACTTATTTAGTCTAGAGGGATTAGGTAATGAAGAAGACAAGCTATCAACTCACTTGTAAATGAAGTTGTAGTCGTTGAGTGCAACTGTAGATGATTCATGTGTCGTGGATATAGGTTGCATCAAAGGCTTTCGCCAAGCAAATAATTGGAGCTTGAGATTAAATTGAGGTTTGTACCTGAACAAAATTATTTGGGTTCATTTGGGCTCTTTCTACCACTCACAAATTAGCTGATCGACTGCCTTCAACCTGATCTCTATAACGTGGCTTAGCTGGTAAATACCAGTCAAAGTATCCTCACAAATAAATTGAAAGCTGCGTGCCATTAATATCGGATGCTTTCGCAAATGAATAATCCTTCATCTCTGTCATCATCGTCACTCTGATAGACGCAATCATGTCGCAAAATCTAAGTTACCTACAATCTCAACTCAACAATAGAAAGTCCCACTCTGAAAAAATCTCTTCAAGCTTGAATAAGCCTTCTCGTCATAAGGATGATTTCATTAAGTCCAATAGAGTCTTCGCATACCAGCACGAGCTTGATAAGCACGAAAGGCGGGATAGAATCAATAAACGTCGTGAAGATTTTGCACTCACTGAGGCCCAAGATGAAGCTCGTAAACAAAAGATGAAAGAAGGCATCAAACGATACAACGCACTCAAAGCCAACAAGGCTAAACCTACATCTGAAGAGAAGGATTTATTACAATTTGACGGTAATCTGACATCCGACTCTTCTGATTACGATTCAGACGATCATAATCTGGTATTTACTTGATTACAGCTTATTATGCTGTATCTAACTTGTCGTTCACAGGATGCACTCACTGAAGCTGAGGATGAACTAGGTAGAACCGTCTTAGTCTCTAGAAGACAGAAAGAGATACTCAATCCGTTATCAAACAAGCACTACAGAGTCAAAGGGACAGCCATATATGGTGATAAATTAAGTACGGATTGGAACGTATATGAGCAAAGTCCTGAAGAGATTGAACGGTTCAAAGCTCACTATTCAGATAAGGGTTACATACGCGATCCAACAAAAGATAAAGATCAGCGTCATAAAGGAGCTTCCTTCTATAAATTTGGTGATGATTCAATTAAACAGCAACAAATCAATGACTTAAAAGCCAGTCACCATGAAACTATCATCAAGAGAGATCAAGCCGCGTATTCATACAGAAATGCCCGTATGATGCTCGTAAAACAATATCAACCGAATAGGATAATAGGCAGAAATCGGGCGGACAATCTGATTGATGAAGCTATAAACACATCGTAGCAATACAACAAGATGGCAAAGAAAATAATTAGATTGTCAATGATCGAAAATATTGTTGATAATAGCTGTCTTCGCTTCTGTTCTCCAGTGAATTTTCAATGCTGAGGTAATCGTCAAATGTTTCTGAGTCGGTATATTCATTGATTTTTTGCTCGTAATTTGTGTAACTATTGTAATATTTAAAATTGACCTAGAAGATCTATCAAGTACCTACTCCTGATATATTATTATTTCATTGCTATCAACATTTGGATCGATTGCTTGTTGAACAGCATCAATAATGTCTAACTGATGATCATCAATATCTCGCATTCTTTCCTCGATCATTTCTCCAACATCAATGCAAGATTCGTATTCGTGATTGTGATGTCCGTTATCGTCATTGACAGCATCAACTTCAGATATAGTACCAATAGAACTATTTCTTCTGCTTGAGGGTATACTTTGCAAACTCATCCATCGTTTTACGGGCGCAAATGATCTAGTTGGAGTACTTGGAGGTGTCTTTATAGTTTGAAATGGCGACATGTTTTTTCGATTTTTAAGATTTTTGGGTAGATATTTCAGTGTACTGTTCATGTTTGTAGAGAAATGTCTCTCCAAGGATGTAAATAGTCTAGGTCGATAAAAATGCTGCCAATAGTCATGAGACAAATGAGCTTCAGCTTTGCTTTTACCCTGATACTCCAAATCTTTTGTCTCTTTAATATTATTGTCTTGGTCAATTTTAAAAAATTCTGCTGATGGCAAAGGAATCGAGGTTAGAGAATCAAATGAAACTGAAGATGAAGTTTGTCCAAGAAATAAATCTATGGCTGCTTGCTTATCAGCGTCTAATAAAGAATTTGCGTAGTATCTCTTAATATTTTCAACGAGATCACGTGAGTGACTGTGTATATTAGAAAGATACTAATTTAAGAGATCAACCTCACCTATTCCATTGATTAATTTTGCGATAAGTTTCCACTCGATTAACGAGCGCACTTCCGCCATACTGAAGAGCAATCGCTAAAACATTTTAACAACATTAGCAAAGTTCACGAGAAGAGGAGGCTTGAAAAGACTTACTATCACCATGATCATGGTACATTTCAGTAAGCATATTGACAGCATCAGTATCATGTACAAGAGCAGGCTTCTCAATAATACCGAGAGCGTGCAATTGATGAGTGAAAGCCACCTTTCCAATGACAAATTGTGCAGCATTCGTACGATCCAAACAGTCAACACAATTTGTTCTAGTTATGCCACATTGCCGCTGATCGTTTTTGGAATGATAAAACCCCGTACTCTGAATGGAATCAATGGCAAAATTTTCCAAGAATCCTATGACATCTTGATTAGATTTAGATGCTCTTGACATGTCCCACGAGGTCATTTTGATTTTGTTATCTTGACTTAAAAATTGATTAAGGTGTTGAATACACTCATTATAGCTATGAAGTAATTTTGATTCCCTTGGCACGCGTTCGCGACACTTTACCAAATTTAAAACAAAGGTTGGAGAGCCGTAACGTTGGAAGAGATTCTTAAAATGAATAGCAGCGTTACGATAGTAAGGATCAACAGGTGCAACTAAGGAAATTTAGTGTGGTAAGAGACAATTAAACATGAAGAAACTCACTGTTAATCATAGGCTTCAGCCCCATTTGAGGATCCTGACTCCAAAATAAAGGTACAGAACCTCTATATTGTAAGAATGAAGTAAAATTAGGATTAATTTTGTGATCCAAATTCTGTGAAGTGAAGGGTGTAGTTAAGGTATCAGAGACGATTTGTTCAGATTCGACTTCATTAGCTACGTGTCCAAATTCATTTGAACCTCTTTTTAGGTATCTGGCACCGGCATAATGACGAGATCTTCTAGCGATCAAAGTGACGTAGATGACACGACCGAAGACAATTAATTTAGATTGATCAACAAAGCCATGAATGATTGGTAGAATCCAAGAAGACTTTGGTAAATGATTTGGATTCAAGATGGGAGTGAGTAGATGATGATTCCAAATGAAGCGATCGTTGAAATGAAAGAAATTGAAAGGAAGATTGGAAGTCAAGTTAGATTGCAAAGAGCATGTCAAGTCGTAAGAGTAACTAAAGTAAAAGTTCTTACTTAAGTCGACTTGTTTGAACGTATTGAGCAATTTAGACTCAAGTTTACCTCCCAAAAACGACTTTTTTGGGGAAAAGTTAATCAATAGAGTATCGTCAACGTGATAAATGTAATGACCACCTAATAAGCAAACAGGGGATCTTCTAGTGATGAGAATGAGATAAGGGAACTTCGTGAACTTGATAAAACCAAGAACGCCGTAAAAGTTGATAACCTTATTCAATCCACCAGATTCTAATTCAATCAATTTCAAGAGCTGATTAACATCTTTAAAAGTATAAACGTTGTCATCATCTTCAATTTGGATTTCGATAGATTTATGTATTTTAATGACTTTATAAAAATCAAGAGATTGATTAGTACCAATAATGATGAAGCTTGATTTGATTTCATATAAAGTGAACTTGTCCAGCATTTAGATGACGGCTGAGAGATAATAAGATAATCAATGGTATACAAAACAAATAATCAAATGTAATCAAATGGATGTTGAGCGATAGATAATTAACAGCAACCACCTTTCTTTGTTTCATTGTCAGAAGTTGGTGTCACGGTAATAGTTTCTCCATTTGAAGGTTTAATTGAATCGCCACCTTCTAAAGCTTTAGTTGCGACTAATTGATAGATGTCAGTTAAAATATTTTGGAAAGCAGATTCAACGTTTGTGGAATCTAAGGCTGAAGTTTCAATGAATCTAATTGGGTTAGAAGAAGGTGTACCGTCTTCTAATTTAGACTTTTCCTCTGTAAAGGATTGAGCTTCTGCGGTTGGTACAGCTCGAAGGTGTTTCAAGTCTGATTTGTTTCCAACGAGCATGATGACAATGTTTGAATCGGCGTGATCTTTTAACTCTTTCAACCAGCGTTCAACGTTTGCGAAACTAGATTGTTTACCAATATCGTAAACAAGTAAAGCACCGACAGCACCTCTGTAGTAAGCAGAAGTGATAGCTCTATAGCGTTCTTGACCAGCTTTAAGGGAGGTTAGAGAGGTTTGGTTTAGACAAAGCAGTAAAAGGAGTTACCAGTATCCCAAATTTGAGCTTTTATAGTCTTTTGATCGACTTGTAAAGATCTAGTGGCGAACTCGACGCCAATAGTAGATTTAGAGTCCATATTGAATTCATTTCTAGTGAATCTGGATAGTAGATTACTATTGAGCTGTTGAGTGAGTTTACTTTAAGGTGAATAGATACGTCTTACGATTTACCAACACCACTATCTATAAAGTATCACTGTTTGTAAGAGTATTTGATATAATTAACAAAGCTCACCACCGATTAAAACTACGTAAATCCATGTCAATGTAGGTCAAATTGCAGGAAATTCTACTCATTTTAAACAAGTAATCATAAGAGCTTGCTTCTGTTGCCCTGTTTAAATATTAACAAGGTACAAATCACATTTTATACAAACATTGTGATGACTTGGCTGTTAACTACAAACTCCCAAGTTGCTGAATTTGCTCAAGTTGATATGAAATTAATTCGGTAAATCATATTTAATTTTTAAACTCAAATTAATTTATTCGCAGTTTCCTTCAGAAGCTAAATAATGAATCTGTGACGATTGAGTTGAAGAATGGTTCGATTGTACATGGTACTATGATGAGTGGGTTGCTGATTTCAACGAGTATTTCAAGTGGTATTGACACTTCCCCTCACAGACTGCGATCCCTCCATGAATGCCCACCTTCGTAGTGTTAAGCTCATCACGAGGAACCTTCCGCCTACAAACCTCGATACTATCTCCATTAGAGGAAACAACATTCGATACTTCATTCTTCCTGATTCCTTACCTTTGGATACTCTCCTTGTAGATGACGCTCCCAAGCCAAAAGTTAATAAGCGCAAAGAAGCAATCAAGGAAAGGTCAAAGTCTGTTAGAGGTTCTGGCCCTCAAAGAGGTGGTCCTAGAGGCGGTAGAGGTGGCCCTAGAGGTAGAGGTGGCCCACGTTAGTATTATCCTATTTATTTGTGTACTTTTCTTCTTTTCTACCTTCTGCCATCTCCAATGACTGGCTTGTCTAGATTCTTTGGATACACAGCCGCTTTAAGCTTGTTTTACTTTCTGTCCCTTTTCCATTTCATCAAAATCCCACTCATCGATCGCAGCACTTGTGATATCGCCCTACCTTTCGTAAGTAACATCACAACATGAAACACCCCAACAAACTCTCCCTATTAGATTCCGTGGTGGTTATTAGTCTCATTCGGTAGCTATTCTTTAGCCAGCATTGGCTTCGGTCTATTCACCTTCAAAGACTGTCCAGACGCGTACACTGAGTTGCTTACTGTAAGTCCACTCAAATCCTATCAACGCCGTTTGTTAACCCTTTATCAGGAAATATCGCAAGCTAAAGACCACCTACGCTCAAAAGGTGTACATGTTGACTAGACGATACCAAGACAGCGATATTACAATACTAAGATGACGACTTGCTTCTTATATGCCTACCATCATCCTTATCAGCTTCTGCAGCTACCCATATCCTCTTCTCCTTATGCATTTCCCGCGCCTGCTCTTTATTCTGTGCTATCTTCTGCGTAGATGGAAAATCCACATCCCAATACCCAGGCGGTGTTTTTGCACGTGGCCAATGCGATCTATGCCTTGAAGATCTGTCTCTATGTTCTTGTGCAGTTCCTTCACCAACTGAATTCCAGAAATCTCTACAACAAAAACAATCACCGCCTATCATATGCTTCCTTTCCTCCTTATTTCTGACTGTCTCATTATACTTATAATTTAGACCTTTATTGTTGTCTGGGTTAATAGGGTATAACTTGTTAATTGATTGATTCTCATCAGTTTTTGGTATAGATGTTGCGTATCTTCCGCTACCTTTATTCTAAGGCTTCACTTAGTTAATTATAACAAAGAAACTTCACCTTACTTTAAATGGATTTTGCTCGTGGTTGTTATCTGATTTGCGCCTCAATTTCCGAAGATCATCACCATTGAATTTCAATCTCTTGTTGTTATGATAGTCAAGATACTTTATTGAAGTCGGGGTGAGTTCATCATCTGAATCCCATTTAGCTTTCTTTGGAGGTGTTACGTTGATGTGTTTAGATATCGCCTCTTTACGCTTAAATGGAGAAGCAGAAGTTGACTCTGTTGCTGAACTGGATGGTGATTGAGCTGTAGTTGAAGAAGAAGGCGAGCTTTCAAGGTTGTTGCTCGGTCTAAGAGGTTTACTCAGGTGTCGAGCGAGATTCGATTTATCTCGACTCAGTGAAAATGGTTCCCTGACCTCATCATCTTCATCGATAAGCAGCGAGTGTATGTAATTCTTTGATGGAGACGTAGACTTGGATTGCTTCTTCTCAAACCACCAAATTTTAAATTCCAGCCACGCCTTCTTATCATCATTATATTGCGCAACTAAATCATTATAAGACAACTGGAGCAACTCAAATCTAACCGAGAGATCCAAATGATCAGAATTATAGCAATTATAATTATTTTTATAAAAATTATTTATTTTATTCGTTATTTCCTCCTCGAGTCGCTTTAGTAACTTGAAATCCATCGTGGCTGCTGGTTAAGAAGAAGGATTGAGGCCTTGCGAGATGCCTTTAAATGCACCGTAAGTTCCCTTCCTTATTCCAGTGTTGGCTTGTTCAAAGTATTCTTGCACTGGATCGCCTTTACGCGGTACCTACGCATACGTCAGTTGGTCTCTGTCTGATAGCAATTCAGCATACCATTCTTGCCGTGGAAGCAGAAACAGCAGCCAAAAGTACAGCAACTTTAGTCAACCTCATTGTTGATGTTTAAAGAAATATGCCCGCGGTTGAATGAATACGCATTCCAATGCCGCGCATTTCTTGACCTGTACCGTCATTCCCCATGGAATCGAATTATCCAAAGATCGACCTTGAGTCAAAAGAACACTTGAAATTCTTAGAGGGATATTACAAGAATGAATTGTTTTCACAAGTTGATAGCAGCCAAGATGATAACGACGCGCTCAATTCACTGCTAAACACGTACTTCAACAAAACCTTCAGCTTGATACATCCAAATATTAAAATAAACGGTCAAAACTACTCAGACTTAAATTTTGATGATGATGTCGAATTTGAACACTTTGACGATAAGCTGCGCTTACAAATGTCTGAATTAGACAGCAACATTGAACAATTACAGAACAGATTGGCCGAAAAGAGAAAGCTAGTGCCATTGGAATTGGAGGAATTGTTAACAAGACAATTAAAGAGGAAGAACACCTCAAATGTGCCTGATAAGGACCACCAAGATGGCGATGACGATGTCAACGTCGATAAAGATCAACTTGACTTAACATTCAACAAGGACGGTCTTGAAGATATAGGCGTCAATCTTAATGACCTTTTAGCCGTGAGTTACGCGTACATTCACGTGGTATACGCGTAATTTACTAACTTACCGTTTTAGAAATTACCACAACAAATATCAAAATTAGAGAGAACGAAGAACCTCAAAGATGACTTGAACTGTATAGAATCTTGATTTGTTTTGAAATTTGTATTATTTGTACTTTTATTTATTCTAAACGCGTCGTTCCCCGCGATCTCGCCTTCCTTAAAGTGACACGATCACCTATGAATAACACGTTACCTGCAGGTAGGAAACCTGATGTCAAGAAGAAGCTGGTTGTAACTGGTGATGGTGGATGTGGGAAGGTACGCTGGCTTAAATGCGCAGTGGAGTCGCTAACCCTAATCGATAGACGTGTTTGTTGATTGTTTACGCAGAGCATAGATTTCCTGAGGTTTGTTGGTTAGAATCAAGCAAGAATCATCTAACGAATCGTTAAAAGGAATACGTCCCCACTGTTTTTGAAAATTACGTCTCGTATCCAACATTTGATGGCAAGATAGTTGAGTTGGCGTTATGGGACACGGCTGGTCAAGAGGAATACGACAGGTTGAGACCATTGTCATATCCAGAATCCGATATTATTCTCATAGTTTTCTCGATTGATTACCCAACATCTTTGGAGAACGTCAAGGATAAGGTTGGTGAAATGTTTACTACAGGACACCTCTAACTCGTCCATTAATCAGTGGTTCCCTGAAGTTTCTCACTTCTGCTCAGGAGTTCCAAGGATATTAGTCGGTACAAAGATAGATTTACGACAAGATCCAGAGACAAGAAGAATGTTAAGTATGCAAGGTTTGAAACCAGTATCATACGAGCAAGGTGTCGCTGTATCTAAAGAGATCGGTGCGGCCAAGTACATTGAGTGCTCAGCGAAGAAATCTCAAGGTGTGATTGAACTGTTTGATCAAGCGCTTAAGGAATCGATGAAAGGCAAGCTGACTAAATTTGTGAAGAAGCGCAGGAATTGCGTCGTGTTGTAATTTATTCCTAGATATCCTCCTTGTACAAACGCTTTCATCTTGATTGTTAAACTGTCCAATGTTTATTCAATCACGCGAAATTTTAGATAAGAAGAGTCTCTTTGTTGCTTACTTGATTCCTGTTTCATCTGATAAAGATGTGCGTCGCATAATGATGATTAGAAACCTCTGACATCACCAGATATCCCAAGCTAAACTTAAAATTAGACAGAGCCAGAGTAGCTCTCCTAGTCATTCCATTTCCGCCTACAGATTCGTTGGTCTTAAATCAAAGAAAATTGGCCTGAATCAGGACGACTTCACTGTCAAAACCGCTTACGATGACGATGGCGAGAAATGGGCTGGAAAGAGAATCCTTGAGGTATTGGAGCAGACGTGAGTAATTTGTTTTGATAGCTTTGTTCTATTAATCGTTTTCAATCAAGTCAAACGCTTGACGCACTCATTGTCGTATCGCGCTGGTACGGCGGAATTATGCTAGGACCAGTACGCTTCCAGCATATAAAAGATCTAAGTCTAGAAGTTTGCAACGAGATGAAAAAGAATGAAGGGATGCGCGAGAGTTTTGAGTTGCTACAAGGCCTAGATGAAAGCATAGCAGATGTGCGAAGTAAATTAGGCATGGAGAACAAGCCGACATCCTATGATAGCATTGATTTCGTAAAATCACAGCGTCTAATCAAAGCTAGGAAGGGTACTTTAGACATTTTGAAGAAGAAATTGTCTCATAAAGTGGAAAGTGCCAAGTAGAAAGTAGGCCAGTTTAAAGCATTTCAGATGGTGCTTTATCGCGCTCCACCTATTATTATGTGGATATAAAGACACTTCACGCTGCAATTCGATTCAAGGAGACGTCTGTTAACATGATTGGATATGATTATTATAATTGGATGTATGTATGATTGAAATTGTTATTGTTAAGGGATCTATCCGTAGACGAGACTGAGTATAAGTTAGAGCGTGTAAGGTAGAGAAGGAAATAACCCACCGGAAAACGTCATTTTGCACATAATAAGAACCATCTTCCGGCATAAGTTGGAATACTTGTGAGAAAGGAATAGGGTTTGGGCTGTCGTCAACCATAAGCTGACCAGTAACCAATACCAACAAAGAAGCGACGGATCCGGATGAAGGCTGAGCGTCAATGGTGTCTGTCTTGTGAGCAACTTTCTGGAAAGGGAGCGATTCCAGCTTTTCAAGGATAGAGTTCACGCCCAAGATCTGGTTAGACTCCCAAGTTAGCATGCTTCCATCGCGCTGTGAATTGTGAGGTGGATAGGTTGGTGGTGGAGTTACGCACGTATAAACCGCGGAGATTAGCTCTGTTTGAATCGAAAGTGGAGTAGTAGAACTGGTTATTAGAGTGAGTGGTATTGATAACCCAACGATTCAGCTGCCCACCTGCGTAAACTAAAACCCATGAGAACCGCGGTCGATAAGTTAGAAGTTGTAAACTCACTTGAGCTGCAATTGTGTTTGGATCAGACCTATCAGAGTTTAGCAATTTCAAAGGAATTTTGAATATTTTTTACATCTTTTGATCACCGTATACAACAGAGTGCTTTTGGTTATGCAGCCAAGTGAAAATATCTGGTCATCAATTTTAGACAGCGTTTCCAATAGCCAATCAAGGCTGCCTTCTAAGAATGTTCTCTTGTTAGGTGTGTCCTTATTATTCCCAGCTACAAAAGGCTGATTCTGTTTCGCAGGTCAAACTGGAAGCGGGAAATCATCTGTTATTTCACATCTTACAAACAAGCCAATCAATTCATCTCATAAAGATTACGGTTTAAGCGTAGAATATTCGGATGTACACGATATCGCTGATGATGAAGTTATGGCTAGAATGTCCATCTACTCAATACCAAACTCAAATAAGATTTATACCGATTTAATTAAGCTTATTATTACCCCTGAAACTATTTCAGACCTTTTAGTCGTCATTCAGCTCGATTGGGAAAGGCCTTGGAGCTTTATTGATGATTTGAGCAGGTGGATTAGCTGGATTGATCTGCATATTAGCCATCTTAGAGGTCTCGATGACAAATTCAATTCTCTCCTTCAAGATCTTCAACTTAAGTTAAGGCGCTATCTTGAAAACTACACTGAACCTTCTTCAACCTCAGATAATAAATCGTCAGTTACAAAACTCGCTATGGGCTTAGAAGATCCTCTCCCTCTTGATAAAAGTACTCTCACTCATAATTACTCTTCAATTCCACTCGTCATTCTTTGTCACAAATCTGACACAATCGACAAAGCTCAAAACATAAAGAAGGACGGTTGGGCCACTGATGATAACGTCGAATGGATACAACAAGTTCTAAGGGGGATTGCCTTGAAGTGTGAGTTCTTCTACTCTCACTTTACTCTCTAACTATTATCAGATGGTGCTGCTATAGCCTATACCTCGATAAATAAGCCTGAAACTATCAATCTTGCACGTGAATATATCTACCATAGGTTATTTCAACCAGATGCTCAATCGCATGCACCGCGTTCATTCCCTTTCAATAGGCGAGCTGTCATCGTTGAGCATGACGCCGTTTTCATTCCATCCGGATGGGATAGCTGGGGAAAGATTACAGCTCTGAGGGAAGGTATTAGTCCTACAGAAGATATAGTCAACGAAGGATGGGATAACCAATTGAATGGCGATCAAGATGCACAACCCAAATCATCTAAAATCTTTCAAGACGTTATACACGATCCTACTAGATATCATTACAATTTATCAACTCAACAGGACACAGAGCTCGTTGCAGAATCCGAAACAAACTTCCTTGCAAAGCATTTCGAGTCACTTTCCAAAGATCCACAAAGAGATCCACGCAACACATTCAAGCAAGCCTCTAAACCTGAAAGCGTATCTTATGGCTCAGGTATAGTAGGTCCTATGGACAGTGATAGTTTGAATCTACCCTCAGTTGAGAGAGTAATGAGGAATGAGACAAGCGGTATTTCGGAAAACACGGAGAGCAATGACGCCACCAGCACACCATTCAAGCCCAAACTAAGCCACACACACTCAATGAGCCACTCACAGCCATTCACCCCTACATCTACTAACAATCCACCTTCAAGCCAGTCAAATCAAGGAACTCCTTCAGCTATCGCTCCAAGTCAGCATGAAGTGTTACAGAACTTTTTCCAAAGCTTATTAAGTGCTAAGAAGACTGATAGTTGATAACCAATACAAAAATGTAAAAATTGTTTTGCATGTTGTGCTTGCGAGTGTAAAATGATTAATAGTGAGGCGTGTGACTTACAGTGTCAACTAAACATAAATACATCTACAAAATGTGAACTATCCGATAGCGACTTGTTCATTCACCTCGATATGACCAATGATATCAAATCTGCCGAGAGCAACCTGGGCAAGCTGATGGCCAAAATGCAGTCAATTGATGGCGATAAGAATGCTGTAAGCGATTCTAAACCGAAGAGGAGCAACAAGAAGGACTCTAAACCGGCTGAGAAGGGTGGTTCGAAGAAGACACCCACGGCGAATAAGGATAAAGCCGATAAGACAGACAATAAGAATAGAAAGCAGCAGACCCAGCCGAAGCAGCAGAAAGCAACTCCTTCACCCTCAAAACCCAAAGAAGAAGCCAAACCAACCAAAAAGCGTAAGTTAGAGCAGTCTGGAGAACAAAAGAATGTGAATAAGGGCGATAAGAAGAAGGCTGAGAAGATTGAAGGCGATGGGAATACCTCGTTACAAGCTAAAATGAAGAAAAGCTTATCAGGTGCTAGATTCAGGTATGCATCATATGCGCATTTCTGCGTCCAAATCTGACGTATCCAGGTGGATAAATGAGACGCTATACACGACTGATTCTCAAGAGGCGCATGAATTGATGCAGGATGATCCTAGTATCTTCAACGAGGTGCGCATCGCTTCTCCAACGACAAAAAAGCTAACAGCAGTTCAAACAGTACCACGAGGGATTCGTAGAGCAGACAAAGTCTTGGCCTCAAAACCCTGTTGAAGTGATCGCCAAGTCGCTCTCATCGCTTCCTACAAGTTCTACTCTGATCGTTGATCTGGGATCGGGCCCAGCCACGCTTGCCAAAGCGTTACCGAAGCACAGGGTGTTATCATATGACCTGGTTGAAGCTGAAAATGGAGCTGTCGTCGAATGCGATATCGCGAAGAAAGTTCCGCTGCCTACAGCCTCAGTCGACAGGGTCGTCTTTTGCCTTAGCCTTATGGGATCAAATTGGGTTGGAGCTATCACTGAGGCCGAAAGAATACTCGTCGCAAAGTAAGGTTCCCCAGCTCACAACTTTAGACAGCTGACCAAGGCAAACAGGGGCAAAGTGCACATTGCCGAAGTGAAATCGAGATTCTCAAGCATAAATGAGTTTGTAGAACTAGTCTCGCACTTCGGACTTAAGCTCGTTGACAAGGTGGGTTTTGCTTGGCACTATCATGTGATATCATTGACGACTCGCATAGGATGAGTCAAACACCCACTTCGCCAACCTGGTGTTCACCAATGGCGGCAAAAAGGACATGGTAAACATGAAGGAGCTAACGGACAAAGGGAAGAATATTTTGAAGCCTTGCTTGTATAAAAGACGCTAATATGAATGCACGTTGAATCTGCCAAGAAAATTAGGTACGCGTACCCATTCACCGCAAATAGTCGTGGCGCAAAAAGAGTAGTCGGAATTGATATGAACAAGGTTATATCAAGCTGCGTATCTCTTCGGTCACTCTTCCTACTTTTAATTTAGTAACCGTGAGAACCAGCTGACACCCTTTGACTCTAATCACTCAAGCTTCATAACCGCCAAGAGCTCAGAATTATATTACAGCCAAGCAATCATGCGGTCACTCCGAGAATCTTTCTCATCTGCAACCACCATGTTCGCAAACAAACCAAGTGAAACTTTGTCATCAACGGAGAAATCTGACCAAAGTGGGCGATGAGTAGACTGGATGATACGTGGCTAACATTTCTAAAGCACCAGCTCATGTCAGAGACTCATCCGATATCCTCCATGAACACAACGTCGATCCCCTGCTCGGGCTTTCTTTCGGTAGGGTCGATCAGCTGCAGAAGGAATTCGGACCCAACAGATTAAAACCCCCGCCCAAACCATCTTTGCTGAAGATATTCGGTACTCAGATCGGAAATGCTGTAAGTTGCACGCTCGCCTTGCCTCTTAATCTCATATGTCGTCATTGTAGATGACACTCGTTCTGATAGCTGCAATGGCTGTCTCCTTTGGTACACAAGACTGGATTGAAGCAGGCGTCATTGCTGCTCTCGTTATCCTCAACGTCACTGTCGGATTTACCCAGGAGTGGAAGGCTGAAAAGACTGTTGCTGCCCTCGAAAGTGTGGGTAAATAATACATGCTAATAACTTGTCTAACTCATAAAACAGGTAGGAAGTCCTACCGCTGTTGTCGTACGGCACGATGCTTCAAACAAAGGTCATGAAGGAAAAATTATCGATGTTCAAACCGACGAAGTTGTTCCAGGCGATATTATGATGGTTAAAATTGGAGATGTTATTCCTGCTGATGGAAGAGTTATTGCCAATCACATATCCAACCTCGAAGTAGACGAAGCCTTATTGACTGGTGAATCTCTACCCGTCGCTAAGCAAACTGAAACACTCGATGACAAAACATGCCCTGTTGGTGATCGTCTTAACATGGTTTTCTCCGGTAGTCAGGTGACAAAAGGTAGAGCTAGATGCGTAGTCACTTCAATTGGAATGAATACTGAGCTTGGTTCTATATCTGAAGCTTTGGCAACAAAAGCTGATTCTAAAAAGCGCGGTTGGAGAAGATTTTGGGAGAAAACGCAGGTTTTCTTAGGTGTAAAGGGTACAACCCCACTTCAAATAAAATTGAACAAGTTGGCCTACTTGCTTCTTGCATTAGCAATCATATTTGCCATCGTCGTCGTCAGCTCAACTGGATACGTTGACATTCCAGATTCCACGGCAACTTATGCAGTTGCTACTGCTATTTCTGTTTTGCCTGCTTCGCTCATTGCTGTAGTTTCGCTAACACTTGCAACATCTTCAAGAGAGTTAGCTAAGAGGAACGCATTAGTTCGTAAGATGGATGCAATCGAAACGTTGGCAGGTGTAACAGATATCTGTTCAGACAAGACTGGTACTATCACTGTCGGAAGAATGGTTTTAAAGAAGGCTTGGGTGCCTTCACGTTCTGAATCAACGGACACCAAAGTCGGACAAATCTATGCCGTTGAATCGGGTAAAGATCCTTACTATCCAAGAGGCACAATACAAGCACAAGATAACAACGCCGACGACAATGAGAGTGACGTATCAGATAGCGACGTCGTTCATGTAAATGAATTGGATTCTTCATTTCAGGAACTCGTTCAGTCGGCTGCACTCAACAATATGGCAACAATATCAGCTGGTGATGAAGGAGGCGAATGGGACGCCAAAGGGGATCCAACAGAGATTGCCTTACAAGTGTTCTCTCATAAGGCTGGTCATGGTAAACCTCATTTGACACATCAACCTAAGCATAGAGCAAAGAAGGAAGATCATCCTGCGCCTAGGGCTGATGTAAAGGGTCACTTTGAGATGTTAATCGAACATCCCTTCGATTCATCTATCAAAAGAATGACTACTGCATGGAAATTCGTTGATGCTCAGAATGCCGACGATTCCAAGCAACATGTCTTCATTTATATGAAAGGTGCAGTCGAGAGGGTGCTAGAAAGATGTACACATGTTTCAATAGGTGATAAATCAATTGAGATGACAGAAGATGCCAAAGATGACATCATAAAAAAGATGGACCAGTTGGCAGCTGAAGGATTGCGTGTTTTGGCTCTTGCTGGTAGAACGGACCGTCTTTCCAATGCTCAGACTGTGAAGGAAACTAAGAGAGACGATGTAGAAAAAGGGTTTGGTCTGTTAGGCTTAGTTGGTATATTTGATCCGCCAAGACCTGAGTCTAAAGGGGCTGTCTACGATTCAAGGCGAGCATCGATAGTCGTAAGAATGCTTACGGGTGACCATGCAGCAACAGCCGCATCGATCGCGATGTCAGTGGGCATCCTAGATAAGAATCACTCCAAATCTGCTGTAATGACTGGCCAACAATTCGATGCAATGACTGATGAAGAGGTAGATGCACTTGAAGAGCTCCCCGTGGTGGTAGCGAGATGTGCTCCTGAAACTAAGACTGGATTCGTTGATGCCTTACATCGTCGAAAACGTTTAACTGTTATGACTGGCGACGGTGTGAACGATTCACCTGCCCTTAAGAGAGCCGATGTTGGAGTTGCAATGGGACTCAATGGCTCAGATGTTGCAAAGGGTGCTGCCGATATCGTTCTGGCAGACGACAACTTCTCTACTTGTGTTCGTGCAGTCAGAAAGGGTAGATCGGTTTTTACAAACTTATCAAAATTTTTAGTCTACTTACTTGCTGGTAACGTTGCGGAGGTCTTGGTGTTGCTTATCGGGTTGGCTATTCGTTCTGACGGCAATGCTGTCTATCCTATCTCACCAGTTGGTGCACTGTAAGTAGTAAACTTGATGCGTGGATTGTCTGACAAACCGCGAAGCGTAATAAACACTCTTACAATCGGTCCAGTAGCTTTCGCGCTCGGTATCGAACCAACAGCAGACGACACGATGCTTCAACCACCTAGCAACTTCTTCACTATATTCACACCTACATGGTTCCTGGATCTATCCTCTTATGGATTTGTTTCGGGTGCACTCTGTTTTGCTAATTACATCATCGTCATCTATGCAAGAAACGACGGTAATGAAGATGTCTCTGCCAATTGCAATGAGGGTGCTGTCAACAGTGAATGTGAAGTCATATACAGAGCAAGAGCTGCAGCATATGCCTCACTATTGCTCATGCTGATGATCCTTGCATTTGGCTGCAAACATACAACTCGCAGTGTTTTCAAGATGAATCTGCTTGACAACAAGCTCCTCATTTGGTCAGCTGGGCTGCTATCGCTCAGTGTCTTCCCGGTTATCTACATTCCTGGTAAGTGCCTCTCTCAATGATATCACATATCTCATTACGTTAATTAGTGATCAAAGATCGTGTCTTCCAGGTCACTGGTATTGGATGGGAATGGGGAATGATTGCAGCAACCGTTTTGATATTCTTCGGGTACTTGGAATTATACAAAGCTATAAGAAGGTTATATATTAGAAGATCTATCAAGAAAGCTGATGTGGAGAATTTCAATGAAAAGGAAATTCGACTTGCACCAACAATGGAACCTAAAACTATTTAAATAAATTTCGTAATGTATTTAAAGTTGAAGCAATTGAATCTCTTATACGCACCTTCATGGGTACGGAGATAGCTAGAGCGGAAAGCTTAAACTGGGTGGATTTCAAACACTTTCTCAATAATGAATTAGTCGATAATTGCATGGAATCAGAGATAATTGAATTGCTGAAGAAATCGCAATCAATTGAATCTCCTTTATCAATCAAGTATACTTACATCTACAACAAGCTCATTATTTTCAACAAAAATCTTCCTTTTTTAACTCAAAGCGTCTCAAAAAAAACTTGGAAAGCTTTATTGAAGCGTCATGGCTATGACGTCGTTACGCGTAATCTTGCCAACATGTCTACCAGAATACCATTGTATGTCTTGCAAGATTACATTAGATCAACGCAGAACATTCATCTTTTGCATCCAAGTAACCACCACTTAGCCGCGTACGGTGACTACAATTATTATACATTACTCGCCAGTATAGCTATTAGATCGTCTGGCGATATCGACGTGGCGCGTAAGTGTTTCCAATTACTCGACGCTCACAGGCAAGATACTCATCAGAGCAAGTTCATAAGATACGATGAAGGTCTTTTGAGCTTTTTTATAACCATCTCCAAATTGTGGCGCAAGAATCAAGACAATGACGATATCACAAAGCTTTTGGGAGAGGTTTTGACACAAGCTGACATAAATATCCTAAACACGACGAACGTTATTGCGAATGCTGTTATCAAGTTACTCAAATCATTCCCCATTCAATCCCGTTTCAAATATCTCCACAAAATAGAAAAGAGGATCTCGCTCGCGATGACAATAGACGGTCAGCTCCTTCCAGGTATAACCTACAATGATACACCACAATTTGAAGGTTTTAGTATTTCCATACTTTACTTCCTACCACGTAAAATTTCACTACCGCTGCTCGAAAACATAAAGCTTGGAATATTACGAACAAGTTACGCAACTGGCATACCTTCAAGTCTCAATAAGAAGCTGTCACCTTTGATGGAAATAGACAAAGAATCATACATCAACGGATACAAAATCGCAATATTAGCTAGGGACAACAATAAAACTCATCTGATTCATGGCAAGGACTTAAAAAGCGACAAATTTACAAGGGACATCATAAACAATGTCAGAGATCGATGTAAAACAGCATCAGATAGAGAATTACGAAGGAGGCTTGTTAGCAAGCTGCTGCTATACTCGGCTCTAAGCAATACGGAACTATATAACTCTCTGAATTGGGCTTTGGGTCGCTTTGTTAACGATGACCTGATAAGGAGTGAACTACTTGCTGGATATAATGGCTTTGAGTGAGTCTGATGCTTTATATAACTCCGAGCTTACATAAGCGAATAGTTATGGCATGGTTGATCATTATCTACACTTCTTTGACGAGCTATCAGGCTTAGCAGCGATTCAAGGTCAGTTATTTGTGTATTTGAAAGCAAATATTAACAAGATTCTAGGTTTGGGACAAGATGTTCCAGTAAATAGGCAGCACGTTCGTGCATCTATACTTCAAGCTGCTGATACTGGTAATAAGCTACTGAAGAAATACCTGGAAGTTGCATCACACTCTTCAGAGAAGTTGTCTGAGTTCGCAGTCGAAGAATACGACAATCTATCAATGCTACTTCTTGGAGTACTCAATAAAAGATTTGAGCTTATTGAAAGGCTGAGGAAGTTGCAATACGGTAAGGAAGCCTTTGCAGAATTTGTGGGCAAGCTACTTGAACCAATTAAAAAGCTTTATGGGGAATGGCTAGTAAACAAACTCAGTGCTAAAAAAGGCTCTGCAATTTACCAACCAGCCAATCCTCCAATCATGCTTGTCCAACCGCACGACGTACTCCAACTTTACGATTCACAAATTGACATCACTCAAGTGCTTCATCTGCCACCATCAATACTTGGTGCAATAGTAGCATGTGAATTCATCGATACATTGGCTGAATATATGCAAAAAATCCGCGATGAGCACCCTTCCAATGCAAATGAACCCACCAAAACCTGCTATTATTCCAAGATACCATTTGTCATCTCAGTTCCAGAAACACGTAAACCACTTGGAAAGCGTTTGCGGCGCCTATTTGAAGATTATACACCATATTTGTCAGCAATTGCCCAGGAGGAATTAAAAAATGTTAACGGGTACCTGCTTCAGACTGAGTGGTTGAGAAGTGCTTTTGGAATCAACTTTTGGTACAAAATGCTGCAGAAAATTGGTAAACGCGAGAGGACGACTGTGTTAACTAGTACATTAAAGTCTCTTGCCGATCAGATGTCAAATACTAAAGCCAATGTTCTTGATTACTTTTATGCTGTCGTTGGTCTAGCAGCACCAGACCGTTGCTATGACATGACGGAGTTTCTCTGTTACTTACATTCTTGCGATACTAAATTGTTTCTAGAGCAACTCGACATTGATGACATTCTCAATGATACTGGAATCTTTATTGAAGCAACTATTAAAGAGGAGTAAGGATTGAAATTTGCTTTGTCTTATTATTGACGTCTTCTTAGATACATAAACATGTATCAGGACAATCAATGGCCAACAAATCCTTACCAAGTCGTCTCAAAAGTATTTACGCTGCTTAATTGTCAACCATACAGGGCCGAAAGATTAAGATGCAACCGAATCTCTAAATGCCTGAGCACGAACTTTCAACAAAAGCTAGCTGAATTGTCTACGCATAGTCTCGCTTCTGCGGTGAATGTCAATATCGAGAGTGACAAACTTGTTGCACAAGACGCTTACTCAAATAGCAGTTGGTTCATAGGCATTAATCTGTTGGCAGGCAGTCGAAACGGAGCTAATCAGATGCATGTTCAAAGGATATTAACCAAGATGAAAGAGAACCAGGCTAATTATACTAAACAACAATGGTCGTCGATGTTAAAGGATTTAATAACAGTCTTGACGCCGGTCGGACTTCAAGCTCATGATTCTATAATTGTCGAACTTATCGCAATTGCGAGAGATTCGGATCAAGTGCAAAGCCAGTTGAGATTGTTCAATGGTGGCTTATTAAGCACTATACCTGTCAGCAAAGCCAGACATTTCGTATTTAGATTATTTGACTTGATCGGAAAGAAAGAGATCCATAAGCTAACTACTATTAAGCTAATAGCAAGTGGTATGATGGTTCATGCGCAGTCAGTGATGACAGTAAAAGAAGTCTGTGAGCATTTGACAAGTATAGCCGATCAGGTTGATCATCCCAGCATTCAAGGATTCATCGTAAATCAGTTGCTGAGAATGGTGAATAATGATCTTCCAATGAAAGTGATAGAGAACACGTTGCGATTAAACTTCAACACCATTATCAGCCAAATGGAACTCTCCACTGAAATGATCTCATTGATCCGTGATACGTCAGTCGACTTTTCAGACATTCATTTGAAAAATATCACAGACAATTTAGATCTAGATGCAGGCAACAAACCTTTCGTAGAAGCAGTGTTTATGAGGACGCCCGAAGATATCCCTAATGGCTTCCGTCTAAAGTGGTTTCATTCTTTAGAACGTTTCGCTAATCGCTACATGGTGCGATTGGGTGTACTTGCTATCGCTTTTGGAGACAGAGTAAAGCTGTCGCATGCAGTCGCATGCCGAAGCGTCCCAACGCTATTCAAAAACTTTGCTATTAGGTGGGAGAGTTTCTTCGATAAGGACTCAACACTGCTGGAGGTGATACTTCAAAGTTGCACGCGTCTTGTCTATGCACTTGATGAAGACTTAAAGTTGGGTTCTACTCAAAATGGAGCAATTATCGACAGCTTATTCAATTACTCAATTGATTTTGATCAGGAAGCTTTCAACTCATTCACTTGTCTTCATAGCTTAGATAGGAAGTCAGACAAATCTTCGAATACTTTTACCTGGCAAGTTTTAGGCATACTGGCGGCGCATATGAAGAAACTCGAGGTCTTGAGAGAACCTTTAAAGGCGCTAAAGCTAGCTCAATTTGTCCATGAGTGCCTTGATCATATGGCTGCGACGCTCATTGGTAGTTTGGAGGAAATTAAGTTCGTCATTGATACTTTAAGTCAAAGTAATGTTGGTGTTTTTTCTCAGCGTCTGTGTTTGCATTTATTAGTGAGTGACATATCAATATTTAATACTACTGACAGGAAGAAGGTATACAAATCTGTTTTGTTTAACCAAAAGCTGGATGGCGGTCTGTCAGAAGTTCAAGACCATTTTCAAGATGAATATGTCGAAATTTTAGCTGAATATTACGCAAAGGTCTTTGACGATTTAACTGCCATCAAAGTCACAAACCAAGCTGTTGAGGCTGGAGTTTCAGATAAATCCATTTACGCTTATCTGAAACCATATACAGGAAGCGCGCTTGTGAAAGCACATACAAAGGAATTATTGTCAAATGACAAGTACAGGTATGTTGCCTCTAGATTACTTCTTCACAGAGTGTAAGGGAAACACCAAACACTATAATCTTGTAGATTATTATCGTTGATTGTTTATTCCTCTTTTGAGACTCAACTGCGCTATACGTAACTGTGCAATCGCGAATACTACATATGTAGCACACACCGGGAACCTCAATACCTTTCAAGCCTCTTCAGATCAGAAGGGAGACGACGGCGACATTTTAATTTGACGATCGAAATATGAATTTATGACACAAGGTGATTCTACTGTTAGCTTAATGAATATCTTTTAATAGGTGTTAAACGAGGTTTTATCTATGTTGGAATCGGGTCTTCATTCATCAGAGCAGCAATAATCCAACAACTAGCTGGTTCGTATTTCTAAAATCATTATGTTCTTCACCCCTGCACTTTCGATCATTTCAACCCTCTTCACGCGGTTGTCACACAGTAGCATGCTCAATGATGTACTTGCCCTAGCATTAAAGTCCCTGCAGGTTAGAGCAATACAGATATCATTCTGTAGTGATTGAATTTCCGACTAAATTAAGAATAGTTCGATGGTGAATAGTGTTATTTAGCGCTCTGTTATATCCAGCTAATTGTGGAGTATCGCAGGAAGAGTAATTTGAGATTCAAAAATGTACCTTCGTACTATGATGCTCATTAAGAATTTAATGCAGCCTTAACCGCGTTCTCATTTCAATTATTAGAAATCTCGAAATTCACCTGGTGAAGCCAGTCGCGATTTCAGAGTTGGGCTGACCCTCAGTTTTCTTTGCATGAATTGTATTTCAAGAGGTTTGTTAAAAGCCTGAATGACACTACTTTTTCCTTGGAGCCAGCATTGAGTCGTTTGGACGCTAATTATTAGAAAACGTAAATTGAGTTTATAGAGCCAAATACTAGTGTTTTTTTCTGGGCTCTTATGGTCTCCATGATCCAAAGGAATTCATTTCCATCCATTAATCCCATCAAATTCTCCAATTCTATCTTATAGCGTGCATCAGAGCAACGTCGAATTCCAACTTCCAAGCAGCCTACAGGGCGCCGTTGGAGGCTCAGGGATAAATCTTTGGTGATATTTTGTAAAACACATTCAGAGCTGTTTACGAAGCTTTTTTATTTGGAGATCGTCAAAACTCATAAATCATCCATCTGAGATGAAGTAGGTGGTAGTCGGGAAATTCAACTCTGTGAATGTTCAGCGAAGGGTTGATGTTATGATATATTTGAGATGCTTTAGTGATTATGAAAATGATAATTTTGCTAAATCATTCAATTGTCAGTATACAATATCTCTGCGATCGTCTTCTCACTTATTTGATCATTTGCAGTGTGTGCCTTGAGCAGATTTAAATCAATTGATTCCTTTGTAATGTTGAAATCGTCTCAAGGTATTAACAGAACTATTTAAAACGCCCTTTCATCCATAAACACATTTCGATGTCATCAGATATGTAGATAAAAATCCTAGATTGAGCGTTTTTGGGGTGCAAAGAGAGAAATAAATCCAATAATACATCTAAGCAATCGTTAATGTACTGAATATGCATATTAATATTCTCTATACATCCCTTACACAGTAATTTTATGACTAAGAGGCATCATCGAAGACAAAGATTGACCAAAGGAATCGATGAAATTTCAAGCACAAGAAGAACAAGAAGCAGCAGAAGCCCGGACAGATAGACAAGACGACTGGGATATTAACCACTTGGTCAAATAGACAACAATTCATTTTACTAAAAATACACGCTCTATGTCAGCTCTGTCAATTAATCAAGTGACTACTGGGCAATTTTAAAGCCACCTTCAACAGCTCCACCCTTGTATGCTCCGATTGAGGTGACTCTCTAGCTTCATTCCGCTGTGCTTGTTGTTTCTTAGCGGTACTAGATCTGCTAGCTCTTTTTGATCGTTTGTTTGTGACTGGTTTGGGTATACTGGGTGCGACGACTTTAAAAACTGACGATGTAGCAGGTCTATTACTGCCATCATCACTGTAGTTGTCATCGACGTCCATCTTAATCTCCTCCGGTTGAGCTTTGACGTCGACATTGTTCCGTGCCTGAGTATCCATGTTCACTTTTTCTGCCATTTCCTTCAATGAAGCCAACACACCGGCTGGATCATCTTCTGGCCTCTGGTGAATTTCTTCATGGGGTAATTTGGACAATTCTCTAATACTTTCATTGAACAACAGTGTGTGGCTGTGGACCTTCGATTGAGTCGACCGTAGGTATGACTTGTACGCTAAATCTCTAATCTCCTTTCGTCTAACGTCGTTGTAATACTCGAATGACTGCTTTACACTACCGTCCACACACCCACTCTTTATCTTCTTGTACACATCCTCAAACATTGCGAATTGATCTGACACTCTATATATGTACTTTTCTCTGAAGTATTTGTAGAGGCGCTGAGCACGTTCATCGTCTGGCTGTATACCAGAGTCTATTAATGACTCTTTGATAAACCTCGATATGCTCCGCAAAAACGCCTTGCCTTGCGTACCGCCAAAAAAGACATCATCGATGTACGCCTCGCCGTTCTTTATCTGATCGTGCAGGTAATTCCTGTAAAAGACCTCCCATCCCCCGTTCCCGGGAACTGGTTTGACTGGGCCATACTTTTCCTTGAGATACTCATATATCTCCGCCGACCTCTCATCATTCATCCGCTTGGACATTACATGTATCATGGCATCCCCTTCAACATGATAAGCTGCCTTGATCAAGTTGTCATTGTTGGCGCTCAATAAGAGTGGAACGTTCTGAAACGATCCGTAGTCAAGTACTGTGGCCTGTCGTGGTTCATCTTTATCTACCTGTGGTTCAGGTGCTGGTTGTGGTTGCGGTGTTTGAGATTGTGGGGTAGATTGTTGAGGAGTTTGTGATCGCTGATGAGGTTGAGGTGTTTGGAAATGCTGTGATTGATACTGCTGCTGATGTTGATGCTGATGGTGTTGTTGTTTCGGCTGGACATGGGTTGCATACTTGAAATAGAATCCTCTTTTCGGCGGAAGATACACCGGTCTGAAATTACTTTCCGTAGGCGGCGTACACACCGGCTGGAGGAACGGAGTATTGAATCTCCATCTGGATGGAATCAGAGACCAAGGATCATCAACTGGCAATGTGTAAATCATCAGTCAAAACAATGAGATTGAACCCACACTCATCAGCTTTGATAGAACCATCAGCATTCTTTTGATATGGATCTTTCTCAAGTTGCTCCTGCTCCTTTTTCGTCAGCCGTTTTTTCTGAATCCTGGACTTCTTGGCGTAGATGGAAGGTGTGTTGAGAGGAACAAAAGGATTGGGTTCTGAGTAGAGCCTCAGGTTGTCTAAAAACTGTGATGGGTTAAAAACGTCCAATTGATAAGATGGTTTGGGCTGTTGGGCATCGTCGACTTGGTGAACCAATGGAGAAGGCTCTGTGGGTTTGACGTCTTCATCCTCAGATTCTTCCTCATCCTCTGAATAGATACCCCAAGCTATTGGCAGGGATTGATGTACAACGGGTTTATCGTTGACAATTACGTAATTTGAGCTTTCTTGTTGCAACAGAGAAAGAAAGAAGGATTCAAACTCGATGGCCTTTGAGTGGAAGTAATTGTCAGGGGGATTGTACATCTTTGCGTTATTCGATATTAGCAGTAAATCCGCTTTGAGAGCATCCAAGTCCTTATAACAAGACTTGGATTTAACGGTGGAGAGATCCATCGGGAATTTGATGAGCTTGGTGTAGTCTCTGAGTAATTTTGTATTTACTGGCTTGTGGAAGATACCCTCGCTGTCAAATTCCCATAAAGAGTGTACGATATCGCTGATGGATTGCGTGAGCGACTTGGACTGCTTCTCTGGGAGCTGGGCTTCTTGCGGCTGCTCGAGCTTATCATCGAATTTAGTGAAATCCTTATCGTCCAAGATGAGATCATTGTTTATTAGATCAGTGTCGAAAATATCGTCGTAGTCCATCTTGTGTACGCCGATGATGGAGGTCAGCCTTAGAGATCTAAAATTATTATTATTAGGCGGTGTATCTGCGAGCGCTATTATTTGGCTTTCTAGATGTTTATTCGTGACCCAGCCCAAAAAATCTGTAACTAGCAGCTCTTTAGCTTCATCGTCGACACACACACCTGCGGAGCACAGTGAGGACCTGATAAGAGAGCAGCTATCGAGGAATTATGCGTTTTTAGGCGACGACTCAATGTCTAAGATACGCGGCTCGTTCGTCGTGATCATTGGTTTGGGCGGCGTCGGATCCTGGGCCACGACGATGCTGGTACGCTCTGGAGTGTCTAAAGTTAGGCTGGTAGACTTTGATCAAGTCACTTTATCCTCTCTCAACAGACACGCAACAGCTCAATTAAAAGACGTTGGGAAATCTAAAGTGGATGGTGTGAAACAATACCTCAGCTCAGTGGCACCTTGGTGCCAAATAGAAGCCCAAAATGAGCTCTGGAATGAAGGCGTAGATGGGGATAGACTGCTGTCAGGTAGTCCTGATTATGTTATCGACGCAATCGATCACATACCGACCAAAGTCGCTTTATTGAAGAGGTGTAAGCAACTCAACCTCAATGTTCTGTCTTGTGCAGGCGCGGGTGCTAAACAAGATCCCTCACGTGTCCAGATTGCTGACATGTCCAACACATTCGAAGACCCTCTCGCAAGAACGATCAGACGCAAGTTGAGATCTGATGGCGTTGGTATACCGTGGGTGTAACATTTCTTAGGAGTGTAAATCAATAACAGAACTTCAGTGTTGTCTATTCAACTGAGAAGCCAGGTGATGTCAAACTTCTTCCACTCCCTGAGGAAGAATTTGCCAAAGGCAAGGTGCAGGAGTTGTCTGCCTTTGATGATTTTAGAGTGAGACTTCTTCCTGTGTTGGGTGGGTTGCAACCATGTTCTTTGTTGCACCGCTGACACTCAAATCAGGCCCCCTTCCTGCAATGTTCGGTTTGGCTGCGTCGACTCATATCCTATTATCGTTGGCAGGTAAAGAGGACTACGCGCCATTGCCTGTGAAGAACAGACCGAAGCTATACGAGAAGGTTTTTAGAGACTTCCACAAGAAGGAAGGAAAGCCTACTGTGTACGGCTCAAATGAGTGAGAATACTATCTTCAATAAACCAACCATACTGATGGACACGCAGACCAATATGCATCGACGTAAATCAAGTTGGCTACATCCTGGACGAGATCTACAATGCCAAGAGCGCTCTTCCACCACACAACACCCTGTCTAGACCAGCTTTAGTTAGATGGGACACGTCCAAGCCACTCTCTATCACCAACTTGGCTGCTATGGAATACAAAGATGCTCAGCATCATTACGGATCACTATTGAGTCAATGCGAAGGGTCTGGTCTACTAGTTTGGGGTCAGGAAGCGCAAGATTACTTCACTAGAAAGTCGAAGGAAGTTGAAAAGGATCTCAAAGCATTAGAGTAGTCATATGTAGCTTATTCATATAGAATACAAGGAATACCTCCATCTAAACTTTCAGTTAAGCCAGTTTACATCAGAGCATTACAAACGACAAATTCTGGTATGAAGTACAGCGAGCAGCCAACCAAACCTCCGCAAAACGCAAAAGGAATGACGGCCAACAAGCAACTAATGTCCAAAATGCCATTTGCAGCTATATCTGAGAATGGATAATAACTTTGGTGTCATCGTCTTGTTTAGAGGGAGGTATGACATTTCCAAAACAAAAGACAATAACTCAAACAAGGTACTGGCTTTAGTTAATGACTGTATAGATTGTTAGATGGTTGTATATCCAAGTAGAAGTGCGAATAGCGTAAACGTTGTCAGCGTTAGAAAGTGTCTTTTGGTAAATAGTTATCTTCAGCGAGTTTACAGAAGCAGAACTGTTATTTACTTGATCATCATCGAATACGCCCATTCGCACCTCAACAGCAATTTACTTACAAATTGGCTTTCCCAATTATTGAGTTCATTCAAATCTGCATGGCCAGGTCAGCGACTTCAAAATGCGTTAAGTCCGCAGTATGTTCAGTTGGTGGTGCATATGCGTTGGTACATTTATTCTTTCACCCGCGATTAGCAGCCCGTAATGGGTGGGCGTTTCATCATCGATCTTTACTGAGGACTTGAGAGCACTCACCCAATGTATACAAACGGCCAGGATGGATATATCATTCATAGCCTCATTTGACTCTGAAAGATTTATCCGCTCCTCACCGTAGCGAATAAAAGATTGCTCGAGCGAACAGCAAAATTTATAGGCGCAAAAAAAATCAGATTATATAAAGTCACACGCGTTTTAAGTACTGTTTGTAATCTAGCATCTGAGTATGCTTCTCTGAATCTCACATGTAACATTTCACTCACTTTGCGCGTCAATTATCGTGTTTGCTATCATCTTACAAAACTCAGTGCTTATGATTGTGCTTGTGTCCATTTCCATGGCTATGTGCATATCCGTCTTCTCCAGCCTCGTCTTCCTCCTCATCTCCGGGGAAGTTCCAGTCTTCAAAGCCGTCCTCGAACATCTCTTGAAGCTTGACCCACTTATCGTCTTGGTATTCCATCTTCATGATTTCATTGTATTCCTTCATTTCTTCGTCATTCAGCAAACACTCGTCGAATGCCTCCTCTATTGCTCTAAAATTTTCTTTCCTTCCAATCATTACTAGCTCTTGCCTTTTGTCGCCGTGTTGGCCTTCGAAGTCGGCTTTTATTGCTGTCAGTGCTAAGCCATCAACGTCCCAATCCTCTACTGGGGTCGACACATACCACGGATTGCCACCGCCAATAGTCAGCATGACACCTGCTTGACTCAGCTCACCCATCTGCTCTCTAGCTGGAAGCCAAATGAAGCCCTTTGAACGGAATAATCCGGCAAATATTGACGATTGCTTGTCTCGAAGTCTTGCTGCTGGATCTAATTGTGGTTGAATGTCTGTGTTTACTTCTTCTTCATAATCATCATCGCTTTCTTCATTGTCTTCGTCGTCTGCTTCACTTTTATCTTGATCTTCATCTTCTTCTCCCCCCTCATCCTTCCCCTCCTGGTCTTCTTCCATAGCATCTTGTATAATTACCCAGTATTTGCTGATGAGCTGCCACAATCTCAGTGGGTGGAATGGTCTGCGCCTTCTGTAGACAAAGTGGCTGATACCATATTCCTCAGTCTCACTGGAGTTCAGGTAAGACATTTCACGAGGAATTGAAAGTCACACTTACGGTTTTGGAGCCAACTTGGTCTTTCCATCAGCTTGTTTCACCTCTATAGGCAGCATCTCGCGCAGCGATTGCAACCAACCAGCCGACGTGACACATGTCTCATACTGAGAAGCAGATTAATAGCAATCCTATAGGGCACAGTGAACCCACATCAAACTTGTTGGTATTCAGCACCTTCTTCAAATCAACTTTTGAGTATGAGCATTCAGAAATCTCAGCCTTAGGATTCAGGGATTTGATTAGTGCTTTGATCTGGTTCAAGTGATCTTGAGACACAAGTTCGACCTTATTCACAACAATATGTGTTGAGAATTCGAGCTGATCGACAAGTAAATCGGTTATGTTTCTCTCGTCGCTCTCATCCACTTCTCCACCTTCTCCCATCTCTTGAGGCCTGTCGGAAACAAAGTCAACTGTATTGAAGTCATTCATGAAGTTTGCGGCGTCTACTAGCGTAATAAGACTGTCTAAACGTGCTTTAGAGATGATGCCCCCTTCTGCCAGCAACTTGGCCATCTTAGACTGAGTTTCTTTGTCTTTGGTTGACGACTCAGCGAGAGATTCCTCAATCTTTACAGACTCCTCAAGAAACTCGAAGCTAAACGCTTCTGCTACCTGCATTGGTTCGGAGATACCAGTCGACTGTGAGACCATGTCAGCAAATTTACTGTCCAAATGGGCCTTCACACCTCAATCACGAGATAGTCGTAGTTCTTCTCTTCAGTAAGTAGTGCAACCTGCTCTACGAGATCTTCGCGGAGTGTGCAGCAAATGCTGAATGGATTGTTAGTAAAAGGTGAAAGTTTTCAAGTGTGGCATTGACATGAAGAGGGCAACGCACGCTCGGTATTGCCAGCCAAATGCAGTGCAAATTTCACTTACCATCCGTTCTGCATCTGTACCATCTTTTCACCAGCCTTAGTGAGCTTGTGATTCTCGACGTGCATTCCATCGATATTCAGACTGGCCATATCGTTGAGGATGCTGATCGCGCTTAGTTGACATTCTATCTGTCAGTGCGTCACTCACACAGCGCAACGGAGCCCATGGTCTTTGGAAGTGAGGATGTGTTTAAGCAATGTTGTCTTTCCACTTCCCAAGAAACCAGAGAGCAGCGTGACGGGTAGCCTGTCATCGTGAACCTTGTCTAGATTAAGGTTTTGGTCAACGCGTTGCTTCTTTGTGACTGTCTCTACTGTTGACATGGTGTCTGAACTTTGCGAAAGGTGCTTGTTGGTAAGGCAAGAAGGCGAAGACGGAACGTTATCAATCAACAACTGCTACAGTCCACCTCAAATTCCTAAAATATTATTTGCCGACTGCTCAAGTACACAAGTGGGCGACGCCACGATTTGAGGACCGCCCTGGTCTTGCTTTTGAAGATATATGAATGAGCTATGGAAGCTGAACGGTTGATTCAAAACACGCTATTGCATTGCTTCAAATTAGTCATACGAGCAATCTTATTGGCTCGCTCACCCACCTTAGCGAAGATCTACTAATCCCCTCACGTCATGTCTTGTCTGCGAGGGTACACACACGATGCACCGCAAAGCTGCCTCACTTCAATTCCAAAAAGGAATAGCGCAATTAAGTTATACATTTCCAATTACTTTACATTACATTAAACCGTTCTCCTATGTGCGCACATAGAGATAGTACAAAATTTTCATCTACAATTTATGCCAATAGCTTATCTCTTGCAGCGACTTGTATATCGCTAAAAGGCGAGTCCTGCTTGAGACCGACCTGCTGACGGTTGCCCAAGACAAGCATCTCGAAGAAGAAGGCAGAGGCAGCTCTCTTGTTTGCCTTGTCCGAGACCTCTTTGAAGCTGACAAAGTTATCAGGTCGAGTGTCGGAAAGTCTGGCTTTCAAAAATTCTCTAGCCTTCACGGTAGTTCTTGAGTAGCCGTCCTTTGTGAGATGCTTCGTGTCCTGCTTCGTCTGCTTCCGCCCGAACATAGCGATCGGGGCCTCACCTTCCTTTGCCTCGTACTGGGAGGCTGACGGAGTGTCGAGGCTCGGCGTAGACATTCTAGATGGAGCTTTACCATGACTATCACCGCTGACAGAGCCTGTACGAGAACTCTGCCAGTCTTGGTTGGCGAGAGGCTGGTTGACGTCATCTTGATCAAACAAACCTTGTCCCTCTTCGAGCTGGAAAGTGTCCTCGTTTGGGTTGCCTTCCCAACCACTGGTATCGCCTGGACCTACATCCAAACCAGACAGATTCCATCCATCTTCGTCTAAGCCTTGGGGTGGTATAGACTCGTGTCTACCAACTTCAGCGTCTTCTCTCATCCGCTTGCTTGGACCGTCCTCATCGTCATCCCTTTGTCTCCTCAAGCAGCCAACAGGAACATCATAGAGGGAGTTGAGAGATTCGTTGAGTATGTTTGGTGGTGCTACCCTCAAAAATTGCTTGCCTTGGCTTGCATTGACGTTGATAAAGTGACTGAGGGGATCTTGAAGTATGTCGAGACGCTCCTGATAGTAGCGGGTCGGCTGCAAATAAGACTCCTAACAATTTAGTTAGCAATGAGTGGAATGTAAGACGCAGTACGAACATCCTGTAAAGTCTTTGCAATATCTTCGTCTGCTCTCTGCTGGTTTTGAGAAGCACCTCTGCGACTCAACTCAATGCGTGAGTCGACAATATGTCTCTTTCGACCGGTGCCTCTCTTGGCCTGTCTCTGAGCCTGCTGTTCGACGGCGTCGAGCGTTGATTCATCCATGTTGAGCTGTGACTCGCCTGGCGGAGGACTTGAGAGTGGTGAGGCTGCTACAAGTCAGCAGACCATGGAATTAGCTTAGGTAGACTCACATGCGCGTTCGTCTAGCGAGACAGCAGGTGCTAGAGGGTCATCCAAGTTGAAACCAAGATCCAAACCACCTTCGAATCCACCACCTAGGTCCATGTCTCTGGCACCGTCACCGGCAGGAGAGACATGATCCATGCCGAAATCACCAAACCCATCACCTACATCATCAATAGGCATACCCCAGTCATCTACTGCACCTGCTGTGCCACCGCTTTGCCTCCCTTTATCGGCTCTGCCTTGCTCATTGAATTCTGAGCCGAGGATGGACAGCCTGTCAGAACGAGATACACTGCCTTCACGTCTACCAGCTTCGACTGAGAGATCGTCTCCAAATTCAGCAGTACTGATACCGGATACAGACGTATTCATATCATTAATGCTGAAAAACGGATCAAGCGCCATTGAGATAGGTTGATGGAACTGTTCAAAGTCAATAGCGCCGTCCTCAATAGTAGGGCCTTCTTCGAGAGTGATTGCGTTCTGCGGAGCGAGCAATTGTTGATCGGAAAGATCAATCGCGCCAGGACCGGGGAGGAAGGCTCTACGAAGGCTGCTAAGGGTGTCGTTGACGTCTTCGAGGAGATATTTAGATTTACGCGAATGAATACGCGTAACGCCGAGGAGGAGCTGTCCGGACATTCTAAGAGCCATTGGCTCGACTGCCTGTGGGTTGAGGATGACATCTGCGCGTAAGTGTGTTAAAATGTGTGCATTGAGAAACGCGTCTCCTCACCAACAGACTCCCCAATGTCTGTATTTATTGCCTCCTTCTTCGACAGCTTCTTCTCGATATGTGCGGCAATCCAGATACGAGCAAGAGGGCCTCTCTTTGAGAGGATAATATCCGAGTAGAACTACGTGCTTGTTAGCGGTAAATATCCATCTTGCGTTGCCCGCTTACCATATTTCACGTCAACGCGATGATGGTCGGGGGTTGAAGACGCGATGGCGCGTGTGGAAGAATGACAAGATCAAAATCACGAAATAATCACTTCGCCTACCCCTGATCACGCGTACACGCACAACTCCCATTCAAATTCCTCACCTTCCAACTCTCATCAGCGTACATGTCCTCAGTCGTACAGAGCGATACTAAAGGCGTAAGAATAAGGCTTCGTGGTTTGTTATGACGCACTCAACCAAACACAGTCTCCTTCTGCCTTTTTGAAGGCGATCGTTGGGAAGAATGTCATCGTCAAGCTCAATTCCGGGCTCTTGTACACCGGAGTCTTGCAGTGCTTGGATGGATACATGAACCTGGTAATCACTGATGCCAAGGAGGACACTGGCATCGCTGGAATCCCCACCACCAACACATACGGCGAAGCATTCATAAGGTGAGTTTCGAATTTTGTAGCAGTCTCAGCGCCTAACAGTGGCTGACAGAGGCAACAATGGTGAGTGCGTGTCTAAACCCTGACCACCTCTCTAACCACCCAAAAACAGTACTATACATATCGGCAGCAGAAGCCTTGTAATTTACTATACACAACTAGCTCAATCAACGCTTGGGACCGGTTTGCGGCGCACTTTGGAAGGCTGTGATACTCGAGATTCGCTGTCGCTGTTCAGATTCTCGTATATCGCCGAATATGGTGGCGGAGAGGTGGACGAATTGAACGACGTCGTATTGCTGCGCGGATGGTACACTGGAGGCATACCAGTAATATTCGTATCAGAACGCTGCATTATTGGCCTCATTTCGAGATCCCTGTTAGCCTTCCTCTCGTGACGGGCATGGCGACGATTGAGCACCACCGTCCCAATCACTATAAGCACAGCGATCGCTGCCAAACCACCAAATATGCCACCCGCAATTGCAGCTTTACCATTATACCCATGTCTATGATTTCCGCTTCTGCAGCGTGAGTATTCGAATTGGTTCGAGTAGACATCTGGTTCGTCATTTTGAGCGAATTTGTAGACAAAATACTTGCCATTAAGGTTTACAGTGGTTGATTGAGAAGGATTCCAATCGTAATGTTTCGTGTCTGCCGCGATTTGAGTAGCTACACGCGAATACCAACTGATATCAGAACCGTCGCCTGCTTCGTAGAGATCTATAGACTGATTACTTTCAGTACCACTCTAGCACCTCTCACAACACTCACAAGCTCTGATCCAGATTCCCCGCCCCTCCAGTCAACGGATATCGGTGTACATGCGCTGACGCTTTCGAATCTGTTGAGCTCCACCGCTCCAAAAACACCAAAAGTAACTGCTAGCAGAGCAGTAAAGTGCGCAACAATCATTGATCGAGATCAACACGTCTATTCTCGACCTTAATCTCCCAGGCTATCAGGCTATCACGTCGAACAAGATTCATGGCTGAATCACAGCGCAGTCAAATAAACACTCACGTTGGTAATAAAATAAATTTCATTCAAATTGAGTTTAGTATTATTCAAAATCCGACAATATCTCAGATTCCAAAGCTTTCTTACCAACATCAGTGAGGATTGGTTTACCTTCAGGTGTGTCTAGTTGGAAATAGCATGACTGGTATTGTTCATTGGTGCGCTTGCGCTCGTTAGCTAAATCTCTCTGATGTTGTTCTATTCCCTGTTTTGATTTCGTAGCCTGATTATAATCCTTCTCCAAGATGGCCTTTGTTACAGGCTCCCAAACCTTCCTAGACTCAAGATCATCTTGCTGATCGAGACTTCTGACATACTTTGGTGTTAAATCGAGGTTCTCGAGGTTGATCAGCAGCTTTTCTTCATCTTCACCTGCCTTCTTGAACTTGATCTGAGTACGCCAAGTGCCATCGACAGAAGCAAGGACCTGATCTTTTGGAACCTGCTTCACCTTGTTCCATGTCTTTGATTCCTCTGTCGACACTTTGTAAATAACACCTTCGACCAAAAATTTGGGTTTGCCAATCCAAGATTCCTCCTTGTAGTCTATAATCATTCTGAGAGATTCATCTCCGACATTTGGACCGCTAACTTCTATAATACTTGAGTCACAAATCACAGCATATATGCTCGATAGACCCCTTAATATACCTGAAACAAGAGCAGTTGGGTGCGTGATATGGTATTCTTCTTCGCGGTCTTTAAGATTGACAAAGATACCATTGTTGCGTTCGCCAGGCTGAACTTTAATCGAAGTGCCCGATATCTTTGCACTAACCTGATCCACACCGCACACTTCAGTCTGGCAATCAGGCGCTGAGTACCAGTAAGCAGAAACGGGTGGATGGTGGGATATCTGTTCTGTAAGGAAGCTGATCTTGCCCTTTGAGCGGCGATTATTGAGTGCAGCGACGTTTCTCAAATCTCTTGAAACGGCGTGAGCATTCTTTGAGTCCTGTGCAGCAACACCTGGACCTTGAGGAGCAGGAGTAGTTGTACCAGACGTGCCAGTCGAAGGATTATCATACTGATCAACTAAATCAGATGAAGGTAAAAATTCACCCTTGTCATTGTGATCAGGGACGGTGGCTGGCCAAGAACAACGGAAATGCTCGCCCATGACTGAGTTGTATGGTTTAACGACACCACCACGCTGTTGGTGATGAGTATGCCATGACGCTAGCGGTAGCAGCCAAACGACTCACAACAAAACGGAGGTCTTTAGCAAAACAGAATCTAGCAGCTGCTAGCATTCTATCTAAAGGGTCGTCGTGCTGATTTATACTGGAATAAATGTTATTGGAGCTGTAGTGGACTCAGGGGAATCAAGACTCACTCGACCAGAGTATCTGCGCGGCCTGGAGTGGGTGAGAGAGTGTATGAATAAGTACGATGTACTAACCGATATAATTCCAGTACTCTAAGTTACCTATTTGCTGTTAAGTTGATCAAATCATTGTGCCATGACGCACCTGCCGGGTAAAGCAAGCTAGCGGGGAGAGAGAGACGACTAGAGCGAGTTAAATGGGGATTAAAGCCATCCAAGGAATACTCACATATTCGCAATGTCTTTAACTGACATACCTGCTGTGCATCAGCCAACGCCGCCAGAGCTCATATGACACACACATTTCTTGAGTATATTCGTCAGTGTCTTGAGCTTGCCTTCATCGCCGCCTTCTGCGACGTTTTCAGTGTCTTGTGAGATTTGTGGGTTTTGTGGGTTTGTTGCGCTCGTTTGATCTACAGCTTCAGCTGACATTGGACGTATCAGTTTGAGGAGTTTATCGAATTTAATTTCAGATATAATTGAAATATATCTTCAAATATTAATCAAAAATGTACATTTCATGTATTTAATTGTATTTCGGCTGTTCAATATCCCATTTACGTGTAACATCATCCATACCGTCATCGTCATCGCTCTCTTCTCGCTCCGGTAGTGAGTTCAAGGCTTGAGTTTCATGATTTGGTAATTCATATTGGTCATAGTCTGATTGTACGCGGTAAGGCGCATCTAACATCGTTCCTCCTGCCCCTGCTGATGATATTCTCCCTGATATCGAATGGCGTGGGTCTGCTCCGCGTACATTTTCTTCATTTACTAGCGCAGCCTCATCCATTTGACGTGACTTGTTAAGTAAATAAACACCTGCAAATATTGTCAAAAATCCTGCAACGATTGAAACGATATCTCTCGTTGGAGTTTCGTAGAATCCTTGGAATAAAATGAAGGAAGCGAGAATTGTTGCAGTTGAAAACATAACGTAGTAAATAGGGTTCACGACGTTGGTTGAGAAAGTGTCAAGTGCCTTATTAAAGTAGTTCATTTGAACTAATATGCAGAGAACAACGACTAAACCAAAGAGATAAGTGCTAGCGTGAGTTAGCTGGTTATTCCCTGCCAATGTCAACTTCAAAGCAACGCCGAAACCTTTAATTGACATGACTGATATTGATCCGACCATTGAGCATATTGAAATATAAACCAGCGGCGACTTTTTTCCGTATTTCGGCACGACTTTGAAGATCATGATGACGGAAAATACGGCAACGATAACAGAGTAAATGATGAATGGCAACTGAATCGCGTAGTTGAGAATGTCATCGACTGTCTCAACTTGTTTTTCCTCTGGGGCGTGGAGGATGATGACGAGACTTCCAACGACACAGAGACCGCAACCAACTCTACCAATAGGGCCCAGCCTTTCATGGAGGAGAAACGAAGCCAAGATAGCACCGAATATGACAGACAAGGCACCCAAAGGAGTGACCAGCACTGGAGGAGCGAAGGTGTACGCAGCGAAGTTTGCGATTTCACCGATGACCACTGGGAAGAGTGAGTGGACGACTATAGGCTACTAGGAACACACTGGTTATGATCCCCGCCCACCAAATAGGGTTCTTGAGGTATAGAAGCTTATCGGATGCAGAAACGTGGCTATTAGATTTGTTGTTGCTGTCTTGTAGACCTTTCTTGGTTATAATAAAACTCAAGCCAACTGCGGGTGTAGAATGTGAGCTGTGAGCTGGGTTGATAGCACAACTTACTTGCAACGCTTGAGGAAATGGCTAGCAGTAATCCTAAGCGACGATTAAATATAAATTATAAAATAAGCCCAAAAAACACACCAATCCACCTTTCTTCCATTTTTATCTCTCTTGGTGGTCGACGTCGTGGAAGAGGATGATCTTGACGCATTTCAATCAACTTCTGCCGACATCTGGCGTTGAATTCGCCTGTCATTTAAAATTCACTTCCAGTGATACGCACAACATCATCACCACCGCGAACAACACGCTTAAGATCTATGAGATCAGCATCGAGCACCACCAGCATCTCAATCAGCACAATATTCCATTCTCTCTCGTGCGTTATTTGGCTTTATATGATTCACCCGCTTATTCTGCCTCAGCCATCTGCAAAGCTTCTACTGCGCCGTGAATACCACCTCCACGGCGAAATTGTCGGTGTACAATCAATTAGAATTCTAGCGAGTATCGAGGATGGCAAGGATAGGCTGCTTTTGTCTTTTAGAGATGCAAAAGTGCGTTCTTCTCCCCGTGTCGTTGGCCATTTCTCACAAAAATCCAGATAGCGCTGCTAGAATGGTCAAACGATATAAATGATATTGTGACTGTTTCTATTCATACGTATGAAAGGTCCAGTCAGGTCGTGCGTTGAGCTTGTCGCAATTCCACTCACTCTCCCTAACAAATCACCCAGCTATCACAAGACATGACGCGCTTCAAGTCAAATTTACAATCTGATCCCGATAATAGATGCTCTGCTTTGCTTCTCCCAGATGATTCCCTCGCCTTACTCTCAGTCCATGGCACTCAAGCTGACCTCGACGACCTCGATGACGATGTTTCCAAGTTTGTTGCTCTTTACGCGCATTTACATCTCTAATTCACCTTTAGAGCCATCAAAGATGTCCCTTACGCGCCTTCTTTCATCCTCCCTCTCAAATCTATTGACCAAGACATGTGCAACGTCATTGATTACTGCTTCTTGCCGGGTTTTCATAATCCAACACTAGCCATCCTCTGTCAGCCCCGACAGACTTGGACTGGTAGACTTTCCGATTCTCAAGACACCTGCCAGCTGTTCTTCCTCACTCTCGACATTGTTACTCAAGTATACCCCATCATCGCAACCGTCGACAATCTCCCGTATGACTGCATATCTCTAACCGCAGCTCCAAAGGAAGTTGGTGGTGTTGCCATTCTATCAGCCAATGCCATCATACACGTCGATCAGAATGGCCGGCCTGTCGGAAGAGCAACGAATGGCTGGTCAACCATAACTTCTTCGAGGACACACGATCCTCCACCTAAAGATCTCTTCGTGCGATTGGAAGGTGCTTCAATTGGATTTTTAAAACTCAATCCGAGACAAAATCACCCACAAGCTTTACTTTTTCTTCCAAATGGCGACATACACGCAGTGCAATTTTATAGAGAAGGTAGAACAATTTCAAGAGTCGATATAAGCAAGCCATTCGCAAGAGGTAGTATCCCATCGGGTGCTTACAGACTTGATATTGATGGAGAGGGTTTAGGTGGTGGGCAGTTCATGTTTGTTCCTTCGATGGTCGGCGTCAGCTTTCTGCTCCGCATCGGTGACTCCCTTGATAGTCTCGAGCTTTTCCCTAAACCAGATAAGCTCGCTAATACAGCTTACGACGATATGGATGTCGATATCGACGAAGACTTATATGGATCATCAGAAACCAAGAACAATTTGAAAGAGGATGGAGACAGCGCAAGCCATGAGCCACCATTCACCATCTCCGACTACATTCAATCGCATGGCCCCGTCCAAGATATAACGATGGGGAGATATACAAAGACACCAAATTCACCGCTTCAGATTCTGGCTGCTACGGGTGCCGGCCACGTCGGTGGCATTACTGCTTTCCATCAGGAGATACCGTTCGAGAGCAAGAAGAAGCTTGATATTAGTTGCAATGTCGGACTATGGACGTTCGCATTGAGTAGTCTTGGTATGGTTATTGTGGCCTCAGACACGCAATCGAAGACAAAGGTGAGATCTTCTTTACTATCGGTGCTTCATTAACATGATCTAAGTTATTCAAACTGTTGCCGTCGAATGAGATAGAGTTGGTAGCAGAGAACGACGAGGTCACTGTCTCGGCTGGCTTGATAGCCAATAAGTCTCGTATCTTGATCGTAGGAAAGTCCAGTATAAAGGTTTTCCAAGAAGGCAAGTTTTTGGTTTCTCTGTGCAACCGTTGACTGATTTTTTGTTCCAGACAGCTCATTTGAAATTTGCCTGCAAGTGGACGGCGAAGCGATAGAGCGGGCGATAGTCGATGATCGTTATGTATTGACATTTCTGGAAGATGATCGCAAAATCCTATTCAATGTCGATGGTATCAAACTGAACAAAGTCGCGGACTTGAAAGATGACGTGAGTGATAGCAAGATCAAGGCTGTTTGTCTTACCAGCCGACTACAGCTTAGAATTTTATCTATTTACAAGGACGTCCGTGGAGTATTTGGACAAATTGAATCTTGTTGTCTTTGTACAGTCACCAAGTCTGGCTCTTTGGATATCTTGATGCTTCCATCTCTAGAATCCGTGTTCTCCTCAAAGCATCTCGCGTATATACCCTCATCAATGTTCAACACTGCTGGAACTGAGGAAGCTATGGCGGACAAAGATGCCAGCGACGGTGACGGTGTTCTTGAAGCTTGTTTGGTGAATCTCGGCCGAAGGTTCAAGAGAACAAATCTTATTGTGGGTGTTTCTTATACGTTAGCATTTCAGTTTCAAAGTTAACATTTTATAGGTTCTCCACGAATCTGGACATCTTGTCTTGTACGACACGTTTAACTCTCCAACCGGATTGGCTTTTTCCAAAGTCACATCAACCGTCATACAGATATCAGCAACGGTTCATTCAAAAATCATTCCGTGTAACGAAAGCGGAGCTGTGGTGACCGGTCGTTCGCCTGTCATGATCAGCTGCGAAGATACATCACCACCGCGCATACACCGTTTCAGTCAAAAGTACATGCAACAAGCAGCTCCATTCACCGATGGAATAATCTACCTTGCAAATGATGTAGTTACCTTGGCAAGAATAGGTGATGATGTAGAGTATAGTGAGAGTCTGCCACTCAGACGTCTAGCAAGTGGAAGACACTTTGACAAAATAGCCTTCGATCCTACTTCCCAAATGTACGCCGCTACATCAACAGCCAGCGTACCGTTCAGGTTGTTCGATAATGCGGGCAACTATCTCTGGAAACCGCCAAGTGAGTCGTCGTCCATCTCTGATTAACCGCAATATTTACAAGGCGAACAGTGGAGAATCTCTCTCCCGCCACATCATATCGCTCATCGATCGAGCTCTTATCACACGATTGTCGGTCATCTTTATTCGGCTACGAGTTTGAGCAGAATGAATTCGTTATTTGCTGCGACACAGTGTCATTGCTCTCACCCTCAGCCAACGGAACCTATAAAGACTTTATAGGAGTTGGAACGTGTATAAACAAGGGTGAAGATGTGGCTGTTAAGGGAGCCATCTACCTTTTCGAAATAGTAGAATTGGTGCCAAGCTCAAAGGATGTTGGAAACAATTACAAATTGAGATTGCTTATGAGAGAGGAGACGCGAGGAGCTGTCAGTGCAATCACAAGCTGCTCTGGTTATTTTGTTGTTGCTGTCGGTCAGAAGGTGCTAATAAGAGCTTTAGAGATTAACGAGAGGCTTGTGAGCGTAGCGTTCTATGACGCGGGTACATATATTGTTTCGCTTGAAGTTCTCAAGAATTTTATATTGGTGGGAGATCAAGTCAAATCGATTACATTTCTGGCATTTCAAGTGGGTGTTATTGGGTAGCGAAAGAGTGGGTATGATGACTAACACACAACAGGAATCGCCATACAAACTAGTTCAACTATCACGAGATGCGCGACAGATAGAGACATGCGTGTCCAATTTCCTTGCATATGAGGATCAGATAACGTTTGTCAGTAATGACATAAAAGGAGACATGAGACTGATTGACTATAATCCATTCGATCCTGCTGCGGAGGGTGGAGAGAAGTTGATCAGAACGACTGAGTTCCACAAAGGTGCTGAAGCTACCTGCTCACTACTTCTCGCGAAGCCATCAGTCAGGCCTTCATCGGAGTTATTGTTGGGTGAGCTTTTGTTTTTAACTTGGTGTGCACAAGCTGATGACGAAACAAATCAGGTGGTGTCGATGGTTCGCTGAGCTGCTTAACTCCAGTGGATGAGCAATCCTTTAAAGCGCTGTGGCTGCTTCAGGGTGCGTTGGTCAGACAGATTCCTCACGTAGCAGCTCTCAACCCTCGAGCTCATAGGTGAGCAACTCTTAAAATTGGCGTTGAAATTTGCTAACGTCACACAGACACGTTCGCAACGATTATGTCTCCAGATCACTCTCTAAGGGAATTCTTGACGGCCTTTTACTTTCAAAGTACCAGGGTCTTGATCATTTGACGCAGATCGAGATAGCTAAGCGTATTGGATATTCCAAGGCTGAATTATTAGCAATTCTAAGGAACCACGTTTGAATGCAACATGTATCATCTAGACATATTATTTAACTTATCCATAGATTTATTAAGCGATTCTTGAAGGAGATTAAGAATCGAAGATGTGGCAGATTAAAATAAACACCAAGCAATTGAACTGAAATCAACAACTGCAATATCTTGAAAAGGTATTTGAATCGCTTATCCTAACACTGCCAGTCTGACTGTCGAAAAAAGCACCCGTAGGTTTTGGTATTGGGTTGTGTAGCGAAGGTGTATCTATTATCTGATTTTGTGAGTCAGATGAGATGAGAAAGGAGTGTGGCTGTAGCTGTTTACCTTCTGAACCAAATCATGAAACAGATCATTCACACCTGTACTGAGCTTGGCAGAGCATTCGACAAACATTGCGTTGTAATTCTCCGCTAGACTCTTCGCCTCATCTGTAGAAACCTTGCGATGATGATCTAAATCTGTCTTGTTGCCAACAATAATCTTGATGGCGTCACTGGTGGAGTAAGTGTTGAGCTCCTGAAACCAAACGCGTAATTTATCGAAAGATTCACGATTAGTGAAGTCGTAAACCAGTATTACACCCTGTGCACCACGGTAATAACTAGAAGTCAGAGTTCTGAATCGCTCTTGACCTGCTGTATCCCTGTCGTCATACGTGAGACCGATAAGGGTGAAATGAAAAAAAAAAGAAGAGAGACGAACCAAATAGACAATTTGTATCGCTTATCTTTAATTTGAATATATTTTACTTTGAAGTCTGCGTGAAGCGTGAAGCGTTGGTTGTATTCAAGTGTGACATCTGAGCAAACCCACCTACGCCAATCTAGGAGGAAATTTAGCTTATTCCGTGTATTAGATATGTGTATCACAACTTACCGTCGCATTAGCATCCTCTTCCGCCAGAAAATCGTTATCGGTGAATCGAACAAGCAGAGACGACTTTCCGACGCTGGAGTTGCCGATGAGAAGGAGTTTGAATGTTTGCGGTGGCTCATTCCGCGTTGATATCGAAGAGACTGACTGCGTGTCTGCCATGTCTGCCATGTCTGCCACAGATGAAAGTAGAGAGTACAGAGGTTGATAAGCGCTAGTAGGCTGAATATCCCAAGCGTAATAAATCCAAAGTGTTTGTGATTCAGAGTTTTATTTTAAATGGAAATCAAGTGGACTGTGTTTTATTAGCCAGACGTTGATGAAGGTATCAGCAGGATTATCCAGCCAAGTAAAGCACCTGCTGTCTACAGGTGACCTCAGCAAGCAGCAGCTCAGTACTCTCCTTAGCCACTCTTCGCAACTGAAAGACGCTTGCAAGAAGAACGCGATCCCCCCAGCCAAGCTATCGATACCAAAGACACTGGATGCTAAATCTGTTGCTGTGATTTTCAATAAGAGATCCACTCGTACGCGTGTTGCCGCAGAGACTTCTCTCCACGCTTTAGGTGAGTCATTCTACTGTTGTTATCGGCGAGGCTTACAAAAAACACAGGTGGTCATCCATTGTTCCTGTCTCCTTCGGATATACAGCTTGGTGTGAATGAGTCGCTCGAAGACACTGCTCGAGTCGTGAGCTCAATGTCTGATGGCATATTCGCCAGGGTTGGCGCACATTCAGATATTCAGACTCTGGCAAAATACTCAACTGTACCAGTGATCAACGCACTGTGCGATTTATATCATCCAACTCAAATTTTGGCTGATTTGCTTACCATCAGCGAGGTTTACGGCGTTAACTATGGCAGCGATGCGCCACTTTCGGGGCTAACGTTTAGCTGGGTTGGTGATGCTAATAACATTATAAACGACACGTTGCTCTCGCTACCAAGACTCGGTGGTATCGTCAAAGTGGGGTGCCCTGAAGGATACCAAATCGATCCAATCATAATGAATCAACTCAAATCTCAAGGCGTTATGGATAAGGTTGTTTTTACTAGCAGCCCGTATGAAGCTGTCAAAGGTGCCGATGTGATCGTCACCGATACATGGATCTCAATGGGTCAGGAAGACGAAAAGGCAAAGAGGCTTCAAGATTTCAAGGGATTCCAAGTAACTGAAGATTTAGCGAGAAAGGGCGGTGCCAAAGAGAATTGGATGTTCATGCATTGCTTACCCAGGAAGGCAGAGGAAGTCGATGACGAGGTATTCTACGGTAAACGTTCAAGGGTGTTCCAGGAGGCGGAAAACAGGAAGTGGACCATAATGTCAATTTTCAATAAAATATTGGGGGAATATAGCTTGTAGAAGAACGACCATGTCCATGTCGTTCATGGTCACAGACTATCTTAATGAATTAGTAAAGCAATTCAATTTCAATTTCAAGGTTGACCACCTGTTTGAGTACAAGTCATTGCTGGAGTTGCTCCTCGAGAACCCGCTTAACAAGTTCAATATAACTTACAAGGCAATTCCAACAAACCAGCCAATAGATTTCCATTATAAGATTAAAGATAGCATTGTCGGTGTTTTCACAGTCTCAACGAGATACTACGCTAAAGATGAATTGAGCAAGGTGTTGAAAGTACTTGAGATTGTGGTATATGCTTCACTTTCAATCATATTAGAATTAAAGCTGATGGAGACCTACAATATCCATATTCTTATCAAGAAAAGGTCCCTCGTCCGCCAATTGATCGACAGCCTATTCAAGTACACCCAGCCACAGCAGCAAACCACCGCCCAGAATAAGTACTCCAAAGTTACAGACAAGATGGAATCTCAGGTACTCTCTACTTCTCCTTCTGTTAAGTCCTTTCCAGCCGGTTTTCTTATCCAAAATCTCGCTAAGGATGATCAGACCATTTCCTCAAACATCAAGTCAGCATTGAACTCTCTTTTATCGCATAATTGTGGGTGCTTACTGCTTTTGTGAGAGCTCGCCTTTTAACGCGCTTAATCGCAGCTTCTTTCGACGGCTTCTTCAATCACCAATCCATACCCATTCTACACTCAACTGAGCACAATCACGCTCAACTCTCTTTGATCTCTTACTACAACCAGAATGACATGCGTTTGATTGCTAAACTACTTCAATTATCCGAATATGAAAGTGGTTACTTTGAACAATACACACACTTCACCTGGAGGCTAGATATTGCTGTCTTTGACAGCTTTGCTCCTTCCACACCTCCGCAGCAATCAAGAAAGCTGCCACAACCTGATGATACCCCCAAACAGTCTAAGTCTCATATATCCATCTACCCCGACCAAGACCATAACCACGAGTACAGCCACGACCACTCGAGATACTCTAAGAGCACTATTAAGGCATGGATTGAATGTACCATTTGCAAGAGTTGCACACCACACAACGATTTATCTGAAGGTGCTCAACTTTATTCCTTTGGAAAGTATTTAGAGCTCTTGCTCTACTCCAATAGCTTTCTACCTTCAACGCTATGTGATCATGCCAGAAGGTGTCTCGATAGCAATATTCCTTCAAAGACCAACTTTGTCAGATGGTTTGATCTGTCTAGCAAAGCTAAGCTGATCAGAATGTCTCTTAACCCCGTAAACCCCTTTGATATCAAGGGTCCAAAAATACAGATCAAAGAATCGCAGTCAAATACATCGGATGAGTTTCAGTATCCAACTGACGTTGAGCGATTTAAGTTGAAGGAAGACATTTCAGACTCGGTTGTGCGCTCAACACGGAAAGATATCGCCATCTACTTTACAACCAATGCTAGAGGTTGTTTGCATGATCTGCTTAGAGACTACTACAATCACATTGCCTCAACCAAGAAGAAGAAGGGTTCAAACAGCGAGCCCGAGTCAGCACAAATGAGTCGGTCAAACAGTGGTACAGCAAAGTCTATGTCGCAAGCAGCTGCGACTCTGATGAATATCTCTCAAGCTGATAACGGTCACTATAATGCCAATGCTTTCCAACAGCCTGCGACAATATCTGGTGGAACCTCACCTCTGTTAAAACAACGCTTAACACCTGCCACTGCAACTGCCAACAGAATAAAGAGACTATTCGATCAACAGGAACTCGATTTACTCAAGCTTTTGAAAGATGTTCCGCCTGAGCACGCTAATGATGTTAGAAGGAAGTTGAAGGAGACAAGCTATGCGTGTAGAGCTCGACTACTTGCTTTCAAAAATAAGTTCATACCTGAGAGCTACTACAACAAGAATGAGCAGCGCAAAAAGGAGAAGGAAAGAGAGAAAGAGAAAGAGAAAGAGAAAGAAAAGGAAAAAGATAAGGATCCTGCAGCGACGACTAATGACAGCAAAAGCGAAGACTTTACTGGTCAAAATCAGAATCAAAAGGAACCAAGCGAGGACAACCTTAAAAAGGAAATAGAAAGTAATGATTACCTCAACAACCCACGCGTGCATGCCTTCCCAGGAAGTAGCATTTTAGTCAGGGAAGATGACCCATCATCTATAATAGCATATGCTTTATCGTGGGTGCTCTATGAAAATATCAAGGTCTTTGCTAATTCAATATCTAGGTCTGATTTGTATCTGAACGAGATGCAGAAGATGAAGCAGGAACGTTTCAACGATGAGAACGAAGACGACATCATACCTGAGGAACATCATGATACGTCAAATGATAAAGAGAATGAAAAGGATAAGGATAAAGAAAAAAGCAGGAATGAAAAGAAAGACAAAGATCAGCAACCTTCACAGACAGAGGTCGCAAATTCCAACTGCGAACCAGACAGTGAAGATCCAGCAGCATTTTCGAACAATTGTACAGATTCTTGGACTTATTCAGTGACGAGGAGAGAAGGTACTTCCGATAATCCAGGTGGCCTGCTTAATTTAAGAATGTTGTCTTCTAAGCGTTCGATCGATAGTCTAGGAATGTTGAGGTTGCGATCGCCTTCATCTCGACCGACTTCAATGATGAGTGATGCCTCTGTCAATACAAACATTCCGCATCCTTCGAATCTCTCAATAGGTCCTTCAGCTGTGAGCAGCAATCAGGTTGAACGTCAAAATAGCAACGGTTCGACCGCTTCTAGTCACAGAATGTCTCTTAGAAACACCGCTGAGAATAGCGACGGTGACGCAATACTCGAGAACCTGATGTCTGCTGAGCAACCAGAGCAAGCGGAACAGTTAGATGCACCTGTAGCAGCCGATTCAGAAAAATCACACAAGCGTTCATTGTCTGCTTCTAGCAATACAAGTTCAGCCAGCAATACAACGCCAAATGCGAGACAGAGATCACCAAATGGGCTCTCCTCAAGTTTACCTTCTCAGCCAATTCCAAGACGCGTATCTGAGCTATCACAGAACAGTGACAGCGAAGGAGCATCAGGTAACGTTAATGAAATATGCGGTAAATCTTGGACATCTGAGCCTGAGAATGCATTGAATGATTTCGAGCAATTGAGGAAGAGGGAGGATGCGAACAAAGCAATTGAGACACTCAAGGAGGAGGAAGAACCTCAAGAAGATTTGGCAAGTCTGAAAGAGATTGATACAAACAGTGAACCGTCTGAAATGATGAATCAGGAGAGTAATATGAGCTCATCTTCAAAATACGTACCACCACCACCTCCAAGCTCAGCTAATAGCTTCATTGATGAAGATATGTCTGCTGACGATAATTATAAATCTGACTCACAGGTTTCCACGGCACCTACACTGAGACCTTCACTGACTACTAGAGCATCAAGTAGTTTCAGTTCAATATTCGCTCTTGGTCGCAATAAAGAGGGTAATCTTCCTGAGGATCAGTTGCACGCTCAACCATCACTTTCGTCACTGCCTAATGAGGATAAGAGAGGTCGCATTATCAGCTCACGTATGGATGAAGCAGCTGCTAATACTAGCAACATTGAGGCGAAGGAGGTCAAAAAGTCACCTCACATTAAATATGAGTTTGGAGACAAGACTAAATTTGGTGTCACAATCTACTTTGCGGAAGAATTTGACGCTTTGAGGCGGAAATGCGGCGTAAGTTCGCAGTTGATTCATTCATTGTCGAGAAGTATGAGTTGGAGAGCTGAGGGTGGTAAAACCAAAGCCAACTTCAGTAAGACTGTGGATGAAAGATTCGTGATTAAGCAGTTGACGACGAGTTGGACGGTTGATGATAAGCATGCTTTGTTGGAATGGGCACCTGCTTATTTCAAGCATGTTGAGTCAAACAAACCTACACTGCTGTGTAAAATCTTGGGTTTCTACAGCATAAAAATAACGCCACCATCGGAATCTAAATCTAGCGTGCCTATTCGAATGGATTTACTAGTGATGGAGAATCTCTTCCACTCGCATTCTATTTCGACAGTGTTTGATTTGAAGGTGGGTAATGGTCATGATGTCGTTTGCTTATTGGGACAATCTAATATCTTTGCAGGGTATTGAAGGTCGCAAATGTAAATCTGGCGGTACATTAGGCGATGCTGATTGGGAGAAAACTGATAATATCAGCATGCATCTCATACATTCACACTCTAAGCACATAATCGAAGAGGCGTTGAAAAATGATACACAGTTCCTGATGGATCAGAACATAATGGATTACTCATTCTTAATTGGCGTAGATATGAGAAGAAGAGAGTTGGTAGTTGGTATAATTGACGCAATCGGTGCATTTACCATTGCCAAATATATAGAGAGTGCAGGGAAACACTCAAAACAAGCCATATTTAATCCGACTCAATCAACGAGATATTCAAAAGTGACCGTTCTCCCACCAGTTGAATATCAGAAAAGATTTTTACAGGCTATGGATAAGTACTTTTTGCCATGTCCAGATAAATGGACAGCAATCAATATAACGAAAGACAATAATGATGATGTTGATACGATAGTTTCGAATGACCCACACAGTCATTCACATGGTTATTCACACGGGTATTCACGTAAATTGCCCAATCCAATCTAACAAAATAAGGCATTTCAAACAACTGCATTCTATATTAAACACTCACACTCATTAAGATGATGATAATAACAGGATAATAATTGTACAATTTATAAATACTCTAAGGAAAGTATTAAATGCGAGTGTGTTTCAACGTTTCAGTAATATGATCCTCCTTTACTGTGTGATCTGTATCTTTCAGCGCGTCAGCAATAGCTTCTTCCTTGACAGATTTGATTGTTGTGGGTTTATAAGTGGAAGTTTTCTCGCCCTGAAGATCATTGTACCACCCTTCACTAAGACCAGCTTTGTGACGATCGTCGGTATTGAAAGGCCCGCGCAGTTTACCGCTGAAATTCAGTTTAACTTGTTTCCTGAAAGTTTCTATAGGATCGAGGTTGGAATGTTTACAGCAGAACAGCATCCACTTATGACCGGCTGTGACGTGAGTGATTTCGTCATGATGAATAGTTTCCAAAACCTCAGTTGATTCCAAATCACCACTAGCTCTGAATTTGGCAATTGTCGCAGGATTGACATCCAATCCTCGAGCTTCATGGACGAGGTGAATGATGGATAGTCTGCTAATAAGGGAGTGTTTAGTATCCTCGGCACTATCCCAGAGAGCGCCGTGAGTCGGCAGAGCGCCATAAAAGCTGCCCATTTCCTGTGTGAGGGATATAAGCGTCATAGTTTTAAAAATTTCACTGTAACTCACCTCCAAGCGTCTTCTGAGGAGACTGAAATGCTTAGCTTCGTCAGTCGCGACCTGTAGCCAATCGGAGAAGTAATCCATAGGCATTTTGGAGTTGGGGGCGACAGGATCGAGTGAGGCGTTACTAAAGCGTGCAATGATATCCCACGCTAAGTCTATAGCCCAGAGTTCAATATTGGCTAGGGAGTGAAGGAGAGCAATGCGACTCTGCAGCGAGCCTCCCTTACCTCTTCGACCCGCACGCGAGGGGTCAACTTGCTGTTGATTGCGCGGAGGCTTCTCAGGCGGTGTTGATTTACCGATGACTTTGATCTGCCCACCTTTAAATAGTTGTGATGCGCGACGCGTGTAAGCTATTTTCAACTCGGGGTCGGGGGTTTTGAGGATGAGTGTAGCCCACTGCGTCAGTGTTGTGGGCTCCTGGTCTGGTGTGATGTACCTGTCGACGTGCTGCAGTGGCTCGGGATTGGTGGTGGATTCAGCGAATTGCTCCGAAACTGCTCGCACTGCTATAACCTCCCACGGACTGGAGTCGTGCGTGTCGATGTAGATGATTTCGTCACGCTGCTCGACGTTGAAAGTACACGCTTTTATCCCGTAGCTCGATTCGCCAGATGATAGGGAGACTGTGGGTTGTTTGAATATGCGCTGTTAATAATGATAAACCATCTACTCACGGTCGTATGCATGGTACGGACACACAGCAATAACATCGACAATATCCTCTATATCATCCTCTACTAACTCTAAAGATGCATTTTCTAGTGGCGCACCAGCGTGGGGACAGTTGGATTCAATAGCGTAGTATTCGCGCGTGTGCACCCTCCCATCCTCCTCTAAGCCATCCATGCGGAATAGAACCACAGTCTGGTACTCGTTGGCATATCGCAGCGTGACTACATGTCTCTTGTTCTCCTTAAGTCTGTCAGCCTCAGCCACGCGCACGAATCCCATAGCTGGCTATCGTTGTTACCGATGAGAAGAAAAAGTGAATGAAAATAATTTACTTAAAATTACAGTGTTGTATAACAGATTGCTCCGTCTGATTGAGATGATGGATAGAGTGGAAGATGGCTTAGTTAATCTGTGGCTGTCTATAGTCTGAGTAGTCTTAGTAGTCTGAGTCCTTCTAGTACTGCATAGGTGCAGATGCCAGTGTCGACAATGCAGTGCTAGCGTTACTCATAGTCGGCGTCGCAGGGGCAGATGAGCGTGGCTGAGGTTGAGTATGCAGATGCTGTGTCTGTATTGACTGCGGTATGGGCGTAGCGTGATGAGAGTGTGGTGAAGTAGTAGCAGAAGGAAACTGGCTAACCAATTCGTTGTCGTCGTCCCCATCTGGTGATTGTGGCGGGGGCAGTCCAGCCGCAGCCGCAGCCGCAGCTACCGCCTTACGTTCTCTGTCTTTCCTTTCCCTTACGTGCGCTGGAGGAGGAGGTGGAGTTGGGTGGGTGCCATTGGACAGCATCGCCAACCCTATGGCGCCGTGTGCGCCTGAGTGCGCATAGTGGTACCTCAGCCCATTCATATTCTTGTATCGCTTGTCACAGTGACCAACTTGACACAGATACGGCCTCGCTACAGCTTCTGCTTCGGCGAGCGTCAGCCCATCCTGCTCCATTCCATCCCTCACTACATAGTTGCACTGTCCATGCAACCTATGATACTTTAGTCCGTTAGCCTGTCTGTATGCCTTTGAACAACCTGGATTTGGACACTTGAATGGCTTATCACCACCACCTTCGCCATTGTCGGGCGCACCTGCCAATCCTGATGGTGATGCACCAGCGGCAGCTGGCGTGGGAGTGGTAGAAGTTGGGGTAGCTTTTCCAGATGCACTGGGTGTGCCCGTGTTGGAAGGTGGGAGGGAATTTGGTGTGGTGTTAGTTGGTGTAGCGTTGTTTGTATTGCTGCTATTACTGCTGTTACCACCATTTAAAGCCTTGATCGCTGCATCTGAAGCGCTCTTCTGGGCACCTGTAGACGGGAATAGCAATCCAGGTGTAACATACTGCGGCCTGTCTCCTGACTGGTTATTTGAGACATTTGTTGGGAAAAGAGGCATAGAGTTTATAGCTTGCGAAGAATGCGACGACATACTACTAGATGGTTCAGCATCGAACATTTCATCATCATCTTGCGAAGTTGGTTGACTGCTCATTTCTGACTCCAAATTGGGGGAAAACGGCGGACCAAAGCTACCAAGAGGAGCCTTAGCGTGGAGAGAGGTAGGAGCCCCTCTTGGATTAGAATGTAAAATCGAAGTCTCAAAAGCCGAAGTAGCGTTATTGGATTTCTGAGACTGAGAAATAGCAGCAGCGGCCATAGCGCTGAGGGACATTCTAGCCATCTTGCCGTCCTGAGAGGGGGAAGCGGAAAGATCCATATCATCAACTTGGGCGTCTTCGAAGCCGTCGTCAGGCTTATCCTTGCTATCGTCGAGAACAACGACGTGAGCTTCTTCATAGTGCTGAATGAGATCGTGAAGATCATTCAACTCCATTCCACAGCAATTGTAGTTCTTGCACTGAGCAAGTTATTTAGTGGAGCGTGGTACGCACAGGCGGTGCAACTCACGAATTCAGATTCTGCTTTGAAAGGAAGGCCGTTCTCCGTGTCTACACTGCCGCAATGCATTTCAAAGCTGAATAAACGGTGTTAGATGGATAGGATAGGGGGACAAGCATACTGACTCAATTGGGCTCTTCCCGAGACTGGTGCCGAGGAGAGCAGCAGCGCGTGAATAGCTCCCGAAGCGTGGTGAGACTACGAAAGACCCAGGGCCAGTGAATGATAGTCCTTGCTGCGCTGAGAAGGACCTGGCGCCGAACCCGCCCATCGATCTGAATGATCTCGACGAATTCTGGTTACCGTGCTCATCTCTTGTGTTACCAGCTGAGATTGGGACAGCTGAAGGCATTTCCGTGTGATTTGTTAGACTGACGATGGTTGTGCTGATAGAAGATGATGTAGGTGGGAGTGTGGCTGGGTGTGGAGCAGAATGAATCTGTGTATTTTATATTTATTTATTTATTTATTGTTTATATTTCTATATTACTCTATATTATATTACTAACATTCCCACTCGTAATCCCAATCCCTATCGCATAAAACGGAGTTTAGCGGGAGTAATCGTGGGAGATGCACACTCAGCATGGCGTTTAACACGCAATTTTCAACTCATTTATCCCTCCTTTCCACTTTTTCCTATCTCTGTACCTTTGCGGATAGGTGTGCCTGGAAAATATGAATCATTTTGATTCATTTGAATGTTCTACTGGTTACTTGGGCATTCCCCGATCATCCCCATTCCCTTCAAATCTCTTTGCTTTCCTCTTCGGCACATTGTGATGAAAATTTGCTTGTCAAGAGATGTTCGCGCGTCGTCAATTAAACTTTATACGGTGTATGTGCATGACAAGTTTGGTTGTTTTAATTATTAACCACAGAGACCGTCACACTTGAGGATAAATTAAAATATCGTTGATTTGTACGAGTATGATCGAAATGATGTAATCAGTGAAGCCAATTTATTTAATCTCTTTAATCTCTTTACCCTTTTCATTATCATCAGAAACCGGTTAATCAATTCCGTCATCTGCTTCCGGCTTGTTCCAATTAAAGTAATTGACGGATCAAAACGGCATCAATTGAGCTATGATGAATATAAATGAGAGGTACATACAAATTAATTTGTTTTCATTCGTGGAATAATTATAATAACTCTTATCCTATTTATTTACTTTGAGTATTTGTATTTGCGCAGTTTCATTACAGTGTGAAGAATGGTGTTTCACTTTGATTATGTTGATGAGATTGCTGTGGTTGTGTGTATGATGCTGCGTTGGTATTGCTATTAACATTTACACTCCACGGGTTCTGACTCTGCGCCTGCGCCTGCGCTTGTTGCGAGAATGCTGATTGGGCCTGTGCACCAAATCCACTGCCACCGCCATTACCCGTCACGCTACTAGGCATAGATGACCCAAATGGTGATGCTCCACCTGTCTTCTGTGGTGCAAACTTGGCTGCTCCTGTTGGTATTCTCAGCAGTCCTTCATTCCCAAATGTATCTTGTCCAGATCCTGACGCTAACGCCGTTGCAATATTCTCATGCTTCCCGTCGCTAGTTCTCAAATTCAGTCCAGGGTTATATGATGGTCCTGGTGAGAAATCTGACGCTGATGTTGTTGGCAGATTAGGCATCGATGGGCGATGGTGCAATCCAGGCGTTGGTCCAAAGTTAGAGGGTATAGCAGGTGCTTGTGATGTTTGTGACTGTGCCATCTCATTTTGTACTGGTACATTCCCAGTCAAGTGGGTAGCAAATGGATTGTTCGATCTGTACCCTGTCTTTTGCTCTTGCAGTGGTTGAGGAGAGAGCATACCTGTGAACATACCCTGTTGTTGTTGCGCTGCCATTTGTTGTTGTTGTTGTTGTTGTTGTTGTTGTTGTTGTTGTTGTTGCTGAAGCATCATTTGCTGCTGTTGCATCGCCATCGCTTCTTGCTGTTGCTGGAAAGGATTGTATGATGTCATCTGCGGCTGTAGCAGATTCATATCGGCCATACCTGTAGGCTGCGACTGAATAGGGTTACCAAAAAAGTCAACCTGCTGAGGCTGATTGTAAGCGTTAGGTGCCCAGATCTGAGTAGAGTCGTCGAACAGTGCATTCGAGTTGGCGTTGTCTAGATCAGCTTTGTTACGCGCATCCTCAGCTCTCTTCCTTTCATCCTCTTCCTGCGAAAGTTTAAGAGCTCTGGAGAGATCATCGTCACTGTGGCCTGCTCCCAATCGTCTCTGCTCCTCCTCTTGACTTCTCATCGAAGCTTCAAGTGCACGAGCAAGATCATCATCTTCATCACGCCGTCTTCTCTGAGGCATAGAGCGAGACCTTGGCCTATTGGCAGCCATATTGCCAGTCATGTTGCTAGTCACACCAAGGTCAGCATCTTCATCAGCACCGTAACCACCTGGAGCGCCACGCATCATTCTGTCGCGCATGAAAGTTCTATTTTTACGTTGATCACGTAGTCTGGCGTCGTCTGCTAAGAGGTTTGAAATATCCTTGGCTTTTTGCCTAACATTGGCACCCTGGTCTCTGCCATCTTCATCAACGTGTTGGAATTCTTTGAGGGTTTTGATGATGTACGCGTTATCTTTGAAGTAGAAGACGACATTCTCAGAGCCGGCATGGAGGAGATAGTCGAGCAGGGTGAGTGACTGCATTGATGACGTCAGCGAGTGCTCAACTCCAAGCCAAGACAAACCTTGAAGACGTGTCTCCAATTCTTGCCCTTGTCGTTGAGTCTCTTGTCGAGCATTTCCATTATTTCTACAAAGTCGTTTCTGGAGTGGGTAAGTTGGTGGGTGATGCTGCGGTGGATAGTAGTGTGCGCACTGATTGTAAGTGAGCTGGGCGAGCTCATTCATCTGGGTACCTGAAGGTCCCCATGGATCGTTGGAAGTTGCCTCGCGTACTTTGGCTGTGAGCGTTTGTTAGCCTGTGATTACGTCGATGCTGTGCGCGTGCCTTGAGAATCAGAAAAACCTGGAGAATATTTAGTCTATGATGGAGATGCTCTATTATATACCAACCTTTCGCGTAGTTCTTCACCACACGCATAGATTTACTTGCTAAATTCGACATGATGCTATACGCTGTCAAATCACAGTCGCAGTGAGAGATGAAGGCTGTCAACAAGGCAAACGAACCTCAAATATTCCACTGATGCTAATTTCCGTCGATTTTGAGCTATTTAATTTAGCTGGTGATCGTTGAGGAGATGGAACCTATCGTGCAGCGCAACCCCTCGTAAGAAGCGGGGATAGTGGTGGAGCGAGTTGTGTACCTCGTTGAATCTTTCATCTAGCCAATCTTCAAGCTCATCTCTCTCTATTCCCATCTCTTAAAATATCTCGTAAACCGCTCATCTCTCAATCCGAGCCCAACGATTCCTTGTTCTCAACCAAATACGTTTAAATGGTATTTAGGCGTTAAAAATTAATAGCGCATCTCTCACACATCTCGCAGGCGCCATACACACGCCCGGAGACAGTTTTAAAGGTTTGTTTAGAATTTGAAGCCATTTTGACTAGATTCTTACATTGCATTTAGAGGGCTGAGGGTGAGTAGCTTTGTACGGCGTAACTGTAACAATCTTAACGCCATCTTTACAGAGCTTGTCGCTGTCAACCAGCACACAGCTGCGCTTCAATCTCTCCAAGAGATGTTCACCTCGAAGCGCTTCAGATCGACGCCTTTATCTTCATTAGAGCCGATCATGCTCAGATTCGTTGAATTATGCGTCACTCTCCGTAAAACTAGATCTGCAAAGGATGGTTTGCTCCAGTACAAAAACATATCTCAGAATTTCAGCGTACAATCCATTGAATTGGTTTTAAATCGTTTCTTACACTTATCTGAGGAGAAGGTTATTGACGCAAAGCGCACCGTCGATTTGCTCCACCCAGAACCCCAAGATTCCGCTGTCGCTGTCGATGATTTGGAAGCTGCAGAGACTCCCGAATCTATTCTCATGAGCGCTGTGTCTTCTGACCAGAATCGCGACAGAACCGAAAGAGCTGTCGTTACTCCTTGGTTGAAGTACCTTTGGGATGCATATCGTACTGCACTCGACACTCTCCGCAACAACGCTCGTCTTGAAATTCTCTACCAAGTACGTTTTTTTTTTTTACCTTAAACAGCCCCACTCACCCTCTTAAAGCAAATCGCTAACGAGGCTTTCAAATTCTGTCTTCAATACTCTCGTAAGACGGAATTCAGACGTCTTTGCGAATTGCTTAGATCTCACGTCGCCAACGTCTCAAAGTACGCTCACCAAGCACACTCCATCAATCTCACAGACACTGAGACTCTTCAACGTCACTTAGACACCCGCTTTGCTCAGCTCTCTGCTGCGGTTGACTTAGAGTTATGGCAAGAGGCCTTCAGATCAGTCGAAGACATTCACAACCTCCTCGTCATTGCTAAAAAAGCCCCAAAGTCGTCTATTATGGCTGAATACTATGAGAAGTTGACGAGGATCTTTTTGGTTGCCGATAACCGCCTCTTCCATGCCGCTGCTTTCTCTCGCTACTATGGTTTGGCTCAATTTACAGTGGCCAACGATGCTGAGCATACAAAATTGTCTGACTATGTCCTTCTCTCTGCTCTCGCTGTACCAGTACACATTTCGTCAACTGAAGACGCTGTCCGTGCCAACCAAAAGCTCTCGTCAATCTTGAGCCTTCAAAAGATCCCAACTAGAAGCTCATTATTGACCGACGCTATTGCAAACGGTGTCCTCAAGCGTGCTTCTAAGGATGTGCGTCAACTTTACCAACTCTTAGAAGCAGATTTCCACCCTCTCAATGTGTGTGAAACTGTTGCCCCACTGCTCGCTTCAATTGGTAAAGACGAGAGCACCAGCAAATATATCGAGCCACTCCAAAATGTCGTTCTCACTAGATTGTTTGAGCAGCTTGCCCAGCTTTACGATACCGTTGACATCTCCTACGCTCTCAACCTCGTCAAGCCACTCGGCAGGAACTCAGAGAAGGAAGTGGAGAGATTTGTTATAGGATCAGTTGCAATTGGTGGACTCAAAGTGCGCATTGACCATGTCAAGAAGAGCATTGCATTCCAAGAGGATATTTTTGCCCATTCAAGAGCGAGCGAGGTGGCAGTTGAGGAGACTTCCAAGGTGCAGCCAACGCCAGCTGACTTAGTACGCTACCAATATGCACACCTGAGCGATGTGCTTCAAAACACCCTGTACAGAATCGACGGGACATCGCTGCAAAAAGCTCAGAAGACCGAAGAGGACGCATATGCGCATGCCTTGGCCAGCATGGAAGAGGAGCGTAAGGGGTACCTCTACAGACGCGCTATTATTACCAGACGCCGCGAACTCGCCGATGAGCATTCAGCCAGACGCGAGAAAGAAGACAGCGAGGCGAGAAGCCAACGCGCTAAGGTCGCAGCAGCTGAGCAGACTAAGCGTGAGCATGAAGATGGTATTCGCAAAGAGCAAGAGCGCAGACGTCGTGAAATGGAGAGTATCCGTATCGATGAAGCTAAGAAGCTTGCGCAGAACCTGGCGGAGAAGTCAGGACTTAAGGTGAACGTCAATGTGAGTTAGGTGTGTTGTTTGTTAGAATAATTGCTGATTAAATGCGCAGAACCCAGAGGAGCTCGACACTGACAAGCTTGTGGCGCTTCAAGTTGAGCATCACAAGAAGGAGCAGAACCAGATGTCAGAGAAGCTGCGCGTCATGTACAAGCGTATGGATCATCTTGAGAGAGCGTTCAGACGTGAGGAGAAGCCACTGCTCGTAAAGGACTTTGAAGAACAGCAAAAGGCAGACAGGGAACTGTATGATGTCAAGAGCAATGAGACGAAGAAGGTCTCGAGGGAGACATTCGAACAGAACCTGGCCACCAAGAACCGTCTTCAGAGAATCCAACCTGCTTACGCTGCATTCCGAGCAGATGTCGAAACCAAGGCGGGCGAGAGGCACAAGGAGCTCGAGCGTCAAGCGAACGAGGCAATTAGCGCGGAGATAGCTGAGCGTCAGGCCAAGGTAGCTGAGCAGAAGAGGCTCGCACAGGAGCACGCAGATGCTCAGCGTGCCCTAGCGGAAGCCCAAGAAGCTGAGCGCGCACAAGCCGAGGAGGTTGAGCGCAAGAAGCGTGATGCTCTTATGGCAGACAAGGAGCGTAGCGAGGCCGAGGCCAATGAGCGCAGGGCTGAGCGAGACGCCGAGCGCAAGAAGACAGAGGAGATAGTCAGGAAACAAAACGAACGTGAAGAGGCAGCTCTCAAGAAACAGCGCGAAACTACCTTCCAAAAGACGGGCAGTGTGTGGGGCTCTCGCACACCAGGGTCAGAATCATCAGGCGCTTCTACGCCTTCGACTGGCGGTCCTCCTGCTGGTAGCTGGATGGCGCGCAGACGTCAGGCTGAGGCTGAAGGAAAACTCTCAAAACCTGCCTCTTCCACTCCACCACCACCACCACCAGGTAACCCTGCAGCTCGCAGCTCTCGCGCCCCTCAAGGTGCACAGGAGAAACCTAGCGCTTTCGGTAGCATGAGGAAACCCGACAGTGCTAGATCTGGCGGCGGTGCTCCCCCACCACCTAACCCACAGAGAAGCAGGTGGTAAAGTGTGCAAGGATAGATAGACAGGGAGAATGAATTTATGTAAAAGAAGAAAAGCAAAGAATAAAATTGGACTTATAATACATGTGGTAATAAGAGTCGTTATGTGTGGTGAGGTATATATAGTCCACTGGCTGTTCTAGTAGGCAACTCGCAGTGTCCTTCTCTTTCTGAGCATAAGCTTGGGCTGGTAGCGGTTAGGAGAGCAATCGCAGGAGGAGCACAGGTTGACGTCGTTGCAGTCTGAGATCTTGGTCTTGAAGAATTCGATTCCGGATGGCTGATTAACGATTTTGAAGACCTGATCGCCTGCGAAAGTGACTTGGCGGAGAGATGGACAAGCTTTCTGGAGTGCCATTGTTGAGTCCAGTGCAGGATCTTCGAAAATCAGCGTGGCGAGTGTAGGGCTTAGGGTGATTGAGTTTAGGTGATTGAACCGCGGCAGCGTCTCTAGTAGAGTGTCAAGTGAAGGATCATTCTCTACGATTAGATTCTTAACCAGCGCCACCTTGTCCGATGAAAGCAGCTCTGGGCTGTAATAGCAGCTCTCAAACAGGCTGTCGGCAATGAGCTCGTTTAGCTGCGTGTTGACCAGTCGCAGTTGCTTCAGCGTAGGCTTTGTACATTCATAAATAACTTCATTTATCAATTCAATCGGTAGTTGCTTCATCTGCACTTGAGCTGATGATGATGGTTCAATTAAACCTAATTCTTATTCATGAAACTTCTTAACAAATCCAATGTCGTCGATGCATCTTCAAGTGAAGAGTGTGTTGCAACCACTGTGCCACTCGATGGTGCTGCATCCTGTATGAATTTCTTCAGCACATCGGCAGCCAGGTTTCGAAGCGAGTTGCGAAAAGGCAGTCCAGCCGGATGTGGATAGAGAATCGCAGTGTCAAGTATATTCGAATGCACTATCCGTAGTGCGTTTAGATCGTTCTCGAGTCCATGTCCCACTATGATGGTATCGCTTCCGACACCGATTTCGAACAAGACGCTACGTATTCCTACCAAATCAAACACTGCACTTTCCTCTATCTGCTTAATGGTCACACCCGAAAATCTGAAAGCGGTGTTAATTGGATGAACCTTATTTGTTGGTTGCATACCTTGTATTAGCGTCTATGATTTTGGAGTGCGGTTTAATCAGCTCGTCTAGTATCACCTCCGCGTCAGAATTCACTACTGTTAACCGCGTCAGAGACATTCCCGACGTCGTGAAACTCATTTCGCAATCCAGCGCGACGACATCAAGAGAATCGCTCCGAAGTGGTGTGCGTATGAATCCTGCTCGCTTGTTCAAACTCTCAGCATCCTTTTCCAGAAATACATGCGGGCCTGTACAGCAACCTGAACTTCCCATCTGCGTTGAGCAGCATGACATAATCCTCGACCGCCTTCCATCCACCTTTGTAGTTATAGCTTTGCCATCGTGGAACTTGCAGTCGTCCTTAAGTAGATCGCCATCCTCGACAATGTACTTCTGGTTGCAGCGCGAGCAATCCTTCATCTGACCTACTGCACTAGGCTCACTACCACCGAGTGTATTTGGTATATCGACCACATAGCCGTATTCCTGGAGCTGCGCAGGTGTTGGTATATACTTTTTCAAGTTACTTCTTGTCAGAGTCGTTGATTGGCTCCGCTCGGCTTCTTCCAACCTTTTCCTTATCGTGTTCTCGGTACCAATCACCGGGGAAGTGCTGTCTGTAATTGGAGCTCTGCGTTTTAATTTTATAAGGGTATTTGCTGTCGCTGATTTGTAGGTATTCGTCTGTGTCGACTCGTATATCTCTGTTTCCTGCTCTCTGGCATCCCTGAAAGCACATGTCTTTCTATCGTCAAGCTTTGCGTACATCTTGTAAAACTGCTCATACAGCGCAGACAAGCTACGCTGGCGATCGCCTACTGGTATCTTGGAATGAGCAGCCGATGCGTGTATTCTCGGCGTGCCGTCTGAGAGTGTTTGCGGGAGAGATGGTTCCGATTTAATCACTCTCTTCTTCGGAGCCGGCTGAGGAACGGGATCGCTCGGTCGCTTCGGTGGCTTCTTCGGTGCTAGCGCGGTTGGTAACGCGGTTTGTGGTTTCGAAGATGGCTTTGGTGGTGGTGGACGCTGTACGATAGAATGGCTAAATACACAAACGCCGTTATTGCACGTGGATTTCTTGTTGCACTCTAAATTTTGTAGCAGGCCTAGGACAGGGAACATCACCGTCGTGGACCTACCAAGAGGACAGCCATGACGAATTTGTTTGAGCTGCCTGAGCAACTGAAGGTTATTCCAGATGGCAGCGATATCGTGAACAGTGTCAAGAGAGACGTACAGCCCGGCACGCCAATCGTTATCGACAACGGTCAGTTATCACTTGCCGACGTTGGTGATTGACGCTGATTGGCCACAGGCACTACACAGCTCAGAGCAGGCTTCGCGGATCAAGACAATCCCAGTATTATCGCTAGGAATGAAGGTTCGCGCTATAAAGAACGCAGGACAAATCGCAATATGATGATCTATGGCGACGCGTTGGAGCTCGACAGCGCGAGTAAAACTCAATCAAAGATTCCACACGAATCTGGGATAGTTACTTCGTGGGATATGATGGTCGGTCTGGTTTCTTGCGCCAGACTTTAGTTAGAGTTGACGTATCTCAGGAACATGGACTCGATTGGACATTCCTTAGATTGGGATTGGAGACTACACCACCTCCAATCGTCATGTCTGAACCTTTATGCAATCTCCCTTACCCTCGTTCGCGTCAGTAATCAGCCATGACGCACTGCACACGCTGACAATGGTATTCAGAGATGTCGGAGCTTCTTTTCGAAGCATACTCAACACCAAAAGTCTCTTATGGTGTAGACAGTCTCTATTCCTTCTACAATTCGTATCATATGTCAGATGGACTGATCATTAATACATCCTCAAACACTACCTCAGTTGTTCCTGTGTTGGATGGCAAGGGTATCTTCTCTGCTTGCAAGAGAGTGTCTTGGGGTGGTATGCAAGCTTCTGATTTGTTATTGCGGATGATTCAGTTGAAATATCCCGCGTTCCCGACAAAAGTTTCATCAATACAAGCCAGTGTGAGTGTCTTTGTCTTTCAGGAGGCTCACCCAATAATAGCAAAAAGCACATTCTCGAAAATTATGGAACTTACGCTAATGATTATAGCGATTTCATCAAGGGAATGGAAGATCCTGATCAATTAAAAAAATCAGACTACGTCATACAATTCCCTTATGTTGCACCTGTTAGTTTGACTGCTTTGACTATCAATCACTCACAATTTTCCAGGTTTTTGATGGGAAATCCGCAGAAGAACTTGAACGCCAAGCCGAGAAAAAGCGTGAAGCTGGTAGGAGACTTCAAGAACAAGCGGCTAAGACGCGATCTGAGAAGGTATACGAGCTGTTTAATGTTTGGAAAGACGGCTGACAAAGATTTTTATAGTTGGTCAACAAAGAAGCTGAGATCAAGTGGATGGAACAGCTCCGCGAGACAAAAGCAAAAGAACCTGCTAATGTTTACCTCCGTAAGCTGCAAGAAGAAGGGTTTGATGACGAAAAAGATCTAGAGGATCTTTACAAACGTACCGTTAAGACTCTGCAGCAAGGAAGAGATCGTGAACTTGGTATTGAAGAACCGACTGAAAAGGTGGGTAAAGTAGCTATCTCAATTCTTTTCTAATGTCGTTCACCAAAGGAAACGCCCAAATTTACACTTGTAGACATTCCTGATGCGCAATTGAATGAGGAAGAACTGAAAGAGAAAAAAAAGCAGAGGTTGCTGAAGGCCGGCTACGATGCTCGTATGCGCGCCAAAGAAGAGAAAGAGGCTGAAGCCAAGAAATTGGAAGATAAAGCGAGGATGGATGCTTATGAGAAGGAGCATCACTTTGACCGGTGGTTACAGAAATTGCGTGATGACTACAATGTGAGTATTAAGTCACTACGCTATACGTTATTCACCAATCAATCTAGAACGCCCTCGCTCGTCAAAAAGAAAAAGAGAGAATGAAGTACGCACTGGCTGACAGAAAGTCAGCTGCTGCGCAGAACCGTATGCGCAACATTGCAGACTTAGCTCACGAAGGCAAGACAGAGGCAGCAAGCAAAGGACTGAAACGTGGTCGCAAAAAGAAAGAAGAAAAGGAAGTAGATGACGACAGGTTCGGCGAGAATGATTCAGATTGGAAAATATACAAAGATATAAAAAACGAGAACGACAGTGAAGACGAAGAAGATGAGGCTCTGCAGCTCGATGAACTGGAAGCAAGGTTATTAGAGAATGATGTGGACTTTACAGCGGAGCATACTCGTCTAAGCAAACTAAAGGCGCAGCGTCGACTGCTCAATACGTTCTACTATGGTGGTGAAGATCCGTATGAAGACGACAGGGGTGATGCCGACCAAACTGAGACTCCAGAGCAGGTCAAGCAATCTCACCAGCTTCATCTCAATATTGAGAGATATCGCGTACCTGAAGTACTCTTCCAGCCTAGCATTGCGGGATCTGATAAGGCTGGTCTAGTCGAGATGGTGAATCATGTACTCAAGTCGTTCAGCTTCCAAGAAAAGAGTAGACTACTGGGCGTAAGTGGTTTTTCTTATAGGTCGGCCATAGTCTAACGTCCCTAAGAATATTCATTTGACTGGTGGATTCGCAGGTATATCGAACTTCGATAACAAGGTCTACAACTCCCTCAAACCCATTGTGCCTGTTGGGAGTGCTTTCAAGGTGACGCGCACGCCTGATCCACGCTTTGACGCTTGGAGGGGCATGGCGAAGTGGGCGCGTACGTCGGACGGCGTGGAAGGTTGGGTGACTAAGGAGATGTGGGATGAAGAAGGCCCTGATAGGCTTGAAGCTAGAGGTGCTTATAGACACGCTTTGACTTGGTAATCTTGTTTGAACTTATTTATATTATACCACGGCAGCGACGCCATTGGATCAACTGTATCAAGTTGTTTCATCTTTGTTCTTCTACTGAATCAAAAATCCGACAGATATGTCGACATTAATATAACTATTGGGGTACTCGGAGTAACTGCCATTGGTAATGTGTGAATCATGCAGGCGCCTGCACAGCCACAAAAACTGATGATACCCAGAAGTACGGTAAGTATAAAAATCACGCAGAAATTTGCCTCTGTAGTTGCCGCGGGAGTGTCTTCTCGTGAATCAATTGTAATGACGTATTGCAATCGTCGGGTTATATTGGATACGTTTCCAAGTTGACATCCATTTCTTATCATTCACCGCGAGTAAAGAAGGAAATGTTAGCACACAAATCGCTGCAACCAATGAGGATAGCTCGCATGAGCGTCCCATTGAGGAGCTTATCAGTCACGCCACTGCGATTCGCCAACAATACCACTCAGGGCTATCCAGAGTCTGGTACACCTTCGAAGAAAGATGTTCAGCTTGAGAAGGACCAAGGGCTCAAGGATCTCTCCAAGAAGAGTGCAGTGGGCACGCAAGAAGGTGTTCACTTCCAAATGACGCCACCATTCCAACAGAAAGGAGCAGGAGCCGGTTTGGAAGTGAACAATAAGCCCCTTGGAGATTACCTTCTCACACATCCCGTTTACACCAACGAGGAACTTGAAAGCGTGAAAGTTTTAGAATTTACCAAAAAAACATTTAGCGATAAATGCGCGAATGCACTGGTGAAGCTGATGAGAACTTCATTTGACCTTGTTACAGGATACAAGCACAAGGAAGTAACGCCTGAAGTCAAAGACAAGCCGTTGGATTGGCTGATCAGCAAGGGCTATGTGCTGAGTGAAAAGCAATGGTTGAGAAGGTTTATCTTCCTTGAATCAGTGGCTGGATGTCCTGGTTTTGTTGCTTAAGTCTCTTTGTTCTATTTACCTCTCTGACTGTCATTAGGTCGCCGCGATGGTTCGCCACTTGCGCAGCCTTCGTCGGATGAACAGAGACGGGGGGTATATCAACATGCTCCTCGCAGAAGCCGAGAACGAGAGAATGCATCTCATGTCATTTCTCGCCGTCGAGAAGCCAAGTGTTTCTATGAGAGCTATGGTTTTGGCTGCTCAAGGTGTATTTTTCAACGCCTTCTTCTTAGGGTATCTCATAAATCCAAAGATCTGTCACCGCTTTACTGCTGTCCTTGAAGAGGAAGCTGTCGTTACTTACACACGTGCCATTGAAGGTGAGACAATGCCATCCGTGCAATTTTGGATAACAAACATTGACGTCATTCAGAAATTCAAAATGGCTATGTGCCAGGATGGACCAACAAGAAGATTCCTCAAATCGCACGTGGCTATTGGCAACTACCAGAGTCAGCAACCATGCTCGATCTCTGCCATGTTGTTCGCGCAGACGAAAGTAACCACCGGTTTACCAACCACACGCTATCAGAACTTGACCTCGATAAGCACCTCAACCCGCTTTCTTTACAGGAACCAGACGCTGTGACTCGTGGAACGTGGGTTGAGATTGATTGATCAATCTAAAACTAACACAATTTATCAGCAAGCTTGGTTTCACCCGTGAAGAGAGTGCTGCATGGCTAGCTGAGACAAGCAGCGCTATCCAGAAGAAGAAGGATGAGGGCTCCTACGTTAGACCACATTCTCATTAGCTAGACATTGTCAGCATTTTCTCCTCTCAGTCAAAGCATAACGCAATCAGCACTGTATTCACTCTTCATTGATCTAACAGATAATTTCCCATACCGTTACAAAATCAATATGAGTAGACAGATTCATATCAACTAGCGTGTGTGATGAGTAAAAGCATGACAAAAATAAGATAGCGAGGAATAGCGATACTGAAGCGTTATGAATATAACCTAGTCTCGTTGTGTCTACCTATCCAGTGTCGCATCATAGCCGAGCTCCTGGTAGACTTGCTCCATCATTTCCTTATCTTGAAGAGAATTGTTCCCTCCTGGGAAAGCCTTGTCCATCTCTTCCAAAGTAAGACCCTTTGTTTCAGGAAGTACGAAAATAGAGAATACTAAAGCTAGGGCTGCCCAAGCTTTAGAGAAGTATAAGTGCATGAGCTAAAATTTTCATGTGACTCACCACCAAAAAAGTAAAATGTACCATAAGATGTCATGTCTTCCATCATAGAAGGCGTAGCCAGACCAATAACCATATTCGAGGCCCAAGTAACGGCAGTGGTTATTGATACACCCGTACTCCTCAAGCTTAATGGAAAAATTTCACTAGGTAAGAGCCATCCTATAGGGGAGAAGGAAATTGCGTTGAATACACAAAACAGAAATATAAAAACGACTGCAGCATATCCGACATCTTGGGGTAGTTGTTCGTTGTAACTAGCCAAAAGACTTGCAACGATCAAATGACAAACGAGGCATCCAGATGCACCAATAATGAGCAATGGTTTGCGTCCTACCTTGTCCACAATTAGTACTATTGGGATAGTTGCAACAAAATTGACAATTCCATACACCCCGGTGCCGATCATTGTGGAGGAAGTGCCCTGAATCCCAGCTTGTCCAAGAATCGTTGGACTGTAATAGATCATTGCGTTACCGCCCAAGTACTGTTGAAGCTGGTTTATGTTTGTTAGCCATTACTAGCTTATGATTATAACTAACAAACATAGTCAGAGCTCCACAAAGTAGTCTCTTACGGTTCCCAGCTCGGAACAGAGCTTTATATGGCTCTGAAAACTTTGATATGGCACCTTTGTGAGGATACTGCTCTTTGACGCGCGCTTCAAATATGACCTCAGCTTTAACATCAGTCAGCTCTGCATTCAAGACCTGATCTTGCGCGTCTCTTCTGCGTAACTTGGCCAGAGTAGCACGCGCCTCATCCTCTTTTCCAATTGAAAGTAAGAATCGCGGCGACCTGGGCATGAAGAATAAAGCTACCCAAAGGACCAGGGCAGGTAGAATTTGAATTGCGAATGGTATGATCCAGGAAGCATCAGATTGCCTACATATGCCATCGGATGGTAAATCGTGTTTCGGATCGAACGATGGAGCTTTCTGACCGGCGTTTGGTTCGCCAGTGTACTGCCCCTTAGATCCAAGCTCCGGATTGCAATATTTACTTCCAATGAATGAGGTACCATACGTTATCCAATAGCTTTCTAGAGTGAGCAATTTCGACACGTTTTATGTTTAAACAAGTGCGACTCACGAGACCATAATACCGAATGTTATAGATAACTGCTGTACACACACTAACGATCCTCTAAGGTTAGTGGGAGTGCATTCGGAAATGTACATTGGTATACACTCGGTCAGTGCTCCGACAGCTAATCCGGCTACAACTCTACCGCCGTATAACCAAGCTATTGATTGAGCAGCTGTTTGTATTGTCGCACCTAGAACAAAGATACAGAGCGAAAGTGATATAAACCACTTCCTCCCAAGATGCTTGTTGTCCGCGGCTGGTCCACCGATCAGAGCACCAAAAATGGCAGCAATCAGAAGTGAAGCAACAAAGATACCCTTTTTATCTGCATCTAAAACGTCTCTGAAATCGTTTTTGAAGCTTTCGAGAGCTAGAACGTTGGAAACTGTGATTGTCTTAGCTGAGACAATAAAATTCAAACACAACCGCACCGACACCCTGTAGAAGCGTAAGTAATTTCATTAGCCTCGTAATTTTAAGCTTACCTGGTCATAGCCAAAGATCATTCCACCCAGTGTAGCTGTAAATGAAACAAATGTACTGGGCGGGCATTAGCAACAATGTGCATTTGCGCAGACTAGTACTCACACGTATGGATTTTCAAACATACCTCTAATTGAGCTTTTACCTTTAGCAACATCTATATTTTTTGCTTGTTCTTGCTCAGCCTCGACTATATAGTCCTCATGCTGCGTCTCGGATGTTCCTTTTTCTTTTTCTTTTTCGAAAATGTTCATAGTAAGGTATGTAGTGGCTGTAGGGTAAAATGTGGTCTTATTTAATATGTTCTACTCAATTATGCCTCAACGAAAACATGATCAATGCACGTGACAGCTGACGAACGATACACGTCACCTGAATACAATCTAATACTGATCAGTATAGCAATCAATAGTCTATGACAATGGAAGTTATCTCAGATGTTCGATTAAAGCAGCTCCGACACCGATGTGAATATGAAAAGTGAAAATTATCCGGCCCGAATCACTGAGAAGTCATCTTTTCGGACCTGAATGCGGAAATGAAAAGTTATTTTTCTAAGAATTAGGGGGGTTTCAGTTAAGCTACAAGGATATTTCAGGCTTAAATGCGTTTCAATCGAACAATAATTCCGAGACTGCGGAAATACTCCTGGGCATCTTGAATTAGCCCGAAAAGCCAAACAACACTTGATAATTATTTACTGGTTACAACTACGTGCATAATATCACGATTTAAATTAACTTGAGATTTATTATATATGTATCGTCAACGTTTATAGCAGCCTACTCGGAATTTTCAAAATGTAATTCATGTATTAAGAGCAATAATTTAATCTTTCTTTTTCAAACCATCATTACATCCAATCTCGACAGCTGTTGGAGGACATCGCTTGAGATTCTGAATCTGAGCAGTCCAACGAACATCATGAGTGTGCGAGCTTTCGCACGGAGTTGACCCATTTTCTGTAATTTCAAGTTGTCAGTATGGATGAAGATTTTCTGAAGTAACTGCCAACTCACGTTTTGTCTAGAAGTGTCCCCGAATGGAGATTCCTTCAAGTTGGCGTGTATTTTGAAGAGGATGTTCATAGTGACGAGAAGAATATCAGAGAAGTTCCTCGATATACTCTCATTGATTTCTTTAAAGTCTTCCGCTTTCCTTGTGATTGAAATAACGTCACCAGACAGAGGAATAATGTTGAGTTGTTCAATACCATCGAGAGCGAAATCCAATTGAGATTGTTCGTAATGCTTGAGAATCTCCTTCAACTTTAGAAGGACTTGCAATGTTTCCCTGTTATTCTTGTCTACTCTGTGCGCGATACGTGCATCTCTCTTGTAGTGGCTGAGTATGTTATTCGACAATTCAAACAGCTCATCTTGGCTTCTATCGTTAGGGTTCGAGTAAAGAGACAAGCCGAGCTCATGACAGAGTACGAGGATAACCTTGTTGTACTCTTCCGACAAGTTGTACAGCAAGATTGCATCTCTTGTACGCTTCTCGAGCTCGGCCTTATGTGCTGAAGCCTTAACGATGTTGACGAGGAAATCTCTTTGGTTGTCGAGGCTGATAAGACTGAGATCCTTCTCTATCATCCCCTGCAACTTTGTACCATCAGGTTTGATCTCGCCCACTAACTCAGTATACGCTCTAGTCTCCAATACGAGGTCTTTGATGTAGGCGTGGCAGAGTGCTATTTGCTGCTTGTTGACTGGGGTTGGGGCATCACTATTGAGGCATATAAGATAAAGGTATTGCAATGCCTCGCATGGGTCCGTTTTAGCGAAGATGCGCGTATATCTCTGTATCATTCTCGCAAAGTCGAGCGTAGGCTGACCGTTTGCGTCTGCTGTGACTGTTGGTATGTGAGTGAGTGTGAGTGTTTGTACCTAATGATGTAAGCTTCACTTACGCAGTTCGATCTCAGACGTGTGGGACTTCTCGGGTGCACGCAGCAGACCGTAGTATGAAAGAGCGACAGCGAAGTGGACAGCATCGACTTGGTACTGGACATTGTTGTAGAGGTACGCCACGGCGCGCTCGAACTGACCGCATAAAAGCAATACTGTGAAATACTTGATGGGATTATTACCCTTCGGGTCGAAATGCTTATCACCAAATTTGAGAAGCAGTCCGGCTAATTCTCTCAGCCCGAATGATTCAGATGGCGAGTCTTCGCCTGGTGCGCTCTCTCTGACGAGCGACAACTGCAGCCACAACCAATCTTCAGTTGTGGTTGTGATGGATTGTAAGTTACGTCTTGATAGTTCTGCTCTTCCAACCAATTTGTAGAGTGCATATTTGTACGGATCAATTGAGCCTGACTCAGCAGCGAAACGTATTCTTGTGTTGTATGTTGACATGAATCTGTCATGAAGTTGTCTCGGCAAGCGCTGATGAGGAGAGTCGAGCCATGATTTGAAGTACGGGACGAATTCTCTCTCAGTCTTACCAAGAGCCTCTTCGTTTTCAATAGCCAAGTCTAAGGCTTCATTGGGATGACCGGTGCGCAAGAGGGTAAAGAGCATAGCCCAGAGAGGCTGACCAGAGATAATCTCTATCTTAGGATCAGACCAACCACCATTCTTTGCGTACTTGACATTGAGGAAACCTCTGACCTTGTTTTGAATGAGTGGCAAGCCACCAACCTGAGCTTGTGAAGGATTTTGAATGATGATCTTCTCAATGTACTTCAAGTATTGATGTTCCAAGAAGTGCTTGGAGCCAGTTGTCCAAAGAGTGCGAAGATTGCGCGCCTCGTCAGATTCAGAGGATTGGTGGAGGTATGAGTTTGAGTATTCTCTTTGGGAGAGTGCAGCTCTCTGAAATTCACCGTTAACGACAGACTTCTCTCTTAAGGAAGAAGCGAGCAGTTGCCAGCAGTCGTGGATCTGGTTTGAACGAGTGTCAGTGGTTGAGAGAGACTTGGCAATCGATGATAGCTCAGATATGATTGGATAGTTGTAGGCTTGCAAGCGATACTCGTTAAGCTTCTTGACGAGATTAGCGTAGCTGTTCATGCGCGTGTTAACAGCTAGAGTGGTTGAAGGGATGGTGGAGTAAGAGGAGGACTGTTGTGGGATGAAATCGACGTCATTAGAGTAAGAATGCTGTCCTAGCTCCTCGAATAAGAGAGACAGCCTTTTGTTCCAGGAAGATTGAAGATTTTCAGATAAATTGGATTGAAATTGATTAACAGTATCTCTCCTGCCTTCCTCAATGGTGGATATAATAGTTTGTTCATATTGATGTCTCAAGTAGCCGTCTAAATCGCTATCAAGCAACGGTTGAAGAGGTTCAAACGTGTTATTGAGATTGTTGTTGATTGTAAATATCTTATCTGATAAATCACTCGCGTTTAAGCCACCAGATGCCAATAGATAATGTACTCTGCTATCAATATCACCTCTCTGCTTATGGACCAACTTCTTGGACTGGTTCTCGATCTGATCCAAGCCGAGGTGTATCTGCGGTAGATCTGGCTTGGATAGATGGCTCGTAAGAGTTCTCGACTGCGCTAATAAATCCGCCAACGACATGAAGGTATTTTTTAACCACGTCGTCAGCACAAACGGCCATCTTGAAAAATAAGTTTATAAATACCAGTATAAACTATGGGCAATCCGCATTATGACTTTTTAATGTGAGTATTTCCGTGGCTCAATTTCCCAGTATATGGCTTACAGTCCCAGTAAACGTGTGTACCCCAAGTTATTGAATATACGCCACTAAGCACCCCCCGCAGTTCTTCTTATCGGTGATTCTGGCGTTGGTAAATCCTGTCTCCTTCTCCGCTTCTGTGACGATGCATGGACGCCATCATTCATCACAACGATTGGTATCGATTTCAAGATCAGAACGATAGAATTGGATGGGAAGAGAATTAAGTTACAGATTGTGAGTTGATATCCCTCCTATTCACATACACCATTATAACACATCATCAGTGGGATACTGCCGGTCAAGAGCGCTTTAGAACTATCACTACCGCTTATTATAGAGGCGCAATGGGTATTTTACTCGTTTATGACGTTACAGACGAGCGCAGCTTCAACAACGTTAGAACTTGGCATTCAAATGTCGTTCAATACGCTTCTGAAGGCGTTAATAAGATATTAGTTGGTAATAAATGCGATTGGGATGAGAAGCGCGCTATTTCTCAAGACCAGGGCAAAGAATTGGCTGATAGCTTGGAAATTAAGTTCATTGAAACATCCGCAAAGAATAACATCGGCGTTGAAGACGCTTTCTTTAGCTTAGCACGTGATATCAAGTCAAGACTCATCGACAGCCAGTCTTCAAACTCCAATAACAATTCCTCAAACGTCAAAGTCGACGCAAATCAAAATCAACCCGCTACCTCTGGTGGTTGTTGCTAACGCAATTCCCTTACTCAATTTCATTTCAATATCTGTTGATTCTCATTTATAACGTACTTTACATTTTCTTTGTTTATTTATTCGGTTTGTGGTGCATACGGATCAGCTGTATATGTCTGATACATTTGCTCTTGTTCTTCTTGCTCATATACCGCTTGCTGTTGTTGCTGTTGTTGCTGTTGTTGCTGCTGCTGCTGATTAAAAGCTTGTTGTTGATAATACATAGGATCTGCGATAAATGCGCCTGCATCAACGCCTCCATATCCAGCTGGTGCCCGATACGTTGCATGCGGCATATCAGTGTTAGGCATTTGTCCCGAATTCTGACCAAGAGGTACTCCCATCATATGTTGTGGCTGTGGTTGAGGTTGTGGTTGTGCCTGCATCTGAGCTTGTGCTTGTAGAGGTGGCTGCGCTGCTTGTTGCTGTTGAATTGGCACTGCATACTGCGCCGCAGCACCCAATACCTGTGCTGCCTGCACAGGCTCTAATGCTTCAGCTGGCATCTCCGATCCAGGCACGCCTGTATTGTACACCTTCTCATTCCACGCCTGATCCATTCCTGCTTGCAATGCATCTGCATCTTCTGCAACCCATGATCCCGGTTCGTTGTATGTGTTAGCATTAGCACACATCAAGTGGAAGTCACTCAAACACTCCCTTGCATTCTGGTATGACTTCCTGTCGATCTTGCGCTTAATCGTGTTTAGTGCCACTGGGTTCTTGATCAGGAGTGCATAGTCAGGGTACAGCTAGTCACTTTGTTAGCCTTTTCTAATTTGCTCAAACACCACTCACCTTCTTCGATGGTACTTCACGGAAAAGATCACTCCTTGGTCTACCATCTTCGTCCGTCAACGTCCAAACCACGTCGAAGAAAGGCAAAAGGACCTTCTTCAGACGTTCCTTGGTCTCCCCATCAACACCTGCCTTCTTCTTTTTGTTCGTAGGTTCAGTCTCTTCAATATCGACATTTGGAGTACCAACAGTGGTATTGCGTTTGCGTTTGCCCATTGGAAGACTTGGGGCTGGTGTGGAAGTCTTAGTCGAAGGTCTGCTGCGTTTGCTACCAGCGTCCAACTCAGGTGACTCGTCAGGTGGAGGTATTTGAGGCTGCTGTTGAGCCATATCGCGCTTCTGTCTAGATGCTTCTTCGATAGTGGTACCATCATTTTCAAGCGCATTCACCCATTGTTCTTCAGTAAGACCATCGTCGTACACAACACAAGCACGCGCAGCACGCGCTCTTCTGCCCCCCTCTAAAGCCTCCTGATCAGCCTCAATAATAGGATTCCATTTGAATGTCGTTCTGTAGATTTCCGGTAATTCTCCATCTGTAATTAATCTTCCAACATTATCAATAGGCAAGCCCTTCATTTGATTGAACAGCTTGTCATTCTCTGCTCTCTCCCTGTCCATTCTATTGAAGACATCTATTTCACCTTCTCCTCTAGCGAGCAGCTCGTTGATTTCATCATCATTCATATCACCAGCTTCTTCTTCCTCTTCTGCTTCTTGTTCGAGGATAGATCTCAGGAAATCCTCACGCTCTTCAGCTGTCGATTTGTTGTCGAATTTACCTGCTTGGATAACCTTGCCGTCTATTTCCAACTTATACTGTGCACGTGCAAGAATCTGCTCTTCGACAGAACGTTCAGTGATCAATCTCAATATCCTAACTTCCTTCTTCTGTCCAATTCTGTGAGCACGGTCTTGAGCCTGAAGATCAGCGTGTGGATTCCAGTCTGAGTCGAAGATAATGACTGTGTCTGCTGATTGAAGGTTAAGACCTAAACCACCAGCTCTTGTAGAAAGCAAGAAGACAAAGTAATCAGAGTCAAGATCGTTAAATTTGTTCAACAAACTCGATCTCTCTTCTGTCTTTGTTGATCCATCTAAACGCAAGTGTTTCAACCCTCTCCACGCAAGATAGTCTTCCATGATTGTCATAATAGCTGTCATTTGGAAGAAAATTAAAACTCTGTGACCAGTTGCCTTCAACTTTGGCAATATTCTATCAAGTAGCTCAAATTTACCTGCTACTCTATACAACTTGTCATCCGAGATTGAAGCTGGGTTCACTGCACTCTCGATGGCATCAAAAACGAATGGATGGTTAACAATCTTACGGAGTTGCATGATCGTGTTCTGGAGACCTTTAATTCCAGCCTTGTTGGATCCACCAACGGCGCCATTCTTGTCTGTTGTTGCAATGGATGCCATTTGACCATACTTCTTCATCTGTTCATACAGGGTGATCTGAAGTGGACTCATTCTACACTTAACAACCTTCTCCACCTTGTCAGGAAGATCTTTCTCGACATCCTTCTTCAGACGGCGCAATAGGAACGGACGCAAAACTTTATGGAGACGTTTGATCTAAGGTCATTTAGCATTGTATTGTTTAACTTAATCTCACTACTTACGACAAGCAAACTTTCTTCTTCATTCAAATCCATTTTCTCGTTTGTTCCAGTATTGGCGAATGGAGTATTGAACCACTCATCAAAAGACTTGACACTGTTGAAGATCTTCGGCAAGACAAAGTTAAGTAAAGCCCACAGCTCTGGGAGGTTGTTCTGAAGTGGTGTACCAGTCAAGATTAATCTGTAACGGGTCTTATAGAACGTTTGAAGAGTTTGTGAGAGTTTTGATTCAGTATTCTTAAGACGGTGACCTTCGTCCATTATCATGAAAACCCAGTTGTATTTACTGAGTACTGGACGATCCTTGATGACATATTCAAATGTAGTCAAAAGGACTTGGAAACCTTGTCTCATGCGATTTTGTGTTGCCTTCCTCTGCTGAGGAGGACCCTTGTACACTGCCACAGATACTGCTGGTGCCCACTTCTCAAATTCCATAGCCCAGTTGGTCAGCGTAGACAGGGGTACAATGATCAAGTACGGTCCGTTTTGTCTTTTGCGTTCGATGAGGAAAGTAACTAGTGAGATTGTTTGAATTGTTTTACCAAGACCCATCTCGTCAGCAAGTATACCATTAAGGCGATTATTGTACAACGAAGTCATCCATTGAAGACCCTTCAATTGATACTCCTTCAACTGACCACCAATAAGAATGGAAGGTTGAGTTGTAACCTTCTCGCTGACACGGTGTGCGACGGCGTAGTAGTCCACACTAGTTTTACCCTGATCCTCAGTCTCATCATCTTGACGTCTACCACCGAATGTAGCCTCTGTAGCAGGACCATCTTCAACCTCGAAGTTTACATTATCCTCCATACCGACTTCATTCTGTTGAGCAAGGACGCTTTGTGTAAGCGAGTCGAGGTAAGTATCTGTTTGCGAAAGAAGATGAGTAATTCTTGTGTCCTTGGCGGTATCGATCAACTTCAAGTAAGCTTCTTCATCATCGTTTCGAAGAGCAGCAAGACGCTCCTTGGAGACTCTTTCAACGCGTTTCTGCTCTTCCTTTTCTACATCTCCGTGCAGCTTGAGTACCGCTCTGCCCATTTTATGTGATTTACCAACAGCGTCTCGATTAGCCTGACGAAGGTTGTTGGCGTGATTGTGGATAGACATTATGTAATCGAGATGCTTCTGGCGACTCTTTCTGTCGCGCTCGCTACGCTGCTTCCTCTCGAGCTGCTCAGTTGCTCGTGCTTCTCTGAGTGACTGTTTCTTGAATCTGCGGAACGCAGTGCGATCAGTCGTCAGCAGTGTAGCGTGCGACTGAGCGCTGATGACGTCTTGGCGAAGAGCGCGCTGCTTCTCGACGAGCTTGAGTGCCTTCAGTTCGATAAGGGCCTTCATCTTATCTGAGGAGTTCAGACTGGTAAGCGAGTTAGGTTGAGGCTTCTCGTCTACTTCCTGAGGTGCTTTTTGGTCAAGCACGTCGTTGCCTGTGACACTCGCTGGTTCGTCGGACGTCGTCGACGACATTCCCTCCAGCTCTTGTATACGCCAGTACATGCGTCTTTGTTGGAAACGGTTGCGCTCTTCGATCAGTTGGTATGGATCAATACCTAGTGGCATGACAGATGGGACAATGATACGCTGGTTCTTTGTGCTGCTTGAAGAAGACTCTGGACCTGCTTCAAGATAGACGAGTGGGCTGATGTACGATTCGTATTCGTGCGGTTTTTGAGCGGCATCCTTGCTTTCGATTGTATTGTTTACTTCAGAAACAGCGCCAATTGTCCTGTCGCGCAACGAGTCTTCTGGTGGAGGTGGAACGGGATACTGAGCTGGCTCAAACGCCTCTCTCTGGACGTGGTCTGGCACTGGAAGATTTTGACTAGCGTATTGGAAGGTAGCCATTTGGGCTTTTAAGGCGTTGACTTGTACAGGAGTGAGTGATTGAGGTGCTTGAGGTGTTTTATGAGCACCTCCTGCGAAAGATATTAGTAAAGATATGGGTAACAGTAGCACAAGCTCACCTGGCTGCTGCTGCTGTTGCTGCTGCTGTTGTTGAAGCTGCTGCTGGCGTGCTTGCTGGAATTGACCAAACATTCTGAGGAAGTGGGCCAATTGGGCGTACTCGGGCGACGTGCGCTCATTCTGGCCTTGGGAGCGCAGGATGTTGAGCCTCTGTAAATATTATCAGTGATGGCGTCAGTGGACAAAGAGGCACCAACTTGTATCATGGCTTGGACACGCTCACGGTTCATTACCTGAGAGATATTTGGTGGGAATTGCTGCTGCTGCTGGGCTGGCATATGCTGCGCCGGCCGATTAAATTGGCTGAAATCCATCTTTATTTTATCTGCTATTATCAAGACGCGAACTTATTCCGCGTTTGAATCTCAATAACTCAAAGAAAAGGCAGATGGTGGTTAAGAATAAAGCAGTGATTGGCTGAGTGGAATTTAAAAAATTAAATATTATTGTAGCCTGTACTGCTATATTTATATGCTGCATTTATTTTAATTATCTACTCGTTTCCGTTGCTGCCCCTTTGCTTCGAGTCTGAACGTTTATCGAGATGCGATTTAATACGGTTTTAATGTCGGCATATACAAATCTTAAGGCTGATATGCCTCTGAGAAGCGTGCAGCTAATCTCTCTTCACCGTCCAAATGCCCTCAACGCTCTCAATCGTCATCTCATGGCCGAGCTTGACGATGTCCTCCAGAAGGCGCAGAGCGACAGCCAAATCAAGTGTGTTGTACTTACTGGCTCCGAAAAAGCCTTTGCAGGTGTGTGAAATACATTTTTGTAGCCCTTCTGACCCTCCCTAGCTGGCGCCGATATTAAGGAGATGAAGGACATCAGCTTCGTAGACGCTTACAAACAGGACTTCTTGAGCTCCTGGAACAAGATTCGTGAATTCAGGAAACCTCTTATCGGCGCAGTCTCTGGATATGCCGTGAGTGCTATGACGTCAATGATCTCATTAATCCATGTCTTTATTTTCAGCTCGGTGGTGGCTTTGAGGTTGCTATGGCTACAGATATTTTATTAGCTTCGAACAGTGCCAAATTTGGTCAGCCAGAGATCAACCTAGGTATCATTCCAGGCGGTGGTGGCACACAGAGACTTATCAGAGCTGTTGGCAAAGCTAAGGCGATGGAGATGATACTCACAGGACGCATGATTAAAGCTCAAGAAGCTTGTGAAAGAGGTCTCGTTAGTCAGGTACTTGACGCTGAGCAGCTGATGCCTGAAGCACTGAAAGTGGCCGAGGAGATTGCCAACAAGTCTGCTATCAGTGTCCAAGCAGCCAAAGAAGCTGTTAATGCAGGTAAGTTTGAGATTTATCTTCATTGATTCCGTTGATATAGATTAGCCCACGAGATGCCTCTGAGCGAGGGTCTCAGATTTGAGAGGAGACTGTTCCATCAGCTATTCGCTACCAAAGATCAGAAAGAGGGTATGTTACAACCACAAAAAGCGCTTCTTGCTGATATTTCCAGGTATGTCTGCTTTCATCGAGAAACGCAAACCATCCTTCACCGACGAGTGATGAGGTAGGCAGTACAGACATGCTCTCGCTGTACTATAACCAATCATTAGCATGTATAAAGACTTTAAATTACGATTCACGACCGTTTTCACATGTGAGAAAAGAAAGTGAAAATTTAGAATGTCCGGCATCGGGGTATCGCAAAGCGTAAAAAAGTAGCATGATGTACGCATTATCTTTTAGCTTAGTCACAATGATTAAATTCGAAATATGGAGCTATCCAGGAGGTCCAAATCCATTCAAAGTTCTCAATTTTCTCGAGGAGTTAGGATTTACTCATCGTGCAGACTACATAATACACAACCTTGAGTTCGGGGATCATCCGCAAAGAGGTGTAAAAGGGGAATTCTTCCTACGCATTAACCCAAACGGAAGGGTACCTGCCTTGGTAGACCATAGAAATAACCACTTGGTCGTGTGGGAGAGTGGTGCGATTCTTCAGTACCTCGCTAGACGATATGGACAAGAACAGTACATGGGAAAAGACCTCAACGAGCAAGCCGCGGTGACGCAATGGCTTGATTTTCAAATATCCGGACACGGTCCGATTCAAGGGCAAGTGAACTACTTCAAGCACTTTTGGAAGAGTGTTACAGGTGAGGATCCTCCGCCTCTCGTCATTAAGAGGTACGAGAATGAATGTTACCGCGTCTTCAGCGTGCTCGAAGGTCAATTGATCCGACAGAAGGCTGCTGGAAGTGACTTTATTGCACTTGATAGATACACCGTTGCGGACATTTCATTCCACGGCTGGCTAAGGTTGACCAACGTCGCTCAGCTGTCCTTTGAGCAGTTTCCTCTTGTCCAGGCCTGGGTAGAGAGAATGGAAAAGCGGCCGTCGACTCAACGTGCGGCTCTAGCACAAGCTAGTCAAGTGTAAGTGCCTGGGAATATCGGGCAAGTATTGTAATCGATATGTCAAATGTCAAATGCCATCGCCAGAACGGATATTATGTGTGATGAGAAAAATATAATTACGTTGAGAGAATAATCTGCATGCTCCGAGTAAACCTTGTTGCATCCCTCCGTTTCAACCCAAAAGTCTCTTATCTCAAACGGTCATGCAGACGTCGCTTCTGCATAATCTCCTACTGCTGCCACTGGCAGTGCCAATTGCGTACAGAGCTGCACGTCGACCAGCCATAGCTCTTCAAGATAATGTCGCTTCCCTGCATAACTCCAAGGCAGAGAATGCGTTCAACATCGCAAGCACTTACTTCCGTATTGAGAATGATATGATTTTAAACCAAGTGCACAAAATACATCCAATTAAGGGATACAGATTCTACAATAGATGTTTCTCCATTGTGGAGTTCAGTGTAGCGCTCGCCTCACTTATCACACTCTCTACTAATCGTCCGCAAATCCTTACTCTACTACCACTATATGCTTACTGGGTGTACTTGGGCTTCATTGCGCTCGAAAGCTCCTTCACCAGCAATTTCAACTTTGAGAGACTTGTCCTGGGATCACTCTACTTGGTGATCAATGCAATTATTTACGGTTTTAGAACATCTTTTCCATCAAATATCCGCGAATACCTAATTCTTGCGTTCGCAGTAACATATATCCTCCCATCAATCTTCCTTCCTTACCAGACCGACAATGTCTCAACCAAGGCACAAGGTGGTCCAAAAACCCCAGCTGCGCTAGAAGAACCAACAAGCGTACTCAGCAGAATCAGCTTCTTCTACATAGATCCATACATCTTCAAACACTTCCGCATTCCAGTCAACCACCAATCTCAGATCCCTTCGCTGCGTTCTGACAACCTCACCAGCTACATCTTATTAAAATTCAGATCCCTTTCCAGTACTCCACCTACCGTCACTAACTTTGTTCCACGTTTGTTCAAATGCTTCAGGCGCGACTTAGGGTACATGGTTGTCATGTCGGCTTTCAAGTCTGTTTGCACGCTATCAGCACCTTTTTGTCTTCAGCGTATTCTGAAACACATCAGCAGTCGTGGTGATGGTACGCGTGACCATGAGGCTTTTCTATTCGCTTTCCTTTTGTTTGTCGGTCAGGTGGCAGGCTCTCTCTTTAATCAGCAGGCTCTACTTATTGGTCGGAAACTCTGTATCAACCTTCGCTCTACTTTAATATCTGAGGTCTTCCTCAAGTCACTGAGAAGGAAATACAGTCAAGGCGAAAAGAAAAGCGAAAAGGAAGATGAGTCTACTGAAGAGAGTGAGAGTAAGGAAGAATCATCGAGCTCCTCAAATGAGGGTAGAATCATCAATCTGGTTTCCGTAGATGCGTTCAAAGTGAGTTTCCTTATACCGTAAATGACAAAATTGACACCTTATAGACATCAGAAATTTCTGCATATTTGCACTTTGTGTTCCCAGAGTGTCCCCTTACCATTGTTCTCGCAATCACCGGTCTGTACCAATTGCTCGGCAAATCAGCCTTGGTCGGAATTTCGGTCCTCTTACTCACCATTCCACTCACCTACTTTGTCAACCGCATCTTTATCAAGATTCAGACAGAGCTTTTGCAGAAGATTGATGCTAGATTAGATCTCGCAACTGAAGTATTGTCGAATATTCACTTGGTTAAGCTGAATGCTTGGGAGGATAGACTGATTGAGAAGATGAACATTACAAGAGCGAAAGAGCTGAGCGTCTTGAAGAAAAGATTCGCTGCATGGATTTTGAACGGCATTTTGATGTGGGGCACTCCAATTGCCGTGACTGTTTGCACTTTTATGGCACATACAAAGCTTTTTGGTCAGGTACTGATATCTCAAGAAGCTTTCACAGCTCTTTTGTTGTTTAGGTGGGTTAGACTTCCGAAATTGTCAAATCCTCTAACCCAAATCGAAGTATTCTGAGATTCCCACTCGAGGTTCTGCCTGAAGTTATCGTACACGTCCTCCAAGCAAAGATCTCGTGCGAGCGTATTGCTGAATATATCAATAACGAAGCGGATACTTCCAAGTACCAACAACTCAGTGGTCCAAAGGATATTGGAGATCCTACAATTGGTTTCAAGAACGCAACTCTCGTTTATGAAGGCGATGGCAGCCAAGGATTTGCATTACGCAAGTTCAACCTTGACTTCCCTGTTAGCAAATTTAGCGTGGTTGCAGGTCCAGTCGGAAGTGGAAAGACTTCACTTTTAGATTCTTTGCTCGGTGAATTATCTTTGATAGATGGGCGAGTGTTCATGCCGTGCTCGATGAATGCGGATGAGGTCGTCACAGATGAGCGCACAGGGCTAAAGGATGCTGTAGCATACGCACCTCAAGCGCCTTTCTTATTGAGCACTACCATCAAAGAAAACATACTGTTCGGATCTCCATTCAACAAGAATCGTTACGACAAAGTGCTCAAGGCATGTGCTCTTCTTCCAGACCTTGCCTTGTTTGACGACGGTGATGAGACGGAAGTTGGCGAGAAGGGTACTACTTGCTCAGGTGGACAGAAAGCTAGAATCGCACTTGCAAGAGCCATTTACTCATCAGCAAAACATGTTCTCCTTGATGATGTTCTCTCTGCTGTCGATTCTCAAACCGGTCAAAACCTCCTCAAAAATGCTCTCCTAGGTCCACTTATGCGCAACCGTACTGTCATCCTTGTTACTCACCACGTCGCCATGTGTGCTGCAAAAGCTTCATATGTCGTCTTCTTACGGGATGGCTTGGTCGACGGGGCTGGTACACCCGTTGAGCTCCAAAAGCAGGGTCTTTTGGATGTTAGCCATGACGAAATCGAGCAAAATCCACCTGAAGAACCCAAGGCCAATGAAGCACATGACAAGAGACTTGAGACAGTTCAAGGTGGCCACCATCTCATCTCTAACAATATTATGGTTGAGGGATATGCAACCCCAACTCTTGACAAGAGGAGTCATTCGATAGCAGATGGCGAAGAGGCACCAGAATCTGATAACATTGCTCCAAAGAAGACTCGAATCGAAGAAGAGAAGAAAAGCGAGGGCGCCGTCAGTGCCAAAGTATACAAGCTCTATGCTGCTTCGCTTGGTGGCGGTATATTCTGGTCAATTATGTTTTTCACTTTCATTGGTGCGCAAACCTCTGAAGTTGCCGCTTCATACTGGCTTAGATTGTGGACTAGCTCCTACGATAAAGCTGCGGATGTTTTCAGCTACATCGTCACTCGCACTTCAATGCTCTTCGTACCAGGTGATGATATTGCTGCTGCGTCGCTCATCAACACACATGACGAAACGAATTACTACCTGGCTATCTACGTTCTCGTATCATTTGGATACATTGTTCTAACATCACTCTGCATGTTCGTCATGTTCAATGCTTCCGTCAATGCTTCCAGGAAGCTATACGACAGAATGTTAACAAGAGTCATGAAGACACGTAGCAGATTCTTCGACAGCACCCCAACTGGACGTATTATGAACAGAATGTCAAAAGATATAGAAGTTGTTGATCAAGAAACAGCCCCTGTCGTGTTATGGTTCTTGCACTCTCTCGTCTTAGCTTTGTTTATCCTGCTGGTTATTACTTTCGCTGCTCCTGCCTTCATCTTCGGTGCAATCATTGTTGCAATTGTTTACTACCTCATCGGTGCACTCTACCTGCAAACATCTAGGGACGTCAAGCGTATTGAGAGTTTGACAAGGTCACCGATATTCTCAACGTTCTTCGAGTGTCTTAATGGCGTCGTTAGTATTAGGGCTTATGCAGCTACCAACAGATTCCAAAATCGCGTCTTTGAACTGCTCGACGAAAACAACGCAGGTTTCTTAATGTTGTGGTATACCAACCGCTGGCTGTCCCTCCGTATAGATGTGGCAGCCGCTATGATCAGTTTGACTACGGCCATCTTCCTTTTGTTGGACAAGAGCATTTCGCCTTCAATGGCCGGTTTTGCACTTTCGTACGCTATAACATTCAATGAAGCTGCACTGTGGGTTGTCAGACTTAGTGCGCAGACTGAGATCAATCTCAACTCTGTCGAGCGTATCGGAGAATATCTTGATTTGGAACCTGAGCAGAAAGAGGATGAGGGAGAGATACCTGGTCCTGAATGGCCGAGCGAAAATTCGTACATGTAAGTTGGGTGTTTGAGCTGTGTGGGTACAGCTGACATGGTTATTAGTGATATTCGCTCGTTGAGTGTCAGATACTCGCCAGAGTTGAGAAGAGTTCTTGACAACGTTTCCTTTGTTGTTAAGCCAGGTGAAAAGGTTGGAATTTGTGGTAGAACTGGATCAGGGTGAGTTGTATTGGGACAAACGCCGATCAATCTAACAAAATCATAGCAAATCGACACTGGTTCTCTGTCTTAATCGCATATTGGAATTGGAGAGCGGTCTAATTTCTATCGACGGTAACGACATCTCCGAATTGAAGCTTGAAGCTCTCAGAAGTCGGATGACGACCATTCCTCAGGAGGCGCAGCTGTTTGGTGGTACACTGCGCGAAAATCTCGATCCGTTTGATGAGTTTACGGATGATGAGATCTGGGAAGTACTCAAACGTGTGAAGTTGGCATCAAGTATGGACTTATCCGTCACCTCGCTATCAGAGTCAGCCAACATCGACAGAACGTCTATCAAATCTCTTAATGAGAAGGTAGCACAAAGCGGAAAGAACTTCAGTGCAGGTCAACGTCAGTTGCTGGCGTTGGCTAGAGGTCTTCTTAAACTCTCACACGCCAAGTCCAACATATTGCTGCTTGACGAATCAACGGCTAATCTGGATTCGCATTCTGATGAAATTATTCAAAGAGCTCTGAGATACGACATGGATAATGTCACCATTCTCTGCGTTGCTCATAGACTGCGTACTATCGCAGATTACGACAAAATCCTCGTTCTTGATGCTGGACGCGTCGTTGAGTACGACACACCTGCCAATCTTTACAAGAAGAACTCCAACTTTACTTCGCTATGCAAGCAATCTGGTGAAGATGCTGAGCTTGCCAAGATAATATTCGAGAAGGAGGAACGTAAGTAGATTCATATCATTAAACGGACTTTCTATTACATTACTTAAAAATGCATTACATTAAGTAATATTTGAGCATATATAGCATCTATTCTAATTGCTTGTACGAACTCTGGAAGCTATCTGTGAAGAGACTGCGAGCTTTGAAAGAGCCTGCCCACGCTCCAAATGAGAACCAGCCAAGTCTGATTGCACCGCCTGTCATACCCACAGCGACACCCATGATTGTTGGGCCGGTTGAGTATTTCTTCGAAGCTTCGTTACCATTTGCGAGGCTGAGTATGTTCGCAGCTATGTAACTTGAGTGGCGATTGGCATTTACGAATGTCTTGAGCTCGTCGATATTTACTATATCACCCATTGCAAATACATTCCTTAGCTTTGGTGAATCAACTTGTAGGAAGTCGTTGACCTTCACCAATCCTTTTTCCGAGATAAGGCTAGTGTCAAAGTCCTGAACAAGAGAAACATTTGGCTTAGTACCCATAGCGTTGAAGACGAAATCAGCTCTAAATTCTTTTCCTGAGGTGGTTCTGATAGTGCGTTCTTCGCCATATCCGAACTGCAGCTCACCAATGTTATCAACGCGCTCATTGAGCACAACCTTCACGCCCTTCCTTGTTAATTGGGAGTACACCTCACCGTGCAGGCCCACTTCTTTGCCGCAGAGATCGCCATGTGAATGAACCAACGTAACTTCCTTGTCTTTGTACCTCTCGCGAACCTCACCGCTCATCTCAACACCGAGTGAGCCTCCACCGACTATAACGATCTTTCCAGAATTCTCGATTTCGCCTTGCATGTTCTTCAGATGATCTTTCATGGTGAAGGATTGGGTATCAGGACGGCATGGAAACGCGTAGTTGGAGCCTGTGGCGAGCAGGAGAATATCATAGGGAATAGTTTTTCCTATTTTACTAGATTTGTCGATTGTCACTGTCGTTTCATCGAATTGAATGGCTCGGTATCCGTTGAGAACGACGTGTCTCGATTTCTCACTGAAGAGGTTTTCGAGCGAGGTCATTACTTGGTTCTCCCATGAGGGTGATACTGAGGCTCTCAATGCTGCCTGTATTAAATCAGATTGCTTAAGCTAGATAAATTGAGTGACGTACTGGTGGAAAGTAGGCATATTCATTAGCCTCGATGAGCACGATGCGATGTGTCTTTGGCAGTTTGCTGTGTATGTTTTTTATGACATTTATGGAGCTATTAGAGCCGATAATTACAACATTCTTGAGATCGACGTCTGACATGGTATAGTGGTGGCTGTTGGACGAGAAGATGCCAAGTGGGAAGATGTGGAACAGTCGATTTACCAATTGATTCGGGAGCAGCTTAAGCTGTGTATGTGGTTCGTGATGACTTGTGGCATGTTCGAGAAGGTAATCTCAATGTTTTAGTATGCGGAAATAGCATCTGATACACGCAAAGAAATTCTAAAAGAACATTGAAAGAAATCATGATGCTTTCATGATGCTTCCTGCATCTTCACCAATTATTGCAAGCTTCTTCACGTCAAAGACTATTCTTAGCCTGAAGATGAAGAATAGCACGTTCAATGACGAGTGCTTCATGACACCGTGACGCCTGTAAATTTGAGCCATACTGGTATTGTTTTGTAGCTATTGACGAGGAGGTACAATGTGTGAATTTTTTGACTAGTCTTGTGAAACGCTCTGCATTCAACCAGGCAGATTTGGAATGTCACAAGGAGCAATTTAAAGTTTAAAATGCAAAATTTTGATATTCCTACTCCTAAAATTCCAACGCAGCCTTAGTCGCCTTTACAACCCCATTTTTTGAAATTTTGAAATGCACCGGTGAAGCCAAACCCCGATTTCAAAGTTGAGCTGACCTCCACTTTCCTTTGTATGAAATGTATGAAAGAGGCGTGCGGTGATCCGTAATGAAAATATCCTTACCCTTACCCTTGAGCCACCATTGAGTCCTGTGGACGCTAAGTGCCGGAAAACATAAATCGCGTTTATAGGGACCAAAGAATTAAAATTGCGGGCGCTTGCGGTCTCTATAAGCCAGAGTGATTGGATTTAATTGATGAAGTGCGCAGTAGTTTTCATATCTATCCTGTAGCGTGCTCTAGAGTGATGTCCGATCCCAACTCCAGAACGGCATATAGGGCGCAATTGGAGGCTCAGAGATATAAATCTGGTAAATTTTTGCAGAAACAATTAAGCGCTATTTATGAAGCTTTTTTTATTTGTAGATGGTCAAAATCCGTAAATCCGCCACTTGAGATGAGACAGGTGGTAATCGAGAAATTCAACTCTGTGGATATTGAGCGAAGGGCTGTTATAGGAATGTATTTCGAATGCCAGAGATGCTATACAAACGAAGATTTTGTTAAATTGTTAAAATTGTCAGTATATGGTATCACTGTGTTCGTCTTCCCACATACTTGGCCATTATCAGGGTCAAGTGACCTCAATAAAGTCAGACTCTCTTCGTATAAGTTGCTTTAGCTAACAAAGTGACCTAAACCGTCTTTGCTTTCTCTTAAACAAGCCGCGTGGTAGACATCGTGTAACCTGCAAAGCAATTGCGAGTTGAGAAAACCAAAGAAGTGTCTAAAACTGCCACAATAGAGCTGAACTTCTGAATATCAATGTTTCTTATGAAATGCTCAGCACTGCACGACTGTGTGGTGTTAGTGTTGGGTGGTTTCCCATCAGCCAAGCCAAATCACAAGCGCGTAGTCATGATCGAGAAGATGAGTATTGATTATAAATTATGAAAGTACCGAATAAGTCACTTTAACACTCCGCAATCGCTCAAAATGCTTAAGAATCAGCCGTTCGCTACCGGATAAATCTTTTCAGTTGCAAATTGTATTTGCAACGTGAGCAGAAAGTACTAATTGCTATCAAAACCAACGCGACTCCTCTGCGTTGTCTATAACTTAAATATATAATTTGAAAGCAAACGCCTTCAAAAAGAAGGATACTCAAAAAGGAGCAAACCGGATTTGAACCGGTGGTCTTAAGATTTGCAATCTTACGCTTTAACCAACTAAGCTACTGCTCCTCTGCTTCAGCGAGTCATAATGACTGTATAAATATTGTCAAGATTCAGGTTAAAGCCGTAACATTTGGATAAGAGTTATTGATGCCCCACGACTAAGACCTACCGTTACCGTTTCCGACTGATTGATTCACCTAAATGCAATTCGTGTGGCACAGAGGACACCATTTCGCACAGAATTTTCATACGCAAAAGACATATTATGGCCAGAATCACATGAAGAAGAAAAATTACCAAGATCAATATTCGGTTCGAATAAGGACCAATAATCAGAAACACACACACTCTACAAGCCCTTTACGAGTTCTTCAAACCGCAACTGACTACGTACCAAAGATACTCCGATGGTTCAGTGTAATTGAGAACCAACAACAATTAACAAATTACGACGCTAGTCAAGAAACGCTTCCAGTAAATTTAGCACCCCCTTTGACTCCTCATGCTTTAAGAAGTATTGATGGACGCAGTTTAAATATGTATCATCTTAACAAAACATTCAGATTTCATCATCATCATCATTAGAGATTTTACCTCAAAGACGACTTAAGAGATGAAAGCTGAGAGCTAAATGAGCCAAGTAGCTAAGTGTCACTACTTAACCTACCACCTGGAGCTTTTGGTGAGGCTGGGTGGCTTTAAGGTCGTTAAAGAGGTTTTTGGTGTATATAACAGTTCACAAGTCAGCATATGCTGATTAGCTGATTAGCTATTTGGCTAATTGGCTGGTGAAACAATTTGTTTGTTTCAGAGTGGTTTAGTATGCACCGAGGTAACACATTATGCACGCACGGGCACAGCGAGACAGCGAGACAGCAAAACAGCAATAAATCCAAAAAAGCTATATTGGCATAAATTTGAAAAGCCAGAGCATACATCGGAGAGAATCAGGGAGTGAAAGGGTGGGTGGAAATGGGTGATATACTATGAGGCTTTGGATACTATGGATACTATGGATTCTGCTACTAAGATTAATTACTGATACTGCTGACCCTAATGATACCACCGCGTCGAGCAGATAGCCAGATAACCAGTAGTAGTAGGGTAGTCAAGAAGATAAAGGGAAGGTTGAAGCATAAAAAAGAAAGAAAGAAAAGGAATACCAATTGAAGTTCAGCCTCAAGCTCAAGCTCACTGACTCTCATAATAGCCATTACGGAAAGCAGGGCTGGAGGGGGAGCGATGCGAGGGAAAAGATTTATGAGCGCCGTCGAAGCCACCTCTACCACGATAACCACCGCGATAACCACTGCCACCACCTCTACCTCTTCCGCCGCCACTACCTCTACCTCTTCCGCCTCTAGCTCTAGAGTAGAAAGGATTATCGAGGGATTCGCCGAACGTGTCAAGGTTCCTACATCTCTCCTCTTCACGCGCCGCCCTAGCGAGGAGTCTGCCGCTGTTAGAGTTGGAGTTGAGGTGGGTGTATTCGTGCTGCATCTGCGTTTGCTGATGAGGAGGCAACTGCTTCTGCATCTGGTGCTGTTTTTGTTGCCCAAAGCTAGTGGTGTTCGACGAGAGTGAGTCGAAGAAAGACGACGATTTGTTATAAGCGGGAGCGGCGGCAGTTTCTTGATCGACTTGGACGTGCTCCTCCTCTGCCGGGACACCACCTGCACTACTGACAGGTTCACCAGAGAGGAGATCCGCTGCATCGAGCTCCAACTCCAACTCCACATTCACGTCGCCTTCAACTCCTTCGTGCTGCCCCGTGTCCATCTTGCGGTGTATTTTCCTAAACACAGCATTCGAGCGCTCGAAATCGAAATCGGAGGGTGGAACAATGTGCGAGGAGTGAGACGTGTGCGATGATTTAGAGTGCGGTTGCGTGTGTCTTTTGGGGCGTGATTGTGCATGTGTTGGTTCACTAGGTCTGTCGTACAAGGACGCCTGCTTCTCTTTCCTGCTCGCTGCATTCATGACACCAGCCTCCTGGGCCACCTCTGCTCTAGCGTTAGCGTCATCCTTGAGCTTAATGCGCGACATAGCGTCTTCTATTTTTTCTGCACGGATAGGTTGGATGGGTTGATTAGATGGGGAGTGAACTGTGGGTTGTACTGGTTGAGCAGTGGGTGGCTGAGGAGTGTGTGTGGATGTTTGGGAAGTGGCCGGGACTGGGTGAGGTGGCTGTGCTGGTTGTGCGACCTGCACCTGCACTGGAGGGTGCGGTTGAGCTGGCGGAGGCTGCTGCGAAGGAGGACCATTAGGAGGACCATTAGGAGGGCCATTAGGAGGAGCATTTGGAGGACCATTAGGACCATTAGGGTAAGGCATGTAAGGTGGGAACATGTGAGGTGGAGGCGGGTAGTAGCCTGGCATGCCCGGCATTGGGGGGAAGCCGATGAAAGGGCGCTGAGGGGTGCCTGGGTGGGGAGGATTAGTTGGGTGAGGTGTTTGCTGTGAGGGTGTTTGTGCCTGTGGTTGAGCGGCTACTTTCGGAGAAGGGCGAGCGGTCTAGAGCGGGATTAGGTAAAAGACTTTTAAAATAAACGCCCAAACTCACACCAACAATAGCAGGATCATCTGGAATGCTGCTATTACCGCTGGTCACCGGTGGAGGTTGCTCGACTTGGAGATTCTTGACATCAGCCGCTTTGAAGACAATAAAGTCGTAGATGGATTCAGAGAGAGGAATATCAGACATATCGGTGACATCGTTCTTATTGCGTCTGCCTTCAGTTCCCATCGACTGTACTGTACAAGTTATTTTAGCCAATTGTCTGCTCTTTACTCCCTACACACCCTTCTGGAGAGAGATGGTCGCTGCGGTGTGGTCAATAGCCACCAGCGTGCCTTTGTAGCGTATCTCGGATTTAGACACGAGTGATATCCTCGAGCCGATGAAGTTTGAGGCCATGACTGTTGGTGGTTAAGGAGCAATTCAAAGTAAGATTAAATTTATTTTATTCTTTTACACCAATTATCCCACTTAGCCCACTCAGTCCACCCGCAGCTGCCCCAATCGCTGCTCCACCCAGCACTCCATTCACCATTCTCGCACGCCGCAAGACGAGCGTGGGCAGCGTGAGTGATCCCAGTACTCCTCCGATTATTCCATAGTCTGTAGCCTTATTCAGTGTTTTCTGTCTTGTTGTATGCGTGTTTCTCCCAGCATCCATCTCCCCCCTCAAATATCCTACAGCTCCCCCGACAGGCACTCCAATCAACGCTGCACTCATCCACGTATTCCTGAGCAGACTGTTCAAGCTACCTGTAACTTTCTTACGCCTCACCATCTGCACTATCTGAACCACAGGCGACACTCCACCCACCACCGCGAACCCATTTCCAGCATCTTGGATTATCACTGATTTTGACAAAGTGCCAAGTCCATTATCCTCCATTTTCACTTTTTCAGCAGCTGGGCTATTATGGGTAGACATGATCGAACAAGAGCAAAGTAAAGCAAAGTAAAGCAATAAAAAATATCAAATACGCAACACGTAAACTAAACAAACCACTCTATACAGTCCTCTCAACCAACTTAATTCCCTCCAACTCAAGCTTCTCCATAATAGGTTTGTTGATATGAGCTGAGTAAGGTGCGACGATACCTCTATCCTTGAGGGTGCCATCGAGGACAAGCTGCGTGGCCACACCGCAAGGCACACCAACGAGCTTTGCCATAGCAGTGTAACCGCCTGGCGTACCGTAATCGAGGAGGGTAGAAGTGCGTGTCTCCTTACGTCCATCAGCCCAAACGATACCGAATTTATGCTGGAGCATAACCATATCTCTCTCACCCTGCTCGTATTGCATCTTCTTTTCGAGCGTTGCGCACAGTGTGTCGAGGAGGTTGCCACGTGGTGTGGTCATCTCCGTACTGAAGAGACCTATCCAGCGCAATCCTGAGAGGATACGTTCTTCCTCGCTCTTGCTTGGGAATCCGACCTTATCAACGATAGCGCGACAGAGTGTGTCTTCTGAATCATCTGACACTCCCAATGCCTTTGCGGTTACTGTGTTCCATGGCGCACTCACTCCAGCATATTCCCTTGGTGAGTCATCCAAAAATCCTAACTTGACTAAAGCATTGATGAACTCTGGGAATCCCTGGTAGCGCAATGTACCCCTGACGAGATTGTTACATTCAGGGATACTGTAGAAATCGCGGAATGGCGTCGAGTCACGGTTAGGGTAAGCGACGAATGCGAAGGCAGGAGAAATGTAGTATGGTTGTGCAGTAGCCATCAACTCAGGTCCAGCTACCTCTTTAGCAGCACCCTCATGGTAGAACTTGGCTGTGTTGCGGAGAGCTAACAATACTCCTCTGCTAGACCAGCTGAACTTGTAACCGAGTGGATTGTCGGCAGATTCCGGTGCAGGCAAACCTCCACAGTACGACAGGAATGTGTCTATCTTACCACCATGTGCATGTACCTCATCGAACATCTTTACAGCGTAAAGATGATCGAGACCGGGATCGAGACCAATCTCATTCATAACTGTAATACCGGCCTTCTTAGCATCACCCTCGAGTTCCTTCATGGCGGGGCTAACGTAGGAGGTAGTGACAACATGTGTCTTGCCCTTGATGGCAGATTTGATGACATTGGCGTGGAAAGTGTATGGGATAAGTGAGACGACAACGTCAAATTGCGCAACGAGCTCATCGAGTGCTTTCTCATTACCCACGTCAATAGAAACAGCAGTAGCTCTGTCTAAACCGATAGCCATCTGTTGTGCAGTTTGCAAGGTACGACAACCGATAGTGAGGTGGTTACGTGCATCGCGGAGTAAATACTCAACGGCTGGGAGAGCAACGAAACCAGAACCAAGGAGAAGAACCTTTTTAGCCTCACCCTCAGCTTTAGCGACATTTGGAGCTACGTAACGACTGTCGTTGAGTGCAGAATCAGCAAACTGAGGCAATTGGAAAGCGCACTGGTGGATCTTTGAGTTGTAGTACTTGCAGTCAGGCACCTCTCTCAATGGCTTGCGGAGGTTACGAGAGCCATCCTTTGAGCAGACGATGAAACCAATCTGACCAGATGGGTAGGTGGGGATGGTAGTATAAGCGTACTCAGCAGTTGCGAAAAGTTCTCTTGTAGCGAGTCTAAGAGATTTAATGAGAGGAAGGTGTAACCAGATACATTCACCCTGAGTGGAAATGTGACCACCTTCTCTAAGGGCATTCTTGAGGAGTTCAAAGAAGGCCTTCTCAAATAAAGCAGCAGCAGGACCTTCAGGGTCGGAGGAATCGGTGATGATCACATCAAAGTAATTCTTCTTATCCTGGAGGAATTTGAAGCCATCGCCGATAAAGACGGTGACCTTTTCGTGGTTTAAAGCTTGAGCCATGTGTGGGAGATAAGCCTTTGAAACTCTCGGGACAGCTTCGTCGATGTCGCATAAAACAGCCTCCTGCACTTGAGGATGTTTGACGACTTCACGGAGAACACCACCATCACCACCACCAATAACCAAAACTCTCTGTGGGTTTGGATGTGAGGCCATTGGGAGATGGGTGATCATCTCTTGATATGAAAATTCGTCACGCTCAGTGCATTGAACAGCACCGTCGAGGACAAGAACATTGCCGTAGGATTGAGATTCAAAAACCAAAACATCTTGGAATTGGGACTTCTCAACGTGCAGAATTTTATTTACTTTAAGGGAGAGTGCTTGACCTGGCCATTGAGGGGATATCTCGTGGAACCAGTTGTCTGTGGGTGGGTATTAGAGGGTTATTATTGGTGTAAATATCCACACACTATTATCAATTGCAGGATGACTCAATGGAGAAGACATGATGGACGTAAGGGAGGAAGGATCTTTCTTAAATAAAAACAATCATGTCATCAACAGTGTTTAGACCATTTAGATTTTTAGTGAGAAATATATCCAACCAATCAGATCAATTCTAATTAACTCAATTATCAGCATCGTATGGCACATGAGCAACCAGTCTACTTGTGGTCATTTGGGATTGGTTTAGCTGGCCCAGTAATGGTTTTAGTTGTCCCTGAAATACGCAAATCTTTCTTCAACTGGAAGCCTGCTGATCGCTTGCCAACTTCATATCCCCGTGGGTGTTATTGTACACCTGAATATACCCATTAACTCACACACACACACAGTCCCAAACCGTGAGAGAAGGTTGGTTGCTGGTTTTGAGGATAGCCAGGATAACCAGTAAATTCTTGTACTATCTACGATAAATTCATTTCAATTTCATCCTTAGACCCATCCATCATGACTGATTTAGCTTCTCCTTCCACCTCACAGGCACCCCAGCCAGTTCACGTTTTTTACTGTGGTATTTGCCAGTTCCCTGTCGAGTACTGCGAATTCTCAAACTCTTTTAAGCGTTGCAAGCAGTGGTTGGAGGATGAGCACCCTGATGTCTACGCCGACCTCTACTCCGCAGATGCCCTGAAAGAAAAGATGGGCTCTCTATCCCTCGAGGCTGAGCAGAAGCTCGAACAAGACGTCGCAAAGAACGAAGCCAGAGCCGAGAAGAAGGCTCTCAAAGAAATTGAACAAAAGAAATCCTCCAAGATCACTATCATCCGTGAAGAGAGAACTAAACGCAAGGTTACCACCCACATACAAAACCTAGATGCTTTCAACGTTGACCTTAAACCCGCTGCCAAACTGCTAGCTCAAAAGTTCGCTACTGGTTCGAGCGTCACTAAGAACCCTCAAGGCAAAGATGAAATCGTTGTACAGGGCGACGTCACCGATGAAGTCGAGGATATGCTCCACGCTCGTCAGAAAGTACTCAGTACTCTACCCGAGAAAGTTAAAGTCGTCAAAGAGGATAAGAAGAAGAAGAAAAACACCGAGGAGGATCAGCAGCAGCAAGAATAAATTATCTGTTTATGTATCAAAAGATAGATGCACTACTTGTCTTAATTTCTTCCTTTTGTCGTGGCTTTTATCTTCTTTTTGGTATCTTTATGTTGAGTGTATTCGCGTACACCTAAAATATGCTTGTCTCAAGCGTCCACGTTCTTCTCGACCAAACCTTGACTTTATTCTGCGACTCTTTATCATCATCCTCCTCACCCCTGCTGAGATCAATATCGATTCCATCCCACCAGCATTTCCTAGCTGGTTTACGCCAAAATAGGAGAAGTTTCTGCGCCGTCATCATCTGGTTGTTATCGATTTTCGCCTCTTTATCCGGCCCCGCAATGATACCAGTGTTGAGCAAGACGAGAGCGATGGACGTAATGCAACATCTCGCCGGCTCCAGCGCTCTGTACCCCCATTTATCGTCTCTGCTAAAACCCGACATGCACAACATATCAATAAGATGTTGCTCCGCTACGTTATTCTCCTTGTTCACATTACGCTGCAACGCAGTGAATATCTTCTGCCTCTGGTGCAAACTGTGCCCAGCATCCAACTTTAATTTGAATAGCGCCTCATTCGGTGTACCATTCTCCAGTGTCCGCGCGGGGGAATCGCGCTGCGGAATGACAAAATACTCGAGCTCCTCCCTCAAAACTATGACAGCCTGCTTAGTGAGAAGGGGATTGTTAGCGAGTTCGTATGCCCATTGCGTGTCGTATGTCCCGTTGGGCGAGGGTGTGATTAACGACTGATGATACTGTATTGTGCCGGGACTTGTGGCTGTGCCGTAGAAATCTGTCGCTGCTTGTTTGAAGAAATCGATTACGTATCTGAAGCACTCAGGATCGAACTGTGTAGGTTGTGTGAGTGGTGTGATATGCCTTGCTCTACTGCACACTCACATCCACATAGTATATGTCATCCTCTACACTCTCATCCTCCTCAGAAGTAGACGTGTTAGGTGGCTTCGATAGTACCAACCCATTCGGGAATAGACATAGCAGCACCGATTCAGGCATATTCATCAGCTGATCGCGCTCGACGACGAATGAGTGTCCTCTGAGATCTAAATTTAATTTCATGACCAGCTGCGAGCTGAGATCAACGCCATTTCCTGTATCCATTGTGGAGATTGTGGGTGTCGTGGGTGTCGTGTGTTGTGGTCGTGGTGGTTGGGGTTAAGAGGGGATAAGAGATGAGATGAGCGCTGTAGATGAGAGATGCGAGATATATGAGGGATAAGAATGCTTAGACTCGTTCTATGTTTCAATATAACTTGCACATTTCCACCTTCTTGCAGCCAAACACCCGTGACCAATAAACCCGTCGGTAGAATCACTCAGCCATCTAGCCCCATTAACACACCTTCAACAGCCACACGTACAATGTCCACCTTCAGCAGATTCGCTAGCTGGGCCAAATCTCCCGCAGCGAGGGAGTACTTCTTCTCCACCCATTTCTGGGGTCCAGTAGCCAATTGGGGATTGCCATTAGCTGCTCTAGCCGACTTACGAAAGGATGAGGAAATCATTTCTGGCACCATGACAGCCACGATGGTTGTTTACTCTACAACTTTCTCCAGATTCGCGTGGAGAGTAAACCCACGCAATTACTTGCTTCTCGCTTGTCACGCTACAAACGCAGTAACCCAGTCTGTCCAAGCCCTTAGATTCTCCAATTACTGGTACTTGGGCGGAAGAGAGGGTAGGTTGGCTGAGAAAGCTTCGCTTGGTGCAGACGCTGCCAATGCCGGTAAATAGATAGACGTAATGGATAATTGACAATGCATGGATATTCTGATTCCTTATTCTTACTCGTGCTCTAACTTGTACTTGCACTTGTACTTGCACTTGCACGCTAATTTACCTCCTCCGCTTTCACAATCAACGCCCCCGGATGGCTGGGATCTTGCGACGGTGATGCTCCGATATCCTTCAACCACTCCTCCAGCTAAACTGCAAGGTGATTGCTGACGTCTTTCATTTGCCGACTGGGCACGATACCCGTCAGCAATCTAAGGTCCCTCTCTGGGAACTTATGCGCCGTCTCTACTACCACCTCTTTAGCCTGCTCGAGAGTCATCTGGGCGACGTCGGTGATCAAAGCGGGAGGTATTCTAGTAACTCTGCGTATCTCAATGCACCCAGCGACGTTATCATCCACCGTGTAATCCACTCCTAGCTCATTGAGATAGTCGCATATCGCTTTCTCCATATTCACATCCTCGACAACGGGCACGCCTTCGCCCTCCTCACCTACCACTACAGGCCTGCTTCCTAGTGGTAGCTTGATGTCGACGCACTGATATCGCAGAAGCGCATCGTCTACTATCTTCTTGGCTTTGTGCAAACTACCCGCACCGTGGCAATCTACTTGAAAACGCTGCGAGTCTAGCGCGTTAGAGTGCGAGCGCTGCATCGTGTCACTTCTAATTTTGTTTATTTGCTCCATTGTGGAAACTGTTCAACTAAGGTGGCGAACAAGTTGAAAGAATGAGTGCCTGAGTGGCTACTTATGTCATGGATCAGAGGCAGAAATCAATTCAATTCAAAACATCGAATACGTCTAAGAGTGGTGCTTTTTCATGTTAAAATTACAATTCTATATTCTACTTCTTCTCTGCTTGCTTCTTCCTATAATCTTCAACCATCTTCATTTGGATGTTTGGTAAGACTGGCTGGTGGTCCTTGTACTCCATTGAGAACTCCCCTTTGCCTTGAGTGAGACCTCTGATATTCGACGAGTACCCAAACATATCGTTCAGAGCTACTTCACAGATGAGTGTAAATTCTTCATCTCTAATCTCTGTGTCTATGATAGTACCTCTTCTTTGATTGATCCCGCCAATAACCGATCCTTGGAACTCTATTGGAGCTACTATCTCCACCTTCATGATCGGCTCAAGAATCACTGGTGATGCTTTATGGAACGCGTCTCTGAACGCTCCAGCTGAGGTGATCCTGAATGCCATTTCAGACGAATCCACAGGATGGTGAGCACCATCTTCGACAATCATCTTCACTCCTGTCGTGTTATGTCCAGATAATGCACCTTTAGCCAGAGCGTCGTGGAATCCCTTCTCAATTGAAGGCATGTAGTTGTTAGGTATGTTACCACCAGTAACTCTATTCTCAAATCCAACGTCTTTGCCATTCTCATCCACACTCATTGGCTCTAACCTACCAATCATCTTACCGAATTGTCCAGCACCACCCGATTGTTTCTTGTGCGTGTATGCGAACTCTGATGACTGCGTGATGGTCTCCCTGAATGCTACCTGAGGTTTACCCACTTGGCAGTCGACTCTGTACTCTCTTCTCATTCTTTCGACATAAATATCCAAGTGTAGCTCACCCATTCCGCTGATAATTGTCTCTTGCGACTCGCTATCAACGTGCACTCTAAATGTCGGATCCTCCTTCTGGAATCTGTTTAAAGCCTTACTGAAATTTGGCGTCTCCTGTCCACTTGGTTTGATGGACAACGACACGACAGGATCTGGTACGAACATGTTGGTCATTGTGTATGAAGTAGTGCCATCAGTGAAAGTGTCACCTGAGCTACACTCTACACCGAACATAGCGCAAATTTCACCAGCACCGATTGAGTCGACATCCTCCATATCGTTACTATGCATTCTCACCAGCCTTGGTACTTTAACCTTCTTGCCCGTGCGAGCATTGAAGATGACGCCGCCTCTCTTCAAGACACCCTGGTAGACTCTCATATATGTCAATTGACCGAATCTGCCTTCTTCGAGCTTGAAAGCGAGACCGACGAGTGCAACGTCAGATGCTGGTATGACTTGGACGGGTGGACTGTTGACTGGCAGCTTAGTATCAGTCGCTTCGACAGCGACCTCGGATGGATCGGGCAGGTATGCACAGACACCGTCAAGCACAGGCTGAACACCTACGTTCTTGAATGCACTGCCGACATATACGGGTGTGAATTTACGCGTGATTGCCGCTCTACGTATACCAGCAGCGAGGTCGTGGTTACTGATAGGCTCCTCCATAATGAGTTTGTCTCCAAGAACCTCGTCTGCGTCACAAATTTGCTCAACGAGTTCTTGTCTCTTTTGCTCGGCGAACTGCTTGAGATCAGCTGGGATCTCATCAGTCTCGACGACATCCACACCCTTGTATCCGTGGTTGTAGATAGCCTTCCATCTCACAAGATCAACAACTCCTCTCAGATTGTCCTCTGCTCCAATTGGTACCTGCACAGCTGCAGCGTTCAATCTGAGTTTCTGTCTGATTTGGTCAATCACTCTCCATGGATTCGCTCCTGCTCTGTCCATCTTGTTGATAAAACAGACACGAGGGACATTGTAGCGCTTCATCTGTCTGTCGACGGTGATAGTCTGCGATTGGACACCTGAGACTGCACACAGAACCAATACTGCGCCATCGAGTACTCGTAATGCTCTTTCAACCTCTATAGTGAAATCGACGTGTCCGGGCGTATCAATGATATTAATAGCGTAGCGCTCCTTCTCGCCTCCCTCGCCCATACCGTCTTTTTCACCAGTAAGAGATCTTTCAAGAGCGGGTGGAGTAGCTTCCCAATCACAGAATGTGGCAGCCGATTGAATAGTAATTCCCTTCTCTCGTTCCAGCTCCATATGATCCATTTTGGCACCAACGCCGTCTCTTCCTCTGACCTGAATGGTGTGCGATTAGGTGGGCCTTATCTGGCGCAAGCAGACGCACCTCGTGGATATCCTTTACTCTGCCAGTGTAGTAAAGCACGCGCTCTGTGAGTGTTGTTTTTCCAGAATCTGTAATCCATTTGAGCAAATGGAGCGAGAAGACAACCAAGGCAACCCACCAATGTGAGCGGATATACCGATGTTGCGCTGTTTGCGCAATCTGGCTAGATCGATATCAGTCAACTCTACAGCTTCTGGCGGTGGTTGGTTTGATGTTGGCGCAGAAGAAGCCCATCTGAGTATATGTGATGGGGTGGCAGCAGCAGGCATAGCGCCAGGTGTGCCAATGCGCATCTGAGATACGGTGGCTCTAAGTACTCCACTGAGCGCTCCACTGCGAGCTACTCTGCTCACTCTCGCCGCTCTGCTAATCATAATGCTCGACTTGAAGGAAGAGGCGTCTAATTTGAAATTGAAAAGGGATAGAAATACAAAGTCAGGACTGTTCCATCCAAATAAAGCATTTATTATTCGTCATTTTTTGGTCTCGTTATTTATTTTGATAGCGCTGAAAACACCTCTCCCGCTCTCACAGCGCCTACAGAGAGAAGACTGTCTGAGAGTCCGTGAGACTGTTCATTCTGACCAAGACAGAACACGCGTGGTTTAAACACTTCCTCACTCTCCGGCGCAACGTAGTAATTACGCTCAACCAATGGTGGCACCTTAGCGCTGGGCTCGAGTTGCGCTACAGACAGAGCTGTCTTCAGTTTAGGTAGGTATGGCGACACGTCTCGCAAAAACTCCAGCTGCGTTGGTGGACGCTCATATCCAGTTCCTAAAAAGACGGCATCATACTCTTTTGATACTGGTGTCTCAAGATTTTCACGGTCGTTAAAGTCCAGCGTAGATTGTATGTCAAGTATCGTACGCTTACCGTTGAGCTTAACGGCTGTCACTTTGCTGTTTGACTTGATGTTGTATTGCGCTGCTGGGATGGGCAGTCCTGCATCTCTGGCTATGTCCTCCTTCACCCGCTGCTTGTAAAGAAGCTTGTAGAGCCCTTCGAGAAGCTCCGGTGCAACACACGAGTAATTGGCCCTCTTAAACTCTTCTAAGCGCTCCATCCTGGCTTGTGGAGTGAGTCTGTTGAACTCATCCGTCGAAGCTGGATCGAAAGCTCTAGCATTGACGAACGGACTGTCATCAGCTGGGACGAGTGCCGAGGCTCTGTAGATAAGATCGACGTTGGCATTTGGATAGCGATTGATGAGGTCGTTGTATACCTGCCAATTTTGTCAGTCAATGTTTACTTCAGAAAATCAACCCACCTCTGCTGAGGACTGTCCTCCACCAATAACTGCAAAGCTGCCATTAAACTCTGTGTTCTCTTCATGGTGACCAAACAAGTATCTGAGTGTAGGAAGGTATTGACATGTGTGAGTTATCGCATTGTTTGCTTTTTCAGCAGTGGAGAAGACTTGTGGAATCTTAGGTATAGCGCCTACTCCGACAGAGATGTTTCGCGTGTATCTTACGTGGATAGTCTCAGTAGGATAGTGTACCGACGTGACACGAAGTTTGTGCACCTTAGTGTCCTCAATGACTGGCTCGACATTGAGAACGCGAGTGGAGTATTCGACCACGTCACTCAACCTTTCAGCAGCCCAAGTAAGGTATGCTGCCCATTCAGTACGAGACGGCGTCCAGCATCCGATATTCGAGAAACCGGCTAAACGATCAATACCATGAGAGTGAAGGTAGTTGACGAAGGTGTAAGTTGAAGCAGGGTTACGGAATGTTGCGAGATCCTTTAGAAAGCTAATTTGCATCCTAGATGCAGGTAATAAAAGTGGAGCATGCCTATTTTTCGGTGTCAGACAACTTTATCTTATCTGATCAGATAAAAATTATTCCGCAGAACTCACCAGCTGAATTCATCCTTAACTTCCATAAAGAGACATTTTTCACTTTCGCTGCTGCTCTCTTCATGTGCGATAGCGAGTGCGAGATGTGTCGGACCCAGACCGACTCCAATCAAATCATATAAGCTGTCATCCTCGACGCGAGGGAAGCGCTCAATGCTTGGAATAGGCGTAGAGGGAACGCTGTTAGGTGGTGTGGTCAAGCCGCTTGGAGGTTGTGCAAACATCGTCTGTCGTCTTCGTCAACGCTGACTTCTTCTTTATGAGAGCAGGAACTGCGAGCAATACTTACACAATCTAGAAGATCGTAAGCATTTAGGTATACTTGATGATACATACGCCTACTTACATCTTTATAAAATGTCCTAGGATAAGGATCAATATCAAGAAATTATCAATCTAATCACGATCAGATTTTTTTTATCCATCTGGTGCCTGGCATTGGAATACCCTATCGGCCTTTTCGGTCTATGGGCAAATTTACCGACTAAAGTTTGTCCTTCCAGGAAAATGCAAGTTCTGTGATCTGATAAGCATGTCTGATCTCTTATCCGTCTTTCGAGATAAGATAATAATCACTTAGATCGTACCTGAACTCGCTAATTTACTGTGTTTGCGCATAAATTAAGTACATTAGCCCTCTCATATTCTGTTATATAATCGGAGCGCGGCAGGCTTTTTCGCATAAAACAAGATTATATTAAAGGGTTCTCCGAAGTCACACCATCTGACAGTTCAAATTTGAAGTGATTATATAGCTACATGAATACATTGATATAAGTACATCTAAAAAACACCGCCAAGTCTAAGCTCTAGCTCCTCTACTACGTTTACCTGTTGTTGCACCTGCAGAGACAGCAAGGCTCCTTCTTGGTGCATTTCCGGTCATTCTCGTTTCAGTCCGCTAAGACCCCAAAGTCAGTATCGCCTGAAGCACCATATAAGAAAATACACCCACTTCAATCAAAGATGTTCCGTCCCTGAATCTAGCTCTAAATATAACATTGGCGTTGGAGAATAGTCTGTGCGTTCAGTCGGTTAGATGGTGGGCGGAAAATATCATATGAACGTCCTTACCCTTCTTTAAGAGAGACGACGATGAATTGCGAGCCTCTGAATCTGTTTCTAAATAGATGACCAATGTGCTAAAACATCTACATTAGCCCAAGTCACCACTCAATTGTTATGAACACACCTGCGTGTGCGACAAATCGAGCGCTGCATCGATCTCATCTAGAATGTACATCGGTGCAGGACGGAACTGCAACAAGCTCATAATGAGAGAGAGAGCAATCAGAGATCTGTTGAGATAGTTAGAGAAGACCCTTCAGATATGCATGATATTGCCTACCTCTGACCACCCGACAATTCAGTCAGCGACTGCTTCCATATCTGACCAAGTCTGACCTTGACTTCCAATCCTTGCGTGAGTTCTTTACCTTCAGGTGGCTGCAACTTTGCAAAGTTTCCTGGCAAGAGTTCGGCAAAAATTTCACCAAAGTCCTTATTCACAATCTTCCAAGTAGACTGCAGAGCTTCCTTCTTGTAGTGATCCAACTCATGAATAGTATCTTCAATCTTTTCCTTATCACCGAGGATGGTCTCCATCATTGTCTTGAGCGCCTGTTCTCTCTTTTCGACGGTATCGATCATAGTCATAACTTTACCGTTAATTTTGTTCTTTTGCGACTTTTGAGACTCAGTCAGCTCATTCCGTTGTTTAGACGCTTGCTGAATGTTGATTTTGTGAAAGTCGTACACTGAGCCCTCCCTTCCGAATTCATCCTGCTCGTCCGATATCCAATCGTAGGATTTATCAAGTGCTTTGAGAAGAGCTGCATGTTTCTTGGATGCTTCCTTGGCATTGGCTACCTCCTTATCGACCGTTTTAAGCGATTGCGTGCCGGACTGGATGTTAGATTTCATCGTGGAGAGCGATACTTCTAAAGCAATTAGCTCATCTTTGTAGGTGTCTAGTTGATTCTTCTCTTTATTAAGTTTGGCTTCAGTCTGGTCATGCTGTTTCTGCTTTTTGTTGATTTCATCGTCAAACACCTTCAACTCAGCTTCTGCACTAGCTAAACCTTCAACTGCCTCTTTATGCTCATCCATACAGCCATCTCTATCTACACCCAGCTGCTCAAGTTCTAGCTGTGCAGTTTGCACCTCCTTTTGCTGGCCTTTGATAGAGGTCGATTGTTTTTGCACATTCTTACGACGCTTTGCTACGTCCGCCTTCAGCTCTTCCAGCTTACCCCCTCTATCATTCTTGAACTCTTCCATTTCTCTCTCCAGCTTGTCACAGTCCTTTGTGGCCTGTGACTCTCTCTCCTTGGCCTTTTTGGCTGTAACTTCAGCATCCTCCAATGACTTCCTCAACTCTTCAAGATCATTTTGAAGTCTAGTAGAGCTGCTTCCATTTAGCTGTTCCTCCAACAGCTCCAGCTCATGCTTCTTGAGATCGTGTTCACGTTTCAACTTTGTGTTGCGACTCTGCTCGCTCGACAACTTGCCAATCTCATCCCTGATACCCTTAAGCACACTCTGAGCATCCCTCAGTTTGATGTTTGCATCCCTCAATGTCTGAGCTCTGACTAGGATACCTGATCCGGATGGGGCGCTACCACCACTGAGCACACCTGAGGGATCGTAGACATCGCCCTTCAATGTCACACTCCTTGATTTGACATTTGGATGGAAGGTAACTTTCTGAGCTGTCTCTGCATCTGCGCACACCAAAGCTTCACCGAAGACATACATCATCGCAGTAGCAACTTCTGGCTCAGAACCTACCAAGGAGATGGCAGAGTGTACTTTCCCTGGAGCAAGCTTTTCAGCTGTTGACAGCTTCTCTGCTGACATTGTTGACGGCTTGATTTTGTTAAGCGGGATAATCGTGACACGCTTACGAAGTTGTCCTTTTTCAAGCAAAGCTGTTGACACCTTCTCATCTTCTACGACGACCTGCATGTAGTTAAGTTTAGGTAGTTGGATTTTGATAAAACTCACATTGTATAAACGTCCACCAGCACATACTTCCAACGCCGTTGCAAATTGTGTGTTCTTGGAATCCAAGTCTATCAGATTGGCCACCAAGCCGTGCACCTTTGAGCGATCAAAGTTCGGATATGGATTGCTGTATGAGAAGTCTAATGCTGACATTGAACCCTTGAGACGCTCACACTGCTCTGCAAGACCATTGACGTTCTTAGCTTGCTCCTTCTCTTCAGATTGAAGGGATTGTATCTTTTCCTCATCCCAGTCAAGACTATTTAGCTCGTTGACAAGTTTCTCGAAGGCACTCTTAACTCTAGTTATTTGTTTTGAGAGCTCCTCAGAATCAGATGTAGTGTCTTTGACTCGCCTCTCTTTGTCTTTGATTTCCTTCTTCAAGTGATCCTTCTTAACTTGAGATTGCTGGTATTCTGTCGCACCTTGAGTTGCTCTAGACTTGGCTTCTTGCATCTGACCCAAGAAACCACCAGCACCAGTGTCGTCCTTTGACGATGAAGCCAGACCGGTTTGCAGTGTCTGAAGGAGTTCTTCAGCTTTAGCTAAGGCGTCAACTGAACTTTGGTAGGATTCATCGACAACCTTGAATTTGTCGGTGGTGGACCTGGTTGTCTTTTCTTTATCTTTGTAAGTTTTTTCTGACGACTCAACGGATTTTAGTAGTCCCTCCATATTCTTTTTTTCTTCAATGATATTTTCCCTCTTTATATCAGCTTGGGCACGAGACTTGACCAGTTCGGTAGACAGCTGCTTTACAAGCTTGTCTAGTTCAGCGAGCTTTCCATCCTTAGCTAGCTCCTTCTGCTGAGCTTCCCTGATGTCCTTAATCTTATCCTCATACATGGTTTTGTCTCTTTTCCATTGCTCAATATCTCTTTTTAACTGCTCATTTGAGTCCTTGACTCTTTTAACATCAGCATCAGCATTGGTGACTGATTTCTGGTGGTAGCACCAATCATGCGCAACAACCAGTCTATCCAGGCGTTCCAACTCAGCAGAAGCTTTCTGGTAAGACAAGTAGGCTGACTTTTCAGAACGCAGCTTATCCAAACGAGGGATGATCTCCTCCTTGAGTTGAGATTCAATCTCAGCGACCTTCCTTTGTTTCTTCTCCATGGTCTTGTATGCTTTCTCCTTCCTATCCTCATACATACGCGTACCGGCAGCTTCCTCCACCATAGAAAGAATTTCCTCTGGCTTCATGTTGAGCACCTTGGTAATTTTACCCTGCATAATAAGGAAGTTGGGGTTGTTGATGTTGAGTTGCACGGATTGGAAGAGAGAGTGGACAGAATTGAGATGAGATTTGTGGCCATTGATGAGGTATTTAGATATACCGCCCATAGCGATCTATAAATCGCGTCAATTTATCGCAAAACGCGTAAAAATGAACTCACTTGTCGCGTCACGCTGATAGACGAAGCAGCTTCATAACCAACGGGGCTCTTACTTTTGTCTGAGTTATCGAAAACTATCGTAACGCTTGCTTTGGTGATACCCGCTTGGCCTCGCTTGTAAATGAGATCTTGGAGGTTGCTGGCTCTGACTGTCTGTAGATTTGTCAAGCCGAGTACGAAACAGATGGCGTCAAGGATGTTTGATTTTCCTTGAAGGATTTGTTAGATGTTTACATTACAACCTAATCACCCACCAGATCCATTCAATCCTGTTATCGCGTTGAATGAGCTATCCCAACCACTTATAACTGTACGATTGACAAAACTCTTGAAGCCCTCTGCATAGGTATATCTCAGCTAACACTAGAGCGATTATCCAATCAAATCTCACCAATAATAAGCTCCTCCACACGCATATTATGATTGTCAGTACACAAGAAGCCAACACGCGTTTTTTGAAGGAAAAACAGAGATCAATTTGTTCTATATAATGCTTCAGTAAATAATAATATTTCAGAGATGTCAGTCACATTCCTATCTTTTCTGGGTTGTTTAGATGCGGCTGCAGTTCTAGTGTTGGGAGGTAGAGAGCAGCGGAGGTGTAATGATGTACCCATGATAGCAATCCCACGCCTAAAATACCCAATAATTTTCAAGAAATTACCGAATTGAATTTCGACGTCACTGCTAGATTTACAGCTCAACTACCATCTGTCATTATGTCCCAAAGGTTTAACGCCGGTGCAGGGCCAAGCTACGCAGCAGCAGCCAATCCAAGCACCCAGTATGATCAAAATTCCTCCGGTGGCGGTCCATTGGGCAACCTCAAAGAAGTTGCCAGCAAAGTGGGTCAACTCACGCATACACATACGTATCTCACAGAATTACGAAAAGTTTGAAGACTTCATTGACACCTACACACAAGGTCTCAAACCTTATCTTCCTGCCTTCGGTAGATTTCTCATTGTCGTCACTTTCATTGAAGACGCCTTGAGAATATTGACGCAATGGAAGGATCAGATGTGGTATTTGCAGAGACATCGCCATTTCTTTTGGATCTTAGCTTTCAGTTTCCTCGTTATTAACGTTGTCGTTATGTTGGCTTGTTCATTTTTGGTGGTTAGACGCCAGCACGCTTTATACGCAGTTGGAGGATTACTTGGTGTTGTCGTCGTTCAAGGTTTCGGCTATGGCCTCATTTTCGACTTGAACTTCTTTTTGAGAAACCTTTCCGTGATTGGTGGTCTCATGATGGTTCTATCTGAATCATTCATCAAGAAGAAGAACATCTTCGCTGGCCTGCCTTCTATTTCTGAAACTGACAAGCGCAAGTACTTCCAATTAGCTGGCAGAGTTCTCCTCGTTTTCCTCTTTATTGGCTTCGTCGTTCAGGGCGAGTGGTCACTCATCCGTATCATCTTCTCCGTCATTGGATTGCTCGCTGTCACCTTGGTTGTCGTCGGCTTCAAAACCAAGTGGTCTGCTACCTTCCTCGTTCTCCTCTTATCTATCTTCAACATCCTCATCAACAATTGGTGGTCTATGCATCACGCCCACCACCAGCGTGATTTCCTCAAGTATGACTTCTTCCAGACTCTCTCTATTGTCGGTGGTTTACTCTTGCTCGTCAACATGGGTCCAGGTGGCATTTCTGTTGATGAGAAGAAGAAAGTTTACTAGTTTCTTCTTTGATAGTCGTGTTCAAGTTAATTGTTAATGCTAAAATACAAATTATAAATACTACTTTTGCTATATAGGCGCTTCAATTACTTCCCAGTAATGGTTGTCTTTCATTTGGCGGAGTTGACTGTGGGGGTGTTTCATTATCCTCGGCGTGTGTGGTACCCCTGACTCTGATATCAGCCAGTGTGCACTCCCTATTCCAGTTAATACGCGAGACAATCCAGAGGACAGCGATAAAATTCAAAAAGAGCGCTATGGACATACCCAGCCACAAACCGACAAGTCTGTCGCTCTGAGCACTGGGCCAAGGCCAATAGCTTTCAGGATTGACTCTAGGTAGGAATGCCAAACAGACAGCCAACGGTAATCCAATGATGTAGAAACCAGTTATTTGAATGACTGCACCCATTAGCTGTCGACCTGTTGTCCTTAGTATACCCAAGCAAGATGAGATGGTGCCATCCGTGAATTGGAACAACGCAACAAGGGGTAAAATATTAGCAACTAGCTCTATAACGTCGCTGTCAGAAGTAAAAATCTTGGCAAATGACTTCCTAAAAATCAAGAAAACAAGCGCATTTATCAACGCCATGGCGAAGGAAAATTGGATCGTAGCTTTAGTGGCGGCCGATGCTCTATTGGGTAGAAATTTACCCATAAGGTTTCCAATCCTGACTGAACTGGCAACACTGAGTGCTGACGGCAGCTGGTAGCTGACTGACGAGCTAGTATTTATAACGGACTGAGCTGCTAAAGCCGTAGGGGAAATGAAAGATGCTGCAAATGCCAAACCTTCCCATGCAGCCCATTCACTAAGTGTCATTGTCGCAGCAGATGCGCCGAGCTTGGGTAAGAGTTAGTCTAAAGTCACGTCTAGAAAAAGAAATGCTTAATCACCTTGAAGCAGACGCCGAGATCTTTGAACATCAAATGACTGAATCCGCCCCAAGTACCCTGTCTGGTTTTAGGGTTGAGGACAACATATGCGAATAGTAGGATCGCAATAAGATCAATACATGCCGCTGACGCAATAGGGCTACCAATGAATCCCAGACTAGTCTTCCAGACAAGAAGGTATTGCAGGAGCATGTTGAGAGGACTAATGACTATCAGGACGATTGTAGGAATGTGCATGTTGTTGCAGCTTTGCAGAAACTTCCTGAGCAGCTCAAAACCAGCGAATCCAGGCAAAGCAACTGTGAAGTATCTCAAGTAGGTACCAGCAAGGTGGGCGACTTGAGGATCTTGTCCGATAGATAGTAGAATACGCTCGGAGTTGATCCATACAGCGCTAATTGGGATGAGAAGGAGGAAGATTACGACTGTCATGCGCTAGCAATTAACGAAGTTAGGAGACAAAAGAGGTTAAAATGGAAACATACACTTGTCCAGATTCCAACCAAGGCAGGATTGCTAGATGCATAGCTGGTGGCTAACAAGCTATCCAAACCGGTCGCGAAGCCTTGAATAAGAGCGAGACCTGTGACTGCTGCAGTCATAGAGGATAAACTCATGGCAGCTAATGCCATCTTATCAATGTGCCCTACTGAGAGTACGCTAGCAACATTTAGCGAGTACTCAAGTAAATGAGTAAGCCAAATAGGTATGAGGTAGATGCTAATGATGCGGAGCTCGGTCATGACGGTGGAATTGTCAACCTTGTCATGATCGTAGGAGACTGGGATAGGGGTGTGAACTTGAGGAGGTTGTTGGGGATTGAGTATGGATTGTCGCTGTCTGGCGATTTCCTCGTCCATTTCGTTGGAAACACGCTTGGATGAAGATTTATATTGTGTTTGCTGTGTGTTGCTAGTGCGCTCGTCAGTGATGCTATCATGGCTACCACTTTCGCCATCTGGCTCGTTTGCGTCGTCGCTATCTGAGTGACCAAAAATGGATTCTAGCGTGTTAAAATCTCTCGGTATAGAGGATGAATAAATAGATGATCTCCGCATATCGCTTGTACAGAGGTGATGGTGGTGAAGTAGCGAGGAAGTGACGGAGAATAAACATCTGAATACACACAAGTAAAATTGAAGTGTTAATCAATTATTTGTATCTACTTCACTCTCACCGAAACCATCATCATCATTGGAAACGATCTTGTGGATCTATCACAATGGATAACCACAAATTATTCATTGGGAGCACTTACGATGGTTTGTTAGTCCTTGAAGCTTCTAGACTCGGTTTGCTACCACGTGGGTGCTCACTATCGCACCTAACACACACGCTGAGCATTGCTCACTAATAGGAGTAACCAGAAGACTGAAGGAGTCTGAGCGTCGTCTGGTACAGTCTGGCTCTGTATTTGTCTTTGACGAGCACGAGTCTGGTATCAAAAGGTGGACAGACGGTCTGATCTGGTCGCCGTCTAGAATACTCGGAAACTTCCTTATTTATAGAGAAACCCACAAACCGAAGCGCAATGCTACTGCGTCTGTCAACCAACAGCAATCTTATTCATTAGAAAGTTTCAACTACGATCCCAACAACCAAAACAGCTCAGACGATGAAAATGAGTCGGAGAAAGCAAAAGAGAGGTCTCTCGTAGGCTCACTCACCAAATCCGACATGTTCAAGTCTAATGGGTTGGTCAAAAAGGTTAGTAATTTGGTGTACCTTAAATTTATAAGTCCGTGTCTCACAAAGAATCCTAGACTATGTCTCTTAGTTTTAACGGTTCCGCGCAGCATCTAATATCATACTATAGAGTAGAAGATGTTCAAAAGGGCAGATTGAGATCACCTTCGACTCTACCAGAGTTCCAATCTCTGGCCATATCCCAAGAATATCTCGTTAATTCAAATTTTAGATGCCCAATTAGAACAGAAGTCGACCCCGACGGACTTCTGAGGTATAGGGGCGAGCAGGAGGATTTTTCTCAGTATAGTCCACCATCGATCCAAGCAGCACTATCAAACTATCAAGCACAGATGTCGCAGCAGCATCAGAAGTCTAAAGCACGCCGGTCCAGCCATCCAATAGCGGGTAACAGGTCGCCACCATATGCAGCTGCATCGCCATCGGCTTCAGGTATTGGGAAGTCTTCACCGACGTCTCTGAACAACCACAGATATACGCCGTATGGTAGTCCACCTTCGAGACATATTTCCAGCTTACCGATGACGATACAGGCGGTGTCGCCTGTGTTGCCACCGTCTTCACCACCTGTGCATAGAGGCATGTTGCGGCCACCTTTCGACTATTATGACAGCGCTAATGCGCAAACAACTCCTATAGGCCGAGTGAGCTCTTCTGCTCCACTTGCGGGCCATGCTCATGCTCATGATCATGCTAATAACCACAGTCAACTTCACGCTCACGCTCACGCTTATCAAATCCCAGCGCCACCTATTCAATACTATGCACAAACCCATCCGAATAACCCATCAAGCTGAATAGAATCTCCATCAGTAATAATTTTTAAATTTACGGTAATTGTAATATATCTTTCTTGCTTAAGCTGCTTCTACCAATGACTTGTATTAACACTCTAGTTTACTAAAGAAATGAATTATAAAGTACATAGGAAGAAAAGGCGTTAATTAATTTAGAATTAAAAGTGTGTTTATAGGGTAATGAATGGGGTATGTAAACGATAGTACCAAGATATATCTATATGAAAATTTGCACGATACGAGGCAAATCACTGCACGTCAACAAGATTGTTAGACTCAGCGAACCAACTGTCACGGAACTGAGGTTGGCCGTTTGTTTGATGGCCGTTAGGCATCTGCCTTGGCTGTTCATTCTCATTGGGCTCCGGTGAGTCATCGTCGTTAGACATTCTGACTACCTCGATTCTGTCCTGGACGTTCGTAGGAGATACTTCAGCTCCCGCAGCTGCATTTACTGGGAATTGTGATAGCAGCGGCGACTGGCGTGGTGTTTGAGAGTGTGTATGGTGGAAATGGCTGTTCATGACCATATATCCAAGCAATTGCTCAACCTTTCCATTCAATGTCTTCATATCTCTCTGTATACTGTGTATCTCGTTCTTCAGTCCTGACATCTCCTTCGGTGTGCGCAGTTCAATCGAATCTAGTCTAGATTTCAAGACATGGAGCTGGTCAAGAGCGATGCCATTGGCGAGGTTATTGCTGTTTGTTTGGTTGGAGGTATTGATAGATTGGCTAATATTCTCGATAGTAGGTGTCAGCGGTGAGACTGTCGAAGAAGTGTTGTGGTTGTGAGTGTTGTGGATGTTGTGAGTGCTGTGAGTGCTGGCTGAAGATGCAGACGAAGGCGGAGGAGCAGATACAGATGCAGACGCCGCCTGGCTAGCAGCGTGGCTCGCAGCATTTGCAGACGTTGCGCTATATCTTCCCTTTCTCCTCTTCTGGCCGTCTTCTCGTCTAGGCGCGGGTGATTGAGGCGGAACGAATGTCTGATTTGTGGTTTCCTTTAGTGTTACTTTGATAATCGCGTCAATATGGATATAGTCAGCTTATAAGCACCCACAATCAGCCGTGCTATTTGTCCTGGTACCGTTCGCAGCAGCAGTCCTAAGATCGTCAGGAACAGCACCCTTGCAAGCAGGAAGATGTTTTCTGATACGATCCGGGGTTGTAGAATGAGCGTTAGCGCCACCGCGCTCAGGAAATACTTTGCAGAACGTGCATCTAAGCCAACAAAGCCTATCCTGTTCATCGTGTACGGCTTCTAGGTAGCCCTTGAATGGAGTATTATCAGTCTGGCGCGCAGATTGAGCTTTATCACCATTGACAGTATTTATAGCTTTCGACACAGAGCTCTCGTTATCAGACTGCGAAGACGTGGATTCCTTTCTTGACTGTCTCTGCTTGGGCATCCCATTACCACCGATGTTGTTGGCGGTGTTGACGTAAGGATGATGGTAGACACTCTGTGTAGACCTACGCCGCCGTTGAGGACCACCAACATTGCTGCTATCGTTGCTCGCCGCGGTAGGTGCAAATGCGGACATGAGTGAGGTGTTAGGCTCGAGGCTGTCTAGCTGGTAATCATTGGTGGAGCTGTGCTGGTGTTGCTGATCATATTCCATCTTTGTGTGGTTACGAACACTGCTGTGCCCGTCTCTTCAACCTCGAATCTAATCTTCATACCATTTGTTTTAGTCTTCATTCCAAACGACACACTAAACTGCAGAATTATGCTTCGATGCATTTCAAGATAAGTAATTATTCTCAAGATCATTCTGTATTCCTGTCATTGAATCAAATGCGCGATTTTTGTATACAAAAGGCTCATTTTGTTACTTGTGCCGAAGGTTTACACTAAACTGAGCCCATTGATAGAATTATAAGATGGATTTTCATGCAGGTGTGTATGAGCTTGTTGATGCAATTCCTTACGGGAAGGTGGCAACGTATGGCCAAATAGCCAAGGAACTCGGCCAGCCCAATCACAGCCGAATGGTAGGGCAAGCTCTGAAGTTGCTCAACCCAGCCAACAATATCCCATGGCACAGAGTCATCAACAGCAAAGGCGAGCTGTCTAATAGAGGTGATGGCGGTGTTGGGATTCACAACCAAGCACAGCGTCTTGAAGAAGAAGGCGTAATTCTCACTCAATTTGGCCAAAATCAATATAAATTAAATCTATCAGTGTACATACATCAATTTATCTCTTAGTATTTGCTAATTCGTACGCTGCGTTGCGTACTCTACTATCGTAATGCTGTGATTCGAGTAACGCCAACTCGAATCCCAATGCATTCTGCGCGTTACACGCATACGGATCATTCAAGTAAGCCTTATAACCACCCTCACCCGACATTCTATCTTCAGTACTTAACAGCGTCTCTATCACCGATCCACCTGCTATACCTACCAACTTCTGCACAAAGTCGACTGCCTTGAGTGAACTATCACCAGGCCATTGCAACGTGCAAATCAAAATCCGCTTGGCGAATGCTAGGCACCTCGTCGATGGTACTCCTTTGGTTTGGTTGCGCGCTGTGAAGAAAACAATATTGAGCGTGTCGAACAATAACTCTGACTCAGATTTCGCATGGACCGGTTTGATCTTTTTGAATGATTTGACACTGTTGTCTGGTACAGTTTCTATTGTTGGTGAGATGCTCAGTGGTAGGAGCAGCGCATAAAGTGAAGTCAAGAAGTCATCGAGATCTATATTCAGCGACTCTCCTTGATCCGTCAAAAGCTTGAATGCAGTAGAGATACACAGCAGCCTCAATCTTGTTTCACTCGACGGAACTAAAGTGTCCACATTCTCATCCTCCTCGTGCACCAATTTCTCTTCCACCAGTGCATCCAGCTCAGCTCTCTTACTGATACTCTTCAACACGTCAAGAAGGCTACACAGTTTGTTAGTATACCACATCAAAATCATCTCACAACCCACTCAACAAAGAAGTCAACGTTAACGAGGTGACTAAAGTTGGCGACACCTTCCAAAGCTACAGGCAGGAGTGGACTAGATTCTGGAAATTTAAGTATGCGGAAATAAATGACGAAAATGAGTTTGAGCGTCTCAGTGTTATTCCTATCCTTAGTCTCCTTATCCACTTCAACTTGCGCTTCTTTCATCTCCTTTTCAATTTCTTTATTCTCGCGATGAGCTTTCTTTGCCTTCTTTGACAAATGCTTCTTCTCCTTGTTTTCTTTGAATTTACGTTGATGTTTGTTTGGTTTCTGCGTTGACTCAAGTGTTAGCTCTTCTCTGAGTCTGAGGTTGTTAAATAAAGACAAGACGTTTGGAGATATTCTAAATTGACGCTCCTTTATCATTCTATTGAGTATCTTTGTAATCTCGAGACTGAACTCTCCGCTAACATCACTCTTGAGGACCTTTTCGAGTGCATCATAGCACATTTTAGACAATTCATCCCATGACTGCTTCGATATCCGACCGATAACACATTCCATTATGTTTGTGTGGAAGTTGAAGTGTGTCGCCCTCTCCAACATGATACACATACACTGCAGACATACTTTCGTCAGTGTTGATGCCTTTTTTATCTCTTTGTCAAGACTCGCAAGCCAATTCTGGTAAAGCTGTATGATTAGCTCTTCCCACTGACGACGCGCCGCAACCTCTTTGCTGACTTTCTCTGTCTTCTCTTTCTCACTGAGCTTTCTTATCCTATACGATGGCAGAATATCAACAAATATGGCTGAGAGTGATAAGTGTGATAGTTGTCTGATAGACTCTAGGTTTACGATCTCCTTATCGTCGTATTTTAACTTGTACTGAGTCAGCTGCTGGAGTTTTCTTATATGGATTAGATTTTCCTCTGGATCTGTCAGTACAGTCTGAGCAATTGAAGCCATTGTGAATTTAGCAGCAGCTAGTTGAGATTTCTTAGTGTTGTTTTGCATATAGATTCTGTAGATATGGTGTGTCTTCTCGTCGCTGTCCTCTTCGTCAGCCTCATCTGACTTGTCCTTGTCTACCTCTTGGTCATCCTCCTCCTGCTCAGACTGGCTCTCGTAGATGTCGTCAGCCTTGAGCTGCTTCGGGCGCGACGGCAGGTTTTTTATCTTTCCGTCGTCAAGCTTTATCGGCAGTCTATTCTGTTCGGCTTGAGGGGAGGCTTTTGAGTGCTGCTTCTGGAGCTGGAGCTGGTAGTTGTCTTCGAGATTATCGTCTGCGTCGCTGGGAATATCGCTGGCTGCGTCGTCACTTGCTACATCGCTAGCCAGACTATCCTCACTATCCTCTCCACTTCTACTCTCCTCAGACTCAGACTGTGGTTTGACAAACTTCCTCTTTGCGTTCTTCAGCTTGTTCGTAGGTTTGCTGATTTCCTTTTCATTCAGCTGCGCCAAGAACGACGGCTTCTGTTCGTCAAAAAACCTGGTCTCGTAAACTTCATCCTCGCTGCCGCTACTCATGCTGCTGGTGGAACGAGAAGACATGGATTAAAGTGGTGAAATTACATAAATAAAACTAAATACCCGGAAAATACAAAAATTCTATTTCAACTCAGTCTTGAACACCAAATCCCAGAACTTGGACGTCACACCGAATCCGAGCTCGAAGTTGCCGTAGTGGTGCTTCAAGTGGTACGATTTCATCTGCTTGAGGTAATTTGGCAATCTAGTGTGATGTAGCGCATAGTGCATACAGTCATAGAGAACATAAAAGGCGAATGAGCCGGATATCACACCATTTGCTGTTGCCGTGTTCGGAAGTATCTTGTATGCCAATTGCGTGAATGGATACTGCAACGCAGTGAATAATGTTGGTGGCATAACCAATCTCAACCCGTCAGCTGGTAGGTAGTGGTGTATACCGTCTAGAGGAAAATTTTGTCAGAAGTGGTTAGATGTTGCAACATTACTTACGTAGTAAGAAGTGAAGCATAAGAAATACTGGTCTATCTGGCAAGTAGTCGTCGACGTGGAAGAGGAATCTGTGCATCCCGTATTCCAAAATTGTCCAAATAACATTCCCGAGTAGGAAGCATCCCAGAGTACAGAGACCACCAAGCGAGCTACCAAACTGAGTACTGAAGTCTGAGAAGCTTCTGAATGATAGATAGAGCGTGATTGGCACCCAGATCAATGGAATAACATACCACGGAGTGACGGTGAACATTTCCAGGAAATCGTAACCAAACAGTCTAGCGCTTTTCTTGAGATGTCTAGGCTGATGTACTTGCTCCAAATAAAAGTCTTTACTGAAGTTGCTGTACCACACTTGACTAAGAAGTGGCTTACTGAGGTCGAGGAATTCACATTTCTCTAAATCGTCCTCGATGTTGCTCTCTTTGGGCATGAAATCATCAGTCGCAACCCAATTCTCATCGACTATACGGGTCCCAGAATCGAGCTTACCAATGAGCATATCGGACATCATTCCAAAAGCTGCAGGGGTATGTTCATGGTCTTCTTCACTATTCGTCGCTTTCATTGCTGCTTCAATATCTTTGCCAGCATATTTGAGAATGAGGTCTTCGCCACCAGGATGATCGTGCAAGAAATCCGTTACATCGTAGATCAATCTACCTATAGTAACCCAGCAGCTCTTATCAGATTTGTGGGCCTCTACGTCTGCTCTTGTGTGAATCTTCAGTCTTCTCTGTCTGAGCTCAGCCATCTTGTACTTTGTACTGGAACAAGAGGCGGTGCTCGGATCTTATCGGTGGATATAAAATACACAGAAAAGAAGAAATGTCGCGAGGATTATTTATCGTCGTCGAAGGTCTCGATAGGACTGGTAAATCAACGCAGTGTGCCCAGCTACTAAACCACTTCACCGCCTCGGGAAGGAAGGTGACTCTAATGAAGTTTCCAGGTGAGGGCAACTGCGTGGCGTAAAAAGCCTCAAACTCATTGCCTCTCGCAGACAGAACCACAAACATTGGACAGATGATCAATAGCTACCTCCAGTCCAAAACTGAGCTCAACGATCACGCTATACACCTCCTTTTCTCTGCAAACAGATGGGAATTGAGTCAGCATATCGTCGATACACTCAATGGAGGCACTACCATTATCGCTGATAGGTATGCCTACTCGGGTGTGGCATACTCTGTCGCTAAGGTGCGTTCAAACGCGTTTGACGCGTATTTTATCAACAAAAACCAATCTTAATATCCATTTAAAGGGGCTCAACTATAACTACTGCAAGAATCCAGATAAAGGCCTACCAAAACCCGATAAGGTCTTCTTTTTAGACCTCCCACCGCTTCTGGCTCAGCAGAGAGAGGATTACGGTGAAGAGAGGTATGAATCGCTCGAAATACAGACGCGTGTACGCTCGGCATTTGTGCAGCTGCTCCAAGACAACCAGTACATTCACAAACTTGACGTCACTAGACAATCTATCGAGAGCGTTCACCAGGCCTTGAAACAAGAGCTCACACCGTTACTTGAAAGCTCACAAGAACCCTTAAGACACACCTTGTTCATGTAGAAAAGGAAAGTATTCATCTATATTTGTACAACATGAAAGCATAAAGAAATAACTACTACATACGTGTACTATGTGCGTACTTGAAGTTTGATTCGACTGGACGAGTAAAATGAGAAATGTAGTAGGACGACGGCATAATCTTAATGGCTGAAATCACCAAAACAAGATGATAATGTCATCTAATCGACAACAACTGAAGACGTAGACTAAGGAAAGCGTAGAACCAAAATACACAAGATATTGACGAAATGTTGAGGTGTAAAATACACGTCCTACTGCTCCATAGCAGACTGGATCTGATTATGTTGTTGATTATGAATGTTGAAATCATATTGACCGAATCCCAAACCATAGTCATCGAAAGAGTTCATGTCTTCTATTCTTATGTCTTCATGTTTTACCAATGGCTGAAGCGGTGGAGGCGGTGGGTGTGAGTAATCTTCACTACCATCACTTACAACAGATGCAGATACTGCAGATGCGCTAGGCTCTCTTTGATTCGCATTCTTGTCAAACTGTAAAAGTAACCCCTGTGGTGATGAAGAGTCCGTAGTGTTTCCCTCTCTAATTGCAGTTTGAGCTGCGTTCACTGATTGGGGGTGAATTTTGCGATAATAGTCTAATTCCGCTTGCATTTCTTTCTGTGCTATTGTTTGAGCATCTACTACCTGTTGAAGATACCTGATGTAGTCAACGGACTTTCTTAAGATAACACCCTTGTTTGGTTTACCAGCTGCAGCTGCGGCGACAGCTTGTTGCTTTTGTTGAGATTGTTGTTGTTGTTGTTGGGCACTAGTTGGCGACTGTCCTGGTTGGAGGTTCGCAACTTGGGTCTCATCCAAAGTCTCCAGTCTGCCGCTAAATGAAGATGGCAACTGATCAGGATGTCTGGGAGAGATAGGCTCGAGGAGTTGGTGGCCCTGTGAGGGGGTCTGAGATTGTTTATTAGATCTTGAGTTTGGTGGGCCAACGTCTGCGAGTAACTCCTCCGGTAACAACGTAGCCAGCTCAGCTATCCTTTCATTGATATTGTCTCGACGTCTTCTTTCGACAGCGTTGTGTGATTCGCGTCTTCTTCTCCTCCTTTCAGTGAGAGACTCACCGGATTTAGCGTCGTCATCTCTCAAACTATTATCTTGACCGAGTGAGGAAGGAGTAGCACCGTAATCAACAGACATTCTTCTCTGACCGTTGCTTTCGTTGTTCATAGAAGAATTAGGTTGAGGAACAGGTGGAGGAGCAGTACCAGCACCGGTACCAGGAAAAGAGTGACCCCATGGCTGGGTAGCAGGAGCAGAGCTCGGAATGAAAATGGCTTGAGCAGGCACAGGGGTACTAGATTGAGACTGAGGGGTGTTTAAGTGAGGAGCAGGACCAGAAATGCTAGCCCTGGAAGACCTAGAGCGTGAGCTTGGAGCTTTGCCGACACCACTGGCGTTTGAAGTGGCTCTGGAGCGAGAGTGAGAATTTTCCCGAACCATGGAATTGCGGCGGGGGTAAGGCTGTGAGGAAAGGTGGGGACTTTCAAAGCCCATATCATCTGAAGCGGGACTGTTAGATTGATTATCGTAGGGATTCTGACGTTGGAAGTTGATAAGTGGGGAAGGAGGTTGTGGAGGGTGTTGTAAGTGATGATGTGGCGGTGGCTGAGGAGGGCGGTGTTGTTGCTGTTGTTGCTGTTGTTGCTGCTGCTGATTGTTGAAATTTGCAAAAGGATCGGTCTAAATAGCTCATTAGTTAGATATTTCCAAGATTAATTAAGGGCGCGGATGTAAGGGCAGCTAAATTAAGCGAGGCTTAAGCGAGGTGGTGGGGACTCCACTCCGAGGGAAAAATATGCGGGGAGACAACAAGAAAGAAAGAGAAAACTCACCTGCATCCATTGGTTATTTGTGCTTTCAGTTTGCATTAGGCTATCCAGCGTATCCGATATGTCAAACGATGAGTGGAGGTCTCTCCAGCTATGGCTGTGGCTGTGTACAGAGCCATTGCTTGGGTGTGTTGCATGTGCATGTGGCTGCTGCTGCTGATGTTCTTGCGGCTGAGATTCCTGTGGGCTATTGAAACCTCCCTCCTGTCTGATCTTTGGGATTGAGGACGATAACGGGTTTGAAGGCATGAAGAAACCAGAAGGTGGCATTGCTCTGTGTCTTAATATTTTATTGAATTTATTTTTTATTTTCCAACTTGATGGTTTCTACCTGAGGACCCCCTCTAATTCCGGGTGGTTGGCGGCGTAACTCATTTTTTTCACACAGCGCATATTAACCGGTTGTTATGGTGAGATATATTTCAGTTATTTAAAATATATTTTATCTCTTTTTCTTTTTCAATTTGAGCATTTCAAGCAAAACTGCTCTTTATCCTTTGCGTTGATGCTACTCAGGCCAGTCAGAAGATTTACAAGTCCATTGAGGCTACTCAGCGTTGTTAGATCTACAGCCACGGTATCCGCATCCAGCCAATCACAGCAGCCACCCTCCCGGCACCATCCTCAGCCTGAATTCCCGCAGCTTATTCCTTCTAGCGTACAGACAGGCAGCTACCACCCAATCGCTCCTGATGACAGCCACAAGCGTAAAGAGGACGATGAATCTTTCGATTCCGTTGCCACAAAGCTCTCGCCAGAGACTATGAAAGCTATCACAGTTTCACCACACAAGCATACAAAAATGTCTGCTGTACAATCTGCTATCTTCAACCTTCTCCCTGGCTTATCTGATGCCCAATCAAATGACAGGAAAGACCTCTTTGTCAAGTCTAAGACTGGTACTGGTAAAACTATGGCCTTCTTGGTGCCTGCCATTGAAGCTAGACTTATGGCTATTCAGAATGCATTTGATTCTGCTTCTGGTTCTGATAAAGAAAAGTTTAAAGCTGGTAAACAATACGCTAATAGTACCGTTGGCGCTGTGATTATCAGTCCAACAAGAGAATTAGCCACTCAAATTGCTAACGAAGCTATAAAACTCTGTACGCATCACAAAGGCTTTCAAGTTAGACTCTTCGTTGGTGGCGCCAACAAAGGAAAGCAACTCTCAGAATTCAAAAACGGTAGAGGCGATATCATTGTTACCACCCCTGGTCGTATGAATGATGTTCTACAAACTAGTCCTATGGTTAAATCTGCTTTGAACACTTCTCCAACTGTACGTTACAATCTGCTTCACCCATCCACGCTCATACAGCTCTAGCTTATCCTCGATGAAGCAGATACTTTACTTGAAATGGGTTTTAAGGATGAACTCAATGCCATCATCGAACACCTCCCAGGTCATCCAACTCGTCAATCCGTTCTACTCTCCGCTACCCTCTCAGAAGGTATTAGAAAGGTCGCCAAATCTATCCTTAAACCAAACCATCTTTACATAGACACAGTACCAGAAGGCGAGAGCAACTCGCATGCTAAAATTCCTCAATTTTACTCTGCATTATCATCCCCTGGCCACCAGTTACCACATTTACTTAGATTGATATCCCACGATCAGCTCACGAATCCAAAATCAAAGATAATGATTTTTTGCCCAACAACCAAAATGACGATGCTCTACTCGACCATCTTCAGAGCGCTCTCAAAATCCCTGCCAAAGAAGGCTAACATATTCGAGATCCACAGCAAGAGAACGATGGAGCAGCGTAGCAGAGCATCTGAGCATTTCAGGAGGGATAAGTCTGACAGTAGTGTGTTGGTAACTTCAGACGTCAGTGCACGCGGTGTTGACTATCCAAATGTCACACGCGTTATCCAAATTGGTGTGCCTCCATCTGCTGATCAATACGTTCACAGAATAGGTAGAACTGGTAGAGGTGGTTCCAGTGGAAGAGCAGATTTCGTTATGGATTACTACGAATTACCATTCCTGACTTGGCAACTCAACCAGCACAACATTGCAGATAATCCAGCTAAAGAGTTCGCCAAGCAGGTTGCACAATTGGCAGAATCTACAGGCAATCAGGATGTTGTTGATAAGGTCAACAATATTGAGAATGAGTTGAAAGATCTCATCTCTCAAGTTGACGAATTGGCCGTCAGGGAGACTTTCGCAAGTTTGCTCGGATACTATCTACCAAAAGCACCAGTGATGCGTACGACGAAAGGTGTTGTAGTGGAAGGACTCAAGTCATGGACAACTGAGGCAATGGGCTTGCCAAGACCACCATACATATCCGACACTTTCCTGCTCAAAATGGGTCTCACAGATAACCGTTCGAAGCGCTTCGGTCAGAAAGACAGATACTCGGGAGATGCAGCCAAGGAGTACTTTAGTGTTGCTGACAAGAGGAGTGGTAAAGATCAAGGATTGCGCTACAACCTCGATGGCAGACAGACATACAGAGGTTCAGATAAGGGCAAGTTGCGCAGTGAGTGGGACAAGAGAGGTCTCTACGGTTACAGAGGTCAGGGTGCTCCACCTCCATCTGAGCGCAACAAGCCTGAAATGGACGCAGATGAATACAGGAGTGCTCCTTATGGTAGAGAGCATCTCTCTCCCGAATACATCGGTGCCTCAAACAGACCGAGGGTGAGAAGTCGCACCGACTTCGACTACGGCGGTAAAGGTAGATCAGGTGGTATAAAAAAGCCAACTGACAGAAGAAGCTACATGACTAGCGCACATCCCACCAGAGCTGTATATGCTCATGACGAAGAAAGACAAGCTGAAGCTGAAGTTCAAGCTAGGAAGCAAAGGGCTCAAAAAATTGCAGAATCACCGCGTACTGCTTCGCATTACGAATTAAGTAACAAGTTGGCTAGAAGACGTAGAACCGCAAACAAAGAATTTCATGCTCGTAAAGTACTCATTCAAGACGCTATGCATCAATAGAAAAATAGCATTATATGGACGCAAGAGATAAGCTAAATTATAGATAAACATCATTCATCATCACTCACAACTCACAACTCACACTCATTTCTACTTTATTACGGTTCATGTGTTTGTTTATTTATTTATTTTACAAGTTACAGAGAATCGATCACATATTGTGCCCAGCGTGAGCTTTCAATTCGGTCTTTGTAATTGTTATAGGTAGTCATCAGAGCGTCGTATTCGTCTGAGTGCTGAGCAGATGTAGCAAATGTGTGCATGAACTCCTTTACCACACCCACTCCACTATTGATATCTTCATCGGAAAACTTCTGTCTCTTCTCTTCGCTGCCTTCGATATCTTCCAGCTCATCAGCCTTGCGTTTAGCGAGTTTGATAACGCTGTCAGGAAAGCCAGCCATTTGTGCGACGTTGATACCAAAACTCTTGTCACTGACACCGGGCTCTACTTTATACAGCAGACTAACATCCTCCTCATCTTGATCGTGCTGAACATGCGCGACGACATGCAAATTCTTCACGTGTCCTTGTTGATTTGACAAGCTCGTCAATTCGTGAAAATGGGACGCAAAGACGCAAAATGAACGCAACTCGACTGCTATATACTCAGAAATGGCCCAGGCTAGACCGAAACCGTCATATGTGGATGTACCTCTACCTAGCTCGTCTACTATGATTAAGCTGTTTTTCGTTGCTGACTTTAATATCGTGGCTGTCTCTAGCATTTCAGCCATGAAGGTGGATATGCCTTTGATTTGGGAATCTCCCGCACCGACTCTAGCGAGTATGCAGTCGAATATGGGTACTGTAGCCTTTGTACATGGAACATAGCAGCCGATTTGTGCCATTAAAGCTATTATACCTATCTGTTAGGGTCTATGGTTAGTTGGAGATGTCATAAACTTTACCCAACACACTTACCTGTCTGATGTATGTGGATTTTCCACCCATGTTCGGACCTGTGACAATCAGGAATTCACTTTCGTCTGTTGTGTGTGGTTGGTTAGCTAAAGCGCCCGAGCTCGCTTAAGCTTTTGACCCACCCCTCTTTAACATTACGTCGTTCGCTATAAAGTCCACTCCATCCTGCACTTCGAGACAAGGATGGCGTGCTTCAGTGAGCAGCATGTCGCTCGTGCCCTTCTCCCGAACTTCCGGCTTCACTAAGGGGCTAGCTGAGTTGTCTGCAACGAAAGCGAAGCTGTCTTTGTTAGTAGGAGGAGAGATGAATGGTGCTATCCACCCACTTCATCAGCACGTCCAGGTGGGCGAGTACATTATCAAGACTCTCAAGCACTGGACAGTATGTAGCAGCAATACCAACGACCTCTTTCACTAAACTTGATTGTTTCTTATCGTACGCTGTCTGCACTTCTTTGTACTCATCACCTAAATCTCTCAGTGTCGATGTTCTGAAGTATGTTCCATTCTTAAGTGTGGACAGCTCATGGTAAGCTTTGTTGTTTGCCACGCTCTTCGCCTCCGCCTTTGTCACTCTGAAGCAGTAGCCGTATGTTTGATGTCTTTCCATATGCAGCTTCTTGCCCAGCTCTAAGCCGAGATCGCTGCCGACAGCCTGGTGTTCTTCGTCTAAGCCATCGCGGATAGACTCGAGCTTGATGCGGTAAGCCTTGAGATCGTCATCGAAATCGGGCTTAATGATGTAGTTGTGGTTAGCCAATTCATCGAGATCGATTGTAGATTCGACCATTTCGATCAGCATGTTAAGACTGCCAGCCAGATCTTGTAGAGGCTTAACGTATGTTTCCTCAATTAGCAGTCTAATCGCATCATCCTCCACACCCTCCTCCGCTGCCTTGATGTCTTGCAGCAACTTTGGTATATTGAGACAGGCTTGATACGTTCTCACTACATCTTCAAGATTAGCGACACCCCTCTGAAAACGCTTGGAGAGTCGATGAAGGTCTGGCATCTTGTTCATTATTTGCTCGCGCATAATTCCCCTTAGTTCCGTCTCTATGGTGAACCATTCGACGAGATTTTGTCGAGAGTGTATGTCATGTAATGTCATTAGAGGCTGTTTCAGCCACTGTGCTAGCAGTCGCTGCCCTTGAGCCGTTTTGCAGTGGTTGAGAAGCCCGAACAAAGACATGTTCTTCGATCCACCGACGTCACCAGGCGAGGGGAAAAGACTGAGTGCGCGTAATGCTGAGGCATCTAACTTCATGTAATGCGACAAATCGTGGTTTTTTAAAGTGAATTGGGAAAAGTTAGCAGCATCGCCCATCAAACCGAGGTAATTGATTAGGACAGATGCAGAAGACATGGCTATCTTCATATCAAATTCGGAGGATTGCTTCACTGCACCGCTTTTCAACAGTCTGTCAAGATCCTGTTCTATGTCTTTCATGTTGAAGTCTGATGGCTTCACCTCTGTAACGACTATCCCGCATCTTTCAACAAGAGTCTTGAGTTTAGTGAGATCGTGATCGTTGCCCTTGTCGTTGGACGGTAGAAGACACTCCTTCACGCCAAGTTGTATGATGAGAGACTCGACGTTCGAGAAGAGGTCGTTATCTACAAACTCACTTAGCCCGAGTTCGCGGCAGCTTGCGTCACAGTAAGCGGAACCGACGTGCAACAGGCCCTCTTTCACGCTGAGCTTGATAGCCATTGAGATGGGAGCTGTGAGTATATCTGATGAAGCGAAAAGGAGATCTTCTACTGGTTGTAGATTGCCTGGAGAAGCAGTCTTTATTAGGGTGTATGACTGCGCCTTCTTGCCGCCCTCTGATTCCCATATCTCGATTTTAAGCTGACGCGTGGTGAGAGCTTCACGGAGAAAAGTCTGAGCAGATATTCTGTTTAACGAGAGGAACGGCAGTGGCTGTTTGAGCTTCTTTGAGGAAAGTTGTTTGAGTACTTTCTGTGTCTTGAAGACTGTATTGGCTACGTAATTAGCATCGTCGCCATAAGCTGAATAGAATTCCTGTAATGATTGTGAGTTGGTGTTTACGCGCTGTCCACGCTGCGTACTCCTCTATCGAATAAGCGTATTGTGCCTTCGAGTTTCTAAATAACTGTGAGATTAGCACTGCTTGTTGTTATAGCTGCTCACATTAGGCATCGATTTATAAAACACTGCGAATCCATCATTTGCGCTGCTATCTGTACGCGTTGAGATGACATGTATGAGATACGCAGGAAACGCAGGAAACCCACCAATATCCTTATCTTTCTTATCTTCAGAGTACCTGCGTTGATTGTGAGTGTATTTTTCCGCGTATAACCACACACCCACATCATCCTCGTTGATCGCAATCGTTGATCGCAACCGTCAAGATGCGTTTGCTGCAATTTATAAATTTCAGGGGAATTTCAGCGGGAAACATAAGGCACTTGAGCACTACTGCAAATCTCTATAAGGCCAAGCAACAGCATAGTGCAGATGAGATTGAAGAAGACTTTGGTGACTTGATCGCAGGTAGCGACGCTGGTGTGGCAGATGAGCCAGTGCAGCAGCAAACTCACTCGCCCACAACGCAATCCACTTCTGGTCCTTGGAAGGCTGCCGTGGACTACCTCACGCCCAAGCTGAGTGATGGAAACGCGGTTGATCCAACGAATCGTCCAAAAGCTCGTAAAGTAATTGACGCATTGGTATATGCGAGGAACGAATCTGAAATAGATGTCGGTATAGATTTTTATAGACGCTGGCAATCATTCAAACTCGGTGTAAATCGTAATGCACATGCCGATATACTCATAAACCTCTGCAAGCAAGGTAGAGCGGATATCGCTTTCGAGTTTTTATCAGATTATCACAAATTCAATCTCACATTACCTAACAGAGCAACAGCGAGAGCTATTTCACTGGGATTGCTTGAGAAGAAGGATCACATTGCTACACCTCTGCAACTGCTGCCGATACTCAGAGCATTCCATTACAGACCACACGATGCTTTCTGCGTTGCTAATGCAATCAGGGGATTGGAAAAGGGTGACGAGAACCGCGTCGCGTTGCTTGATTGGTTGAAGGGATTGGATGTGCGTAGGGTTATACCAGTCGATTCGTGGCAGCTGAACGATGCACACAACGTTTGGAGTGAACTGCGCTCAATTGCAGAGGAAGAAGGCAGAGGTGGTGATTGGCTCGACAAGCTAGGCTCTAAATTGACACAGCAGCTTTCCAAGGAGGAGAAATACGCACAACGCAAAGCTAGAAAGCAGCAAGAATGAAATACATTATAGAATATAGTCGATGCATTGGAATACTCTTATTTGATCTGTGCTATGCCTCTCTCTTTCACCTACTATCACCAATGGACAACGTTAAGGCGTCCGTGAAAGCGTTTGCAGAGAAACGAAGCCATTTAAATGATATAAAAGTTGCATTAAGCAGAAGCAGTATACCACAAGACGATCATAAGACTGCAATTGAGAACGCATTTCGTGAAGATGTCCAGGCGTACTCCGTGGGTGAATACGCGTGATTAGAATAGTTGCCTAATATTAACTCCAGTCTACTCGCTCACTTTCCCCTCAATTCTCAGATGGGAAAGTCTGCGACGATTATCATATTGGTCTTCTATTCAGGCTGGGTGTACTGGTCGAATTACTTAAGAGTGATCTTATACCGCCAAACTCAGTGGTACCTATTATCTCTGATACGCTGGATATACACTCGCTATCTTCTGCCACTGTTATCTTCAACTTCCTCACCGACTTTATGGCTTCCGACGACTCAAACGTGGTTAAGACGACGAGCACGCGTAACAACCTACTCAAAACAAGCAATGAGCTGCTGAGAAGAGCTTCTAGAACTAGAAATAGCGAACTTTGTGGTGAAATTCTCCTTTTCCTCACCAGTATCATGCCATTAACCGATAGATCGGCTACCAACTTCAGGGGCGATATTAGGGAGTCTACAAAGACCATACCCGATGCACTAATGATGAGTGACGAAGCAGATGATGGGTATAGGAATTTCTGGCACTTACAGTCCTACCTCACAAATCCAATGTCGATATACGACAAGACGGCGATTAAGGATGGTGATAAGGAGATCACTCACACAGAAAGATTCAAGTCTCTTTTCAGCTCAATTCTCCAGCTCCTTGTCGAGGCTTCCGATAAGGAGATCAGGATGTCTGGTTCGACAACCAAGAAAAGCAGCGGCGGTATGAAGCGCAAGTTAAACGAAGCTGAGATACTGTCCGATGCGTACTTTTTCCCTGAGTACCTTGCTCAGCCTAAGTTGTTCCCATTACAGGTGCGTTGATTTATTAAACATACACATACACCTCTAAAGTCACACAAATACCTCTACAGGTCGCTGATCCAAGCTTTAGATGCTGCGTGTTTATACAGATGTTCATCATAGTCCAATTTATCGTCTCGGTCCACCCAAAGGACCTTCTCTATGGCCCTGAAATCCAAAACCCACAGGAAAAAATTATAAAGAGCGGGATACAGTCTGACAAAACTTTCGCTGACTGGGCTACGAGTAGGCGTTCGAATATACTCAAAGCACTGCCCAAAGTATCACCACACAACGTCGACATAACGCAACCCATAGTGCAACTAATGAAGAGGGAAAAACACTGGGTATACTGGAAGATGGAAAACTGTCCGATGATAGAACTACCGAGCGACGACCCCAGTCTGCTCACTCGAGCCGAGGAATCCAGGATGGCGAATGTGTTTAAAAACATAAATGCAAGTCCGTATGTATGGGGAACGGAGGCGCTGAGTGAGTCATTCGAAGAAGGATACAAGAATGCAGATGACTTGGAACAATACCCGCGACCACCCGAACTTTCTTTCTACGTGAAGAAAGCAAAACAGGATACAATGAAGGCGATGCAGAGGAGGAGGAAACTTGGAGTTGGGGAAGATGCACAGGTGGCTAATGATCCTGTGTTGGAAGACGTGAGAAATCACAAGCAGAGTCTGTCATGGAGAGGATTTCGTTGTGTGGCTAAGAATAGCGCTCCAATTATCGCATCACTCCCACCTGGTTCTGACGTGGAGGGGCTGTATGAAGCCATTGAAAGAAAAAAACAGCAGGCACAAGCGAAAGGTGTAGCGTCGAAAGATAACTCACCTAGCAATGCACTTGATGTGACGCAGATTGTAGGTGATGGCCAGCGGCATGATGAACAGGGTCGCAAGGAAGATGAGGAGGAGGAGATGAATATCGAGAAGCATTTATCTCGTGAGCAGGCAGTGGATGCTGCGGCTGATTCGAAGAAAGAGGAGGCGGGAGAGCAAGTCGTAGAGCAGTTTGTTGAGCAAGCTGTCGAACAGGATGGTAAAGTGATACAAGATACAAAGCAAGTCAAAGTAAACCAAACTAATGAGCGTTCTCAAAGCCAACCGCCTGAAGCAGAGGAAGTTTTTCAAACGTCGCAAGTCGTGATGGACACGGCAGAAGAAAAGATGGTTGTACAAGAAAGTGTAAAGGAGAAAATGCAAAGCTAAATACATGTGTATTCTATTCAGCGTTCTCGTAAAATCGTTAAGTTCGTTACAAGACGCTAGATTAGAAGATCATTGGACCAGCTACGTCATTGCGCTTCTGCTTCCCGGCAGTCAACTCGATGAGAGTGAGGACAAAGTCGAAAGCTGTGCCTGGGCCACGTGATGTTACAAGATTCTCAGTAACGACGACCTTATCTTGCGAGTAAGCGTAGAGGTGATCGAGCTCATCTTTTACAGAAGGATGCGAGGTGATTGGCTGACCTTTAGCTATGTCTGCAGATTTTATGATGAGTGAACCAGCGCAGATAGTACCGAGAAGCTTATCGGAGGCTTTGAAATTACGCTGGAAAAGGCTTTGAATGCGTAAGTTTGATTTGAGAGTGTTGGCGCCAGGCCCACCACCAGGGACAACGACAATGTTGAAACTGTGCAAATCGTCATCGCTGAGGTCGTTGAGGAGTACATCCGGAGTAATCTTAACGCCTCTTGTGCATACGGCGTGCGTGGATATGTCTACACCTGCAGATACAGCTTGGAAACCCGCTCTGACGAGTGTATCGTAAGTAATGGTGCTGGTTGGTGGATTTGAGTACTGGAATTTGCCGTAAAATACATCGACTCACAATTCCATCTCCTCAGTGCCGTTTGAAATGAAAATTAAAGCCTTTGTCATTTCGATAATGATTGTTGAAACGCGTCACCCCTTTCAAACGAGCAGCCATGACGAAAGATTCGAAAGTCGCAGTTGTAGATCCAATAAAATCAAATGATGCAGATAAATCTGATAAAGTTAATTTAAAAGACAAGCAGAAGCCCCAAGATGAGGATTTGGTGGGTGATTCGGTGACTGCAGTTCCAAGGCTGACACATAACACAGTCAGAGGAAGATTTACAGCTTAAGAATGAATTGGAAATGCTGGTTGATAGGCTTAAAGTGGGTTTCGCTGTGGACTGGTTGATGTGGCTGACGTATGTGCATTCCTAGGAGGATAACAAATCCCTATACAAGCCGGCACTTGAATCGCTGAAAACATTCATAAAGACTGCCACTTCCTCAATGACTTCAGTTCCAAAACCACTTAAGTACCTCCGGCCACACTACCCAGATTTGCAAAACTTGTACGAGAATTGGAGTGGTAGTAATGAGAAGGTGGGCTATATCTTTCAATCACTCGCGCAGCTAACCCATCCCAGTCTCTTTTCGCTGAAATTCTCTCTGTCCTCGCCATGACTTATTCTGATACAGGCAAGCGCGAAACGCTGCTCTATAGAATACACGGCCACTGTACAGAATCACCTGGCTCTTGGGGACACGAGTATGTCCGTCATTTGGCTGCTGAAATCAGCGAAGTCTATCAATACCTAACCCTCCCACCCGGTGAAGTCGGTCAGACTGTCGAAGAAGAAGACCCAATTAAACCGTTCAGCAAGGCCTTAGAAGAGCTACCTCCTTCGCTTTCTCAGCCACCAAGCCAAGATCAACTTCTTGATTTGGCTATGGAATTGGTTCCTTTCTTCTTGAGACACAACGCTGAACCAGACGCTGTCGATCTCCTCCTCGAACTTGAAGCCATTGACAACATCAGCAAACACGTTGACAATGAAAACTACCAAAAGACTTGTCTTTACCTCATTTCTGTTTCTCCTTTCTTAGAACAACCCGATGACACTCAGGTTTTGAGAGTTGCCCACAATCTCTACCGCGCCAACCAGCGTTACCCAGAAGCTATCGTTTTGGCTATGCGTTTGAACGACAGAGATCTCATCAAGTCTGATTTCAAGTCTCCTTCCAGCAAGGTAATGCAGAAGCAGTTGGCCTTCTTGCTGGCAAGACAACACGTTCCTATTGAGTGGATCAAGGATGAGGACGAGGAGATTGATGGAGAGCTCTTTGAATGTCTCTCCAATGTAAAACTTCCAGAGTATTTCAAAGAATTCGGCAAGACCCTTGGTATTTCTGAACCTAGATCCCTCGACGACGTTTACAAGACTCATCTCGAAACCCGTAACGTCAGCGTCGATTCAGCTAGAGGTAATCTTGCTGGCTCATTCGTCAACGCTTTCGTCAATGCTGGTTTCGGTAATGACAAACTCATGGTCGATGCCGATGAGGGTAACAGTTGGATCTATAAAAACAAGGATGATGGTAAGTTTTTATAACTTCGCGTCTATAAGGCTGACAAGACAATGAAGCTATGCTGTCCGCTACTGCATCTCTCGGTGTGTCTCTTTTGTGGGACCCAGATGTCGGTTTGAGTCACATTGATAAGTACACTTATTCCAACGAAGATCATATTAAGGTGGGTTGTTATATGTTCCATATACTCGTCTAACCAGGTACACAGGCAGGTGCATTCCTTGCCACTGGTCTTATACACAACGGCATCAAAACAGAAGTCGACGCACCACTCGCACTTTTATCTGAACAAGTTGAAAGCTCATCTATTCCAATCAAAGTATCAGCCATTATGGGATTAGGTTATGCGTATGCTGGTACACAAAGAGAAGATTTAATGGAATTGCTAATTCCTTACGCTGTCGATGAAACACTGTCTATGGAAGTCGCATCAGTTGCTATACTTGCACTTGGATATATCTTCGTTGGAAGTTGCAATGGTGATGTATTATCATCAATCTTACAAGCTATCATGGAAAGAGATCCAAAGTCATTAGATGACAAGTGGACTAGATTCGCAGCTTTGGGTCTTGGATTGGTCTTCGTTGGTGCAAGAGATAACAGTGATGTTATAGTAGAGACAGTCAAGACAATAGATCACCCATTTGCAAGATATGCTGAGACGATGATTGAAATATGTTCATACGCAGGCTCGTCGAATGTGTTGAAGATTCAAGAAATGCTGCATATCTGTTCAGAGCATATAGATGGGGAAAAGTCATCAGATTTACATCAATCATTTGCAGTAATTGGTATAGCAGCTATAGCAATGGGAGAAGATATAGGTGCTGAGATGTCGATTAGACAGTTCAACCACTTGATGCACTATGGAGAGCCAGTGATTAGAAAGACAGTACCATTAGCACTTGGACTTATAAGTGCATCACACCCACAGATGCAACTTTTGGATAGTCTTAGTAAATATTCGCACGACAGTGACCTTTCAGTTGCATTCAATGCTATCTTTGCAATGGGATTAGTAGGTGCAGGTAGCAACAACGCAAGATTGGCGCAGATGCTTAGACAATTAGCATCATACTATGCAACCGAGCCAGACTGTCTGTTGATGGTGAGAATAGCTCAAGGAATGATCCAGATGGGTAAGGGAAGTATAGGAATCAGTCCATTCCACACTGATCGCACGCTTCTTGACAAGAATGGATTCTGTGGTTTATTGTCGACACTGATCGCATTTACTGACGCAAAAGGATTCATACTTGACAAGGCACACTGGATGTTGTACAATCTGACCATGTCAATGTATCCACGCATGGCAATCACGCTCGATGAAGAGCTCAACGTACTCAAGACCACGGTGAGAGTTGGACAAGCAGTAGATGTTGTAGGACAAGCAGGAAAACCACGTACTATTTCAGGATTTCAGACACACGAGACTCCAGTTAGAATGGCTAATAATGAAAGGGCAGAGTTGGCTTCTGATCAGTATCTGAGCTATAACCATGTGCTTGAGAATGTAGTGATTCTGCGTAAAAATCCAGGCTGGGAGGATGATAATATGCAGATATAAGAAGAGATGTAAGAAAATGAATGATTTGACTATAAATTTTCCGAGACTACTTACGTCGATCTCTGAGCGAAGACTGTTCGTCGCCGATTGGCGAACCTGGAAGCGGTGCTGATAAGGGGAAAACGGGAGTTGTAGGGTTTTTTTAAAAGTGCCTAGAACGTTTTAATATTCCGATTCTGTGCGTTCTGGAGTAAAGCACAGCCCGCCAAATAAAAGGGCAAATTTTTACGAGGACGCAATGAGCTTAGGGGAATGATGGGTATGATCAGTAGAGAAGGATTGAATTGTTATATGTTAAACAGAATGAAGTAATACGCAGCAGAGGTATTGCGGAAAAGATATTTAAAATCCAGGAGATTGCTGCGGTTGGTCGGTATAAATTGCGTCTTCCTAAGAAGGCAGCCACTTTATCTTGTACGACCAAGAGACGATTAAAGTGAGTAAATATTTGAATCAGTGTGAGATATTCAATTTCGTGTGACGCTCACTTGTCGCGTATTCGCCGAAGTTGATTCGTTCGGCGTTGTTGAAGACTCACATTGGCCACTCGGAGAATTAATTGATTTGTTGGGTATTAACTACACACAGGAAATGGCATCGACTTCTGTAGATCTCCTCATTGCAGGCGCAGGTCCAACTGGACTTGGTGCAGCTAAGCGTGCCCAAGAGCAAAAGGCGAATTTTGTACTCGTTGATAAAGCAGCAGAAGCAGGTGGATTAGCTTCTACAGCTAAAACGGATCAAGGATTCCTCTTCGACGTCGGTGGACACGTCATATTCTCACATTACGCATACTTCGACGATGTTATTCACGAGGCTCTCCCAAATGAATCTGATTGGTTCACCCATGAACGTGTTTCCTATGTTAAGTCTAGAGGCAAATGGGTACCATATCCATACCAGAACAACATATCAGTCATTCCAATTGAAGACCAGTCAAAGGCTATTGACGGTCTCATTGATGCTGCAGTCACTCGCGCCCAGACTCCTCACATCAAGCCTAAGACTTTTGACGAATGGATCGTTAGACAGATGGGTGAGGGTATCGCTGATATCTTTATGCGTCCATACAACTACAAAGTCTGGGCCGTACCAACAACACACATGCAATGCAATTGGCTTGGTGAGCGTGTTGCTGCGCCTAATCCAAAGCTCGTGATTCAGAACGTCTTACATAAGCGTACTGCCGGTAACTGGGGTCCTAATGCTACATTCAAATTCCCTGCTCGTGACGGTACTGGTGGTATTTGGAAGGCGGTTGCCAAGACTGTCTCGCCAAACTACTTGCGTTTCGGTGAAGAGAATGGTATCATTTCAATAGACGCAAAGGGTAAAACAGTCTCACTCAAGTCAGGTGAGACTATCAAATACAAGAAGTTCATTTCAACAATGCCAATCGATTACACATTATCAATTACCAAGAATGTTGATGGTATTGATGGCGCTAAGAAAGCTGCAAATGATGGTTTGGTTTACTCATCCACTCACGTCGTCGGTGTCGGCTACAGAGGCGTGCCACCACCAGACATCAAGGGAATGTGCTGGTTGTACTTCCCAGAAAATGACTGTCCATTCTACAGATGTACTGTCTTCTCGCTCTACTCGCCATATAACGTACCAGGCGAATCTCACAAGACCAAGACAATCCAAATGTCAGACAACTCAAAGCCAGTGACTGACAAATCAGAGCGTCCAGGTCCTTACTGGTCACTCATGTTTGAAATTTCAGAGTCACATATGAAACCCGTAAACCACGACACAATAATACAAGACACGATAAAGGGTGCTGTTGCGACTGGTATGTCTAGAGGAGATGATGAAGTGGTCTCCATCTACCACGAGCGTTTCGACCATGGATACCCGACACCATCATTGGGTAGAGATGATGCTCTCAAGCAGATATTACCTGTGCTCGACCACCACGACATACTTTCTAGAGGTAGATTTGGTTCTTGGAAGTATGAAGTAGGCAATCAAGATCACTCATTTATGCTCGGTGTTGAGGCTGCAGATTACGCTTTGTATGGTGTGCCTGAGATGACGCTCAATTACCCAGACATCATCAACGGAAAACCAAACAAGGAACGTCGTCTGAATAGGGAGATGTAAATGGATTGTAATTTGCTGTAATATAAATTAATAATATAAGTCAAACACATGGATACTTTTCTATTTTATGTATAACAAACGAAACAAAAAACCTAACGAGTCGCTTTACCTCTTCTAACTTGGGGGAATTGGAGGGGAGTTTTGAGAACAGCCCTTTTAGCAGATTTGGAGGCGTCTTGAGTTGATTCAGATTGTGTGTTGAGAGTACCAGCTTTCTCGCGCTGTGTGGCAGAGAGTGGAACAAGATTGCAACCAACAGCCTTGAAAGCGTCATTGATTTTCTGAGTAGGCATAGACAACTCCCTGGCAAGTTGCGTTGGATCTACAGAGTTATCGTCAATGTGTAACGCGAGAATGAGGATCCAGTTGATCAGCTTTGCCTGTGAGAAGGTGGTGAAGGAGTGTTTTGTAGAACCTCTACTCGATTCGGTGAACTTGTTGAAAATCCCATCTAACAAGACAGGAGGAGGATTGTTGAGACGTTCAGCAATCTTGCTACGTGAGGATTTAGCTACACCGTTGAAGGCGAAAAGGTGGGACATGTACACAAGCAATCTGATCTTAGACCTCGATTGCTTGTTTGATTTGCTAGCTTTGAGAGCTGTTATCCTGTCAAGAATGTAGTTATTGTTGGATTGAGTTGGGAGGAGTTGAGTGAGGAATGTTGGTGATGCGGTGAGAATTTGATCTACTTTGCAGGAATTGAATTCAGGGTCAGAGATGAGATTGGATAGGTTGTAAACCTCTTCTAAGCTACTACCCGATTCATTGTAAGTTGGCAGAGGTCTCTTTGAATCAGCAATTGCTTTAATAGAGGTGCGTGATGGGAGTACATCAGTATTTGTTGCAATGTCTTGTTGAATGTAACCAGAAACATTTGCCATAGCTTCAATATCAACGTTGTTACGTTCAGCTTCTTTGATAGCTTTCTTTGCCTTCTTTGTACCGAAAGCATCACCGAGAGCGTTTCTGGCTTGATAACGATCATGTTGGGATTGCTGAGTGAGATGAGAAGAGGAGTGAGCAGCAGTGTTTAGATGTGGGTGTATGTGGTAGACAGTAGAGGGATGAAGAGTAATAGAAGAAGAGTGCTTCCTCTTTAACCCAATCAAGTAGCTAGAAGAGGTGGATAGAGGTTCAGAGACGTATTCAATTTCATTGGCTGATCCAACTAGCTCAGTGTTCTTCTCGGTGCTGTCTGTGTATTGATTGAATTTGATTGAGGAAGGAGTAGAGGAGGATAGAGTGGCTAGAGGATTGTCAGAAGGGTTGTCTAAGCATTCTCATGACCCACCTAAAGAAGGACTAAAATTATTATCGAATGTAATTTCCGTGGACATGGTTGAATTGCAACACTATGGAAATCCTAAGAGTTTCTGAGATTGGCGAGTGAGTTTAACTAATAAATTACTAGTAGTCATGGCTTATTATTTAATAGCACTCACTTTCAAATTAAATGTTCCAATAGAAATGTTAGCATATTGGTGAATGGAATTGATTGGAATCACTTCTATTGGAATCATAGTGATTGCTTGGTTGTAGATCACTTACCTAAGAATTCAACAATCACTATCCAGCTCAAACAATCAAACAAATCTATAAACAAGAACAACGGCCTTATCATTCAATCACTCCTATCCAACTTGAAGCAAAAGCAGAAATCTGATCAACTCGAGTGCAACAACCTCAATAATCTCATAACCACTTGTTCAAATCAACTTGTTAAATCCACAAATTCAAACTTGAAGTTACAAAACAAGTTGTCGAGTTTGAGAGGGCTTTTGAATAAACTTATATCTCAATCTCATCAGCTAGACCATCAAATGCAATCCTCCACCCATAATCACTCTCAAATAAAATCTACACACTCTCTAAGGCATCACCACTGGTTATCTTCAATTGAAAAGGTCAATCATCTTAAGCAACATCTCCACTCCAGTCAATCTCAACTACAAACTCTCTCCCTTAAAGCTTCTAAATTGAAACAAAGAAAGCTAAAATTTTCATCTCATTCGATCCCAAATTTACAATCTCAATTAGACAACAACAGCGCATTTAATAGACTCTACTCTTCTTCTTCCTCTTTAAACTCTCCATCTACTTTCTCCCCTTGGTCAGACACTCATCCATCCACTCAGACTGATAGTCTGCTTCCGTTTCCAGGAACTGCTTCAACTCACATCTCCTCCTATCCCTCATTCCACCCACCAAGAACTAGAACCACTTCTCACCCTTCATTTTTTTACAATCACTTGTAATGTCTTATTTATTGCATTTTTTTATTTTACATGTCATCATCCATCATCAGCTGATGTAACTCTATGTGATAGTCATTATACTCCCTCCTACTCCTGTCATTTTTATTATCAAGTTCTACTCCGTCGCCATTTTCTTCGCCGCACTGCAATTTCAAAAGACTCTCATACTCATCAAAGCTAAAGTCCATCTTACCCGAGCGTCTGATTTCTCCCAACCACTCACTCGGCGATATCATAAACATTTCCCAGAACTTCCTCGATGCCCCAAAGTCAATTCCAACAGGCCATGTGATGATAGTTTTGAGATTTTGCTGCAGACTGCCTATATTCCGTATCATTCTCGCCGCGCCATGACGATCGATGTAACGTATAGAGCGCGTGATAGACATGAGCATTTTATCCATTAACATGCCCACCCCATCGAACAAGAATCGTTTTTCTGATTCAGTGAGAGTTTTAGAAGCCACATCGTCAACTTTAACGAGTTGTTTATTAATTTGCAGTATATATTCGTCAGGTCTGTTTGTATGTTCATGTTCGTGTTCATTTCTGTGCTCTCCATCATTACGCAGACCAGCATCGAAGTAGTAAACCACCATGACGCGCACCTCTAAACGCATAGTAAAGAGAATCATATCGATCAGCTGATGGTATGTTTGAAGAAGAGCCTCGAACCGCAGGATCATATCTCTCGTGAGCGGGAGATCGGCTTTATCAGTAGAGCTATGTGGAGCGCGTTCTGCCATAGTGTAATCTTCATCCGGGAGCAACTGCTCCGAAGCGACTTTAAGTGCTGACAATTTGACGATGAACCACTTGAGACTGCTGAAAAGGTGGCCCAGTCCTGCGAGTTTCTTCTTGGAATTCATCATATCGTCATACTGCACTCGATTCGCATCGTTGATTCCCATCTCTACTCGACTCTCCTGGGCGCATAGATCATTCTTCCTTGATGTATCACTATCCTGTAATGAGAATGCGTATGCGGGTTAGTGTTACTGTGCTGAACGAATAACACAGTGCCAACTTACCGAAGTGGCGAGCAACTCAGTAAGACAGGCTGTCAATTCAGCCCGCTGTGCCCACCTAGCACTGAGTTTGGGATCGTGAGGGCGTTCTGCGCTGTTGTTGCTGCTGTTGTCGCGCTCCCGGCCTACCAGATCCATGAAGCGCTCACTGCAGCGCTGGTAGTACTGGATAATGACCGTGATAATCAGCCGGCTATATGCCTCGCGGTGGAACGGTGTCGAGCGGAGCATTTCGGAGAGATGGCTGATTAGGTCTAGTAGCCCGAACACTGACTGGTGGGGGATATGTCAACTTCGCTTTTTATGCAGCTTGCGCGCTCTCACATACCTTCACTACGGGCTTAGGCGAGTCACCAATCCGGTCCGTCTCTTCGGCGAAGGCATCCGTACTCGCAACCGCACCCTGGAATAACTCCATCACTTTGTCCTGCAGCTGCGGGAGGAACACCTTGTCAATAAATGTGTCGAGCAAACTGCGCAGGTCCGAGTGATTAGGGTGAGTGTGAGTGTGAGTGTGAACGTGTGCATTATCAGTGTGAGTACTGCCATTGTTGTCGTTGTGCAGCCCAAGTATATGCACCGCACGTTCTACAAATGCACACGCTGGCTGAAAGAGGATTGGTATATTGAAAGCATCGGATTTCGTGAGGCGAGTGTAGCTCCTATCGAACTCGCTTCTCATCGCGGCGTTTGTGTCGATGAGATTAGTGTAGAGCGACCCCGACCCGACCAGTCCTGGCATAGTAGAAGCGAGTACATTTGACAGAGCCTCCTCGTGGCTCTTAAGACTGCGAGCCATTGCCTTCCCGTCTGTTTCAGCGAAACGGAAAAGGAATTTGGATCTATCTCGAGCCACTCCGCTGTGTCGAAGGACGTCATTGATAGACGCGACGAGGCTAGTGGCACCACTACCACCACTACTACTACTATTAACACCACCACCACCGCTAGCATTGTCAACATCGTCGTCTGTTATGAGGTAGCTCTCTATAAGCGTCGCAGCCTCACGCTGCACCAGCATCCATATCTCCTCAAGCGATAGCGTCGCCCCATGCAGACGATGCGCAACCACACCAACCACCCGCAATCCCCGCAAAACAGCTTCAAGTTTTGAGAAAAGGGTGTGCAGAAGGTCGCGTAGTATATGAGCACCCAAGTCGAGTTCACGTGCTTTGTGCGCGTTTTCCGTATCGCTGGTGCGGAAGAGAGACGAAATAATGCCGGCAGTTACAGCTGACTGGGTGGATGGAGTATGCGAGTGCGTGTGTGTATGGGCGCGTAAACGTTCACTCCGATGGCTCACCTCGTCAACGGTGTCGCTGATCACAGCTTGGATCTCGAGCGGGAGACGCGCGGGAATGAGGTCGAGCACATCGGGGACGCGCTGCAGTACGTGTAGAGCCTCGAGGATTGTCTGTATATAGACATAGCTGTCGCTTTCAGCCGCTGTCGGTATGGGGTTGTCGACGCTCACTGATAGATCAACAGCTGGTGACGATGGTGTGTTTACATTGTTGGGATTGGGTGATGGTATAGTGTGTTTTGTGGGAGTGGGTGTATCGGTATCGGCCATTCTCCGCCAGTCCCTCAGCGTGCACTTGGAAAAGTTGGAGAGATAGTTACTGAAGCTCCGCTCTTGGTCGTCATCATGGCTTTCAAGGTTTAGCTCCGGCTTGTAGGCTCTCCAGAGGTTGTCTGTGTGGTATGTTTTGAGGTATACGTGGTTATGCAGCTCTTCAATCAGCAACTCCCGCAACGCGTTGTCTTGGGAGAGGAGGAAGAGTCTCAGATCGACGATAGCACCAACGTCGGTGAGACTGGGCAAGTTGACAATGGTGAGAGATTTGTTGAGCAAAACCACGGCTTCGATCCAGCACTTATCTGTGATTAGTGATTCGAGCATGTCTGGAACGGAGCGCACAGCTTCAATCAAGTCAAGGGTGTGCATTGCCTCTTTGAGACTATCTCCTTTAGACCACAGGAAGCGTAGATCGTGCCTGCGGATATCAAGGCCGTCTCGTGCATCCTTGAGAGCGTAACGAGAGTCGTGGATGTCTGTAGAAGTGGATTGAAGCGAATTGTTGAATTGATCATGAGCAGCTCTAGTAGCATCAAAAGCGTGGCTATGTGAGTTCAAAATTGATTGCAAAGCCTCTTCCAAATTGTGTTTTGTATCCAAAAACGAGTGCAATGCGCTAGATTGAGAATCATCCAACAAATTCAAAGCGAGAGTGACTGGATTGAAATCTGGCTCCATTACATAAGCCCATTCATTTCTAACATGCTTAAGTAGCTCGTTTATCTCCCCAGATGTTCCATCGTCAACATTGTCAAGCCTAGTTGAACTGCTTGTCGGAGCTTCTGTCTGCTGACGTGTACGTCGCTGTGAGCGCGCTGGACGAAAAGGCTTTTGAGCTTCGTCCATTAGAGATGAGAGACGGGAGAGATGGTGGTGGTGGGGGTACAAGAAGTTCCTTGAATCTCAACCATCATCATCTCTGGAAATTTAAAAATCAAATGTCATCGCACAAACGACAGAGATCTTCTACACCAGCTGAATTGTCTTTACCTGGCCAGTCACTGGGACAGGGACAGTCACAAGGCCAGCAGCACCCAGGACCACCACCACCACCTTCACCAGAATCAAAGAAAGGCAGAGGTCGTCCACGCAAGTCCGATAAAGGCAAAGGACCTTCTCTATCACCAACTCTTCCCCAAAATGAATTAGAACCTGCAAACAACGCACCACCAAAGAAAGCAGAAGAAGACGACGATGATGAAATTGATGATGATTGGATGGAGGACGATGAGTTTGAGAGAGAGAGGCTGCAGTCGAAGAAAGCTAAAGAGGATTTGGGGTGAGTGATGTGTGTCTTTGGTCGATTCATTCACTCAAATTCCCTAGAATTCTTCTACAACACTTTTCCCCTGAACAGCTACAGCGTTATGAGGTTTATAGGCGTGCTGCTCTCAATAAGAGTACCATACGGAAGGTGAAATAGCCTCATTCTCATCACGCATACACTCACTCTTTCTCCCAGCTATGTAACCAGACACTCAACCAAAGCGTATCTCAAAATGTCAGCATCATTGTCTCTGGTTTCTCAAAGGTCTTTGTCGGTGAGATTGTAGAGAAGGGTGAGTTTGTGATCAATATCGTTGCAATGTCTTACGATAATCCAATTAGCACGCCAAGTCCAGCAATCTTGGGGTCAATCAGGTCCTCTCTCAGCTGATCAGATACGAGAAGCTCACCGTCTGTACCAGAAAGACAAAGGCGCGCATCGCAAGCCATTCGTGAGGTGATTCCAGTACATATTCTATTATTTATAAAATTACATGATTAGTTTGCTAATTCTATGTCAAAAGTGATCTTATTTCTCACTTTCGATGATAGGCGTATTGCTGGCATATGAAGTAATCAAACTCCTCCTTTTGTCCACTTGCTTATCGCATAACATACTCACAGCGTATAGCGATACAATAGGGGCCTGTACCATATTCAACAAAAATCCGAACACTCCCTTGAGTGCTTCTGGCCACCACGTATGCGCGACATTCTCCCTGCCTCCGATCAACGGTGCCATAATAGCAATCGATACTGGAAACACAACGAAAAAGATGATTGCCGAGTTGAGCAAACCAGAGAGAACAGTGAAGAGGATTGATTTAGGTGAGGTCACGAACCTCTTTATCAGCCCCACTGAACCCAGCTTCTCGTCCTTGCGCGTGCCTGCCGGGATGGGGATGTGGGGGAGGAGGATTACTGCAGGAAGAGGAATTCGTTCTATCAATTGCTTTGGAATATGCAAGGCGTGCCATGGTACCCGCCTCTGTGCGTAGTAGTCGAGCGTGAGTGTTATTGTCGTGAAAAAATACGTCAATGTGCCCTGAATGAAAATTGTTACCGCTAGATCGCCACTGAGAGGACACGGGAAATACCACCACGATATCTGTGCCTGGTCTGGAGTGGGAGTGGAGTCAGCGGTCTTCTTATATTGCGCCCTGCTGCCCTGCAATCTGCGCCTTTACTCACCTTTGTACATTCCCCAAGCTGTAGTAATTGTTAGCTGGTACTTGATCTTCTGAAAATACCCGCACCTATCACGAAATTAATTCCGCCCGTGAAAAGCGACGGCAGTATCGTTTGTATTGTAATAAGCAACAAATCCAATAGCTTGTTTTTCCTGTCTTTCTTGGGAACATCTCCCAGTCTATTCATCGCTTCCTCTCTGTCCAAATGGTGTTGGTCTGTGGCTGCAAAAGACAGTGTGCTACCATCTGATGGTGCGCTGACGGTAATGGGCGATGGTGTTATTCTGTGGCTGTAGGGGTGGCTGTCTCTGTTTACCCCGATTCGTTCTTCCTCACTGACCAGCTGCATCTTCTATGATCACTGTTGGAACGGAAGAGTAACTCGAGCGCTCGGTAGCGATATGATGTCATCGGCATATCAATCGCATTCTTTCTGCTAGCAAGCTACGCACTGACAGCATTGAAGATCTCGCTTTCTATCCCTCTTTCTCCGATCATTTCTACCTCTCTCCTTGGCTTTTCCGTAGCTTGTGCAGATTTCGCAGCCGTGGCGCAGATCATTTCGCCGCTTTTGTATATTTTAGCTAGTAGAAACAAGTCACATTAGCTCACACATAATCGGCATGCTTGCATGTTTCGCTCACCCTACACACCACGTGCCAAGCTAAACACGCTACACGATCATGCCAGTGCATGCCAGTCATATCTGAGAATTCACAACGTATCGCATACTAATTACTTCCCCAAATCACCCTCTTGTTGTAATAGAGACTTTAATTTCGGCACACCGCTACATCACTATTAATAACGAATCATCCGTGCGTAGAGTGTTGTGCGTTGTGCGCAATACAAGCGAGTCAGAAAAATGCGATGAGGGGTTAATTATTTGTGTCAAAGCTGCTCAATTGTTACTCAGAGATTGATTTATAAGAATACTCGACAGCTGCTATTATTACTCCGATCATGTGATTACTCGATGTAATTATCCGATGCATGGGCACATTCGTTGGGATCACACTACTTTTATAAAGAAGTCTTATTCTTGTAAGGAAAACGTCTCCGGTATTTCTGATTTGAAAGGTCACTCTGTCGAAAATTTCTGCCCAGTCTACTCAGAAAAAGGATAAGCAAATGCGGAGGTGATCGCGTACTACCAATATAAAGATTTTGGCTAGATCAATGATCTAATGGGATCTAAAGCATACTAGCTAGACTTTTATATCTGCACTCCGCTCAATATCCATTTAGATGAATTTCCCCACTACCACCTATCTCATCTCAGATGTCTGATTTACGAGTTTTGATGATCTCCAAATAAGAGAGCTTCAAAAATAGACCCGGATGAACTCTACAAGATTTTTCCAGAATTGCATCCCTGAGCCTCCATGTGCGCCCTTTAGGCTGTTCGGAAGTTGTGATTTGACTTCGCTCTGTATCACGCTATAGGACAGATAACGAGGATTCCACGTGCTTCGTAGTTTACAACAAAGCTTTCTGACTTACTGAGATCGCATAAATTCAGAGATCTCAAGTACTCATACTTCTATATACGATATACATTTTCCGATACTTAGCATCCACAGGACTCAATGCTTGCTCCAGGGAACAAGTAATGACATTAAGTAATCTTACACGTCTGGCTCAACAAGATGTATTTCGAAAAATTGAATGATGCCAGTGATGGGATGCATAAGGCAGCATTGAAATCTTAGAGGTCGGCATAGTACAAAATAGCATGCACAGACGCCAAAAATGGCATATATATTTCGACGGTCACAGAGCTCTATAGAGGCTAGCAAGTGCAATGACAAGGTCAATATGCTCATGCATGTATTAAAAAACATGTACTCGGTTGACTTGTTTTTGTTACAGGAAACCAACTGTTTGATCAGGTTTTAATATATGAAAGTACATCTGGAATATTTTGCACGTAATTTATGTTTGATAGCACGTCTTGTTGAAGCGGTTTATGATACTCTGCTCTATAGAAAAGTAAAGGATGCATTCCAGCGTGCATCGCTCCCAGGTAGTCGCTGCGAGGGTTAGTTAACTCAGTCAGGTACGCAACGATCAGACACACGCTTTGTATTCATCACCCACGAAAAGAACCTCCTCCGGACGTATGTTTGAGTGAAGAGCGTGTTTGAATATGTTAATATCCGGTTTCTCGCAGCCGACGTTATACGACAGGCTAATTTTGTCGAAAAAGTGACGTAGGTGAAGAGATTCAAGTACAGATACTGCGATTAGAGTAAGATGCGCACTTATTACTCGCAACACACCCACCTATTCTCTCATCGGAATTGGATACCAAACCGCATTTTAACCCAGACTTTTTTATGGATGATACTGCAGGCGTGGATCGATTCAGTTGCGACTTTGTGCCTTTTAGCCCCTCTCACGTGTTTCATAGGATCCTTCAAATGGCTCATAACCTTCCGAGCTTGCGAATCGAGTAAGTAGCTCATTCTGAATAACTTGCAGAGAAGTATTATTAACTGGAATCGCAGTAATGAGCTTGAGTCACTTGATTGGCACTCAGAACCCACTGTCTGCTACGCTGACGTTATCCTCTATCACCATTCTGATAAGAGTAGACCACCATTGATTGGGTGTCCAGGCAATACTCTTGCCGTAGTTACTAGCCTTCTCGTTCAATTGTACAAACGCAACTTTAAAGGAAGACTTGATGACGTCTGGATTGATATTGATTCCGTGTTTGTGGAAAACATGGGCGTATTGATTAGGTATGGGCTGCCTGGGCCTGAGAATCGTGTCAAAGGCATCAAACAGAACCATCCTAGTCGTCGTAGCCGCCTTCATTGTATTTTTTCAAGCAGGGGAATCAAAGAAGCAATGAAATATAAAACCATTTTTATTACAATGATAAAATCATTCCATCCCCCCTCTAACTAACCCTACTATCGTGCGCTAGCTCAACTTTCGCTAACTCGGCCCACGATGGTTTACTCCCAAGAGGATTGTTGGGCAGCGGTACCTTCTTGGACAGCGGTTGGTTCAGCAGCCCAGTCGGTGGTACCGAGGGTACCATCAGCAGCCCAGTCAACGGCATCGTTTGATTGGATACCTGCGGCGACGGTTGGGTCAACAGCGCCAGCTTGAGCAGCACCTTGAACATCCCATTCAGGGATGGCAGTAGCGCCTTCAGCCTCAGCATCAGCGTTACGACCTTCACCGGAAGAAGCGATGACCTTGGCTTCAGCGAGAGCAGCTTGCTCAGCCTCGACTTCTTCTGGAGCGCGGTAGAAGAACATGTCTGGCATAATGTTCCAGTTCTCAGATCTGGAGATGGTGCCTCTGAGACGGAGAACTTCACGTGCAAGTAACCACCAAATCAAACCAATTGAGTGACGACCCTTGTTGTTGGTTGGGATAGCAACGTCGACAAACTTGAGAGCAGCGTCAGTGTCACAGAGAGCAATGACAGGGATGTTGACGTAAGCAGCTTCACGGATAGCTTGGTGATCGACGCGTGGGTCAGTGACGATGATGAGACGTGGCTCCTTGAATGATCTGGTGATGTAGTTGGTGAAAGAACCAGGAGTGAATCTACCAGCGATAGCTTGAGCGCCAGTTTGAGCAGCGAACTTGTGAACAGCACGTTGACCGTATGGACGAGAAGAAATGACAGCGACATCATTTGGGTTCTCAACAGCAGCGATGATTCTTGCAGCCAACATGAGCTTCTCCCAGGTCTTACCCAAGTTGATGAGGTTGATACCATCCTTACGGGTTCTCCAGACGTATGGCTCCATGGCCTTTTCAACGTTCTTAACGCCCATGTGGCAGTGGGCGGCTAAGAGAAGGCTAACATCATCTGAGGTCATTTGGAGAGCAGACATGGCTGAGAATGTTTTGTGAGATTTAGATTTTTGTATTTCCTTCTTTTCTCACCTGTTTTCTTCTGGTCTTGGTACGGGAGCAAGAAGTCAATTCTGCCCAAAATCTTCTGAGCTCGCTTCGCGGGCAACAAAAAAATTATAAATTTAGCAAAAATTGGAGCCGATTTTGAGGAGATTGCAAGGATTGTGATGGATTGTGGATGATTCTATTCTCATCATATTGTGCTATGTGCTGTGTGCTGTGTGTGCTTATAAGAGGCGTTTTGGGGAATGGTGCTGTGAATAGCCATAGAGATTTGTATACAGATTCTAGTATTGTAAAGTACTTGAAAACACTTGAATTATCCCAGTCTCCCCTCTTAGACCACAACGACCAACATGATTACGTCAAAACACCCGGAAGATAAGGAGAAGTCGGTTGGAAAAAGGAAATCATTCGCTACAGAACCCAGGCCAGATTTATTCTCAACGCCTGATGAATATTACGATACTAATGATAAAGTTATAAACAGGACTAGAACGCTGTCTATTTCAAATATGGAATCTAGGCGCAATAGACCAAATTCAACGATCCAAAGGAGATTGAGCCATGGTGAGTGGCGTTGTCTGTTTAATTCATCTCTCTAAGCCATTTCAGATGAACCTTCAAACATCCCGCGTAGATTCTTAGTAAACGTTAATGACACTTTAAATGTTATCTTGGAGCAAGAAGATTTAGACAATAACTCTCAAATCTCAATCACCGACGCTGGCCCAAAGTTATTTCAACTTGGCACTGCTTCGTCTAACGGCTACAACGCTTTCGATATTAGAGGCAACTACATGCTCTCAAACCTTCTCCAAGAACTTGCAACCGCTAAAGATCAAGGCCGCTCCCAAATTCTTCTCGACGAAGCAAGACTCGCTGAAGATCCTCTCCAGCGTCTCAGCAGGATGATTAAGTTCACTTTCTGGTCAAATCTTACACGCTCTATCGACAAAAAAGGTCTCGAGAAGGTGATCTCAGACCCTAAAGATAGATCTGGCGAGAAAAGTCCCCTTATTTACGTTCCAATCGACGCTCCTCATATATACGACTATTATGTAAAGTTGGCGCAGGAAAAACCACAACTCAACCTTCGTGTTGAAATGCTACCAGCACACCCTGACAATCCCGCTTTTGTTCGCTCAATTAGCACAAAACCTGGTCTCTTGGCTTTAGAAATGCGCGAATCCTCAAATGGTCAACTCGAGGGCATTCCCTTTGTTGTTCCAGGTGCGAGATTTAACGAAATCTACTATTGGGATAGCTACTTCATGGCTTTAGGGCTCATATCTGACGATCTCATTGATCTCGCTCAAGGCATCGTCGATCATTTCGTTTTTCAGATTCGCCATTATGGCAAAATACTGAATGGGAATAGGAGCTACTATTTAACACGCTCTCAGCCACCCTTCCTCACCGATCTTGCGATGCAGATCTACCACCGTCTGCCTGACGACACGGAAGCTGAGAGGGAATCCAACAAGCAATGGCTTGCGCGTGCAATAAGAGCTGCTATCAAGGAGTACCACAATGTGTGGATGTCTGAGCCCAGATTAGACCCTGTTTCCGGTTTATCGAGATTCAGACCTCCATCTATCGGCATCCCACCTGAAACTGAGCCTTCGCATTTCTTGCACGTTCTTGAACCTTTCGCTGAAAAACACGGTATGGGGGTTGATGAGTTTATTACTAAATACAACAACCAAGAGGTTAAAGATAGCGAGCTTGATGACTTTTTCTTGCACGATATAGCTATTAGGGAAAGCGGACATGATACGACTACTAGATTTGAAAACTGCTGCGCGGATTTGGCAACAGTTGATTTGAATACTTTGCTGTGTGAGTACTGCTTCTGCTCATGCTCATGCTCATGAAGATTAACCACTGGTACAGACAAGTATGAGGTGGATATTGGTTTCGCAATCAAGGATCAGTTCGACGACGAGCTGGAGTTGTTTGATGAGTTTGAGTTGACGCCGTCGCCATTCGCCGCCGAGTCCACCGACAGCTCCACGCCAAAGCGCAAATCAACAGATGTGACGCAGACGAGCAAACCATGGTTCGAGCGTGCCAAAGGGCGTCGCGCGCGCCTAGACAGATACTGCTGGAACGATGAGGCAGGCAATTACTTTGACTACAACACCAAAACGCAGAAGCAGACGACGTTCGAGACGGCGACGAGTCTATGGGCGCTATGGGCAGGTTGTGCGACCGAAACGCAAGCTAAGGCGTTAGTAGAGAAAGCTCTGCCTCTGTTCGAGGTGATGGGAGGGATAACAACGTGTTCCGAGAGGAGCAGGGGACCTTTAACTCCCGAAAATCCAGCTAAGCAGTGGGATTACCCTTACGCATGGCCTCCTCATCAGGTTATCGCATGGGTGGGACTCGAGCGCTACGGTTTCATGGAAGCCGCTCAGCGGTTGGCGTATAGATGGGTTTATATGATGATAACAGCTTTTGTGGATTTTAACGGAACCGTTACGGAGAAATTCGACGCTGTTCGTCTCACTCATATGGTCGATGCTGAGTATGGGAACCAGGGGATCGATTTCGATTTCGTGCCTAGAGAAGGATTTGGATGGTCGAATGCGTCTTTCCAAGTAGGCCTGTCGTTCCTCACGAATAGCATGAAGACGGCACTTTCAGTTTGTACGTCACCTGAGGTTTACTTCAGTCGTAGAGTGGGTGGTGAGAGTGAGGGATTGGAGAGAGATGCTCCAGTAACTCCTCCCGCTGTGCTCGCTGCTAAAGGTGACATTGATAGCCTGTATACGGAGAAGGAAGGCGATGCAGAAGCGCCGTTCGCTGATAAGAGGAAGAGAATGTCCATCGATGTCTCACAAGCCATCAAAGGATTTTCCAATTAAGAGGGGTGCAATTAATGAAGTAACGAATAACGCGACAAACACGATAAGCACAACAAATACAACGAACAAAGCAAACATATGAATAAAACGAACACTGGTATTGTATGTCTATTTAATCAACAAAAATTTTCATAAACAAATCACATCACACAGGCGGCCGTGGAGTGGGTTGGATAGTATTTGGGGCAGGCTCAGCTGGAACACTTAAGCTGGGTGTGCGCGTGTGGGTGGGAGTGCTCTGTTGATCCTGTCGTTGCTGCTGTTGTTGAGTAGCGTCTTCAAAATCCGCTACAGACACACCGGGGACATCTGGTCGAGGAGTGAGGAGGAGTTGAAAAGGAGGTAGTGAGGAGTGTGTGTGAGTGACGTCGTCCATGTTGATTGGTAATGCATTGTCGGATTCGAGCTGAGCATCCATCCTGTCTAAATCATCCGTACTATTCTGTGTACTGTCTGCACCATTTGCACCCCGTATCGTAGTCAACGCAGCGACGAGGTCCTCTGCCAGTGTCTCAGTATTGGGTGGATCCTCTTTGACAGGTTCCCATCCCACAGGCGGGGATCCAGGAGGGCTGATAAGGAAATTTTTCTCTATGCCAGGAACGCTTAGGAAGAATTCGCTGTGAGTCTTGGTCGATACGGGTGTGGGTGTTGGCGGGAGGGAGAAGACGCGCAGAAGGAAGCCGTGGTTCCAAGCGGGGGCAAGAGGAGCGCAGTCTGAGCGAGCCCTGTGGCGTTTGCGGAGGTGTGGTGTGTGTGGTGTGTGTGGTGTGTGTGTGAGCCCTGTGTGCCCTGTGTGCCCTTTACCCCCCACAGCCAGCCTATCAAGACGATCTTTGCAGAGCTGCGCATCGCCGGCATCCCAGAAAATTGCTATTGCTCTCCCGAATGAACCAAGCGGTATCCACGAGTAGAGCTCGTTATCGGAGCGCAGCGCGTGGGCTTCGATGGCTGATTTGAGGATATCGAGGATGTGCGTGTCGAATATGCAGCTGGGGAGATTGGTGAATACGAGTGTGTTGCTGTGGTGCGTCATTGGCGGTGGTGGTGGTAGTTGAACACTAACTATCAACTGACAAGTCGATGGATAAATATCAAAGTGTAAATGCGAGTGGGGAAAGGGCGCAGGATGAGTGAGTTATTTGGCAGTGTGCGTGGAGTGGCTGACTCGTCGACTAGTAAAGCACAGGCAGAAGCACACCAGCACCAGCACCAGCACCAGCACCAGGACACCCACGATGAGTATGACGCCTTTGACTCTCTAGACGAATCTGAGCTTGAACGTCGCGCTATAGAAGACAGAAAGAAACGCAGAGACGCTTTAATGGCCAAGTTTGACAAGGGCACACAGAACACAGAGAGCACACAGAGCATACAGAGCACACAACAGGCACAGCACACACACCCCGCAACCCCCTTCACCGAAAACCTCAAAGGAATAGTCGCAGATCCACACGAAGGAATTTCCGCGGCAGACTACAACTATACGCTGGACAGAAGGGAGGATGTCGATTCTGGCGGTGTGGCTGATGGTGCTACTGATACTGCCACTGCCACTGCCACTGCCACTACTACTTCTCCCAATCCACCTTCTTCCGACGCATCCGATGACGACATGTTCGCGCTGCAACCTTCAAAGAAGCAGAAAAGATCACATACCACAACAAACACATCAAAACCATCACTCCCAATCGATGGCAGCACAGATAGCGAAGGATACTACATGCACACGTTCGGCGAAAGGCTCGACAATAATCGCTACATCGTCTTTGCAAGTCTGGGTGTGGGGATGTTCAGCAAAGTAGTGCGGGTAAAAGACACGCACGCTCACGACAAAGAGTATGCGGTGAAGATTATCCGCTCCCAGGAATCAATGAAGAAGGCCGCGCTGAAGGAAGTCAATCTGCTTGAGCGACTCAAGGAGTTGGATGCGGAAGACCGCAAGCATGTTGTGAGGATAGAGCGCACTTTCGAACACAGAGGACATCTCTGTATTGTGTTTGAGAGTCTGGGGATGAATCTAAGAGAAATACTCAAACGGTTCGGCGCCAATGTCGGCATTAATATCAAGGCTCTGCGCGCTTATGCGCATCAAATCCTCCTCGCTCTCAGCCTGCTCAAGAAGGCTAATGTGATGCATGCAGATATGAAACCGGACAATATTTTGGTGAGTGCGGCGTGCTTGTGTTGAGCTACCCAGGCCGAGCTTACTTACGACTCTTAGGTGAGTGAAAATAAGGCTCTGCTCAAAGTATGCGATCTGGGTAGTGCGGCTGATGTGAGTGAGGGTGATATCACTCCCTACTTGGTATCTAGATTCTATCGAGCGCCTGAAATTAGTGAGTAGTGGTGTTGATGATGCCTCCCTCTCTCTAATCACCACACCTCCCTTAGTACTTGGACTTCCTTATGACACAGCTATCGATATGTGGAGTGTTGGTTGTACACTGTACGAAATGTACACAGGCCAGATACTATTTTCTGGACGGAGCAACAACGAGATGCTTAAGAAAATGATGGAATTGAAGGGCAAGTTCAATCACAAGATGATCAAGAAGGGTGTGTATGGTACGCGCAAGGTTGATAATAATGCGCATTTCACTGAGCATTTTGATTTTATTTCAAACGAGGTTGATAAAATGACAAATCAGGTAGGTTTATCGCCCTTTTTAAACGCCCGACACCCCACTCACACAGGCGTCGCAGATGGTGGCTAAGACACTCCCCTTCTCCCGCCCGACAAAGGATCTGCGCGATAAGATAATACCATCGATAGCAGAGCAGAAAGGAATGAAGGAGGATGAAATAAAGTCTTTGCATGCCTTTGCTGATCTTCTCGATAAGATGCTCAGTTTAGATCCCCAAAAGAGGATTAGCGTTAGAGATGCGCTGGGGCATCCTTTCTTTACTGCATAAGTGCATAATGTGTAAATTATTTGAAGAAGAAAAATGAATATATTTATAGCAATTTTTATGGCAACACCTGCTCGCTTTCTTCGATAATCTATCATGTATTAGTGAGATGCTGCACGTTAGTTGATAACCGAAACTCACCTCGTCGACCCACTCCTCAACAGTAGTATCATCTTCACCTGTTGCATTCTCCGCAGCGATCTGGGTGAGTTGCTCGCGACACAATTTGCGCCATTCGTTCCACTTGTTGACGAGCATTTTGCGCTGAGTGAGCAACTCGGCACTGACATTCGACTCTTCGGCTGCATCCTCGTCTTCGAAAGTACGAGAGTAATCTCTGAGATTCTTTCTAATCTTCTTCTGCTCATCCTTAGGGAGAAGCGTTTTTGGTCTAGGTCTCCAAAGGAATTGTTTGAATTTCTCGATAGACGTTTTGACGACTTCTTGACCCTTGAGATCCCAGATTGCGTAGCCATTCTCGGCCTGGTGTCTCCAGAAGGATGCACTCGCAGCGAGGAATCTACCACTAGGATCCCACTCAATATCGGTTACGCCGTAGAATTCAACCTGGGCAATCTGTGCAATGTCCTCCTTCTTCTCATCCATCCCATAATCCACATCCCACAACTCAAGGTCGAATTTAGATTGAGAGCCGATGGTCGACAGCACGAGGTATCTGCCGCGAGGGTTCCAGTGGATAGTATTGACGGATTTGTTGTCGAGCGTCTTAAGCAATTTGAAATCACCCTTAGTTTTGTCTAGTTGGTAGAAGGAGACGCAGGATTTGACGAGCACACCTGGTGCCATTTGCTGCGAGTTGGATGTATCAGACTGAGTGATGATAGTGAAACGTTCACCGCGAGGCTCCCAAGCGAAGAAAGTGACTATATCCTTCAACTCGACGACTTCAACAGGATAGTCTTTCTCACGCAAGCGGAATATCTCGAGATTGCAGAACATTGACTTTTTAGTCTTGGTATGACGGTTGACCTGCACACAGAGGAAATCACCCTGGTTGTGCCAGTTGAGTTTCGCGCTGGATACGTTGAACAGATTCTTAGAGCGCAGAATCTGGCGGGATGGGAATGCCATCAACGTTACACGTGCTGGCTGGTTTTCCACTTCAGGCGTCCAATATGCAAGCATATTCTCGCGCACTCCCTTGCCGCTATGCGCATTCTGCGCGTCTTTGTCTCCCCATGGACACCAGTCGAAATCGACAACACCGGGGATCTTAAGTGACTTTTTGTCGACGAGATTCATGTCAGGGATTGAGTAGATGGATATTTGCTGACCGGGGACGAGTCTGCCGATAAACTTCTCATCACCTGACCACTTGAGATGCGGCCAAGGCATCTTGCCTGGGGTGGTAGGGAAAGTGCGGAGAAGCTCGCCGGTCTTTATGTCCCAAACGGCGAGACTGTTGCCTTGGTCTTCTGGAGAGAAAGGACAGAGAGTAGAAGAACCCGGTGGAGGGAGAACGATAGGCTCATTTGACCAGGTAATAAAGTAGTTCTCTTTAGGAGAAAAGTCGATGAGTTTTACGTTTGGATGGGCGAATCTAGACACCTGAGACAAGTTTGGACCACCGTAGAGAATGACACCTTGACGGTGGAGAGTACCAATGTAAGTGCCTTGTGGAGAGAAGGAGACGTAAGAGTTAGTCCAGTTGTGTTTTGAGTGGGTGGTTTCTGGAGGGTTGTTGCGGTTGTTATAGTTGAGTTGAACGTCGTCGGCGAGGTGGGTGAGGAACTGGTCTCTACCTCGAGGATCATTAAGCCAAGACTTGAGATGGTCTTTGGGGTTGTGAGGGGGAATAGTAGGTTCAGTGTACTCATCGGAAGCATTAAGGTAGGCGTCGATCTGAGAGAATTTGTTGATCTTGAACGTGTGCTTTGAATCGAATGGAGAATCATCGAGCTTGTTGATTAAGGTGTTTGCCTCATTTGAGGATTTGAGAGTGAGGAATATGTAGCCATCAGATTTGCCTTGGTTGAGTGGCATGTAAAACTGGTCATCACTAACATCAATACCAGCTTTGGCAGAGATAGCCTTGGTTAAAGCTTTGAATAACTTTGATTGTTTTTCTGGGGAGATGATTGGCATTCCATCGAGTACAACGATAGAGTCGAGTGGGTTGATGGGTTCGATGGAGTGTTTGGCGTAGATGTCCGTGTAGTCTGTGGTGTCTGCGGGGTTTTCCATCGTTGTTATAGTCGAAGAAGGAAGACTTGAAATATTCAAGTGAATTTGAGATTTAATAGTTGAAGCAAGGAGACTTGAAATATTCAAGGGTAAATTAAATAGTAAAGCAAACTACAAAAATAATAGAAACTATTTACTCAATACCCTTTTCACCTTTTTTAACATGAGATAGAACCAGTAATAGTTGAGTGTGGATAGGGTGATGGTTCCACAGATGTAAGTGAGTATTGTGGGTGTTGAAAGGTAGTACCTGTTATAAGTCATAGATTCAATCATTTGCCATACTAAGTGAGTTCCAATAACGATTCTAGCCACAAAAAAGGTCAAGATGAGGGAAATTCCATTGAAATACCACAAGTAACCACCTTTCCAACCAGGAATTCTATCCATGAACCAGTTAACGTTAACAAAAGGCGTTGATAACTCGAATAAAAGGAATTTGTAACCAAAGTTCATTAAGAAAGGTTGGAATGATAGTAACATCATTGAGAAACACGCTAATCCATGGAGAGTGAAGGGTATATCGTGTAGCTGTATTGATGTTATACTGTCCCATAAGAAATATCCCATTGAAACCGCATGTAATTGACCAACCAACGAGTTGTAACTGAATATTTGATATCTATCGAGTGGTTCTAGGTGATATAAGTATAAACAAGGTGCTATAACCAATATTGAATGCAACAATGCCACTAAATGACAATTGAATTGCTTCTTTTCCTTGTTATAAATACCCTCAATCGGTTTAAACACCCATCCACCCATCCACTCCACTAAACTACATCCAATGAATGATATCGTAAATAGATTCAAGTGATTTGATAGGTGGGGGAGGTGTTTTAATATCTCTAATCTCATTGGTGGATCCTTCTTGGTTGTTTACTATCAACAGTTAATGTCCGAGTATGGCGCTATAAACTACGGTGATATTTCTACTTATTTATCTAATAAACAATCGAAATTAAATAATCAAAATGACAAGGATTTCACTGTCAAATCAAATCTCTTTTCTGGCTTGAAGTTGCATGTCAGTTGCCGTGCTATCTCTTCATCTCCACCATCTCACCCACTCAACCCCAGGTTAACGGATATACCAACCCTTCTCTCTCCCAACTACGCAGAATTATCATCGAAAATGGCGGCGTCTATCTCCACTATCTCAACAACAAATCAGACGTCACTCACATCATCTCAAACAATCTCACTCCCAGGAAAATTATTCAATTTAAAAACATCAAATGTTGTACCCCAAAGTGGCTGCTAGACTCTCTCTCTCACAGATCTCTCCTCCCGTGGCAAAATTACATGCTAATCTCTGACCACTCTCAGAGGAAAATTTTCACTAACAACTCTCCCAACAAACACACTGAATCCTTACTGCAATCTGAACAGTGGAGACAGCAAAACACGGCTCAATCTGATAGCTTTCTTGAATCGTATTACTCAAACTCACGCCTACACTTTCTAAGCTCGGGTAAGGCTTCTTTGAAGGAGCTGGTGGGGTGTGCGCAGCGCAGTGTCGATGAGGGTGGTGAAACAGTGCAAGCGGAAGGTGATCAGGGTACACAACACACACACGACACCCACCAATCTCGCACAATCTTCCACGTAGACATGGACTCCTTCTTCGTTTCAGCCTCTCTCTCTCTCCCAAAGCACTCTCATCTGCGCGAGTCTCCTGTAGCGATATCCCACTCCTCCTCTTCCTCCCACGCCTCCACTTCCGAACTAGCCAGCGTCAACTACAAAGCGCGTGAGCGTGGCGTGCGCAACGGGATGGTAAAGTCGACTGCTCTGGCACTATGTCCCACGCTCATCACCCTTCCCTACGACTTCACGCTCTACAATGCCATTACGGTGCAGTTATACACGATCCTCTTGCGCAACTGTGCGCGTGTCGAGGCGGTGTCTGTGGACGAGGCGCTGCTGGAGATGGAGGTGAAGGTGGTTGAGGGCGGGAGAGAAAATGGGAGCGGGATTGCGCCTTCACATTTACCCACCGCCCACTCCGTAGCTATCAAAATACGCGCAGAGATACAGTCCCTGACACGGTGCACGGCCAGCGTCGGTATCGGGAGCAGTATTCTCCTCGCGAAGCTCGCCACAAGACAAGCTAAACCTAACGGTATTTTCCATCTGCATGACCATCTTGCCACCAATTTCCTTGCTCCTCTCCCCTTCGATGCCCTGCCTGGGGTCGGTGGCGAGACAGCGCGCAAGCTGCAGGCGCTCAACGCAGAAACTATCGGTGATCTGCTTGCACGAGTGCGCTTGGGGGATGTCCAGCGGGTGCTTGGGCAGAAGAAAGGTGAAATGATCTGGAACTATGCACATGGAATAGATACCCGCCCTCTAAAACTGGCGAATGAGACACACAACCATAAAAGACAGTCCGTCAGCGCTGAAGTGAATTACGGGATCCGGTTCGAGGGTGTGGATGAAACGCGGCGATTTTTCACTAACCTCGCTAATGAGCTGGGTAGACGACTTAAAGCAAACAAGTGCAGAGGCGGACAGTTGACAGTTAAGCTCATGGTGCGCAGTAAGGACGCCCCTAAGGAACCTGCTAAGTTTCTCGGTCATGGTGTTGTCGATAATCTCAGTAGGAGCGCTCCTCTCGCTTCTGGTAACAAGGCAGATGTGGGTGCGGGTCGGAGCGGGAAGGGGAATGCGGACTGTACTGATGATCCTGCCATCATCGCTCAGTGCGCTTGGCATATCTTCTCTTCCCTTGCCATAGACGTCCGAGAACTCAGAGGTGTCGGCTTTCAAGTGGGTAAATTGTTCCACGATGGTGTGGATGATGCTAGTCGTAAAAAGGAAATTGTAATTGAAAGAAATAAAGACAAGGAGACGGAGAAAGGAAAAGGGAAAGAAGGGATTGAGAGCTTTTTCAAGAAACCTTCACATAGGAGCTCGGCAATCGCACAACCTAGCACCAGCTCCACCAGCAGCAGCGCCAGCACGAAAACTAACGCTGCTAGTGACGTGATAGATATATCGAGTGACGTGGATGAATCGAGCTCAGATAACCTGGGCCAATTGCAAGTACCAAAATTGCACACGCCACACACATCACACACTCCGCACTCTCGACATATTCCCTCCTCCACATTCACATCCACATCCGACGATAGCATAAATAGCACAACTACAATGCCGACTCAGGCTGATCGCACTGTTTGGAAGGCTATCCCGCGCAGTATCCGCAAGGAGGTCCTAGACGAGCGTGCACGGGTGCAAAATGCCCTACGCACGCCCTTCAAGGTTCCTTTTAAGAGGGGTGAGAAGGGGGAAAAAGGGGAAAAGGAGAAGGCGTTAGCGCAAGAGAAAAAGAAGAAAAGAGAGAAGAAAATGGAAATGGAGCAAGGGAAGGAGAAAGCACAAACAGATGTAGGCAGGAGTGACAGTGGTGATGACGATGATGATATGGCTCAAGCTGTGTCAGTGAATCATCCTAGTCTTGATCCTGATCCTGATCTTGAGCAACACCGCCGCGTTGGTAGTGACAAACACATTCACCACAACAGTGACCTTAGCAATTACAACAATCTCATGCCCACACCCACGTCATCGGTATACATGTTGCCTTCGCAAGCCGATCCGAGCGTCTGGCGCGCGCTGCCGTCGTCTATCCGCAACGAAGTCCTCAGTGACCGCCAAGCACTATCGCGCGCGACGAACAAGCGTGTACGGGTGCATGTGTCGCCGGAAGCAGGGGTGGAAGGAGAAGGAGAAGCAGCTTCAAACTCATACTCAACTTCCACACCGTCATCCGACCGCACCGCGCACACACAGCACTCATCGCACACCCCCCTTCTCACACCCTCCGTGCACCTCAAACCGACGCAGGCGGATGCAGAGGTGTGGCGTGCGTTGCCGTCAACCATCCGCAAGGAAATTTTGGGGGAGCGAAAAGAGCAGGAAAAAGAGAAGCAGAAGCAGAAGGAGCAAACCACTAGCATCGCCTCAGATACCCTTCCTTCACCCTCCCTCATCGCACCTAACAGCCAGATAGACGGCGCGGTGTGGCGTGAGCTGCCGCCGAGTGTACGGCGCAACCTGTTTGAGGAGATGAGAGAGGAGCGTGGGGAGGGAAGGGGGCGAGAGGAGCAAGAAAAGCGAGATCAGGAGAAACAGAGAAAGAAGCAGAGAATGGAAAAGACGCATAACACCCATACAGAACAACCAACCATAACACACAAATCTAATATGAAAGCTCAGCGCTCAAAAGCTGCAGTACTGATGCACAGGGTTGATATGGGGGACATAGTGAGCGTGGTAGAGCAGTGGCTGGACACGTTCCACACTCAGGGCCCGCTTGCGCGTGACGTAGATAGGATAAAGCTGTACATGCAGAAATCGTTGACAGAGGATACGGAGGGGATGGCCAAGACGCGCGTGCTGCTGAAGATGTGGAAGCGGAAGCAGGCTGAGTGGGTTTATGGCTCGGAAGTAGATGCAGTGGCAGTGGACTCTCTATGGCAACACGCCTTTGACGACGTCAAGCAGTGCGTAGATGAGATTGTCATGTCCAAGTGGGGATGTCGGCTGAGTGTGAAGTGAAGTGAGGTGGTAGGAATGATTGTATAATTTGTATAAGTAGTTAGCATGTAAAGATAGTGTAGCGTTTAGCATGTATTAGTATTCATATTGACGTTAATGAAAGAAATAGGAAGTGATATGTCTTGCTATTCACTTGGACAATCAACCAAATTAGCTCCCACCAAACAGCTTATTCCAATCAAACAAGGTGTCGGAACAATCAGGCATGTCATCCATAACATCGAATAAGTTAGTAGGAGGTTTGGAGAAGCGGGAGGAGGAACTGGATGAGGTGTCAAACGTATTGGTACTCTCCGCAATGGAGGTGTCGAAAGACTGCGACTTGCGCTCTTTCAGCACGTGCTCGTAATCCGCAATCGCTTTGTCGCCATAATTGTAAGAAATGTAGTGGCGCTCTACTTTTTAAATGAGTGACTTGTCGTCGGTGTCTGGACTGAGTTAAAATGGAGTGTCTAAGAAAAATAACAGCACACGACTTCAATATCCCATTTGTAGCTGTGCAAGTGTATTACACAAGTATTTACATGCAACTCATATCTCACACTCTGTCTTGTTAAAACATATCTATGCAAATTTAAAGTTAGAAAGTGAGTCACAAAAAGTGAAACAGATGGCCTACGATTGTGTAAAACTGGATCAATGCTTTCTTAGCACGTGTTGAAGACTTAGGCACACCTTTCTAGCATCGTCGTTAATTGCAAACCTAAAGCACAACCTCAAGCTTATTCGCACTTTGGCATATGTGAAGATTGGAATCTTTGAAGAGAGGCGGGTAGGTGCTCTCAATAATATAAAGGAATAAAGAACACAAAAAAAGTAAAGATCTCTTATAACACCTTGTTTATAAGGGGAATCAATTTGCCTAATACAAATTAGAGTGAGATAGTGCTTGAGAGATAAAGTCCATTGTCGATAGATAGATCTCCAGGTTTCCGGATTTCTAAATTTCTAATATTTCCATGTAAGATATTTCCAAGTATGGTGGATAAAGGTCCCGCTGAAAGAAGGAAAACGAATTACGTGGGTGTAATGTGAAGGTTCTCCCTTGCAAACGCTATTTTAGCGTCTGCGTTGAGTGCGTCAATTTTAACCTCAGAGCCACCTCTAGTAGAGCCATCTAAGCCAGCGATAAGGAATCTGTTAGCGAACCCAACGACCTGGGTTGCTCTATTCTGCGCGCCCTCACTAAGATTGATAGTTTGAGCGTCTGCGATGAGGAGACCGGAGAAACAAGGGGGAAGGAGGACTTGAACGGGGCCTTTCTTTGACTTTGCTTGAAGGCGTAAGGGGAGTCTGGAGGGACAGTCAACGACTTCAACCTTTACTCTACCAGATTTGGAGGAAGCTTCGACGGTGGCGATACCAGAGCCCCCGGAAACCCAAACTCTAACGTCTACATAGCCATCATTGGTTTCAAATCTGGCAGAAGGACCTTGAAGGGCAGCTTCCGTGTCATTTTCAGCAGTGTGGAAGGCAGCACCAGTTGCAATATGGAAAGAGCCCCTAATAGGCATTCTATGGGTTTGTCGAAGGTGAGCCTGTTGAGGGTGTAGACCGGCAGGGGGCGCGGGGACAGCGTAATTAGGTTGAGGGTGGTTGAGATCTATGGGAGTGTAGCTGTATGGCTCTGGTGGCTGGAATATATTCGAGGTAGTCGACATATCACTGCGTGGTGTATGTGCTTTTACAGCCGGTGGAAAGGGTGATTTGAATGAGCCAAAGTCATCCTTATCTTTGGTGGTGAACGTGGACCTGGGAACCTAATTAATTTTCAGTTTATCATTTACTTCTTTAACCCACATGACTCGCGTATTGAACCAAAGCCAACGCTGCTTAAACCACAACCACCAAATTCCATCTAATTTTCATTTTCATTTTTATGTTGGATACTAAGAATGGCCAATTCACCGATACTTACAATAGATCTGTTCTTCTCCGCGGTGTAAATCTCGCTGATTCAAAGATACCGAATGATCAACCGACGCAGCTATCTGATGGCTTTTATGAGAATGCTGAAAATGGCTCTGTATCCTACACTCAACGCCCGTTCCCTGCTCACTCCCTCAATTCGCACTCAAATCGCCTGAAATCCTTTGGATACAACTGCATTCGTTACGTAATCACTTGGGAATCTTTAGAACACGCTGGCCCTGGTATCTACGACGAGAATTTCATTTCACACACTATCCACACACTCCGTACTCTCAAAAGTTACGGCTTTTACGTATACCTAGACCCTCATCAAGACATTTGGAGTCGCTTTGTTGGCGGTTCTGGCGCTCCGATATGGACTATACACGCTTGTGGTATGCAACCACGTCATTTCACTTCTACCAATGCTGCTCTCATCCACAATGAGTGGATGGACGGTGCACACGACTTCCCTGATATGATTTGGGCGACTAATTAGTGGGTTTGGCATAAGCCTATACACTCCCTCTGACATCCACACTCCAGCTATAGACTCGCTGCTTATACCATTTTCACCCTTTTTTTCGCTGGCAAAACTTATGCTCCTCGCTGCATAATTGATGGCGTCAACATACAAGACTACCTCCAGACACACTACTTTAACGCATACCACCACCTAGCCAAGGCAATACACAACGCCGGTGATTTAGAAGACTCGTGTGTTCTCGGCTGGGACTCTATGAACGAGCCCTCGAATGGGCTCATCGGATACGCCCATATCGGCCATCTCCATCCTGAGCAAAAGGTCAAGCTTGGCACCTGCCCCACCCCATACCAGGCTTTTCTTTTGGGCATGGGTCACACTACAACTATCCAAGACTGGGATTTCTCTAGCTTGGGTCCGAAGCGAAGACACGACGTAACTGTGAGACCGGACGGTGTGACGGCGTGGTTGAGTGAAGCTGATGAGCCAGGTGGCAAGAGTAGATGGGGTTGGACGCGCCACCCCGAATGGCAATTAGGCAGGTGTATATGGGCGCAGCATGGTGTATGGGATGATGGTGATGATGGTGATGATGGTGGTGTTAGTAGTGGCAACGGCAGTGGCACAGGACGGATCCTCCAACCGCACTACTTTGCACCCACATCTTCACACACCACTTCCACGCTTTTCGTCGATACATTTTGGAAGGAGTTTATGCACAAGTGGGCAGAGTGTATTCGCTCTGCCCACCCCCGTGCCATTCTCTGGATAGCTCCACCCGTATTTGAGCCACCGTGCTACTTCGACGAGGGCATGCTGCAGCGCCGCGCGGTGCTCTCGCACCACTACTACGATGGGCTGACGCTGATGACCAAAGACTGGCACTGCTTCAATGCAGATTCAGTGGGGTTGCTTCGCGGTGTATATGCCTCTGTTCTCTTCGCTCTCAAGCTCGGCGAGCGCGCTATCCGTCGCTCATTCGCGCGGCAGTTGGGTACGCTCAAGGAGGATGTCGCGGCCATGTCCACGTACACCTACCCCACTATGATCGGCGAAATTGGGATTCCGTTCGATATGAAGAGCACTAAACCGCGCAGTGCCCCTGGCGTACGCTCGCACGATTGGCTATACGATTATTCCCACCAGAGCAAGGCGATGGATGTCTCGCTAGGCGCTTGCGATGATACTAATTGCCTCAGTTACACCCTCTGGTCTTACGTCTCATCAAACACTCACGAATGGGGTGACGGATGGAATGGGGAGGATTTAAGTGTGTGGAGTTTAGATGACGTGGGTCGTAATGCAGCTAGCAGTCGTAACACGGGTAATAACCATAAAGTGGGTATCAATCACCCTCATGATGACACCTCCGCACTCATTCCCCTCGTTGAGACTAATTCCAACTCGAACTCCAACTCTAACGCGGATTCCTCCTCATCCTCCGCCTCTGTCACGGCCAACACGGATTGTTTAGACGGTTGCAGGGCTCCAGAATCCTTCATTCGCCCTTACTTGCAGTACACTGTCGGTGTGCCCCGATCGATGCACTATTCAATTTCACAGCGCAGGTTTGAAGCCAGAGTGGGTTGTGGGCGTGATGAGAAGGATGCAAGTGATGACAGTGATATTAGCGATGCAAACGATGTTAGTGATAGTAGTGATGCAAACAATTCAAACAACACACCCCAACCGAACTACTCCACTCAACTCTTCATTCCTCGCTTCTTCTTTACTAACCCTCTCATTCAAGTGTCAGAGGGATCGTATGAAATCGTACATGATAAAGTGTACTGGTCGTACGACCTTTCCAACAGGCGCGACAAATTTATCACAGTCACTGAGTCGCCCTCTCCAACACGCCCAAACCCACCTATCAGGTCCGTATCACAATCTTTCATCGACATACTCTCAAACATAATAACAAAATTCATCAGGTAAAAGTAGACAAATTGTATTTCTAAAAATATTCAACATTAAATAAAGAATCACTTGGCGTGAGAGAGGAAATAGTTGACAAGACCTGCAGTTGAAGAGCTAAGATCTTTTGTGTCACCCTCGCCATGCAGCTTTGGGAGGATAGACTTTGCAAGAACCTTACCGAGCTCAACGCCCATTTGGTCAAATGAATTGATATCCCAGATTGCACCCTGTACGAATATCTTGTGTTCGTAGAGTGCAATCAGTGCACCAAGTGTGGCTGGTGTTATTTTCTGACACACTATAGTGTTAGTTGGCTTGTTACCAGGGAATACCTTTGATTTGACGAGTGTTTCATTGGATGCTTGTGCACCCAACTCCTTCTTTACTTGCTCTTCATCCTTACCAAACGCCAACGCTTCAGGTTGAGCGAGTGCGTTGGAGAGGAGAATACGGTGATGGTCGCCAATTGGGTTGTGAGTCTCAACTGGGAAGATGAAATCACATGGGATAAGCTTCGTACCTTGGTGGATCAGTTGGTAGAATGCGTGTTGACCATTAGTACCCGCTTGACCCCAGATTATTGGACCAGTTTGGTAGTCAACGTGCTGACCACCCTTGGTGATATATTTACCGTTTGATTCCATGTCACCCTGTTTAACTTGTTTAGTAAAACAATCTCGCCAACCATTACCACACTTACTTGTTGGAAATAGTCAGCGAATTTGTGCATATATTGGTCGTATGGTAATATAGCGTGTGTTTGTGCACCGTAAAAGTCGTTGTACCAGATACCCAACACAGCCATAAGTACTGGCAGATTTTGCTCGATTGGAGTGTTCTTGAAATGTAAATCGATATCGTGTGCACCACCGAGAAGCTGGTGGAAATTTTCATAACCAATTGCGATAGCAATAGAAAGACCGATAGCTGACCAAAGCGAGTAACGACCACCAACCCAGTCCCAGAATTGGAACATGTTCTTCTCATCTATACCAAACTCAGTGACGGCTTTGGTGTTAGTGGAGAGAGCAACGAAATGCTTAGCAACGTGCTTCTTATCCTTTGCGGACTCCAAGAACCAATCGCGTGAAGTGGTAGCGTTAGTGATGGTTTCTTGCGTAGTGAAAGTCTTAGAAGCGACGATGAAGAGGGTGTTTTCAGGGTCACACGCTTTCAAGACTTCAGCAATGTGGGTGCCGTCAATGTTGGACACAAAGTGGAAAGCAATATCACGCTTGACGTAGTGCTTCAAAGCCTCTGTAACCATAACAGGACCAAGATCAGAACCACCAATACCAATATTGACGACATTCTTGATTGGTTTTCCAGTGTAACCCTTCCAAGATTCGTCTCTGATGGCGTTTGAGAATTCCTTCATGTGTTGCAAAACCTTTGGCACATCAGCCACACCTTCTTCTTGTTGGTTGAGTTCACCAGAAACGTTACGTAAAGCGGTGTGGAGGACAGCTCTGCCTTCTGAGGTGTTAATGTGCTCGCCAGAGTACATTTCATCGCGCAGCTTCTCAACATTTGCCTCCTTAACGAGACTGAAAAGTGCGTTGAGTATGTCTTCGTTTACGAGGTTCTTGGAGTAGTCAAGGAATACATTAGCATCTGTATACTTTCCCTTGAATTCAGTTGACAGCTTCTCGAATCTCTGTGGGTCTTTAGCGAATAGCTGCTCGAGTGTGAGCGAATCCTTGTTGGATTCGTAGAGTTGTTGGAGTTTGTTCCAGGAAGCGTGAGCTGAGAAAGCTATGTCAGACGCATACTTGGCGCAGTTCACAGTCTAGCTCACCAGTTGCAGGCATGATGAGTGTTTGGGATAAACATTCGATTGCATCAGCGGTGCGTGTAAGTGAAAATTGTTATTTATTCTTTATAATGGTATATATTTGTACAGATACAGCTACATGGATATACATGCACTATTCCCTATAACGCTTCCTGCCCCGAGTGTTTTGCTCATCTTGGTCAGCCGCCTTAGTAAGACTAGCAGAATTCCGAGATTGGTTTATGTTTATTTGATCCTGTGGCTATTTGGGTATTCTTATGTTTACATCCTTTTTCACAGCTGTCCCAACCGGTTGTGATGGATAGCGTTTTATCTTCGGTGCATCTCCCGTATCTCCCGTGTTTCTTAACTCTTACATATTTCGGCACCTTTCCAACCCGTCCACTTCCTTCGGATCGGTCGCACTTCCCGAGGAATCAACGTCGATGATTCTATGTCCGGGCTAAGTGGGGTCATTAGAATGAGCTCTGAGTATATGTAGCACTTTCCCTTTCATCAAATTCAAATCCAACATTCTTCCATGTATTCAACTCATCCTTGTACAAATTTCCCTCTCATTAGTAGTGCTAGCAGTGGTAGCATTAAATTGTAGAGATTAAGTGATGAGAAAATGTCTTACATGGGCTTATAAGTGATGGGAGCGATTGAAAGTTAGCTCAGTTAGTTATAGATGATGCATGACTGTACAAACTTGTGATTCTTATGACGTGATTTAGACGAATTGCGGAATGCGGAAGCTGAGACAGTACATTTCCTGCAGTAAAATTAGGTTAGCATTTATCACCCAATCGATCTGTTTATCAACCCACCTTATTCGGAGCTACAGATCTAACGTGATGTAAGTTGTAATCATCGATATCAGGTGTGATAGGGTGATCTAGTGCATTTGTTGCTCTCTCACATATTTCCGCAGTCGCAAGTTGCTTATCTTCAGCCTTCGAAAAGCAGTGAACATGTACCATTGGCCGTGTCAGTGAGAGTGCTTGCTGGTTGTGTTTGTTTTGTTGCTGAATTTCAGTGTATGTCGGCTTAAAAGCATCTAAGAATTCTATTGCGGTTGCAGGTAAGTTCATCACGTAGTGATCAATGTAATCTTGTGGAGGATGAGTTGGGAATTGAGTAACCGATCTCTTTAGCTCCTTTTGTTGTTTTTGGGTGAGTATTGGTGTTGTTTCAGGGAATGGATTGGATTTGAGAGATTTGTGTGCAGATTTTATGAACTCCCTTCCATCCAAATTAGACGGTCTAACAAATGAGTCAACTTTATTTTGCTTGATATTATGTTTAAGCCAGTGAAAACTATCAGGATTGAGATCATTTGCTAAGAACCGTGTAGAATTTCTACCAGAAGGGATAGCGAAAGGGCCAACGCCAGCCATAACATCAGCGACAACTTGAAAAGGTTTGAAGAGGTTAATTATACGTGAGTGCTCAGTTGAGAGCCTTGAATTCCAATAAACTTTTGAGAAGTCAAAGGTGAAAACTGAATCAGATTCTTTTGTGGTGACTATATAGTTAGGAGCACCAGCTAAAAGCTCCATAGGGAAAACTCTGAATTGGTTATCAATAGTATCCAACTTGTTAACTACTGTGTCAATGTTTTGATTCTTGTCTAGAATGACTTGACCAATGAGATGTTTGTATGTATTAAACTCAGGTTTCAGATTAAAATGAGCCAGATGACCAGTCTGAGTAAAACCAGAAGGAGTTCCATCTTTTATAAGATGATGAGGTAATAACTGAGTGAAAATGTAATCAGCGTTGTAATTATCATACGACAAATCAAGTGTATGATGTTGTATAGTTGATTTGGTATTAGCAATCCAGTCAACAAGATAGTCGGGTAAGTCTAAATTTTCATTTGTGTTTAGAATAATAAGTCTCTCAGTTTCATTTAAAGTGACAACATTTGGCAGCTTATATTTATCGATAAGGAAAGATTTCAAGTGCTTGTTAGATAAAAAGTCTTTAGTCTTGTTTGCTTGGATTTTAATAGACAAAAGTTGAATTTTACTAGTAAACTTGTATTTATAACTCATTGTTGTGTGTTTTCAAGAGAAGATTACAAAATTTCTATTGAATCATTCCCTTACCTTTGTAGCCTTCAGAGGAAACACCAGAGATAGGGTTTGAATTTTGTTCTCTCATGTACTCTGTGGAAGCTTCTTGCCATTCCTTTGACATTGTTTGAGGTGGTGGTGCTGCGAATGATCTTATTCCGAAGTAAAGTGCAGCGGTTGCAGCCAAAGATGCTACAACACCAACAAATACCTTTGTATTACCACCTTCCTCGACGAGTGCTTTACGAGGCCCATGTGAGCCAAATGAAATGAAGTATGCTGTGATTGGATGAGAAATGGGAGTGTGCGTGTGATAAATAGGCCAACGCACCAGCTCTCTTCTCCTCCAAACTCAATTCATTCCAGTTCAATTTCTGCCTTTCAACGATTCCAGTGTAAACCGCTTGCTTCTCTTCAGTGGACAAGGTGTTCCAGCTGGCGTTTAGATTTGTAAGTGAAGGGAGTGTTGATTGACATCTAACACCGCTGAATTGCCTGGTACTCTTTAACGATAAATTTCTCAGCATTTTCACTTTAATTCCTCGTCGTGGAGAGCAAGAAGTTTGGTTGAGAAGTAACCGCGATGGCAACCGTAAATTATACCTAGAAATTATAAACACAAATTTACTCACAATCCACTACAGATTAATCCATCTTCGCTTACTCAAGAAGAGCACAACGAGTACACTGATCAAACGTCCACTCAACAAGATTTGAATAATAGAACTAACTCTCCACCGAATGATCCCACTCTAGATCCCCCTCAAGAGGATAACGAACTACTCAACCAGCAGCTTGCCCAATATCCCGACTTTTCGCGCTCAAATAACTCAACTAACCCAATTACCACCCAAAAACAACCTAAAAAGCGTCATCAGAAGCAACGTATTAATAGGCAAGGTAGCGACGATGACGTCGAGCTCGATCCTGCTGCTCCTCCTCTTTCCCCTGAACCTCTGTTAAATCCCTCACAACAAGCACGCGTCAACTTAAACACTAAGCTAGAAACTATAGCTAAAGGCAACAAAAAGTCTTATCGCAAGCGTAAACGTAATGATGAAGATTTAGATGCTGCTGCAGATGAGGAGCTACACCTCCTACGTGACCAAATGTTTACCGCAGCAGACCAGGATGAGGATAGCAAGAAGGAAGGTAAACCTGCACTCAACAAACTCAGACTCCTCCCACGCGTCATTGAAACTATGCAAAAGACTCACTTGGAGACTAGCATCCTTGAAAATAATTTCCTTGACGGTGTACGTAGGTGGCTCGAACCTTTCAGCGATAAAAGTCTACCTCCACTAAACATACAAACGGAGTTTTTTCAAATTCTGTCCAATGTCGGTTTGTTTTTTGCGTTTATAACGCAATATTGACACCTTTACAGATGTACATCGACACCCAGTCGCTCAAATCAAGCAAACTAGGTCCTATCATTCTCTTCTACTCGCGACACTCGCGCGTCAATAATTCCATAAAGCGTGCCGCTGATATTCTCGTCACGCGCTGGATGAGACCGCTCCTTAGACGCTCAGCTAACCCACGTTCGTATCAATTTAATACGAGTGAACAAGTTGTTCGCAGTCATGATGTATCTGTCAACAATAATGACGACGAACAACCATCGTCGCGCACTCGAATCCCTGAAGTCGAGAGGAAGAAGTATAAGATAGCAGCTACGAGAGGTATCGATGGTATCAAGTCAAGTAACGTCGCCAACACCAATCAAGAATCTGAACGCCAGAGACAGCTCTCGAGGAAGTTTAGCATGTTGAAGAGGAAGTGAAAAGGTGAAGAGGTGAAAATAACGCTGTATTTTGTTCTATATATCTGTACTTTACATTTACGTTGGTTTGTCTTTGATCTGTGTAGGTGTTTGAGTTAGTGGGGATGTCTTGCACAGACATTCAACTCACATTCTGCACAATGAGTGACTTGTATGCTTGCACATCGCCCTTGAATTTCGTAACAGCTGTTTAATGAGTTAGTGGGGTGTGTTAATAGTAGACCGCTTTACTCACTTCCATTTGCACACACCCACAACTACATAACCCTCGTTAGCACACCCGCAACCACCAAAGATGACACTCACCTCACGCGCCACAGTCGTAATAAACCTTTCGTCGTGCGAGATAACTATACTACCGCCATTCCACACCTTGAGTGCATCCATCAACGCATCCAATCCCTCCATATCGAGATGGTTAGTAGGTTCATCGAGGAGCAATATATGTGGATTCTGCAATGCCAGCATAGCGAAAGCCAATCTAGATTTCTGACCACCGGAGAGAGTACCAATCAGTCTCAAACTTGTACTGCCCCTAATACCAAAAGTACCGAGGAAGCTACGGTATTGCTCTGCAGTCCTACCAGGGAAACGAGCCTGAGTGAATTGAAGGGGAGACATATTTAAATCAAGTTGATCCATGTGATGTTGAGTGAAATATGCAACACGTAATCTACCATTACGATTTAGCTGTCCTTTCGATGGTGATAACTCTCCAATGAGCAACTTCAACAGAGTCGATTTACCGGCACCATTAGGTCCGACAATAGCGATTCGCGAATCGTAACTGACATCCAAGTCGACATCCTTAAGTATAGTTTTCTCTGGACTATACCCGAATGTAATATTGTCGAGCTGGAGCAGTGGTGGTGATATCTTCTCCGCATCTGGGAATTTGAAACTCTCGCTATCTTCTGTCTCTGGTGGATGTAATTCTGGTAATTTTTCCAATATCTTAATTTTGGATTGGGCTTGTGAAGCACGCGCCGCATTGTATCTCCATCTATCAACAAATGCTTGAAGATGTTGACGGTACTGTAACTGTGACTCGTACTCCCTCAGTTCATTCTTTCCTCTCTCCGTCTTAGTTTCGTAGAATTGAGAGAAGTTACCCTTGTAATAATCGAGACGCTCGCTGTGTTGGTGGATAATATCCGTTGCGACGTGGTCGAGGAATGCCCTGTCGTGGGAGACGACAAGGATGGTCGATGGCCATGTCTGCAAGTAGTCTTCGAGCCAGGCTAACGCATTCAAATCAAGCATGTTTGATGGTTCATCGAGCAACAACAAGTCAGGTTGAACGAAGAGCGCACGTGCAAGTGCTAATCTCATTCTCCAACCACCACTGAACGAGCTCGTTGGTTTCTGCTGGTCAGATTCGCTGAAACCAAGGCCAGCCAACAAGAAGGCAGCTTTAATTGGACCCATGTGTGCCTCCATCTCGACAAGCTTCTCCTGACACTCGCCGAGTTGAGTAGCGAGTTCATCTCTCTCACTACCTAAGGACGCTGCATCTTCACCGGCAGTAATCTTATCTTCAATACTCTGTAGATTACCGTTCAACTCCAACTCCTGATTTATATAGTGCGTTCTCCAGATATCGGCCGCGAGGACACTCTCGATCGCAGTAGTATCATCACCGATGATTTCTTGCTCGACGTAAAGAATAGAAATGTGATTAGGCACAGGGACTTCTCTAAGAGCCATAGCGCGCAAGACTGTAGATTTACCTGCACCGTTTCTTCCAATCCAACCGTAACGCTTACCCTGTGCCACTTGAAGGGTAGCTGAGGTGAGGATTTTGTTTGAACCCATGCTGACGTCGACATTATGCAGCAAGACATCCTTACTCTTGCCCTTATCAAAGTTGAGTGGGTTGACCTGCATGAAGAGTTCTTCATACGACTGCTGCGTCTTCTGTGCATCGAGCAGTTTCGAGCCCTGGTAGAGATCGCGTTTCGAGCGTTTCTCCATCTTTGCCTTAATTTTAGCTTCTGCCTTTTCAAGTTTCTTGAGATCGACGCGGGAGACGTGTCCTTTTGTCGCTGACTCGAGATCGACGCTGCCCTCTAAAGCGACAGTCTTGGACATAGAATCAGCAGCACGCATAGAAAATGCATTCTCGAGCTTGGCTGGTTCGCTTGGCTGCAGTGACTCGCGGTGAGGGAGTAAGGGCTGGAGCATCTTCTCCAGCTGCTCTAGCAAGCTACGGTCATGAGTGGCTTTGACAGACGCCGACGCTAGCATTGGGAGAGCGAGAGAGTGGAGGATGTCGCTCTCTTCAACGTCTTCGTCCGTGAGGTATCCAGCGAGATACTCGACGACAAGTTCGTCTGTATCGGGGAGAATTTCACGGATAGAATCAGCCACTTGGAAGCTATAATCTGGGTAAGTCATTGAAGCATATTTACACTCAAACCAACCTCATTTGACTGTGTTTACTCTAGGCTGTAACTTGAAACGATGTCATTGAAGAAATTTACACCTTTATCTACAAAATGAATAGAATCCTTTTATATTCCAAGCCACTCACTCCATTCACGATACCCACGCCATCCTCTGTACGCTTGCAAAGCGCCTACTTTGATATGGAAAGGACCATCTGGGACTTGTTGAAACATGGATCTGCACATGAAGCTTAGTTCTGTGATGTGGGCGGTGTCTAATGGAGCAGCGTCATGTACTCTCTTTCCACGATAGGTAGCTTTGAATGAATCCCACGGCATCTTTACTCTCCCCGCCTTCTCGGCTGTGAAATCTGATTCGTATACGAGAGACGACTGACGACGACCATCGTTTCTGTAACCAGCTTGTGTGTTTTTGAGATTGAGAGTGAATGTGTGCGGACCTGTTGTGTCTACGTCGATGATATCGAGTACGAGTCCATCGTCATTGGAGAGATTGACTGGACTGTCGAATACTGTATTCTGACTAGCGAATCCAGCGCCACCGAGTGTTTGAGTGTCGAGTATCCCATAGAATAACCCACTCTGTCCATCATCGACGACATCGAAATGACTTGTACTGCTGCCACCACGCAGCTGGTCATTCACTGCACGCCAATCATCCTGTTCAAATGGCGGATATAACGTCGTATACGTCGATAACAGACCAAACAAAGATAAAAAACTAGCCAGCATGGATGTTTAGAGTATAAAATCGAATGAAGTATTATAATGTCTCGTACATTAGTAAATGTAAAATTAATCTACAAATTTCAAATCAGTTTCCTATAAAATACTTCAAAGCCACTGGACAGAACAACTCTTGTCAGGTCTTACAAGCGTATAAAGCAAGACGGGCGATGTGTGTCCTCATTCATTTTCAGACTGGTGCACAGCAATCAATTCATCCTTTGTTGTTCCTTACCAGTGGCTTTGCATTTTTGCACTTACACTAGTTGTTCGATAACGATCATTTTGAAGAAAAGTCCTTTTTTATAGCCTTAAAAATTTGCACCTCATTTTTAATTTATCATTAATCACATTGAAGAATGTGTTCAGCGCTATAAACTACAACCTGATCAAGGTAAGTCACCCTTCCTTACTAGGTGGCTGACCTGTGAAAATATTCACCTCCACACACATCTACACGGTGTTGAAGCCTATGCATATTTCTATTACAATACAATTTTTAACAAACCCTGGTTGAAAGAGGAAAGAGATAACAAATCGCCTTGTTCAGCACATGATTTGCACTACCTTAGTAACGGTAGTGATTTGGCTTGAATGGACCTTGCTTAGGAATAGATGAATAAGTTGATTGAACATCGGTAAGCTTGGTGAGGTGCACATTAAGCATTTCAAGGTGTGAGAATGCAACTTCTTCGTCCAACTTCTTTGGAAGCATGTGCACACCCAATGGGAACGATGCGTTGTCAGTCCAGAGAGCGATTTGAGCAAGAACCTGGTTGGCAAATGAGCAGGACATGACAAATGATGGATGTCCAGTTGCACATCCAAGGTTCACAAGACGTCCCTCAGCGAGCAAGATAACGTGACGTCCGTTGGCCAATGTGTAACGATCGACTTGTGGCTTGATGTTGACGCATTCCTTGGCGACCTTCTTCAAACCAGCAACGTCTATCTCAATGTCAAAGTGACCAATGTTGCAGACAATAGCGTCATCTGGGAGTTGCTCAAAGTGCTCAACTCTTACAATATCACGGTTACCAGTGGTAGTGACAATGATGTTGGCGAATGGGGCAGCCTCGTCCATGGTAACTACCTTATAACCTGACATGGCAGCTTGGAGAGCGTTGATAGGGTCGATTTCAGTAACTTGAACGATCGATCCGTATGCACGCAATGCCTCAGCACATCCCTTACCAACATCACCGAATCCAGCAACAACGGCTGTCTTACCAGCAAGCATAACGTCGGTAGCTCTCTTGATACCGTCGACGAGAGACTCACGACATCCGTAGTAGTTGTCGAACTTAGACTTGGTAACCGAGTCGTTGACGTTGATGGCTGGGATCTTGAGCTTGCCCTCTTGGTGAGCGCGGTAGAGGTGGTGGACACCGGTGGTAGTCTCCTCGGAAACACCTTGGATCTCGCCAAGGTATTGTGGGTACTTCTCGTGAACGATTGATGTAAGATCACCACCGTCGTCGAGGATCATATTGAGTGGCTTGCCATCTGGGAAAGCGGACAAGGTCTGCTCGATACACCAGAGGTATTCCTCGTCTGTTTCACCCTTCCATGCGTACACAGGGACACCAGCAGCGGCAATAGCAGCAGCAGCGTGATCTTGGCTGTATTGTGTGGTGTGTCAGAATGTCTCATAATAAAACACGAAAAACGCACGTAGAGAAGATGTTGCAGCTAGACCAGGTGACTTGAGCACCGAGTTGAACAAGTGTCTCGATGAGTACAGCGGTTTGAATGGTCCTAGGGATCTATTAGCTTTTTGTTTTGTGGGAACATGCCACACGCACATGTGGAGACATCCAGCAATACGGGCACCCTTCAATGGTTGGTTTGGACCGTACTTGGCGCGAATTTCCTGTATCCCTATATTAGTACTGGTGCTCGTCTCAGATCCACTCAAATCCCACCATAAGACCAGGCATTTCCTTCTCTGCGAGAGTAATCTCACGACGGCCGAAGGAGGCCAAACTGATATCAGCGACTTTGTAGTTTGAGGTCATTTTTTGTGACTTGTTGAGTGTACGAGAGAAAGGCCAGCTGTCACTCAGGCCACATTGCATCCTCAAATTTTATAAAATACATTTGAGCAAGGAGCTTGGTGTGTTACAAAAGCTATGCGCGGGTTTGTGTGTATGCATTGCAGCACCGCTGTGTCTTCTTCGTTCGGTGTCGGTGAGAAATGGAAGTGTCAGTGCGAGTGCGCTAAAATGAGCGCGGATTAGTGCATACAGCCAGGATATGATGGGATAAAGTTAAATTTCTACTTTGGGTGCTTGAAAATTCTGCTGTTACCTTCAAAACCAAGCTTGAGTGGATCGTTTGAAGGGTACTTGATGGGTCTTTTGAAGAATGACAGCTTTAGCTTGGTATTGCATTGTATGTTTCCGCCCGCACTTCTCCAATACACACCATTCTCGTATGCCTTGGTTGCAGACTGAGGTGAATCGTACAACACAAAAGCGTAAGCGTGTGCCTGTATCTAACGTGTCAGCGTGTCACCTTTGACTACCATCTGCCACGCACAAACTTCTTGCGATCGCGGTGAAAGTTTTGTACCCAACGCACAGCACCAAATCTACGAAAAGCAACGACGAGCTCTTCTTCTGTAGCCTCCAATGGCTGTCCAGTGACATAGAGCAGCGGACTGCGAAACTTGTACCGTATCGGTCTCTGTCCGTCTGCTGGGAAATCTACCTCATGTGCTTCTTGGACAGTTGGTTCGATGTGTAGCTTGTAATTGTGTAACAATCTCCCATTAAGCTGAAGCGCTTTGGCGAGCTCTGAAGCACTGGCGAAATGCACCAAAGACTGCCCGGAGTGGCCTCCGAATGGACTCCTTCTGAACAAGTACATATCCTTCACTTGGGCATGCTTTTCGAAGAATTGCTTCACTCCTGGCTCTGGGAGGTGTGGCTGGTGTTCTGTGAGACTGATTGGGTCGTGATTGCCCAACTCACCGGCAAGTTCTTCACCAGCAGTCCAAGATGGCGGCGCATGTTGAACAAAGGGTAAGACCTGCGAAGGAAGCAAAATTAGGACAACAGACGGCGCAGGATACACTAGAAAATTCAAATTATCCCCCAGATCCACCCCAGATTCAAAACGTCATTTGCTCCAATTTTCTCAATCGGAACTGACTCTCGCTTAATTACCTTTTTACCACAATTGAGCGATTGAGCTATTAGAATGACAGATAGGAATCTCTACAACCCAAGAACCGTAATCGACCATGCGGATTTCAAGAAACTCTCCGGCAAGCCGGAGCACACAGATGCAAATATCGCACTGTGCTACTCACCCGAGAAGAAAGTTTACATGGTCCAAAAGCCCCGCTTTGATCCTGCACCTGGTCAAGTAGAGTGTCATGTGAAAGCGACTGGATTCTGTGGCTCGTAGGTGTTGTAATAGTGCCAATTTTCACTTTTATGCTCACACCAAATCACGCACAGCGATGTGCATTTTGCCCAGCATGGTGCCATTGGACCTATGGTAGTCGACGACATATGCGGCTGCGGGCACGAGAGCGCGGGTGAGGTTACGCGTGTTGGAGAAGGTGTTACAGATTTCCAGCCGGGTGACAGAGTGGCGATTGAGGCTGGTGTTCCTTGTGGAGTGTGCGACTACTGCAAGAGAGGCCGCTACAATGCTTGTCCAGACGTCGTCTTCTTCTCTACACCTCCTCACCACGGCACTATGACACGCTACCACCTCCACCCCGCAGCGTGGCTGCACAAGCTGCCAGAAAGCATGTCCTTTGAAGAAGGTGCCCTCTGCGAACCCCTCGCGGTGGCTATGGCGGGTATGCAAAGGAGTGGGATGAGACTAGGTGACTGTGTGGTTGTTTGCGGTGCTGGTCCAATAGGTTTAGTCACCCTCCTCGCGGCTAGAGCAGCTGGCGCAATCCCTCTCATCACTGACCTCTCCTCATCCCGTCTCGACTTCGCTAAGAAACTCGTGCCGTCTGTCAAGACAGTGCTGATCGAGAAGGGTCAATCGCCAAAAGAAGTCGCGGAGAAGATACAAAAGGTCGCCAGCATGCCTGTTACGTTGGCCATGGAATGTACTGGTGTCGAGAGCAGCATTCACGCTGCTATTTTCTCGATGGCTTTCGGAGGTAAAGTTTTCATCATCGGTGTGGGCAAGGATATACAGACAATCCCATTCATGCATCTATCAGCTAATGAGATTGATCTTCAATGGCAGTTCCGTGCGTTTAATTGATTATTTGTTGATAATTTTCATTTTCTGACCATCGTCTCTTTTTCAGGCTACGCTAATCAGTACCCACGCGCTATTCGCTGCGTCGCTAATGGAATGATCGATGTCAAGCCGCTCGTAACTCACAGGTTCTGCCTCGAAGATGCAATGGATGGTTTCGAAACTGCCGCGAACCCAGCTTCCGGCGCTATCAAAGTGCAAATTGTTGATTGAATAGTATTTTAGAGTCTTCGGGCTATTTCCATTTATGCATAGATTTGAGTATTATCATGGGTATGAAGAAGTGTATGTCTCAGAATATCGGTGGTATACAGGTGAAGTGGTGCCATTCAACTCTGCGTCTTCTGAGTATCCCGCGTATTGTGGGCCTCTTGCATCTTCTGCATCTTAGTCTGTCTGCTATAGTACCTCTGGCGATGCAACTTCACATCGGCTATATCATCTTGTGTAAGCGAGAACGCGGATCCAGAGTCAGCTTCGTGGGGAGAGCAAGTTGAGTGACTCCAACCGCTCCACGTGCTACCATCGACGCTACCCACATCTGTAGGAGGGCCATTGAGACCATTGAGATGTTTGTAGTTGTGTGTACATGTGTTGTTCGCGTTGCTAACGCTGCTTGCGTTATTGGCAGAGTCGAGCAGCTTCTTAAATCTTTTAGCAGCCTTGCGACTTTTCTTCTCCTTGAGATACGCCTCGTATTGCGCCAGCTTGTGTTCGTCGGCAGGTGTCTCGAGTGGTGGGGAGTGCTCGCGCGCTCCCACATCTGCCAGCAAAGGCTCGTCGGGCGGGTTATCGAGCGCCACAGTCCCGTACTTGGGCTTGGTCGTAGTAGGGGTCCACAGCAGAAATCGGAGTATATCGCTTATGTACTGGCACACAGGCTCGAATAGCGCGTAAAGCACATCCTTATACGAGATGCTATCAATCGGCCTGTGTAATAGTGAAGGAGTGAGTGGAGTGTGGTGGAATAGCTTCTGCGTACATGATGACGGTTATTTGATAACGATCAAGCGATCAAACGACCAAGCAAACAACCGAGAAACGATAAAGAAATAAAAATGACGACACACTCGATAACAAACACGCTTATCGAAAACAATAAGTCTGCATATCTCAATGCAACACAGCATCCTTTCTTAAAGCAGCTGGGTAGTGCACAGATCAATCCAGCGGCGCTGGAGAAATTCTTAAATCAGGACAGAATATTTGCGCTAGGATATTGCAAGTGGCTGAGTGCAATTGGAGGCAGAATACCCATCCTAGAGAGGTCAGACAGTGCAGAAATGGTAGACAGCGAAGACGTCAAACTCCTCAATCTCATCAGTTTCGCCGTATCTAACGGATTAAGGGAAGTTGACATGTTCCCAAACACCCTCACATCCCTCAATCTGCAGTTTACGGAAGTTGAAGCCAGCGAGACTTGCTACGCGTACATCCGCTATCTCTACAGCCTGCGCGACAACGATGAGGCATTGGTCGCGCTCTGGGCTTTGGAGAAGATTTATTTGGATGGCTGGAGCTATGCCAAGTCCAAAGACGCAGCAACATCCTCACCCTCACCTTACACTGAGCTGCTGGACAACTGGACATGTCCCTCATTCGTAAACTTCGTAGACAGCGACCTGAAGTACCAAGTTGAACGCCTCAAAGGGGGCACAGATAAGCTCAACGACATCTTCTCCCAAATCTGCCAACATGAAATCTCATTCTTCCAACAGTGTCTACAATAACTCCTTTTTTATGTATTCTAGCACGTAATATAACGCTGGTAAAGAATGCTGAGAAATTCATCGTTTTCCTGTATTGGTAATTAGTTTTAAGGGTTCAACAGACCGATTGCACACACCAATATAAGTGACGCCAATGCCTGCTTAAATCCCCTTTCGTCTAACTTATGTCCGCTTGGATGACGTAGCAGGGTGAGTGTCGGTGTCATCACGTCTAATCCCACTTGAGGGCTTATCCTAGCCACTTCTGGTGTGTGTTGCGGAGGTTTTGTATGTGGTGAGGGTTGTGCGTATAGGTGCTGGATGTGCTGTGGTGGTTGTACTTGTGGTTGCTGGGGTGCCTGCGACACTTGCGGCATTTGAGGTGATGGTGGAAGTTGTTGCATTTGTTGTAATTGTGGCACTTGTGGTACTTGCGCCTGCCCCACTTTGCCTATGTTCCCAGCCTCTCCGCTACCTTGTGACTCTATAACTGAAGGACCTAAAGCGACGTCAGAAAAAGATTACGAGTCACTAGCACACTTCAACCCACGTTGAATAATCCCCATGCCACCTATAGCTGAAGGTTTGCGTGTCTTTGGCACAGTCCTCACCTGCGTCCTAATTCCAGGGTTGAACAGGCCAGGCGAGGGTTTAAGGTCATCATTTTGCTGCTGCTGCATTTCCATCATCTTCTGCTGACGTTCTCTCTCTGCTCGAGGTGCGGTAGGTGGGGAAATGCCCAATGGGGGGAAATTCCTGTTGAATTGGTGGTTGCGAGGTGCTGTCGTGTCTGCTTGTGAACTCTGCTGCTTCTGTTTTTCCTCTTTCTCAGTTTCTCTTTCTTTCTCTCCTTTTCTCTCTCTTTCTTTCTCTCTTTCTGCCTCAAATTCACCCCCTTTCTCCTCGAAAGTGAGCTTTTTGAGACTCTCCAGCTCGTCATTCAGCACGATCGGGTGGCGCGGCTCTGAGGGAGTAGCGGACGGAGTCACGGCGGAAAAGGGGAGTGGCGTAGGCGGGACGCTTGGTTGTATGTGCGGAGTGTGCATGTGAGCGGGTTGCTGTGGTACGCGAGCATCTATAGGGATAGAAAGCGGAGGTGTATGAGTGGAGTGAGTAGTGTGAGGTGTATGCGAGGGATGAACAGCGGGTGAGAAGGGCGACAATGGGGGTAATGTCTGCCCATACATGCCCATTTGAGGGGGTGGTTGGTTGTTTGTGGAGTGTAGAACGTACTGAGGCTGCTGAGAGTGCTGTTGCTGCTGCTGCTGCTGCATGTTCGGCATACTCGACATATTCGGCACACTCGGCACACTCGACACTGAGACGCCATTACTGCCGTCGACGGTAGCTGTAGGGGGCAAACCAAGGAAAGAAAGAAGCTGCTGTGTGCCATCTACCTTTACGTCCTCATATTGCGATGGTGTAGGCTGGGACTGCTGTAGCTTGCCCCACTTGTGGCTGACGGACGGCAGTGTAGATGGAGCAGGTGCAGCGTTCGCCGCTGACAGGGCGGGGCTGTCGAAGTTGCCAAAAAGATCATCTACTGAAAGTGGTTGGCCTGGTTGCTGCTCGATATTCTCGTGATTTCCCTTGTCCTGTGCACTAGCTGGGGAATGGCTTATACTGGCAATAGCAGGATCAACGAGTGAATCCTGCTTGGGCTTTGTGGATGACTTCTCTTTCGCAGCTAAACGCTCAATCTTCTCAATACACTTGGATATACGAGGTCTGTGGGTGGCGTCGAATACCCAAACGCCCCATATAGCATCCTCGTCGGCTGGTCTGAAAATAATGTAGTCGCCCGTCAGTTGAAGATCATCTGTGCCAGTAAAGAGCGTTATAAAGTTATCTGGCCCAGATCTGTTCAGGATGAATAAGCCATATCTAGGCATGACGCTTCTTGTAAATATAAACATGGATCCTTCTACCATCTCCTTCCTCCAACCAACGCCTTCCACGAAGCTGTACAGTACCGCGTACGACGTCCCATCCAGTATATCTTCCACAGCTTCGTCGTCTGTATAAATATAAATTAAATAGTTCTCCAGGCCTCAAATTTATTAGCCCACGCTGCTTCAGCACTCTTAAATTAAATGCCCGCTTTTGGCTAGCGTCCATCGTTTCTGAGCAAGAGATATGGGCTTCGGAAATCCATCAACATCCAACAACTTGTTCTCCATAAATCCACCCGCTAGAGGTTCATTCCCCTTGGATCATGACGGCGACTGCACACAGCCTATGAAGCTCTACCTCAGCTGTCTACGCCACAACAGCAACAACAACGGCGCATGCAGGCAACTCTCCAAAGCTTATCTCAAATGTAGAATGCACAATGGCCTCATGGACAACGATAACTTTGACAATCTTGGCTTTAGTGGTGTGCACGATGGCAGAGACAATGGCAATCAAAATTCTGAGAGGTTGGTGTAGAGTGTATATCAAGTATCTCTTCTTGTATTTCATTTGTCATATGTATTTCAAACTCCTCTCGTACTCCTCTCTAACCACCTAATGGCTCTCTCATCACCCCTCTTCTCCAGCTCCGGCTTCAGCGTCTTTAAACACCTTTCGTGATATTCGTTCAGCCACTCCTTCTCTCCTTGGCTAAGTAATTCGACTTCTATCAGGTTTGTGCCGATTGGACACAGTGTGAGTGTCTCAAAACCCGCAAACTGCGTCTCATCTGTGCTATTTGGTGCTTTGTAAGGAACGATGGCCAGTATTGCTTCGGTGCGTATTCCAAACGTGCCAGCCTCATAATACCCTGGCTCATTCGAAACCAGATATCCCTGTTTCAACGTCGTGTCGTTGAATCTAGGAGAGATGGAGTGTGGTCCTTCATGCGCCCCTAGATGGCTGCCGATCCCATGTCCAGTCCCGTGCATATACTCCAGCCCTTCTCTCCACAGCGGCATTCTAGCAATTGCGTCAATGAAAGCTCCCGGTACTTTATCGTTGGGAATAACCGCGCTAGCTAGGGCGATATGGCCCTGAAGCACTCTAGTAAAAGCCCTCTTCAGCTTCTCACCTGGGTTAGTCCTCCCGAAGAAGTAAGTGCGCGTCACATCAGTTGTGCCATCGAGGAACTGTGCACCGGAATCGCACAAATAGACTTTCTCAACGTCAATCACAGCTGAATCCGTCTCACTGGGACTGTAGTGTATCACCGCACCGTTGGCCCCTGTTGCTGAGATAGTGTTGAACGAGAGACCTCTGAATAAGTCGAGGGAGCTTCTATACTGTTCCAAAACGAGTGCAGCGTCGTGTTCCTTAACAGTATGTCCATCGTGCAGGCCCTCTTCCAGCCAGGCAAAGTACTGCGTGAGAGCGACGCCATCGCGTGCATGTGCTGCCCGCGCACCCTGCAATTCTACTTGGTTCTTCACCGCCTTAGCCTCACCTACAGGAGAGCGAGCGACGCGAACATGTTCCTCGCGAACCGCCCTGACTACCTCCCAATTAGCCTTGTCTGAGACGAGTACCTTTCTCTGCGCATCCTCCGCATCGCAGCTGAGCGGGGGGAGAGAGGGGTAGAAGTCCGCATACGGCTTTAATTCTACAGCCGCACTGCGCATCTGGTCGATAGCCTCCTGCGTCATTCGTCCACTGTCTACATACAATGTGCACGCATTCGCGGTGACAATGGCGTACGAGAAGAAGAGCGGGTTGTAGACAATATCTGAGCCGCGGAGGTTGAGCAGCCACGCTGTCTCATCGAGCGTAGTAACGATAAATGCATGTGCATTTTCTTTGTTCAGATAGCCTCGCAAGTCGTTCAGCTTGTCGGACACGCTGCGACCTGCGTACGTTAGTGGCTGCACGTATACCTCGCTATTGGGATATCCAGGCAGTTCTGCTATCTCGTCAATTGGGTTGCTGCCCACTGCCACCAAATCGAAACCAGGTTTTGCTTTTAGTTTGTCTTGGATTTTGCAGACTTGGGAAAAAGCAACGAGCTTAGGATCGACGCCAATGCGGAATGGTGGTGTGTAGTGCTGCATAAGGTAGTCATACCACGCAGGGACACCGGGAACGCCCGCTTTGAGGAGCTTGTAGGTGGAGCTGTCGAGTTGCTGGGTGGCTTGGAGATGATACCTACCATCTGTGGTGAGAAGCGCCTCTTTCTCAGTAATAAGAGCATCTCCCGCAGATCCAGAGAAGTTTGAGATCCATCTGCGATTGAGCTGGTCAATATGGCTTATACGGGGCACACAACCCACTCTCTACGCTTATCTGCGTCAGCGATATATTCACTACTATGGGCATCCTCTGAGGGAACAAAGAAGGCATGGATGTTCTGTTGGGTGAGGTTGCGTCTGAGCTGCTGTACTCGATTTCTGCTACAACGTCATGTGAGCTGGGAGGTGATACGGATAACCGATTACCGACATCATGATGATGGTTGTTGTTAAAGAGGTGAAATGGAGATTAGATGGAGATAAAGCGGAGATAAATTAAATGAATATCACTACTCATCCACCTCCGCCAATTAGATTCCGAGTATATCACGAGTAGAGATGGTGGTGTTCTCAAGATGGTCTATGGACACTTATGGCCACAATATACTGACTACGCTTATCGCAATATACACAGACCCACACTCACCAATTTTACATCATCTAAAATAAAATCTTCTCGAGATAAGAAAGCATAAGCTTTTCACAACCGTCACGTTTTGTAATCAAATCAAATCGCGAAAGGCGCAGGAAATGTCAGAAATAGCTGCAGCTACGAGTATATCACCTGAAGATCGTCCAGAGCGTCCAGTGAGTTGAATCGTTTTTTTTTATCTCTCAATCGGCTCACCAGCGCAAGTTACAGACGCAGACTCCACCGCCTGGGCTATCTGCTCAGCCTTTCTGTAGCCATTGCCGGGCAACTCAAACGCCTCTATGGAGAAGAAATCCTGATGATTCTGCCTCTGTCTTGTGCAACGCTTGCGGTCTCTTCCTCAAGCTCAAAGGTATGCCCCGTCCCCTTAGCCTCAAGACGGATGTCCCTCGCACACGGAAGCGCCAGAAGGCCTGCGAAAAGGAGCATAACGCTGAGGGCTCCACCTTTAAGTACAAGAAGAAACAGCCCAAATTGGAATCCAGCGCTGATCCAGATAACGATGATAACGATCGTGATGGCGATGCTGATAGTGATCGTCTGGATACAAAAATAAATTTGGATGGCTCTGTGGGTGTCTGCCATCTAACCTCATTCCTGTCCCCTCTAATCACTCGCAAAGCCAAACGAAAACAGCTCGCTTAAACGCCCGGACTCCCCTAAGCGACAAGCCATGCCTAAGGACTACGACTATACGGCACCGTACATGATCAAGCGGCCTCGGAAATCAAAGTACGATATCACTGAGATGGCTCCACCCAAATCTATACTTGAGACTCTTGGGATCGAACCCATTCCAGGCGGACAGGGGAAGCTCGACTCGCAGTCTATCAGTAAACTTGTTGGTGGGATTGCCCCGCTTAATAACTCTCAACTACAAAACGCGCATGCACAGGTGCAGCAAAATGAGCAATTGGGACAACTGGGGCAACAGGAGCAGTATGAGCACAATGAAGACCATGACCCCGATCAGTATGATGAAGCGCGCCACTTGCACAACTCCAGTACAAGTCAGCATGATGAACCCCAAGACAGCCACCGTCTTACCTCACACCCGCTAACCATAGACGATGTTAGTGGTAGTGGCAGTCACAAATCATTGGCACCATTTGTTAACCACTACTCATCGATAAATCCGGCATCATCATTAGCAACACAAGCGGCACAAGTACCATATCAAAGTGAAGTAAGTGAGCAGGTCACATCCAGACCAATGCTACAGTCGCACACATCTTCACCTATTATACCATATCAAGCACACACCCATTCACGCCCAATGAGTCAGAGTCTATCAGCAATACTTAACAGTCATCACAAGTCAGCGTCAGCGTCAAACAATTCGTACGAGCCTGTAGATCAACTGAGGCTGTTGAAAGCCCAAGTGCAGGAGTTAGAGAGGGCATATGAGGGAGCTCTCGACAAGCTAGACAGGTGTGATAAGTGTGAGAATGATCACAACCACGATGACGTCAAAGACACATCCACAGAGTCATCTTCGGAAGGTATCCAGTGTGATGACAGCAGCACGCATAACACCGCCGAAGAAGCACCGAGGAGGAGTGAGAGGAGCGAGAGGCGTAACAAAAGCAAGAGTAAGAGCATGAACAATAACCTCAGCTGTGAAGACAGCGAACAGTATGAGAATATTCGATTCAAACGCACTGAGAAGCGAATCAAGCGTCTGTGCGCGTCGGATAGGACAGGACTGCGGATGTGTACATGGCATGATGCCCATCACTCCCCACCACTGTATCCACCACGAGGAGCTCCACCCGGTATAATGTCGTGTGGGTGCACATTTGACCAGACGCTGTTCGAAGAAACGCTTTCGAGGCATGGCGTGGGTAGTATACAGCCCGGTGACGTGACTAGGCTAGACGTAAAAATGCGCGATAATCTACTTGGTCTCCTTGAGTGGCAGTATGGCTACGTCGACGGCGATCTCGATAAAGATCCGTCTACGGGTGCTTTAACGGATCTGGAGGAATTGGGGCTGTCTTCTGAGCGCGATACGCCGCTGAGGATGCAATGAATTGTTCTGTACTCTGTACTGCGTGCAAGCTAATTTAATTTATATTATGTACAAGTAAAGTAATTTATATGCGTATGCGTATACTTGCGCGTACAAATAAAACTTTGACTGCAGGGAAGAGGGCGGAGAGGAAGGCGAAGATGGAGAAATATAAGAATATACAGTAAAGACCATTTAAAGATATTGTACCACTCACTACAGATATATACTTTAAAAGTCTCTTTTCGGTACCATCACCATCATCACCATGTCTGGATTGCAGAGACGCAGAGTGAATAACCCAAACAGCGAGCATGACAACCACCTTAATCACAACGGAAATTCGTCTACTTCGAAGCGCAGCTCATCCTCGCTGCCGTCGTCCTCCTCACCTCGATTAGCAGGTGCAGCTGGAGCTGTAATCGCAAATAGCGAGCGAGCACACAAGGGCATTGCATACGACCCCCGCGATTTGCAAGTAGAGGCGGAGCAGAGCCAGCATCCAAAGTTGACGCTAATGGAAGAAGTCCTCCTCCTAGGTTTGAAGGATAGGCAGGGTTACCTCAGCTTCTGGAATGACAACATATCATATGCCCTCCGCGGCTGCATTCTCATTGAGCTCGCGCTGCGCAAGCGTATCGCTATGACACGCGATCCCAACAGGCGAAGATACGATCTCGCAGATAGGCTGGTGGAGGTGACGAGCGACAAGCTCACGGGCGAGGTTCTTCTCGACGAGACACTCAAGCTGATCAAAACGAGCGAGAAGCTGAGCGTTGGAAGCTGGATTGATCTCCTCAGTGGTGGGTCCGACAGCCTTGTTACTATTTCACTCACACCCCATCTCCCCAACAGGCGAGACTTGGAACGTCATGAAAATAGGCTACCAGCTTAAGCAGGTGAGGGAGAGACTTGCAAAAGGTCTCGTAGACAAAGGAGTTCTACGCACAGAGAAGAAGAACTTTCTGCTGTTCGACATGGCCACTCATCCCATCGTCGACACCGTCTCTAAACGCAATGTCATTGAGCGGGTGCTCGCGTTGGCCACCCCTAACACTGTAGCATTGGATATGAACAGGTTGCACAAAAATCCAAACATCAAAGCGCGAGTGACGCGATCTGTAGCTCTGCTACTGTCTGGATACGCTGCTTCAGTCCTCGAGAACGGATTCGCCAGTCTCAATTATGATGCAAGAGAGGAAGCCTTTATGAGGACGGACGAGCTACTGAACGAGTTCGGCGTTTGGCCCTGGGGCGTTGTCGGTAAGACGCAGGGCGCTGCTGCCGACGGTGCTACTGGTATCGGTTCGGCTTCTTTGGATACTTCTGATCAACTCGAGTCACCTGCCTCGGCGGCTATGTCGCATGCCTCTGTCGCCCAGATCGCCAATCTTGTAAAGAACGCCAAGGACGAAATTGGCGACGATGAATTGGAATTTGAAGTCGTTGCTACTGTATTCTCAGTTTTCGGTAAAGTAAGTCGAATATTCTGTCTTGATATTTCACCCACACTAACCACCCTAATCAGATGGACTCGTTACTCTAGTTTGTTCACTGTTTCACTCAGCAAAGAGGTATACCCATTGAAAACATTCAAGTAATACGAATAACATAAATAATACAAATGATATATGATAGACTATTAATCCCAAAGATTCTCCGTTTCGGCTGCAATCGGTGGTGCTTGATAGGGTGACTCTGGCGGTGTTTGTTGGTAGCTGTTTTGTGTGTGTAGCTCTTCTTGCTCCTCCTCCTGCTCCTCTGATTGTACACTCTCTTCTGCTGGTTGTTGTGGTTCTGAGTGGGATGACCTATCATCACTCTGCCTAGGCTGTAACTTTGAGTACTCAATCTTGTCCACCTTGATCTGTGTGGATGTCAGCAGAGTCAAGCTAAACACTCCCCACCCACTTGATCGTTATCCAGTTTGTACACAAATGTCGTCATTTGCGCTGGCTGTATGTCGAGCAGGATGAAGGATGGTGTGGCGTCTAGCTCTTCTAGGGAAGAGTAAGTGCCTGTCATGGAACCAGGTGAGCAGTAGAATACAGAATCGCGCTCGAAAGCATCAAAGCTTGGGTTGCAACGTTAGAAAGAGCTTTGTAGAGAATGTAATCGCACATGCGCACCTCTTTGGTCCGGAAATGAGCAATATGTCTACGTTTAGCTTACGTGCGCTGATTGCGTAACTTTGCGTGTCGGTATCGCAAACCAGCCCAACTTTAAACTTATCGAGCATAATTGCAGATCCAGATGCGCCAATTATAACTTTATCACACAGCGTTCTCATGTAGTCCAGCGTTGCCTTGTCATTCACATCTCCAAGCAATATAGCCCCATCGAGCTTGTTGGGCTGGAGTAATTTCTTGAATTGTATTGGTATATCTGTAGATAACGTTGGTATATTTATCTCATTCGCTACTAATATCAGCATCTGCGCGGTGGTAGTTGGTAAGTGAGATGAGGAGATATTTTCATAAAATCATATATTCCCCTTCATAATACATCTCACTAACTCCCATGCCACCCCACTCCACCTCCTCTTTCACACCTCCAGCCTATCGAATTAAACAGCTCATCTACAAATCTGCTATTTATTTACATCAACGGAATCCCACGGCTCTCAGAAATATATTGGTCTATTTTATATTTTCACATCTCCCCTAATCGCCTCCCCACGAAATTAGCGCATCCAATCCAATTCCCGCGCTTCTCACTTTTCCCGCCTCTCGCCCCGCCCCATCTCTATGTCAGAGAAAAATGAATCATCGACAGCTACACTGGAAATCTCAAATATGTAAATGAAGAGTATGAAAATATTTTCCAGGAACCCACATTTTAAGTTTTTTTAATTAAAATTCCCATTCTCGTCCTCTCCTAACTTTTTCATCTACTTTTATCACATCAACCAAATCAAGCAAAATGGACATGGGCAGCTCAGGTATGGAAGGAGGAATGAACATGGGTGACATGGGCGGATGTACTACCTCGATGCTTTGGAACTGGGTGAGTTTCACCCCTACATCTGACACCTTTCTCACAAGCGACAGAATATAAAGGACACCTGTCCAGTTTCTAAGCAGTGGCACATTACAAACGATGGTGAGCCGTCATTATGATCCCACCACCCTTGCTAAACAACAACCCCCTAGGCGCATTTGCTGGTACAGTTATCGGTGTTTTCTTCATCGTCGTTGCGATAGAAGCGCTGAGGAGATTCGGAAGAGAGTACGATAGGAAGCTCGTCAACGACTACCGCAAATCGCAAGCATCGGCTGGTAACACCAGCATGGCACCAGACGTCGACGCAAAAGGCGACGTAGGACCCGCGCCTGTATTGGTAGGAACGGGTCAACTCAGGCCGTTCAGACCAACTTTATCTCAACAGTTCATCAGAGCACTCGTGTATTTTGTCCAGTACTCGGCTACTTACATGTGAGTAACGTGTTTGACACTTCCGTATTTAGCAACTCGAATTGACGCGTCGTATCACAGCGTTATGCTTATAGCGATGACTTTCAACGGTTACCTGCTTTTTGCCATCTTCTTCGGAGGTGGATTTGGATATCTCGTCAGCAGCTGGGATACTGTCGGATTGGTGGAGGACACTGAGAAAAGCTCTTCGGGATGTTGCTGCTGAGAGACGGTTGAAATATGCATCATCTCATCACAGGCTCAAAGGCTCACACTCTCAATTTCTTAATTGCTATTACCCTTTCAATTCTCATTCTGGACACCCTGTAGACACTTTATCTGTATAAATAAAGCACACAACACTACTCAATTTCTACTCTATGGAGGACTAACATACATATTTCACTTGTCTATTGAAGAATATAAAACAGCTGTATTCTCCCTCACAAATTCACGTCATGCCAAAAAGCTTATTTGGCAGCCAGAGCGCTGTAAGGAATTGCTAGACGTGTGGTGCCATTCTAATTTCTTTCTCATTAGGACCAAGCTGCCGCTGGATTCGGTGCAGGCATCATGGCAACCTTTACCATGCAGCCGTTCGACATCATTAAAGTGAGGTTCCAAGTAGCCAGCACGTCCGAGAACGCGGGATACGGACGAGCAATCTGGACTGCTCTCAGAAATGTTGTGAAGAAGGAAGGCCCTACTGGTTTATGGAGGGGAATCGTACCAAACATCATCGGCAACTCCAGCGGATGGGCTACGTATTTCTACTTGTGAGGATGACGGGGCGCGCACGCTATTTGGCCATCAAAGCTAACGCGCCTTCAAGCTACACGATGTTCAAGGGTGCTGCACAAACACGGCAACACAACACAGCTCTTTCACCTTCTCAGTATCTTCTATGTGCATCTACAGCAGGTAAGAGAGCGGCGAGATTGATTGCGCTGTGCTAACTCGTTCACTCAGGCTCGATCAGCGCTATGATTACTAACCCTTTCTACGTTATCAAAACGCGGATGTACACGTCGTCATACAATAACAGTAGCGCATACAGAGGACTGTTGGATGGATTCAACAAGGTGGTCTCTTCAGAGGGTGTCTGTGGATTGTGGAAAGGCACTCTCCTCGCGCTGGGTACAGTCGCAAACAGTGCTCTGCAATTCACCATATATGAGGAAATGAAGAAATCTCGGTTCGCTGCGAGGGATACGCAGCCTGGCGTAAATGACAGACTGGTGAGTTGAGTTGGATAATGGTCGTTGGCGCTCTCAGCTCATTGAAAATAGCCCAACTGGGAATACACAGCTTTGAGTGGATCGTCGAAGCTTATTGCTTTGGCTGCGACCTACCCGTACCAAGTAATAAGATCGAGGCTTCAGGTGGGCTGTACTCCTTTTCTGTGCAAGACAACACATCGAACATAACCAAGTATTCTACAGAGTTTGAGAACATAAGACATTGCGTGAAGCAGTCTTACAGGCGTGAAGGGATCAGAGCGTTCTATAGGGGATTGGGTATCAATGCTATCAGAATCCTGCCAGGAACTTGCGTCACTTTTGTAACGTGAGTTGGGAGTAACGGGGAATGAACCAGCTGACATAATTTAGATACGAAAACTTAATATGGATAATCAAGGAAGCCTCGCGTGATAAGCAGGATTGATCTGCAAGCCGGCAGACATACACATAAATTATGCATCCACACACATTCGTTGTAAATTATCATCTGTTTAATACGTTCTACTTTAACAAAATACCTTAGTGACTCTTATATCAACGTCCATGTGGCTCACCAGCAACAAATCCAACAAGAAGGGCGTCAAATCGTCGAGTAGAGACAACACCCCGCTGGAATCAGGCAAGACTACAAAATTACTTGGACCAGGTGTACGCGATAAGACTGGTAAGATTACGGAGTATTCTGTGGGTGCGGATTGCAGAACGATAGTACGAGTACTGATATCAATTGTACAGTCAGCAGAAGACAAATGCCCAGTATGTTCTTCAGACCGCTATCTGAATCCATCGCTACGATTACTGGTATCTCCTTGCTATCACAAAATGTGCGAGAGCTGCATAGATAGATTGTTTACATTAGGTCCGGAGCCGTGTCCAATCTGTGGAAAAATCACTCGCAAGACAGCCTTCGTTGCACAGACATTCGAGGACCTAGGCGTAGAGAAAGAAGTAGCTGTGAGGAGGCGTGTAGCGAAAGCGTACAATCTAAACGCAGAAGACTTTTCAGACCTACGCAGCTACAACGATTACTTGGAAGAGGTGGAAGATATAACCTACAACCTAATTAACAACATAGACATTTCAAACACAGAGGCCAAAATACGCTCGCATCAGGCCAAGAATGCATCATCGATTATATCCAATTCAGCGAGGGAAGTGGCGGACGCAGAAGCTGTTAAAGCAGAGGAAGAGCGTGAGCGCAAAGAGCGTGAAGCTCGAGCGAAGGAGGCACGACGGGAATTGGAGCAAGAAATGATAGAAAAAGACCAAGACAAAGAAGTACTTTTGAGAGAATTGGAGCATTCTTCAAAATCAGCAGGAAAAGTAATGGCACAGCAGAAATCAAAAGCACTGAAAAGATCATCAGCTCGCACAACCAATCAACTCAAGCCAGTGTCGATACCGACTAACACATTCCCACCGGACAATCCAATGCCATTCATGACAGACGACGTATGGGATCCTCTTTATGATGAAGATGCGTATGATGACTATAGCGGTCTCTACAAACTCGCACCGAGCGTCTATGCGGATGGCTTCAAGGGTGCTGAGAGTGTCGTCGGCGGTGACGAAATTGCAAGAGCTGGTGGCTGGACGAGAGAACAGGCGTGGGAGAGGGCCATACGCGAGGGTGTGTCTGAGTGGACGTTGTAAGAAATACCAATTGCACTATCTATTCTTTTGGGCGTATCGATGAGGCGGATAGTGCGGCTGATGTTGCATACAGAGGAGAGCTGCCTGATAAAGTTTGATAGAGTTGCTAGCAGCACAACTCTCGTTTTGAAGGAGCACTTATCGCTAATTGACTGCCTGGTGTGTTTAGTTTATATTACAGATAACATTTAACAAACAGCCAGAGCTGAAAATTAAATCAGAATCCAAGTACTGCGATCAAGTGAGACTGGTATACTTCGGTAGAGTGCCCGATAATAAAGACCCGCTTTAAAATTTCAAATCTAGCCAGACGCCGCTCACATTCCATCTCTTGTTCATACCACCACGATCTCAGAAATTTAGCCGCTGTGTTCTAGTCTAGAGATAGCAAATAATGTCAGCCTGGAAGAACGATATGTATGCGCATCTTGGGGCTGCCTAATTCCTCTCACAAGGCAAATAGGTTTGATGAAGTCATCGATGAGGCAGAAATGGAAGAGATTAACAGACCTTTCGATATTTATGCAGAGTAGCCACGTATATTATACATGTAACACTTCAACTTACGCTGTTATCTGCTGATTAGCCACGATCTCACCCTTCGCAACGACACAGATAGGGTAATAATTGATAATCCATGGACTAGAGCTCAGTTCGGACGTGGCTCGCGCATAATAAGTAGAGTCGCTTTCCCACTCACGTTTAGCACGGCTGACATGTCGTTGTCTTTAATAGAAGTTATAGTCAAGTCTGACGTAATGGATGAGGGCGAAGATGCTGATAACAAACACTTGAAGAATTGGAATGGAACTGATCATATCGAATCATTCACTACCAATAAGGATGATGTGCTTTTTCGATCTCCATTCAACACCTCCCTAACACTCTTGCACAGCTCGTCGAAACTAAACTCTGTCCACTTCGAACAGCAAAAGCGAAGCAGCTGACCATTCAGCAATCATTCGCCCGCCAGCTTCCGAAGCATGAAAAACCTAAAGACTCAATCAGACTCTGGATAGACGACAAGCCGGCGATAGAAGAGGTCGTATTCAAGAAACCAACATTACCCAACGCCAAATCCCAAACTAAAAGGTCTGACGCTAAGAATATGCTGCAACTCACTAATACATCACCTGTGCCAAACAAAAGGCGCAAATTAAACCCTATCTGGACAACATTTATCAAGACACCCAAGATTGAGGCTGTCAAGACTGCCAAGCCGTTCAATTCATCACCATACAAATGGGTCAAGCCTTCTGATTCAGTGGTCGTGACTGCAGATAAGAAGATGACGATGTTTGAGCCGACTAACCTTAAGCTGCACAAGAAGGAGGTTGATAATGCTGGTGGTACGACAAGTGCGTGGTGCAACGCTTCATTTATAGATGATAATGCGTAGTAAGTTGCAGGAAGCGGGAAGCAAGGGTAAGACTTTCGCAAAGCTGTTAATATGATCTTTTCAACACATTTATCCTTCTTGTGAAATCGTTTATCGTTAAATAATCATGAATATTCAGCACACACATCTTTTACCTGTGCAATCGACTCATTATGCCGCGAATCGAAGAAGAGGTAGACGAGAGTAAGAAAGTAGAGTTTGATGATGATTTTGACATGCCATTGAATGCACTGGGAGGTCAAGGGAATCAAGGAGCATTGCTCGAGCATGTTGATGAGGCACAGCAACCAGCACAACAACCATCACAACCTCCAGCATCTACGAGCACATCTACAAGTGCACCACCGCCACCTTCCTCATTCCCAGGTATGCCCGGCATGCCTGGACTTCCATCCCAATTCATGGAGGAGGAGCGTATACCCTTGCCCGTAATAATAGACTCGAAATCCAAACCACGCATGAGACCTATCCATGATGAAATGGAGCTGGATGAATACAAGAACTGGATAACACTCTACCCGGTTTACTTTGACGCTAAAGCCAATCAATCACAACGGAAGCTACCACGTAACAAGTGTGTGTGGTGGCCACTTGCGAACGATCTCGCAGAGTGTACGGGTAATCTCGGCTACAGGACGTTATTCGAGCCCACCAAAACACATCCAAGCGATTGGGAGAATCCAGGTAGAATCAAGATCGAGTTAGAGCACAGTGGTCATAAAGAGAAGACGAGAGTAATTAGCGAGATCGGCGAAGAACTCAAGGATAAGTTGAGGGATGACACTGTTATACAGAAACGCACTCATAAGCTGCCTTCTGCACCTAAGAATGTCACGCTGAGGAGACCGGCTTGGTCGCCTGCTAAACCTGTAGGCATGTATCCAAAGACGGCCAATGAACAGCCACCTCCAGAACCTATTAAACCTGGAACCAAGCCAGATGAGGCACCTAAAAAGGAGAAAAAACCAAAGATTAAGCGCAAAGTTATACGTGCATAGTAGTAAGATTCTAAATATGAAATAAATGTACAATTACACAAAACATGCGTTGTAATCTGTTAATCAGCTAATCAGCTAAACGTCTGCCACCACCCCAGTTGTGTGTTTGCGATCTTGATTGAGTTGGATTGATGGCGGTTCCAAAACCAGTGTGACGCTCTCTGCTTTCAGAAGAGATCCACCACTTTTCAAACCATTGTGGGGGTGTGGTAAGCGTGTTTCTGATTAATGCAGGTACTGGTGAAGGGAAAATAGACAGCGTATGCCTGAAATGAGCTGCTATGATGCCCATTAAACCAAAAAGAACAATAACTGGACCGCCAATCAACAAATCTATGGCTAGTATAACGTAAGGATAAGCGTAGTTGGGTATACTAACCAATCCGAACAGACTAACATGAGAATTTGGAGAGAGTATTGATTGAGTGTAGACGACGGAGAGGAAGAATGATCTAAACAGACTGAAAGCGTTGATAGGGTAGTTAAGTAGGAGTATAAATAAGGCGTCTATGATTCTACTCCACGCGTATCCGGCGCCGGCTCTACCCATGCCGCTGCCTTCCAAATCGGAAGACGTTTTGAATAGAATGAGTAGATCAAATAAGCCGCCAATAGAGCTTGGAAGAATGAAGAGAGAAGTGTACGCCCGCCAGAACTGAGGGATAACTAGTGAGGTATGCATACCGAGGTACGCTGGGACAAAGAATGACAAAATGGTAATTGAGATTGAAGATAGAGTAATAAACCTGGTTACCCTTGGGATTTTCTCAACTTCTCGCCAGATTTCATTCATTTTGATGTTATCAAGTTGAGATCAAGTGAACCACGTGTTGGACAAGGACCATCAGCCATCAGCTAAAATGGAAAAGAGCAAGAAATTAAGTAGACCGCCTTCTCTAAGCGAGCTCGTTAGCCGGTGAGTGAATTGCACGCCGTTTTAGACTCGTTGCCTGTCCAGCGGTTCTGACTCAACATCAGGATAGACACGGACAAGATAAATCAAGTAAAGTTGCAACAGCAGCAGCGATTGTCTGATGAGAGGAGGTATGCTGCTCGAAAAATACTCACCCGACAAGAAAACACTGGAGTTGCGAGTGCGTCATCGACGCCTAATAAACATTCACCTTCACTGGCGAAAATACAGTCGCGATTTGGTGTAAGTGAGGACATTCAAGACCATAAAGAGAAGAAAGATGATGTAGATTTACATCCACTCCAACATTGCTGGACTTTATTTTACGATTCTAAAACATCAAATACTGCACCGACAAACAGCCCACAGCAGCTAGGTCACACTGATAAGGGTACGTATGAAGCTGGTTTGAATGTTATCCAGGACATGAAAACTGTTGAAGATTTCTGCAGAGTTTGGAATTGGTGTAAGCCACCATCAAAATTAGAAAGACACTCAAATTATCACCTCTTCAAAGACGGCATAAAGCCGCTATGGGAAGATCCGTCAAATTCAAATGGTGGGAAGTGGGTGATTATCGTTAGAAATAGTCATTGGCTGTTAGATAGATGCTGGACATGGCTAGTGATGGGTTTGATTGGCGAGGAAATTGACGAGGATGACGATATTACCGGCGCTGTTGTCTCCACTCGTCCTCGCGGTGACAGAATACAGATCTGGACGCGTATGACATCAGTTGATAAGTGTAACCAACTTGCTGAGAAGTTGATAAAGATGTTGGAAATTGATCAAGATAATAACAAAAACATAAGCTTAGATTTTCAATTTAATCAGTCTAACCCACCACCAACTACAGAATTCATCAACATCACACCAACACAATCAAGCAATTCACCATCAACTACAACGACGCAAAACTCGCCTGGTGGTTTCAAAATACCTCATACGCCTCATACGCCACAAGACAGATGGAGATCGCAATAATCTGCATTAAGGAGGATTATACCAAAATAATGTAACGAAATGAAAATTGTTCATTCAAAAAAAAAACTATAATAACAAATGATATTCAATGATATTCAATTAAAATAATCAATAAAAGACTTTTAAATCTTTAAACAGCTTGCGAATGAGGATGAAATATCGTGATGCTTTGTTTGCTTTGTTGAGGGTGAGATTTTAGAATTGATGAGTAGAGTGTTGATGAGATTTGCAGAAACAGATTGATTGTACGAGGGAGGTTGATCGACGCAAGGTGAGTATGCAGGAGGTGGTGGTAAATCGTAGAAATTCTTCATATTAGTCTCAGGAATGAGAGTGGTGTAGACCGACATGAAGTTTGAGTTTATGGGCGGAGTAGCTGGGGTGTTGCCAAATAAGCCGAGGTCTTTGTTAGTATTAGCGAGTGGAATAGATGAGTTTGAAGTGGAGGCTGTGGAGGCTGCCGTGGATGATGCGGTTGATAAGTGATCGAATTTAGATTTCAACGATTGAATCTCTTTTCTGAGATCGTTGGATTCGTTCTTAGAGTCCTTCAAGTCGTGATTAAGCTGCTCAATGAGATCATCCCTTGAATTCAACTGTGATTCTAATTGTTCAATGTAATCCTTTCTACGCAATCTGAAAGCTCTAGCAGATATTTTATTACGAAGCTGTCTCTTTTCTTTTGAAGAAAGCTTATTGTACTCTTGCGGACTGAGGTTTGCCTCTGCAGCAGCTGATGTAATGTTTACGTCCTTTTGTGTGCGCTTTCTTTTCGTGTTTCTGGTGGAATTAGATGAGGATATATTTGAAGGGGTGCTGTTTGTGTCTGAGTCAGCAGCATCATCGTTGTCGAGCTCGTTGTCGTGCTCCTGGTCTTGATTGTTTGGCATTTGGTTGACAGGGATAGGGGGATCGAGCTCTTTCTCTTCCTTTATGGAAGTCAGTTCGTTGGTATTGATAGCCTCTACGTTAGCCTGTGAGGTGGATGCGATAGGTGGTGTAGCTGATGTTGTCGGCGTGGCTTCAGTTGTTGTCATGTCAAACGCAGCCAGTGGCTGTGGCTGGAATTGTGTGTGGAATATATCCAACCCAACGTCTAGCTTATAATCCTGGTCCAAATTCTCTAAATTCAAATAATTCTCTACTTCTGCCATCGCTGTTTATGTCAAGGGTGTCGCTGAGTGCCCGAATCTGTAGGCAGGTGATGTGATGTACGAAAATGGATAAATATATCTGAGATTGCTATATTAGTCTATGTATATTTCTATGTATTTGTATTCGTTCGCCACCATTCTAGCACCGTCCACTCAAACAATCATCATATGTTCTGTTTGGTGGGATTCTTGTTTGGTGTACACAAATACATTTCTAACGTCATCTACAGCGATGGTGGCTCCTCTTGTTCCTCCTCCCTTTCCCTTCAGCCCCGACGTTAATCCTTAGCCTGTTCATGCTCAGTTACCTATTATACCAGAAACCGTGTCCTTATTGCTTTGTATTGCTCCTTTGTCTATTTGGCTCCACGTGCCATTGGAATACACGCAGCAGCCAGCACACGGACGCCGTCGACACAATACACGATATCAAGCCATGCTGGTTCAGAAACTCAGCTCCCTCTGCGACGCATAAAGCCTATCAATTCGATCTACGTGGTATAGGTTCTCAACTGATTATAGAAATCTAATACATAATTTATTCCTTCTATTCCTCTATCTCCTTCACTTGAGCTTGACATAGCCTCTCTTAGCTGCTGTTTGAAACTCATCTAATCTCACTGTCTGAGCGAACTCATCTAACACTGAGCGCGCAAATACTACCACATGCGGCCACCACTCGTGTGCGAATCCTCCTTCGAGCAATGGCCACGCGAAGCCACCACCTGCGTGTCCTCCAATACCCAGCACGCTATCTGGATCGAGCGATTCGCTGGGTGTGTCTTTATCTCCCATTTTCACCCTACGTATGCTATCGCATTTCACGCCTAACGACGCTGCTCTATCGCGATCATACCTCATCTCCTCGCTGTCCTCAGGGCTCTCGCCTTCATTCCCACTTGCACTTGCACTCTCACTGCCGCCGAGATACCCACCCACTGCGCGCGCCCACGTCCTTGGGAACTTGAGCTTGAGTGAGGTGCTCGGAAATTTATCTATAGCCTTATCGAGAATCTCCTTTGCCTTTTCCTTGCGTTTGTGATTCTCTATGCTTTTGGCGAGGAGCTGCGTCGCCAGTTCCGCCATGGTGTCACCGCCCGTCCGCTGCAGCTTGATAGACTTGTGGAAGAGCTGCGTGGCGTCGATAGTAGCAATTTGGAAGAGCACAAGAGCGTACACCAGCAGTGCGAGCCCCTGCATATGCGCGAGCAGCTGTGGCGGCAGGCTGTGAGGGTGACATTGAGTTTGGGTGTCGGGGTCGGCAAGCGCATCCCACTTGGAGCGCGCAAACTTAGCAAGCGGTTCGAGGCTGTGCCAGTTCTGTATGTTCGGCACACTGCTGCGGTCTTCGCACCAGAACCCGTACACATACATCAGCACGGCATCGACAAGTTCGCAGCTGGCGAGTATTTTCAGAGTGTGGCTCGATCCACTCGAGTTTCCGCTAGCGCTGGCATTAGCAGTTGCACTCCCACTCCCACTCTCGCTCGCCGCCTTCGATGCCTGCTGATAGTGGCGATCGCCGAGGTGCTTCATATTCCGTCCGCGGTCTTTATATCTGCGATGCGCTGTGAGCACTGGAATTACAGACAGCACTACACCCACAATATCGACGTATCTTTGTAGTCTTGCGTGCTCCAGTTGCGACGTGCACTGCTCACTTCTATCCGCGGCGTCGAGGCTGAGCTGGCAAACGAGTTGTTGGATGATTTGGGAGTATCTTGCGTGATATGCGTGCTTGTATGTCCTAATCGCCGCGTCTTCACTGGTCGATACGCATCAGTTATCCTCGCTGGTAGCATTGCAGGCAATGTCTCTATCAGCTGCGCACGGTAAGTCGTAGGCTATCAACTATCCCACTCCCGCTCACCTCCATACACCGCTTAGCTGTCTCTCTCTCCCCATTTCTATTTGTCATCGCAGGGCAGATGAACGCACTCAGTATCGAGTATCGTACTATCGTTATCAAATCATGTAAAAACCGCAAAAAGGAAATAATGTATCAGGGTATTTTATGTTATATATTATACATTATAATATATTCAAACTACTTGGTCTGGCTCAAACTCATCGAGCTCGAGTTCCCATTGGCATTAGTCGAGCCTTTGAGTGCATTAACGCGGAGGGCATGTAAGGAGGACGTTGAGTTGACAGCTGGTATGCTTCCTATACTGTTTGGTGTTATTGGCGTTAGTAAGCTAGGCGTCTGCGGTCTGCTCGGCTGCGGTGTCCTATTGTGAGCCATATGCGCCTTGATGAGGTGTCCAGCAGCTAAAGCGCCCATAAGTGATAGTTCGCCTGCCATCACTGACGCGCATATAATTCTTGCCAATCTCTGTGCATTCGCTCCTGGCTCTACTTGGTTCGCTCCCTTCACTCCCAGCAGCTCCAGCATTGCACTCTGCGGTGACAGGACAGTACCACCGCCGACTGTACCTACTTCTATAGATGGCATCGAGCAACTTATAAGTAAGTCCTTGTCATCATTAATGCTGTAGCTAGTCAGCTATATTCGCACTTTCTCTCCCTCTCGTACTCACCCCTCCATCAATGTTATGCAATTGCTCGACTCCACATTCTGCGCAGGATCCTGGCCTGTCGCTAGATATACAGCAGTGAGTATATTCGCCGCATGTGCATTAAATCCCCCAATACTCCCCGCCATAGCTGAACCGACGAGATTCTTTTTATAATTGAGTCTAACGAGATCTTTGACTGTAGATTTGAGTACATTCTTGACTACATCACCAGGGATAACACACTCCGCGACAACCGACTTGCCTCTACCTTCGATCCAGTTGATAGCAGCTGGTTTCTTATCCGTGCAGTAGTTACCGCTAAGGGCGAGTGTCTCCATCGATGGGAAGTGTTCCGACTTGAGAGCCGAGAGGGCTTTCTCGACTCCCTTGCTGATCATATTCATCCCCATAGCGTCACCTGTAGTGGTATCAAAGCGAACATAAAGGGTGCGACCAGCAAGTGTGCACTTAAGTTTCTGCAGCTTAGCGAAACGTGAAGTCTGATTAAAGTTATTCATCATATACAGTGCTCCTTCAGCGCTGTCGATGAACCGTTTGCACAAGCTAGCGTCAATGACGGAGGGGAATTCGAGGGCGGGGCCGCGTGTCATACCGTCACGCGTGAGAACCGTAGTAGCACCCCCACCAGCGTTGATCGCCTTGCAGCCACGTGAGGTCGACGCTACGAGAGTACCCTCTGTCGTTGCCATTGGAATTGGCGTTAGGTCCCCGTCGATCTGCAATGGTCCGGCTATACCGACTGGGATGGGCATGTATCCTATCACATTTTCGCAACACGCTCCCATCACTTGTTTATAGTCGAATCCGCGCATTGGCAGCTTGGAGTGCTCGAGGGTGGCAGTGGTGGATTGGCGTGATATTACTGCTCGACGGATTTTCACCGCTCGCTCGAAATCTCCTAACATTTTCTCGAGCGCGTACATCGGGATTTTAGCTTGCTGTACTAACATTACGTATTCTTCATCACTAAACTCTGTCGCTGGGTTCACGGAGCCGGGAGATTCTTTAGATTTAGCGAGTAGTCCAACACACTCCTCTGCACTCCTACGTCCAAAGTGCGGCTCGTGGGCTGGTGTGACGCTTTCCACTTTAGGATGACCAGTGTGGCCAGCATCGTTGATTAACAGTGGCCGCTCTATTTCGTTCACTGAAGGAAGAGCTGGTGGGACGGATGGTAAGCTGTGTACTTTATCAGCTGTCTCCTTCATTTTCTGCATGTGATATGATTTCAGTTTTAGTGAATCTTGATCGTCGGTGGGGTTCAAATGGCGCCTAGCTGCTATCGAGCCCTTGTTGTCAATCTGAACTGTATAAGAGCCACTTCCACCGCCTAATCCTTTAAGGAGGTATCCATTAAGGAAGATGGAGGAGCCTAGGATGAGCACTATCCACTTTGACATGACAGGATCTCCAACTAGGTGCGTCCATCCGCTCATAAAGTCCTCCAGCACAGCTAAAGAGGCCACCTTGGTGTGATTGGTGCTGTGGGTATTCTCGAGAAATGCTGTTGCGCGACTGAAAGCACCATCACCAAAGACCGAACCTTTATCGGAAGAGTCACTCATGAACCTCTTTAAAGAAGTCTGAGATGATAGTGTAGTGAGGAGATTGAGTGAGTGGAGGATGAGGAATGAAGACAGCAAAAGCACTTTGAGTTTGGTGAGGGGATTGCTAACTTTTGAGTCACTAGTGTAAATGGTGTTCTGTGTGCCGCGCAGCAACTTGATACGGTGCACCTCAACCATTACTGTCAAAATTGGCGAAAGGAATCCAAACAAGAAAAGACAGTCAAAGGCTATACTGTAGGCGGAGAGGATGCAAAACTCTTTCAAACCAGCAGCACCAGATGCAGCGCCTAAAATCAAAACTGCAATTTCAAGTGCAGTGTCGCGTACTATTCTAGGACCAACTTTGCGATTCGCGCGGTGGACAATATCTGCGGCGGGAACAGGTGTAGCTAGCTTGACTTGGTTGTGTTGTTGAGAGTCAGAGGGGTGCTCGACTGGAGTGCCAAGGGTAAAGTAGTCACCTTCTTTGGGGTGGAAGACAGGGGGAGCGAGGTCGTGAGATGAGAAGACAGCGCGTGCGAGAGAGATAGGTTTGTCGAAGCCGATAGTGATGACTAGAAATGGAAGAGCCTCGAGTAAGTTGATTGGGTCAACTCTTACATTTGAGTAGTAGGCGACAAGACCTGCGCATACGAAAGAGAAGACTGAAGAGACAATAACTGAAGTGCCTGTGGGGGAAATATTTAGCGGTGGAGGATGAGCTTTGGAGGATACGGACCCAACCAGAACTTGGAGCCCAATTTCTTCATTTCGACGAACAAATGGACGAAAGTACCGTGCATGAGGATGTAGCCGATGAGGACGATCATGATATCAACGCTATCAGCGGTCTAATAGCCGCGTTAGGTGGGGTAAACAAAGAGAAGACACTGACCTTGGCCAGCGACCAAGTTCTGCCGCCGAAAGCTCTCAAAGCGACAGCCCACCACCAGTCATGTTTGCTGTCAATATCGAATTGATCAGCAGTGGCGAAACCTTCGTGTCTAACAGCGTGTGCTAGTTTGAAGTAAGCGAGGGTGACGCTGACAAAGGCAAAAAGAATAGATTCTATTGGATGGGCTGTAGAGGACTTGGAGACTGCGTTGAAAAGAAACTTTAGTGGAACATTTATGGAAGAATTGAAAGGCATTGAAAGTGTGTGTTTAAGTGCGCAAGACGTTAATGAATGCTAAGCAATGAGATATTTCTATAAAGACAGAAATATACGTTTTGTATGTTGAATACTATTAACTTTCAATATTCAAAATATTTCTTCGCCTTTGTTGAAGAGTCCCCAACGAAACGATTTGTTGATCAAAATCAGTTCATTATAAATTTATAAATCGAAATTTATAAAAATTAGTTTTTGAACAAAATTTATATTTGGTCGGCAGATCTAACCTCTTTGCCTGTTTTGGCTATTCTAGCTTGCACATCTTGTAAGCTTGCTGATCCTGAGAGGGCGATGGGGATGAGAGATGAGATATTGAGAGATGAACACGCTCACCGTTGACAAGGACAGTCTGAGCATTTAAATCCACTGAAAAGTCTTCAATTCCAGCGTTTGGATCCTCTTTTGCTTTGTTCAAGGCTCTAGTGATGGCACCAGAGCAGCCACCGCAGCTGGAATAAGCTTAGATGAGCCACCCCTACAGATCTCTGATAAAACTCACGACATTGCAACGTTAAACTGAGATTAAGAGATTAGAGATGAGACAGGTACGACGTGGACGATGACGAACCTTGTACTGAGGAGGGAAATGAGAGTGTAAGCGTATGCGCTTTGCGTATCGTATATTGCAAAATGCCGCTTACGTTTGCCATATCTGGAATATACTCTTAATTCAAATGACGGTAAAGGTTAAACGCTGTAAAATAAGAATCAATCCAGTTTAAACCCAATTTAAACCAATTTTACAAATTAATTTAATTGATAAACTAAATTTAAGCCTTGTTAGCCTTCTTTGCCTTAGCCAAGTTGAGGTTTCCAACTGAGCGGCGTTGCTTCTTCAATAACATGACTTGGAATCTTTCAAAGTCTGAAGTTTGCTTTCTACGCTCAACAGCAGCCAACTTCTTTGCCCAGGAAGATGCAGCCCACTTGCCGGCGATGTCTGCTGCCTCGAAGTGCTTCTTGACAACAGTTGGGCCTGCACCACGTGGAAGGTTCTTCAATACATATGGTGTAAGGTTGACGCGACGGAAAGCGATGGCTTGACGCTTGACACCGGTCGTTGGACCTTCAACGATGGCTCTGTTGTGGTCGAGGATCTCGGCAATGACCGCGAGCTTGCCAGAGTCTGCACCTTGGTTTACGAGAACGACTGGAGTGGATGATTGTAAGCGTCTATTGAGATTTCAAATACTCCAACTAACCACGGCCAACTTCAACGTAACGATTGAAAGTTTGTGACTGTCTCGTCAGTTGGAATTTGCAATTTACAGAGCAACACGACAACTTACGCTCATTCCGGTCCTGAATTATATCGTTAGCTTTTTCTTCTCTTTTACTTGAGCTTTCCCACCTTTGAATTTACAGCGTGAAGCAGCTCAAGAAGCGAATTCAAAGTTGACCAAGAGCCTCTCGTCAAATTTTTATTCGAATCAAATCAAATTAAACACATTCCTGTACATCCTAATCACTAATCTGTCTTCCTACTTGTCCTCTCCTGCTGCCATCTCTTCGCATCTCTTGTCTTGGCTGTGCACCAACCATCTCTGCTACAAACAACACGGCTGCTTGATTGCGCCTTTCTCAATGCCAAGAGCGCATTCATCTCTCTTCATCTCTACTTCCCACTCTCATCCCCTTTCTCTCCCTTCCTTCTTACCGCCATACACTAATGTCACTCGACGCGCCATGGCTCAAACAGTGTCCCGAATTCGTTGAATTGGAGATTGGCGAGAGTGTAGCCAGTCGCACCGAGACCCTCTGTGCGTCTCCCCATATCCACGCCCAACCAATCTCATCTTCATCTCAGCAACCTTCAGAGAACTCGGTCCACCAGATCTCTGCCATATCATCAAGTCTCCCACTAGAGCTGGAACCACCAACGATGTGAGTTTTCCGCTTTCTCCCGCTCTCATTTTCCAACACGTCAATCAGTCTGGCTCTTATCATTATGTCTCTGGAATAGACGCATCCAGCTCAGCCAGCATTGCCATATACCTCAACGATCTACTACGCAGTCTCGATATTTCCCAGGGTTGGTTCGCTCCCAACGCCGGCTGGAAAGTCAAGTCTGGTACTTATTGGTCAGTCCTCCAGTGGTTATTCTCGCCCACCTAACAATCTCCCAGCTGCTACAATGCTTTCTCACGCGTTGACGTGCGCGTACAGGTCAAGATTCCCGGCGGTGTCGACTCATACGCCGTCGATCTACGCGGCGAGCGCCACGAGCTCAATTCCTCACTATGGCTCGAGACTTACCTCAGTGCGCACCTCCGCTCGATTCTTTACGCCGATGATCCATCGTACAAGCTGTATGGATACAGGAAGTACTCGCCCATTCCGAAACCCGAAGACGAAGAGCGGTTTATCGCCGCCTGTGCGCAGCTCTTCGATAAAGGCTGGCAGCTTGGATCTGAGCCTGAAATCCAAGTAGCGACGCCGATTAGTAATCACCTCACCAGCGCGATCCTCAAGTATTTCGGTGATAGTGGACGTATGTCTCGTGCAGCAAATCTCTTTGAGAAAATCGCCGATCACCAGCGTCGCACTTATGGTGAAGGTCCCGCAGCTGATGTTGATGCTCTTACCGCTCGCGCTTATATCGGGATGCACGAGGAGACACTCGCAGTGCGCACGCTTAATCGTGCTCTCACTGTTTCGCCGCAATCTTGGCAACTCCTTCATGTCCAGATCGACTTTTTACGCTCTAAGGGTATGTTCGATTGGGCTGTGCAGCTCGCGCGCCAGGCTGTTGAATGTTCACCTTCTGAGTTTGTCACCTGGGCTAAATTGACTGACTGTCTCCTCGACATTGAAGACTTTGAAGCTGCGCTGCTCACTCTCAACAGCTGCCCTATGTTTACATACAACGAACGCGATTTGCACAGGATGCCAACACCCATCAAGAATCACTTTCCTATAAAGAAATGGGTTATCGAGTCTAATCTCATCGACGACGACTCGCCGAAAGAAAATGAGGCGGATATAACCCTCCTTAGATTGCCAGCACCTTCGCTCAGAGGTACTTTCGCTAGAGCTTACGAGCTCCTCACTAGACTCAACGACGCTATCGGTTGGGATGACCTCCTCAAAATCCGCTCAAAGGTGTTTGTGATGGAAGAGGAATACAGACAACACAAGACGGAGGGTTCTAATGGCACAGCTGCCGATAGCAATGTCATTAAACAGCCTGCTATACCTACCATCAAAATATCATCGGATTCCGATCACGAGCGTGAACAATTCAAGAGGGGTGGTTTAGATTTGCACATGGAGAAGGTGGAGAAAATTGAGGAACCGGTGCATAACCACGACAACCACGACAACCAACAAGATGGCCAAGGTGAAGGCACAAACACTAACGGAAATACCGCAGAAGAAGATACCGATGATACCTCGCGAGGCTTATCCTTCAGTGATAAGAAATTGTGCGAACGCTGGCTAGACAATCTGATGCTTGTTCTCTATGAAGATCTCCGCGTACTGACCATCTACAAGGCTGAACGCTCTCATTTCAAATCACAACAAATGCAATACAGGAAAACAGGAACTGAGTGGGAAATTATTGGTGATTTGTGTCTCAGAATGCATAATAAGGAAGAATCAAAAGAAGCTTATCAAAAATGTCTCGATCTTAAATTCTCCGCTAGATCTTTTATGAAGTTGATGGAGATTTTTGCTGAGGAGGGTAACACACAGAAAGCTTTTACTACTGCTACACGGTTAATAGCGTACAATGCTAGATGGTACAACGAATCTGTCTATCCAAACTTCATTAGCTCTCAACTATTCAAGATTGTCAAGTTGGAGGGTGTCCAGAAACTTGTCTTTATGACCATGTCCCTCGGAAACAACCTACCTATTCAGGCTGAATTGAGCAGGTATTGGGACTATGTTAAGAACTTCAAAGTTGAAGGTGAGGCTTTCTGATTGTATATCCACATATTTTGACTATAAATTTATAAAAAATTCTTTATAAAATGTACAAGGTGGCTTATATTTACTGGTCGATTAATAGACTTATATATCGACATTCTGAAAGTCGAGATTATATAAACGAGCGTGTTAATATCGTGTTGTTTGTGGTGGTAGTGGTGGTTAGCTTGATTGAAATTAAGTGTAGATCGAAATATTGATGGTGACGAAAGGTTTGTTGATTATGTTCTTTTTATTTTTTTTATACCGCGTTTTTTCATAATACTCATACTCATACTCCTCTCATCTAGGCTCAACACCTTCACTTTCACACTCCCTCTTATACTCCTCAGCGAGATCAGCTTTACCGTCGTGTCCATACAATCCTAAAGCCCATTCTCTAACAAAAGTTGAAGCCTTCAAGAATTTCTTTGAAGCGTATTTTCTATAGAAAGCATCATGCTTGATATCCTTTGACTTGACATAGTCCAGCATAACTTGAGCGCATGGACATAACTCCAAAACTGAGTAGCTTGAGTAGTGTACTAGATTTGGGGTCCATTCACCTCTATCTAAACACATTCTAGCCAAGTATGTACCAGCAGCTGCTATTTGTGAAGGTGGAAATTGCAACAACTTCTCTTCAACGCAGCTAATCTCCATGAAATACTTTGCCAAAGTCCTAGTCTCAATGTCGTAGTCATCGGCTTTCGATACTCTTCTTAAGAAGTGGATTGGGTTTGGATATGATAAATCCCAAGACAGAATTTGCAAAACATATTGCTCAGCCTTGAGTAATTCTGATTCTTCGTAACCGCCATCGGACATATAAACGACGTTTGAAACAGTTGGACACATGACTTCTTCATACTTTGCTGCTATCAACATGGCAGTCAAACCGACCAATTGTAACTTGATGATTGATACTATCCTCAAAGATAAGAATCTATCAACGATATTGACAGCCAAGAATAAAGTTTCAGGTAGTAGTCTAAATTTGTGATGAATCTCGATTAACCAGTCAACCAAGACACCTCTCATTCTCCATCTTAACTCCTTTTGATTATCCATGTAGTTTGGATTGGGCATAGTGTTTTGTTCCAATACTTTCATATACTCAAAGATTTCAATGACGTACTCAGAAACCATTAAAGGATCACCTTCATCTTCTGCGTCAAGATCTTCCCAACCTTCATCTGCTGGAGGAAGGTTCGCGTTAGTTTTTGCTAACCTGCGTCTGTCCTCATCAGCTTCGAATCTTTGAGCTTCTAATAGTAGTTGCTCCCTAGGTGAAGAAGTTCTTTGACGCTTCACATCGGGCTCATCTACGTAATCCATCTCATCATCAATTTGTTTCTTCTTGATCTGAGCAGGTCTACCTATTTTCGATTTTTGTTGCAAAGAAGTGGCTGTTGGCTTTGTTACTCTACGCTTTGTAGTGTCGATCGGTACACCTTCATCGACAGGCTTAGCGGTAGAGTTCGAGGTTGATCGAGTAGTACGCTTGCCACCAGGTGGAACAATTGAGGAAGCTGATTCTTTGGATAAAGTAGTTGAAGGCTTCTTCTGGACCAACTTGTCAGACTGCTGTGGTGGAAGGGATTTGTCATTGTTTGTATGGGTACGCGTCAAGTCGCCTAAAGCATTTCTTTTACGCTTCCCATCTAGAATTGTGTTATCAGCTTTCTTTGTGATTGTTGGTTTGGTTGAAATCTGATTGGAGGATATTTTCCGGTTCAAGGTTGAAGGATTTGCAGTAGAATTCTCATCTACATTTCTTGAACGCGTAGTTCTACGTATCTGTGTCTTCAATTAGAATTAAGAAAACGCGTATCTACTCCACTACTCACGGGTACAGTGGACATTTTAGGTAAGTGAGGAGATATTCAAAAACGCGAGTGGATGAAATTTGAGACTGATGAGGATAGAGTATTTATGGCGTATGGTCTATTTGCAACTAAATATCAAATTCAGAATTTACTGAATTCGACGCGATGATGGTTAGGAAAAGCAGGTGGCTGAGGGAATAGATTGTGATGATTTTATATTTTATTTAGACTGTTACCTGGTATGAATATTTCTGTTTTTCTATTTCGCTACGGGTAGTCTACGCGTGCACAGCAGCTACCCAGCCAATTCACTTCCGTGCACGGCGATATCCACATCCACGCTCCGCAAAGATTTAAAGGGTGATAATAAAACGTTAGTCAAATCTTAAATATTCATATCTAAGCTTTCATTTCTATACCAATTCTTTTACTCTCCCAAATCTCCCACTATCTACGTCAATTTCCAGACTTAATCAAGACATATATTAATATTTCCAATTACGCTTTAAACGGTTTAAAACATCCTCGTCTATTGCTTGTATCGATTCTCCGTCAACTTTCTGCTTTCATCCAACGCTGCCATCTTATCATCCTTCGTTGCGTTGTACGCGACTGTTTGTTGATTGAAGGGATTGTCAGGCGACTTTTGGAACTTCTTGTAAAGCATATCGTTGTACTGTTGCAACCTCAATCCTGGGTTTTCACTTCTCACTATCGGCATCTCAGCTTCCTTGTAAGCCTCAAATGCTCCCTTGAATCTTCTCTCTGGATGCTTCTCAATCTGACCTGCCTTAGCTCCCATTGTTGCTTTATCGGACTTCTGTCCGACGATAGACATCATGTCCATAGCATCATCCAACCCAGAAGCTCCGAAGCTCTCTGGTTGATCGACGCTGGCGTTGATGCCACCAGCTGACAATGCTCCTGGTCCTGCGGGCTTTGGTGGTGCTTTCTTGTTACCGCCCTTGTTCGCACCAGCTTTTGGCTTCGATGGCATAGAAGCTTCTTCTTCAGCAAGCATACGGTCCTTTTCTGCCTTTTTAGCGCTATGTGGAGTGTCAGAGGGTGGTTGTATTGCTGAAGAGCATCGCTCACGCTTGTTGAGCTTTCTTCTCGGCATCATCCTCTTTCTTTCCCTGCGATATTCCGTTAGCTTCAAATATCCCTGTACACACTAATCTGCTTACCTTTCCCTTGGATCCTTGCGACCACTTTTGAGATTCCTTGGCTTCAGCAAGTTCGGCCTGTTGAGATTTCTTGCTCGCTTCGTTTTCTGCCTTCTTGGCACGACCACCTTCTTTCTTTGCGTTTCCGCCTTTCGGACTGCTTTTCGTTAGCTGTATGTTGCTAGATCTATCGCACTTACGCCATGACTGTTTGATTACAAGGATTGAGATGTAAATCAACTTGCATATAAAAACCTAGCAGATATTATAAAAGATACCAGCTCCATAGCATATAGTACTTAAATGCCTCTTTCACTTACTTTCGAGGATCTCTTGCGCTTTACGTCAGATCACATTGTTAGGCTGAGAAGCGATTGGAGGTGATAAGTGCAATAATCCTACACACCCCCATTCAGATGCAGATATGTACCACTTTCGCATTTTACAGCTCAATTTTCACTTGGATCGCGCTAGGGTTATCTGGTATAAAATTTAGCAGGTATGCTCTTGCTGTCCTTGTGCAACAACTGTGAGTATAATTTATACAACTTAGTTGGATTGGCAGGAGTCTTTTTAAGGATGATAAACATACACAGACCTGTACGCAATCGTCCTAGACGTTGTCGACAACTTGTATTGCCTTTTTTTGCTGAAAAGACTTCTTGATACAAGCTCAACTAAGTTGCTTATAAATAATCAGGCTAATTATCATCTATAGTACAAGTAATCATCTCTTTTGTTTATTACGCTTCTTATGTTTTCGTCGTAACTTCTTTTCCACCTTTTTGTAGTTGCAATTATGTTTCTCCATTAAATTAGACACGTATTCGTGTGCCACGTCGAACTGTTCTGTTAATTTCCACAAGTATGCTTCCCAGTCACTTTCATCTCCCTGAGGTTGGCCAGTCTGTTCCCTGTCCTGGTCATCATCGTCGTCCTCAGCTCTGTTGTCCTCAACAACGGTGTCAATCTGTACGTTCTCAACAGCGTTATCGTTGTTGACTTCCTTCTCGTTGATTTCTTCCATCTCATTAGTGTCCTCCTCCAATCCACTACCTTCGTCCGAAATGTTATACTCAGTTTCTCGAAGTGCGGTTTCATACTGGACAAGCTTCTGCGTGCTATGCGTGGGTGTTTGAGCTCTTTCTTCATCCACATCACTTTCTTTTTCTGCCAACTCATCCACATTACTCTCTGATTCATTACTTACACTCTTTGGCTTCTTATTCTGTTCAAGTTTCTGGCTTAGCTGCTTTTCCAACAGCTTCTCTGCTTCCCACTGATTACGCTTTTTCTCCTCAACGATAGACCTCCTTGTCTTAGCATCGTTTTCCACCGCGATATCTGGTCTACTCTTTCGCTTCTCATTGAATATACCTGCATCAAATGAAGAATCAGGGAATTCGACATCAGAAGCCAAAAGGGACGACTCGTCTAATTGCACTTCACGATCTTGTTTCTGATCGTTACCTTGAGAATCTTCTTCGCTTTCGCGTCCGTTTACTACATTGCCATTTGAATCCCTTACTAAAACACCATCTGAGTCCCATTTTTCAAAGTTAAGGACACCGAGATCTTCTAGATCGTATTCAGGCCGTTCATATATTAGTTTAGAAAAATACTCTGGTCGAGACCTATATCTGTCCGCCCATGATTTTTCACTTGGTCGCCAAGGCGTCTGCGCGATATCGAATCAGTTTTGAACGCTCATATACCTTTCTAGGCTTACTCTATTTGCCAATTTGCGCCAGATACCATGTTTTCTATTTGGATGATGCCTCAGCCATGTTAGTATAATATTGTCCTCAGTTTCATTGAACTTTTGAACATGACCAGGGCGTTTCGAGGCATGCATCTTCGCTCTTGACGTGTCTTCATCGACGAGACTTATCTCGTTTACATTTATTGTAGAAGTTGGTTTCCTGCTTGAGCTTGTACTTGGACTGGCAATGTTTGAGCTGCTTGATCGTGTTGATCGTTTAAAACTTTTGAATTGAGTTGCACTATTTGGTCGATTTGTAACTTCATCTTGATAAACTCGTCGAGGTGTTTGCGACGGCTTCACCTTTATTGCACTCTTGATTCTACTTACACTGGGTTCCTCCTCAATTTCAGAGTCACTTGTTTGACCCATAAGCAGTCTGGAGCTATTCTCAAACCTCAAAGCAGGCGGTATGTCATGCTCTTTAATAATCTCTGAGCGAAGTCTGTTTGTATCGCTTGTATGATTCTGACTGCCACCCTCCAAAGAATCGTTCTTATCCTCAATGCGACTCTTGGCGCCCACGAAATCCTCAATCTCGTCCTCTTCTTTCTCATCATCACCTATACCGTCCTCTTTGTTTTCGACTTCGTCTTCATCAATGTCTTCTTCCTCTTTGTCACTTTCAAGGATATTTTTCTCGTGCGATCTCGGCTTTTGAACATAGACACGTTTTGTGGAGGTAGTCGGAAGACGTATGTGAGCCAGTTCGTAATCTCTTTCCCTCTTATTCCCGAAAAGACTTCTAGCCCTTTCATGTTTTACTTCATTTGTAGCAGTAGGAGACCCAGAGGACTCATCACGCGCTGCCCTTTGCTTAGGATTGAGGTAAGGCTCTGAGCGTTGTCTGCGAGCCCTAATGGTATCGAACTGGTCCATATCTTCATCATTATCAATCTCCCCTTCCTCCTTTTCGCTTTCATGGCTGCGATGAAAAGTATGCACGGGCACAGATTCAAGCCTTGTTCGCTGACCGTGTCGGGCAGGAGCTGAGCTATGTCTGTGGTTGTTGATTGCATTATCTTGATTCATTTCATCGTCACCCTGATTCTCACTCTCATTCTCTGAAAGACTCCTAACCCTATCTTGTTCAACTTTTATACGCTTAGCGTGTTTCTCTCTGAGCTCCTTCTCGAACATCTTTTTGGCATGCTTGGCGCCTTCGTAGTAGAGAAAACTGCCCAGCTCACTTGGATCGAAAGCGTCATGCATCTGTTACTTGTCAGTGAAGTTACTGTAGCTTTCATGCGACATACACGCTTCGAAGCTTCCTTCAGAACGCTTGTGTCGGTATTGTCCATTTCAACGATGGTGCTAAGGAGCAGCCCACGTTGATCAACCGTCAGCTGTTTGCTGGAAGATGTGAGAAAGTCATGTAGGACTAGAACGACTCGCACATACCGCATGTGCTTAGGAAGAAGTTCCAACACAGGATTCTCGTCATCTTCTAGTGGAGTCTGCGAATCACGGGCGAACGATAAGCGACGACTATGATCCTGCTGACCGTTCAAAGGCTGTTGTGAGCGACTAGGAGTTGCAGAGCCCACATGAGAAAGTCTCTGTCTCTTGTACATGGCTTGTTCTTCATCGCGTGGCCTTTTAGAGCGGTTGATGCTTTCAGCTCTATAGGAACTAGATGAAGGCTCCCGAGTTCCGTGCGACTCTCGTTGTTCCCGTACGTTGAGATCATTGTGTATACTGCCAGATGGCCAACTGTCAGACTGGGACTGACTTGGTATATTATTACCTGCAGTATGGTTAGTCGAATCACCGTGCTCTCATCTAACGCACTTCTTTCAAAGTGTGCGATCAAACTGTTGTAATAAGCCGTGTGCTTAACATATTGCTCGCGCCACTGCCACGCGTGAGTTGTGTCGCTTTAGCTTGTCGCACTTACACTCTGCCAAGTGTGGTTGCCGGCCCATGAGATATTTGGCTGTTGGAGAGTGTTTAGCATTGGAGGTGTAAATGATGTAGCTACACACATCTTCAACTAATTCCTTATACAGATTATTGCCGCTCCTATTGTCTTTCCCATTTCTTGCAAGATATCTGCCGACACAGTGTTGGACGCGTATCAAGATGAATAACAAGATGCTCACAATGCCAGCGATTCTTTCTCATGCTTTGTGTATGGATGTCGTACCATTGTGGTTATTGTAACGTCGTCGTTTGATAAGAGGAGATCACGAGACGCGTTAGACGGAATTGGGTAGCATTTTCGCTGGTTTTCAATATGCGTATATTCAAATAGGGCTACTTTTGGCATTAGTATGACCTCCTCACGCTACAGCAAACATGTTTACGATGGGTTGACTAAGTGTCTTCGTGTTGTCTTTCACGATGATCCCTTACGGCTGCATAAATGATCTTTTATAACTCTCAGTGAGTTTACTAACGCGCAATACAAAATTTGTGCGCATTTTTAGATCACAACAAACCTCTATTCGGCAACTGATCATCAAGTATAAGCGTCAACGATAACAAGCAAATCATCAAGTCAAAAAGTGCTTTAAAGTAAAAACACTGCAAAAGAAAGATATGTTCAAACACAAGTTCCGAATAATTCGGAGCAAAAGGTCTTGCCCGGATTCGAACCGGGGTTAATGGAAGTCTTTGCATCAAAATCCACGGTGATAACCGCTACACTACAAAACCAGTTACAGAGCTGCTGATAAGTTAAGATAAATATCAGAAAACCAATAATTTTTCAAGGATAATAAATTTTTTGTTTCTTCGGCTCATGATGCTTTATCAGCATTTTGCGGTTGGATTTTCAGCTTATTGGGACTTAGCGGATTGTTTACCGCTCAAATTTATTACTTAAGGCTGCTAGAACTAGCGGAAGCAGTTTTAGACAGCATTCGTTGGACCTCCTAATTTACGGCACACATGCCAAGAACCGCATCCATTTGAGTCACTACAATCGTCAGCTTTCAATGTACAACAAGTACAGATAGGCGAAGATTATTAATTGTTGCAACGCTTTTGATCATAAATTATGATTTCTATCTATCTATCTAACAGCATTCGTTGGTTTACGTGCAGCCAAAACGCGATGCAGGGACGCGATCAGAGAATCAAAAGGTTCGGATGGGTTTGAAGAATAAAAGTAACATACAGCAACTCCAGCGATTCAGCACCATGTACCTCAGAGCTAGAAGTGAAGACAAGAAGTCGCGGAGAAATTGAACTGATCAAGGATATCACACGGGAGGATGTAAAGACGCGCCAATACCAATATATCGCATATTGGCTCAGCTGTGTTACGTGAGCACACTAGAAAAGCAAGACCCTTTGTTTATCTCCTTCCACCATCTCCAAATGTCAAAAGCACTAAACTACGAAGTACCATGGTGAGTTGCACTGCGAACAGCGCAACCTCTCTGAGCGGCTCAACCAGGGTAGAAAAATACAGACCTCGCGTGCTGTCCGATCTCGTGGGCAACGAAGATACAGTGAAGAGACTGGAAGTGATAGCGCAGGATGGAAATATGCCCCACATGATTATGTCGGTGTGTACAGAGCAATATGGATATGCATGTATTAAACCAACCCTCAGGGTACGCCTGGTATAGGTAAAACGACGGCAGTTTTAGCCCTCGCACACACACTGCTAGGACCGGAAGTATTCAAAGAGGCAGTGCTCGAGCTAAATGCATCTGACGAGCGCGGCATTGATGTTGTCCGCAACCGTATCAAATCCTTCGCTCAGAAGAAGATACAGTTACCTGCGGGTCGGCACAAGATAGTGATTCTCGACGAAGCCGATAGGTGGGTATTTGGTATCGATAGCAGATTCACGCTAACTCACACACTCGAGCATGACAAGCGGTGCGCAACAGGCCCTTAGACGCACTATGGAGATATACTCCAACACGACCAGATTCGCATTCGCATGCAACCAGTCAAACAAAATTATAGAGCCAATTCAGTCACGCTGCGCTATACTTAGGTTCTCTAAACTGCGCGATGTCGAGCTACTAGCGCGTTTGCGCCACATCGCCCACAAGGAGGAGGTCGAAATCACAGACGATGGTTACGAAGCACTGATATTCACAAGCGAGGGCGATATGCGCCAGGCTGTAAATAACCTTCAGTCGACGCACACTGGACTCGGTTTAGTCACTCCAGATGCAGTATTTAAGGTGTGCGATCAGCCACATCCACTACTCGTACAGCACCTCCTCGAAAGCTGCCACAAGGCTAATGTCGACGACGCTCTCGCTAAACTTGATAAGCTTTGGACACACGGTTATGCAGCTGTTGATATCATCCAGACATTGTTCAGAGTTGCTAGAAATACCAGCTCTCTCGATGAGGCTCTCAAGTTGGAGTATATCAGGGAGATAGGATGGACACACATGCGCATCCTCGAAGGTGTCGCTACCCTTGTTCAGCTCTCCGGGCTGATAGCACGCTTGTGCAAAATGTCAATTGATCCAAAAGTATTCAAAGTCTGAAAACAAAGTGTCTATTTTATACCATTAATCGTTATTTATCTTACTCGGCACGCTCCCGCGTATCTCTATTGCCTGTAGAGTTTCTTGGTCGAATTGATAGTGTTAATCCAAGCATTCCTGTCGAGAGTCTTCAATGCTATGTTCTCACCTCCACGGGGATATGCGAGATCTAAATAGAGGACATCCTCACGTCTAGGATGTGCGGATACCGAAATCTCGCACAGTGGTATCGGAAGCTTGTAGAGTGTCCGCTCCGTCACATTGATCAGGAGTATAATATCGTTACAAAGCACGACGTGGATAATCTTGTTGCTTTTGGATTTAGCAAGCTCTCCTTCCTTGATGAGTAACCTCTTTGATGAACTTGTGTTCTCCAACTCGATCCTGCTTATCGGTGAGGAAAGTAAAGACAAAGATCAGCAACTCACTTTTGTCCCATCACAAGCGAGTTGGATATCTCTTGCAAGCGTGTGTGAGACTCCTGCACACGCACATCTTCATTCACCGCCAACAGCAACCCTTCAATCTCATCGAGCGCCCTCTCAATAGATGCGTATTCGAGCGTGTTCTTCTCGGTATATTTGAGTATCTGCTTAATGAGGAGTGGGTATCTAGTTATCCTCTGCATGGGTGAAAGCAGATGCGTAGATAGTTCCAGATTCCTGCTTGTGGGGTCTTCCTTCAACCTGGTCAGATTCTGCGAAAGCCTGTAATTCTTTCTCTGCAATGTCTGCAGCACCTTTATAGACTTGTGCTGATTGCTGCAGTACCGCCTGTATATGTCTAAATTGCTCAAGTGTTTATCGAGAAGATCCCCAATTTGGGATATATACAGCCTTTCATCGCGTTGTCTCATTTCTAAATCGCTGACAAAAGTAGCATGAAGGAGGAGAATATCCTCTATATTAGAGAAGACTATCTCGATCGACTGTCCGTCCACCTCTCTAATCAAGTTAGCCAGGTAGACTTCAACTATTGCAGTGAGATCCTTCACGTATACCGATTCACTCTTGATCAATTCAAAAATCGCTTCCTGTCTATTGCGTTCTTCTTGAGAGAAGCTCTCGAGGGCAGAGTGATTAATAAACGACGACCAGTTTGACGATCTGCTAGATTGTTGAGAAAGAGGTCTTGATACCGGTCTTGATACAGGTCTTGATACGGGGCGAGACGACATTGTTACAGATGCCGATGCTGATCCAGATCCAGATGACGTATCGTCAGCCGTTGATGAAGTCGCTGTCGAATTTGATCTGAACCTCCCAAGGAAATCGCCAAGCTTGCTCGATGTCTGAGACTGCAGCGACTGTGAGTGTGAGTGTGGCTGATCGCGAGAGCGTTTAAGTTGAGTCGCATCCGATTGCGAGCGGTGTCTACGTCCTTTTATTTCCGCCGATTTCCCTGTATCGGCTGTATCAGCTGCATGTATGGGTGACTCTATCGTGCTCTGTGGTCGTGATATATCGGGTGCTGCTTCTCGAACAGGTCGAGGTCTGGGTGTAAGCTCTAGCTCTGGTTCTAGTTCTGGCTTTGGCTCTTGCTCTGGCGTTGAAGGCGATCCTGATGACTCTTCTGTATTTGACTTGATGTTTTGCATCGACGAGGTATCTCTATCTGGAAGGGGAGCAGTCAGCGAGAGTCGTAATGAAGCGGAAATGAAAGGAAATGCATAGATAAAGTTTTGATCAGACATAACAACAACAGCGTTTAGTTGGACGTTACGAAGTAGTAAAAGATAGGTATTTATAGTGGGGGAGGAGTATCACTCACCCGACTCTGATTCCAACTCCACGTAAGCAGCAGGAATGTTCCCAATAAGGCCGTCTTCTGTTGAAATCTTCCACCAATCGTTGTCAGATCTATCGACTACGGTAACAAACTGGCCATCATATAAGGGGAACTCATCTTCAGAGTTTGCCGTGTAGTCGTAAAGTGCCTTAGCTTGGACAGGAATATCGAGTTCTTTTACGTATGCTTTTGGCAGGTATCCGGATTGGCCTGAAGCCGTGAGCTTGCCATACCACCAAGGGCTTTCTGGGTCGCGGCATGGGTTAGCGTCGATGATGAAGTTCTCAGTAAAAGCGAGATCCTCGTCCCTCTGTGGCGCGTAAGCGTAGAGCGAGCGACATTTAACGACTGTAGTTGAATTAGAATTGGATGAACAACGTACAAACAACGCAACGCACCACAGTGCAGATCAAATTCCTCTGAAAGAGTGTCTGTTGGATCGACATTGATTGACGGAACTTTGACATAGTCCTCTTCATGTTCTTCTGCGACATTGCCGAGCTCAGGCGCGCGCTGAACAACACCTCCATCGGCAGCTAAACCAGAGATCCAATCAACACTCTGTCTGTTATCCTTTTTATGTGACTTACTTTCAAGTTGAGCAGCTGCGGGTTGTGATTCAAGTTCAGGTTCAGGTTCAATATGCTCTCTCGGTGCGTCACTAATATGAAGAGGAGGGGTATCGTCTCCAATCACGCCACCACCAGAGGCAGGTTTGGATCTGTCATTAGTCTGGGCCTTTTTAAGCGACTTCCCGCCTTGGATTTGCGTCATCAATGAGCCTCTGTCAGCAGGCTTTGATGGGGCTGGCGCGCTTCTTGGTTGAGATTGAGGTTTGGGTTGAGGTTTGGGTGCTGGAGGTGCATTTGGAGCACTGCTAGGTGTCGTTGGGGTGTCAGCACCAACGGTTGGCGTAGATGAGCCAGAGCCGCCAGTCATACCGCCAAACAAGACCTTGGCGAGGTTGTCTCTCTTCGCACGACTGCTAAATTCATCCTCAGAGCTGTCCTCTTCGTCTGACTTCTCTTGTGCGTCATCGCCCCAGTCATCGTCACTGTTGCTTGTCAAGTGCGTTGATTTTGGCATTGTGGGGACGGGCGCAACTGGACTAGGAGCGGTAGGAATCTGCGACTCAATCGATGATGGCGGTAATTCACCCTTGAGGGGGGGGGGGG